GCCCCCCCCCCGCCCCCCCCCCCCCCCCCCCCCCCCCCCCCCCCCCCCCCCCCCCCCCCCCCCCCCCCCCCCCCCCCCCCCCCCCCCAGGTTGGGACGTAGACAGACACGCCATTAGCTTGTTACGCGTCACCAATATTGATATTGCACATGTAGAAACCGCTACGCTTCTAAGCGCCCGGGGCGCTACACGGTTAGATAAGAAATGCAAGTAACGCATCTCGAGTTTGGTTCAGAGAGGCTTAGCCATCTTTCCTGTGCCTCTTGTCACGACATATGTCACTGAATATTCAAAATGCGTCGTCATCATTCTTGTCTTACTTGTTAATCATTACTGCAAGTCACTTAGCATACAAGCGCTTAAAGATCCGATCTGGCAGGTCTATTGAATTAAAATCATCCACCAAACATCTGACGTACGCTACCTATCTCCATACTATTCGCGACGTTACTTTTCATTGAGCAAATTTCTCGCCCGTCTTGTGGCAACTCCTCGGACGATCAGACGAACAGATGTTGTTGATGGATGGATCCTGAAAGTTTCTCAGGTATCAAATAGCGAAGACGAACAGGGGAAAGGGAAGGAACCGGGCCGGTGGGGGAAGATGGTTAGAGCCACGAGGCCGCCGGTGATAGTGAGGAAATGCAGATTATCTCACCTCTTCTAAATCCGGGCAAGATTTACCATCAAATTTTCTATGGAATTTCTCCTTTTCATCTTGATAATCTAAATCTAAGTAGCTGTCAAGTATGAGCGGGCATCATCTAACCCCTGACTTAGTGAGCCCCTGAACAAGCGTTTTTTCCCTTGTAACCAGTTCCACGGCGAAACAACGTGATTGAAGTTAGTAGATGAAGATAAATCTATAAGCGTCGTAAGCAGGTGGGAATTCAGTGAATTAGGTAGGTACCTAAGATATACTAAAACACTGTCTTGAGTGATATACGTGCCTATGAAATGAGGTGAAAAGGGGCATATGTCTAACTGGATCGGTAATGGGTCATGTCTATTAACACTGACTCTACCTAGTTATAGTCGTCTAGGCCGATATAGCATTCTTCACATAAAAATGTCTCAAAGTGACCAACTAGTCATGTTCATAAAAGTTTCAATGTCATAGATTATAAAGATCCCTTAATTAACTAGTATACTTAACAATGTCTCATTACCAAGAGATAATATAGTTCAAACACCGATTATAATGAATTGTATGAGTACTTATCTAGGTGATGTAGATATACCAAGTTAGATACCTACCTATGGATGTCGAAGGGAAGTAATGTCGAGAATTCCAAGCCAGTCTTCTTCGAAACGCAGCTATGGCCCTAGTCAGTTTATAAATGACAGTCGACTCCTCATTTTTGAGGCGATAAATTCAGACGCCTAGGTTGATAAAACTAGTAGATATGTAATACAATGACAAACAAAAATTTAGAACGTTAAAAACGATTAGAATATACAATCGTATGAATTCGTTCTCGGAAGATCTGGAGCATATTCATAAAAGGCACTTACTATGCCTAAAAAGGATGAGTCTATCCAGCCTCTTACCATCCTTACCTAGGTATCCAATCCTAACTCCTTTACCCCCTTTATCTCTTTGGTTGGCATAAGACTACAGCTCCACCACGATTAGTAACTGTACTTCCAGCAACCCCTGAGTTCCACAAAATCTTACTTCTAGTTGGTTAGACGCCTCCGAAGATCACTGTGAGAACCTCAACGCTCACAGGCTTTAAGGGCCTACACTATCGCCGATGTACAGTTACCAGTTTTGTGGAGACTGTAGTCTTATGCCAACCAAAGAGATACTCGCGAGTCTTTAGATGTAGGTACTTATGACTATTACCTAGTCTCCTCGAAATATCTCATCAGATTTTGACATGAGATACCTAGGTAGGCACAATTTCATAGGAGTTCTCTATCTAGACTTAACCCTTCTCGTCATTCTTAATATTGGGTCATTTAGATAGTCCAGATCCCTTTGTCATATTACACACACATTCACGTAAAATATAGTGTGAGTGCACCGTTCGTGTAAAGTACAAAATAAATACCTAGGTAGGTAGGTACTGAATAGAGTTTCATAACGACATTGCGAATATGATTCTCGACTTATCTATCTATGATCACGGTATACATGAGCTAAGCTTTTCTGAGCCAGAATTTGCTCTGAGTGGACGATGAACTTCTAGATCTCTGGCAGACTAAACATCTCAGGTATACCGTGAGTTCATTTTATATCTCTTAGGTGTTCACTCGCAATCTTCAAGCCTCCGCATTCGAACCCAACACTTCATACGGCTGCTGTCCATCAACACCCTTCTCTCGTCCACCAGTCGAACCCGCATTCGCCGTGTCTCTAAGCGTAAACTTCTGCTCCGCCGCCCTGCCGGGGTCAGCCTTCGTGCCGAACTCCGAGAAGCTAGCGTTCTTCTCCCTATCCTCGGTTCCGATACTTTCGTCCTCCGTCAAATTCTTGCCGTGCGGGCCCCCCCGGTCCTTGATGTACTGGCTCTGTACATACGTCGGTGCTGTGCCGGCACTGGTGGCGCCCGATGACTTAGAGGCATTCTGGTGGACGCCGCCTTCGTGGGGCTTCGGAACTGACTGGCGGGACTGGTCTTCTTTGTGCTGGTCCTGGGGCGCGACCTCATTGGCCTGGCGGAAAGACTGGGATTCCGCGGCGAGCGAGTCTTGGGATACGAAACCGGGTCCCTCGCTAGTGACGGGGGCGTTTCGGCCGGCGGTGACTTTGGTTCCTTCGCTGGGTGCTTTGCTCGACATGGTGGTTGATTTGGCTGTGTGTGGTTTGTTTGATAGGAGTTGGTGAAAAATGGTGGATGGTTGAATTGGTCTTCCTATAGATGCTATGGTCTTAATTCAAATGGTAGCTGTGTTGTAGAAATGAAAATTTACTCTTGTCTTATTTTACGTTTTCCTTTAATACATGTTGTAGGTTAACGAGCAAATAGGAGAAGCTTCCATCATTGACGTCATAGGCTGCAAAACGTCAGAGCTGTACGACCATGACCTCATGCATTCTCATGTACCTGAGATTGAATTCAGAAAGTAGTAGGCACAATCGAGAATGATATCATTTTGTGGGGAGTAGTTGCTTGATATGTTTGCGTTGCGACCGCCATTGACGATGCTAGGAACTTTCTGTCCGGGCGTTGAAGTCAATCTAGCGCTAAGAAACCTTTTTAATCCCATATACTCGTCTATATGCTCTATCCAGATATGATATTTTCAATATACAGCCTTATGCTACCCCATCTGCCCATATAGATTGAACCTACGCCGAGATCCTGGTATCAGCATTGGAACGGAGACGGGAGCTCACCAGCTTCCGAAGCCTCATGCAGGGAGTATATGGTCGCGTACATGCCGCCAACGCATATGAAACCACCAGCACAGACTGTGAGCACGCAAAGTGTGAACATAATAGGTCTCTTATACCAACCGGTATAACCCCCTTTAAAATGATACGTATCATGCAGCCAGAACGCTCCAGCAAGGCCGTAGGTGTCTGAATGACGAGTTAGTGGTTCATTCTTTCAATGGGGTTAGGAGTCTAGGTAGAGTATTAGAGGAAAAGCCCATGTGCGAGATCGATTGGGATATTGCAGGCCCTGAGATCAGCCCGGATGTGTGGAAAGGGGTAGACTCGACCGAGATGCTACTTACACCAAGCAGCGAACATCGAACCCGCGATACCAACCAAATAGTTAAAAATGGGGATCCCGACTGCGAAGAGGAACGCCGCGACATTAGCTAGAAGAATAAGGAAAGTCCAAACGCCCCAGCCGACGAACGTATGCGAGTGAATGTGGCGACTACGTCTAAACAGACGCACGAAGACGAGCTTAGCCGCGGTATGAATGTTCAAACTAGCCGCGATGAAGAAGTTGGGTATGGCAAGTCCGAACGAGATCTTGGACCACAACGGATTTAAGCTAAGAAAGCTCGGACTTGAGACCCCTTGACCAATATACCAATAAGTTACGATGGCAAGAGTGATGTAAAGAGTGGTCGCCACGATTTGAAGGGTCCAGGCAGCTTTCATCGCGTCTTGCGGATGCTTCATCTCCGATATAAGTATGAAGAACATGAAATGACCGGCATAAGCGAACACGGGGTTCGTGATGCTGATAAAGGCTGTCGTAAAATCACTGGCTCTCGTAATCACTATGTCTCCCAGGTTGACGGGGACAGCTCCTGCGCCAGCCATAGCCACGATTCCTGCGATTATGATCGAAGCACCTCCAACAATGCAGAGATAGCTGAGATGGTCAAGCGTGCGAGGAAAACTGCAAATTGCGACGGCAGCAGAGAATATGCCCGAAAACGCAACTGCACAGAGCTTTCCTTCCGACAGGACAGTGAGTGCGAGTTGACCGGCAAGGATCTGTGACCCTGTAGCACAGACCGCGAAGATTATGGTTCCTCCGCCTAATATTTCTCGGCCGATGGGCCCGAACAAGATATATCCCGCATCGCCCATATTATGCACTATATCAATTTCATCAGCCAGACTCCCATTGCACAAACAAGTGCAAACTTTACCTACCTTCCGGGTGTCGCAGCTTGAATTGTATGAGCAGCCAAGCCGTGAATGTGGCAAAAACACCTAGGAACGCGGTAACGATGACTCCGGGGACCATACCAACCGCGTCGAGGGAACTCGGTAAACTAAGCATGCCGTTTGATACGATTTCCGTGATCATTAGAACGGCCGCGAATGGCCAGGTCATCGTTTTATATTTGATGTCATGATTCTCTTCCTCCCCGAAGACATCGTCGGGGAGACCTGGACCCGTGAATCCCATCTCACGATCTCCTTCAACGGGCACATTTCCACTGGTGAGATCAGATTTCTCATGCGGGAGCTCTTCGGGATGGTAAGTGTTGTTAGACATATTGCTGAATTGTTGGGCCCGGGATGGTATGTGTAAGCACCCTTATCCTACCAAATCTGTGTTCGTCGTGTTCAATCTACCCAACTGCCCTCGTCGCCGTCGAAAACCTATCCAGCGAGGGAATGATATCCTGAATGCGAATAGATCAAGCAAGGCGAGACATTTCGTAAGGTGGTCTCTCAGCCACCTAATAAATGAGTGACAACTATTGATATTTGGATCAGATTGATCCTCTTGTTTCTCCGCAGCATTTTCAGAGACGACGTTATCGTCTATCCTTGTAAGTGGCGGGTATAATACAGAGATAAGCCTCTCATCTGCACCTTCAGGGCACCCGGGCTGGTGGAGTATCAGTAAGCCGTAGAGAGCGATGCGATAAGAACTGAGCTGCTGGGATTCATGGTGGATAACCCCCTAAGGAAACATGGGCCGGGGGTTTAGTGCAATTATCCCCATTTGGAAAGAAAAGGCCTCGATCTGAACTCGGATTGGCCCGCGGATATCCATGATAGTTTCGAGCTTGGTCGGAGGTAACCGTCAACGCCAAGAGCTATGGACATAGTTTATAATAACCGCTTGACGATGTAAATCCCTAGATTTGAATTGAGAAGAGAATTCTCGTCAAAAAGGTGGAATGGAGGGCTATTAATTGCTTTTTGAAGTGGAGGAATCAAGCCACTTTCATTTCCCAAACCTGAGATGAGGTGGCGTTAAATTGGTGCTCATAAGAGAGAACTATTACAGAAAGACAAGCCAGAGCTAAGAATCTCTGAATTCGTGATAGGTTGTTATTATTTAGAGCTTGGAAGAAGCATGGTATGTTAAGATAATCTATGCTTTGAGTATTTTCTTGGAAGACAGGTAACGGACTTAAAACAATAGAATGGTGTAGTGAATCTAATTATAGTTGGACGATGGATTCAAAAAGTAGTTGGCGATTGTCTGTCGTTATTTTCTATTCTTCTTATTCCTAGTGGATTTAACGACGCAGTTATCATTCTATAAGACTGTTTATGAATGATAGAAATAAAATGCGATGGAGTTAGGGAGAGCACCTGCATCACCAAGTCAAATGCTGCTGTCGGACACTATCGGCGTTGAGATCTCTAACGTTGAGCCAATAGTAATGCAGCAAATAGTCATAGGTGATCTCCAATTAGTGCGGGGTGTAGTGGGACATACATGGATTGGGGCACCATCGCTTCTCCAATCAGTGACCAGCTATTGTCACTAAGCCGATGTCGCCCAATATTTTAATTTTTTAATTCGACTCACCGAGAATTAAGGTGAAATTGTGCGATTTCTTCACCATTTCGCACCAGGCTGCCCAGTCGCCATTTCTCTCGTCCCTGGCACTGGATTTGACTATTGGAAGGCCCTTCTCGTCAATTGGCTTTAACTGGATAGTAGGAGAGTATCTACCAGCCAACAAACTAGCTTTGACCCCTCGTCCAAGCTCGGTATGACGTTTCATACGCTTCTTCGAGCCAGGGCTCCCACAGCTCTGGCTCGAAGTGCTCTCGCGCCATCGCGACAATATGCGTATGTCCGTCTCTAACTGATTGCGATTTAAGCTCAATGAAGTATGTGACTGACTATTTTATTCATCCAGTCGCCTCTTAAGCACGACGCCTTATCGCCGTTCTAATGACTCCGACCTTAACAAAATCTCCCGCAATATCACACAACCAAAAGCACAAGGCGCATCGCAAGCTATGCTTTATGCGACAGGCCTCAAAGATGAAGACTTAGCGAAGGCCCAAGTGGGTATTTCCTCGGTATGGTACGAAGGAAACCCGTGTAATATGCACTTAATGGACCTATCAGCCGTGGTAAAAGAATCTGTCAAGCGGGCTGGACTTATTCCTTACCGATTTAACACAATTGGCGTCTCGGATGGTATTTCTATGGGTACGACGGGTATGCGATATTCTTTACAAAGTAGAGAAATCATTGCCGACAGTATCGAGACCGTTATGCAGGGCCAATGGTACGATGCGAATATATCTCTGCCCGGTTGCGACAAGAATATGCCTGGTGTCTTGATAGCTATGGGCCGGGTAAACCGACCTAGTATCATGGTCTACGGTGGCACCATTAAGCCGGGTTGCAGCATGGCTGGTGCGCCAATCGATATCGTTAGCGCTTTCCAGGCATATGGTCAGTATATTTCGGGCGAGATCACGGAGAAGCAGCGCTACGACATCATCCGACACGCGTGCCCCGGAAAGGGTGCATGTGGTGGTATGTACACAGCCAACACGATGGCTACAGCCATTGAGACGCTAGGTATGACCTTACCAGGAAGCAGTAGCAGTCCTGCCGAAGACCCAAGCAAGATTAAAGAATGCGAGAATATTGGTGAAGCCATTAAGAATATCATGAAGGAGGATATTCGCCCGCGAGACATCATGACGAGGGAAGCTTTCGAAGAGGCCATGGTTGTGGTCAACATCCTCGGAGGCAGCACGAACGCCGTACTTCACTTAATCGCCATCGCCGACGCCGTTGGTATCAAGCTCACCGTTGATGACTTCCAAGCCGTATCCGACAGAACACCCTTCTTAGCCGACCTGAAGCCCTCGGGTAAGTATGTGATGGAAGACATGCACAAGATCGGTGGCACCCCTGCGCTTCTCAAGTTCCTTATCGGCCAGGGCATTATCAAGGGTAACGGTGTCACGGTAACGGGTAAGACGATAAAGGAGAACGTCGAATCTTGGCCCTCCCTCCCCGACGACCAGAAGATCATCCGACCATTCGCCAATCCCATCAAGCCAACCGGCCACATCCAAATCCTTCGCGGCTCGCTCTCTCCCGGTGGCTCTGTCGGCAAGATCACGGGTAAGGAAGGTCTAGTGTTCACGGGCAAGGCGCGCTGCTACGACCAAGAAGACGACTTCATCGCGTCGCTCGAGCGCGGTGAGATCAAGAAGGGCGAGAAGACCGTCGTCATCATCCGGTATGAGGGCCCTAAGGGTGGGCCCGGCATGCCTGAGATGCTGAAGCCGTCCTCCGCCATCATGGGCTACGGTCTCGGCAACGACGTTGCACTACTCACGGACGGCCGGTTCTCCGGCGGCAGCCACGGTTTCCTGATCGGCCACATCACGCCCGAGGCCAGGGAGGGTGGCCCGATCGGTCTTGTGAGGGACGGAGACACGGTTACGATCGATGCGGAAAAGCGCGTTATTGACTGTGATGTGAGCGACGAAGAGATGGCGAAGCGAAAGGCCGAGTGGTCACCGCCTCCGCCTCGGTACTCCCAAGGCACGCTTACTAAGTACGCAGCTCTCGTCAGCGACGCGAGTCATGGCTGCGTTACTACGGGGGTGACGGAATAAACCGAACAGAACGGTTAATTCGCCGGCGTACGTAGGTAAGTAAAGTACGTGCGTATATAAAATAGGGATCTGGGCAAAAAGTGTATTTATCGGTCTTCGAATATCTTCGCGCGGAGAGGTGGGTCTAGTTTTTTTCTGGTCCGGAAAACGGAAACGGGAAAACGGAGGTGACCCTTTAATTCCATCCGCTATGATTTGAGATTTGAAGACAGAACAGTAATAAAAAAAGATCAAAGTTCAAGTCTAGCTACTGAGAGAAAGCATCACTTGGGCTTCTAGAGGTGTAATTCAAGAAGGCTTGGCTGAAGTGAGCTGCCTATAAGGCCTTGATGATTGAGATTGAGTGGGATATTTAGGGCACTCATTCTTTATCTTCTTTCAAATATGACAACCCTGGCCACTACCTGCAACTAACTAGGTTGGTAGGTATCGTCCAGTATCTCTCCTACCCCTATTCATTTTCACACCAAACTTGCTTTTACATCATTCATCTTTTCTCCTCATGCCCGAGTAAACAACGCAAGGGAAATCAATGCATGCTCCACCTAAATGCGCAACAATGACGTGGGAAACACCGACAAGTAAATAGCCTCATTAATGTCATTTTCTCTTCGTATTTCTTTTCTTTTCATATGGAAGGCTCTAAACATCGTCAACCCCGACCCCGACCCCAACTCTAAACCGGAGCTCTATTTTCTGCCCTTATTCCAAGCCTCGATAAACGACGCCTTGTCCCTCAGCGTCAGGCCGACCCTCTTGTTCCTCGCGAGCCGGGCCAGCGCCTCCGCGATCTTATCCAGGAGCCGCTGCTCCTCGCCCGTCAGCCTCTCGCCGTCGACCTCGAGCCCTTCGTCCCCGCCGTCATCCAACGGCGTATTCCCGTTCGTCGCGGCGCTGGAGTCGTTCGCCACGGCCTCGGCGATGCGCACGCGGATCAGGTGCGTGGGGCGCCCGAGCAGGTTCCACAGGAAACCGAGGTAGGCCCCGGGTACCGGCGTCGTGATATCGGCGGGGGTGTACCGCATGCTGACGGGGAAAATGTGCGCGTCGGCCGGCGCGGACAGGAGCGACGGCGAGAAAGGTAAGATGCCTTTGCCGTTCGTCGTGCTCATCTCCGGAAACACGGCGACGACGCGGTGCGGGTTCTGCTCGACGAGCGCGCGCAGGGTCGTCATGTTATCAGCGGTAGGGGGAGAGGACGGGTTCGGGGGTGCGAGAGCGAGGAGGATGGCGCGGAGCAGGGAGACGCGCTGCACTTTCCGCGTGCCCGGGTACGAGACGGTGAAGATGGGGTCGAAGATGGCGGCGAGGTAGAGCGCGTCGACGGGGCTCGTGAACTGGGCGGCGATGATGGAGCGCGGCGCGTTGCCCGGGAAGCGCGAGCTCGGCTGCTGCGATAGCGAGCCGCGCTTCACGCCGTCGAGCTGCAGGTCCACCCACCAGATGCCCGGGATGCCGAGGAGGGTCCACAGCAGCAGCTTCCGGACGACCTGGGGGATGAGGAGGGAGGGCAGGTGGTCGAGGAAGAGGAAGAAGAAGGCGCTGTAGCCGAGGAAGAACGGCAGCCGGAAGAGGAAGAGGGCGCCGTGCAGGAGCTTGGATAGGAAGGAGGCGGGCGTGGTCGAAGGGATGAAGGGCGAGATGCCGGAGCCCCGGTCGCGGAATTGGCTGTATTTCTCCATGATTAATGGAGGGTGTGTGCGAGTGTGGGTGGCGGCTGTAGCTACAGCGAAAGCTAAATGATGTATGTCGAGTGGCGAGTATGGATCGTGACGGGTGTGAATAGGTAGGTAAGCTAGACAGATCTGCCTAAGCCCTAAGACTACCGAGACATCAAGTTAATATAGGGCAGGAGATTGACGGTGGACGTTGGACAGAAACCGGCCACAACGGGGCGGCAAACGCAGCGAGGCCCGTATTAGATAAGGCTTAGGTTAGATCGTTGCAATATCTAAGAAAATAATCATCCCACAGGATTTTTGAACCTGTCACAATGAAGAATAAGGAGATGGTCTAAGATGGATTTAGATGATTCGATGGCGTCAAGGGTTCCCTTTGGCATGTGAAGGACACTTAAAATCTAGGCTAACTTTATTTTTCTGTCCTGACAGCTGATGGAATTGAAAATTGTCAAGCTCGGACCAGGTGTAAGGTCAATGTTGTCCCACCTTTCTAGAAGCCTGATGTGTTCTCCGAGCTTTCCCCAAATTGTCTTAGTGGCTGCCTTGATAGTACAGATAATGTTGATAATGTCGTTGTTACCGGGTCAACGGCGCTAAGTAATCAAATCCAGCTTAGGTAATGTGTGTTGGATAACGGTAAACTTGCACAATTCAAGGTTCATATCAAGGTTCGTATTGTACACACACATCCTTATCCATCAACGACGCACGTCGCAGTTGTCACCGTCGCTTTCGTCGCTTTTGTTGTTACATGGAAGGATAGTATAGCTTCCAAAACCTAAGTATCTATCGGCTTGAATGCTATCAGTCTTTAAGCTTGTCGCGTGCTATTTTATAGCTTAATACCGCTATTTTGTTTCTTCGAGTACCCAAACCTCATCCGCATATTGAGAACCACCAACATGGAGGAAAACGTGGTAAGCCTTCGCGCCCATACGTTGGGCCGATGATACCCCCTTTCTATATCCCGTCAGCATTTGCACGATCATAACTGACCCTGATCTCAGCAGCATCGAACTACCGGCCTTCAAAAGCCGATGACACGAATCCCCCAGTTCTCGACGTCCGTCTCTAACGTCAGCGGTCTGCACGAGATGACTAACTCACAGAGCAACATGCGCCAACCAACTTCATCGATACCCGCCTCCAACAGTAGCTTGAAGCGCGGTGTACCGACTCCAGGTGCGAACGATCCATTCGTCGATGACAACCCCGTTTACTCACAGCGACGCGATGCAGCCGTCCAATCTGATGCAAAGCGGGTTCCTCTATCCAAGAGAGCCGGCGAGTTCCCAGATAAACCTATCACCGCTTCTCATGTCACCTCACAGAATGTCAAGGGTGTTTCCCTAAGAGACACGGTAAGTAGAATTCGCGTTTGAGCGTCCCAATTTTTCGAAGTCTCGATACCGCCTTAAGCCCGACCCGAAAGTTGCGACGTAGCTCGCGCCTTTATAAAACGAATGGTTCTATGCCTTTGTATAAACAACTCCAAGGCATGAGAACCTTCCCGAATCCATGAATCGGCGGTCATAAAAGATGCAACGATTCTCCTCCCTCAAGTCGAACCTGTTTTGTTTTCGTGGTTTCCTGCTGTAATAGGTTCAAATATCGGCGATGGTTCTCTTTCGTTATCGTCTTGCTGTTTCGCGAGTTAGCTGGTATGTTAACATGTATGATGAACAGGCGAGACCTGGCGTCCCAGGATCCCGACACACTTCCACCAGTAGCTATTCTAGTAACGGCAACTACACCATGAGTGTAGGCTCCGGCGCTCGTCCTCCCTCCCGAACGCGAATAGCACACAGTCGAGCACGGTCGACGACTAGAGTTGGACGGCCCGCCACATCTATGGGCACGCGCGAGGAAGCACAGCAGCAGCAGCAGCAGCAGCAGCAACAGGGCAACAATGGTATAGTGCCCCCAACCACGCCTACACCTCTCTCCTATAGATCCAGTTACAGCAATCTTCATCAATACAAGAAACCCCGGAAATACCAGTCTCTTCAAGACATGGGAGGAGCAGGGGCAACGTACAAAGAACCCCTTCCAGCATCTAGAGAAGTCTCTATCAGCAACCAATTCCAGTCATTGTCACTCAATGACAAGAACAAACACCAACAAGGAGCTCAAGCGACTTCCAACAGCTCAAGAATGCCTCCTCCCCCAACTACCTTCATCCCCCAGCCTGCCTTTAGACAGAAAGGGGTTGGTGGGATGGGACAATTTGAGGTGAACATCGAGTATACCCAAAGGGACTCAGTAGCCCCTAAGACACCGGGCAAGCAATTGATACTCAGCGTTGAGAAAAGCATCAACGAACTTAAGAGAACCCCTATTCCAGCCATGACGCCCTCTTCACCTACAAAAGGGCCATATTTGTCCAAGTATTCTAACACAACAGGATATGTAGTCTCGGAGATCGAAGAGAAAATCCAATCGATGGATTCCGAATTCCAGCGGCTCAAAGAGTTCATGAACACGACCGAGAAGAACAGCGTGAATGTGAAGGAAGAGCTCGAGATAGCCAAGAAACGAGGTAGGATTTGCTCCGTGTCTTTTTGGTGTGGAATTTGTCAGGTGCTAAAACGTAATAGTGGCGATCCTCGAGGACCAACGATCCGATTTACAGGCAGAGAGAGCCAAGTTGTTAGACAAGGCGGCTGACACCGAACGTGAACTTCGTGTTCTGAAATTTGATATTGAAGATCAAAAACGACGCCATGATAAGTACTGTGAAGATCTAATCTCAGACCATGAGCGAAAGATGAGAGCCAAGGTCGATGATTATGAGCGTGAAATGGACAAGGTAGTCAAGCTTCAGCAGGAGTTCGAGGACAAGTGCGGCGCCGAAGCCGAAGCCCGGCTAGATAATCTTTCGCGCGAGAATAAGGAGCTTCGTAGCAATCTCGAGTTTCAGAAGCGCGATCATGAACGCGAGCTTCACAGACTTAACATGGATATCGAGAGACAATGTCTTCGAATGAAAGAGCTTGAAGAGAGTTTGAAGAAATCGGAAGAGGAGCAGAAAACCCTCCAGACTCACATCGATGAAAATTTCAAGACGATCGACCGTTTAAGAAAGAGGGCTGAAGATGCTGAGGAGAGCCTCTCCAAGGATAAAGGTCATCTAGGTGGACAGATCAGTCTACTAAGTCAAAAGTTAGACTTTAGTTCCGAACGCATCCAGAGCCTAGAAGAGCACAACAAAGCTGTCCAGTCAGAGTGTGAGAAAAAGCTGCAAGAAATCGAGCTCGCAGCGCAGAAGAGAATCGATGAGGAGACGAGGCTACTCCGAGATAGGCTCATCAAGGAGGAAGAACGACGACACAAACTCTTTGAACAAGTGCAGGAGTTAAAGGGAAACATCCGTGTCATGTGTCGAATCAAACCTCCCTCCGATCCCGAGAATGACGCTCTCATTAAGTTCAACCCACGGGCAAGCGACCTCGACGAGGACAAGATCGACGGTCTACTCATACCAACAGAGCGAGAAGACTTCAGGGAACCAGGCAAGATGATTCCCGGCAAGCCGAAGGAGTTCAACTTCGAGCGGGTATTCGACGAGCGCTGTACCAACAAGGACGTATTCGACGAGATTAGTCAGCTCGTGCAATCCGTCATGGATGGTAAGAAGGTCTGTATCTTTTGCTACGGCCAAACGGGCTCGGGCAAGACGTTCACGATGAGCCGAAAAGGAGACGGCATCATCCCCCGAACGCAGGACATGATATTCGGCGAGGTCGACAGACTGAAGGCGCTAGGGTGGGAATACACGGTCGAGGGCAGCTACTTGGAAGTCTACCAGGACAAACTATACGATCTCCTCGCCTCGCGCAGCGCCAAGCCTGAGCCCCTGACCGTGGACCCGATCGGCGAGGAGCTCAACATCAAGGGCCACAGCTTCACGCTGCTGAAGGAAGAAAAAGACCTCGACGAGATGGTGCGAACGGCCGACAACAACCGGCACACGGCGGCGACGGCGATGAACGACCGGTCGTCGCGCTCGCACTCGATCCTGGTGCTCAAGATCGTAGGCACGAAGAAGAACGAGGAGGGCGAGGTGGTGCGGACGCGCAAGGGCACGCTGAACCTGATCGACCTGGCCGGGTCGGAGTCGCCGGACAAGGCGCGCGGCGAGCAGATCTACCGCGAGGGCGTGGAGATCAACTCGTCGCTGAGCTACCTGCGCACGGTGCTGGCGAGCCTCGGCCAGGGCAAGACCGAGGGCGTGGATTTCCGCAGCTACACGCTGACGCAGCTGCTGAGGCCGAGCTTGGGGAAGGGGTGCCGGACCTTGATGTTCGTTATGGTGAGCCCGCTGAAGGAGAATGAGAGTGAGACTGTGAGGAGTCTTGAGTTTGCGAGAGATGTAAGTTTTTTCCCTGGGGGGTTTTTTTTGTTTTTTTATTTTTTTATTTGGTGTCCTGTTTCTTGAAGTCTGTAATGGAATGGATGGCTAATCAGTTCACAGGCCCAGAAAGTCAAAATGGGAGGAGGAGGAGGGGCGTCGAAGGCGAAGAAATGAACGGGCAAGGCCATCGCAAGCCCTAACCGAGTTTTCAACCCTTCGTCGTCTTCAGAGGGCCGGTTGAGGATGTGAGCATGGTTGTGAGGTTACCTACTTAGGTAAGCAAGGAGTGTTAGGCGTACGGTATGACAGTTTGGGGGAGGGGGTAGTTCGAAAGTTGGCATCGGCGTCGTCGTCGTCGTTTTTTTAGGAATTGGGCACGCGGCGTTGAGTTAGGCGTTTCTTTCGGATTCGATCCGACGACGACGAGGGGAAGACCTCCGTACATGTTTGATAGCAGTCAAGCCTGAGAAAGGCCGTATTGAACTCATGATAATTATGCCCCTTTTCCGTTTTCCGTGCTTATTGCCTGTGATTGTGAGGTAAGGTGTGATGGTGAGAATGGATGCTGGCGAAATATCTGCGGCGTATTTTGGGGGGGAAGATGGGGATGCGACGTGGGAGATGGGATTCGTAATGTCGCGTCGTAGATTCTTGATTAGGATTGTTCGGGCGTCCTGATTTATTGATCGTGAACTTCGTCTAATATTCGACGTGAATGGGGTGTGAATGGATGGATGTTGCTTGTGGACGGTAAACAACATATTATGTGGAAGAAAAGAAAGTGGGAGGATAACGATTCAGAAACAAGTGGCGGGTATTGAACGAGCGAGCTTATGCAGTAAGTAACAAGGTGAGGATTGGGAAATTTTCGTCGAACTTGATTTTATCTTTGTTTTAGGTGACTCACATTGTATTTATTGATAGACTTTTTTGAGGTTATTCCGAGGAGTACCTAGATACCTACTTCAAATTTCTTCCTAGGCAACCTAGGGTAGATATGTAGAGCTCCGTATGCTTCTTTGCTGTTCCTATGTGACGTCATTGAGTCCAAAGTCACATATCGTCGTACAACCACTAGCGGTAGCAAGGTTCAATCCGTACCTATACACCCCACCATATCAAAAACGTCATAATTCCCCCTTTCTTCATCCTTACTCCGTAATTGCATAACTGCATCAAGTTTAAGATGAAGCACTTTACCGTATGTAAACTGGAGGAGTAGTGGTGAGATAGGGGAATCACCTCACCTCGCGTAAATATGACATCAACACCAGATGCAACGTCCTACACTAGCCGAATCTTTATCTAAGGATGCCTCCTGCTGGTAAAATCAGGCCGTGTAGACGAGGTGCCAAGCAAAAACAGGCCATTATTCAAATCCGTATCACCTTCCTCCATAGTCGCTGTACTTCTTATCGTGCGTTGAGAAGGACGTCGAATGCATCGGCGGTTGCCAACCGGAGGTAATCTGGAGTCCTCTCCACTTAAATGGCATCGCATTATCACATCGAAGGCCTCAATTCTAGAATAGGTAGGTAATAAGAGTTAGAAATATTGTAAATATTGTAACTGCAACTAACGAGTCTATCATGGAACTCTTACTGCCCAGAACGCTGTAAGGACCGATTATGATAACTCACGTCGCCTCTCTGGAAAATCTATCTGCGATTATGCACCTCTAAAGCTCTATGGTCATAGTCTTGACTGCTCGGTAACATCGCCGAACTCCCATCCCGCAGCAAGTCATGCTTTGTAGGTGCGTGATACCCCCTGGTGCGCTACCCCTAGACGAACTCGACGATACCAGGCGTAAATTCATTAAAACACAAAACAAGAATCATTCGAATTCAAATCTCAAATATCTGAGATTATCGGTGTCGGTAACGGGGGAAGAGACATAGGAACCGCATCGGATGGTTGAGGCGGCGCCGGGACCTGTGGTATCGCCGGCACAGTGACGTTTGGGAATATGAAACTGCCATTAGGCCATGGATTTATAGTGGCATCGTCCAGCAGCTTATTAGTGAGGTAATAGACGGCGGTAGGGACCCATTTCACGTAGTCGAAGTGCACGGGGAAGACGTAGAGGGTCCCGACACACACAGCGTCTCCCGCGTTGCAGATGATCAGCGTCCGGTTCGTGTCGAAACCCTGGATCCGGCCCCCGTCCTGATATGTTTGCGTATCGCCAAAGGTCACCACTCCTATGATCTTGTCCTTGACTTCTTGAGTCAGACCTTCGATAGCCCGGTGGGTGAGGGCGGCTCCTTGGCTATGCTTTTGATTAGCAAAGGACTTAGACGTAGGTTTAATACAGGTACTGAGCATATGCGCCCCTTTTTAAAGGGGGTTTTCCTCGACTGTGGTGGATAGCAGGAAGAAGTTTTAGTATATAATTACCTATAACCTCCGGCAACAATCTTTGAATCTGGACAGGTCGCTGCCGAATTCAAAAGGAGTTGCATGTCGTAAATTCCCCATGGTGGCGCTCCGCCAGGGTAGAAGTTCGTTTCAATAAAGCCCCAATAGTCCACCCCCTGAGTCGCGACGTTGGCAGGACCAAAGACCGCCTTTAGCCCGTCCGACAGCGCCGGTCCAACCGTATTGCCCTAGAAAATAGGTTAGCGACGCAGTTCCAATTCAGACAGTTGCTCCAACGCAGAAGACAAATTACATACCAAGTTCCCAGGTTCTATAGTCGCCTTGGCCCAGATGAATATGATGGGCCTGCACCCGAATTCTGTTAACTCATGCGCGTAAAAACCAATGGTCCACGACTGGCGAGGTTGGAGGCTCGACGGAAGCGCCGATACCACTGCAACACACGTAAAAAGGAACAAAGATATATGAGAGATCATCTTGGATAGTCCGATGCCACCGTCAAGGAAGCTTGGTGTCGACATTTCTGTTGTGTGTGTCGCTCAGGTTCCTTCGGCTGAAAGAGCCAGTCCTGCCTATGGACAGACGTGGCCGCGACGAGATCTTAAGCACAACGCAATATCGATTTTAACATTCCTATCCGGAGTTTATATCGATATTCGACTTTGGCCAGGGATGCAGCATAACTTATGAACCCCAGGGAGCCCTATGATCGAGAAATATGGGGCGACCCGTCCGAGACAAGATGTCTCGTAAATTCGATGTTGAGGCGCAGAACTGACTAACGTGTTCCCGCGCGATTACCCCAGGGGTCCATTGGATCTCCCGCGGCTTAAGGGCGATTTGAAAAAGCTTAACTTCGTAGATAGGGCGTGATAGTAGTAGTTTATGGCGCAAGATCATGGTTGAGGGATCGTCATGGTGCGTCTGCGTTCCTGATATCCCCTTAATTGGCACCTTACTACAGGCACCATGGAATACAGGTTCATCTGACCTAGCAATAGTCCCAGCCAATGAAATAAGAGCTTTGGGAAGCGTCGTTATGCTTCCCAGATCAAATGGGCTATTACTCAGTGGAGTCTGTAGTAAGGTGCCAATTAAGGAGATATTAAGATTCGGAGTAGAACCGCCCGTATCTCAAGGTGGCTCCCTTTAACCGCAATCGGGTCGGCCAGCCAATTTCTGCTATTGTCATTGGACCCCAGATCTATTGCCATCTAGGTGATATTGAGCCAAGCATGCTCCAGGCATATCAAACCGTTACTTTCAAGCCGGTAGTCCCTCGGCCCACTGTAACTCGGGAGTAACCATCAATTACTTTTGACGGTATGTTTCGGATATTTATTAAAGATCGTAGATATTTGCGTATATATAACTCCAACTCTGAACACTTACTACGTATTCCATTGAATATAAGTCAGTGGTATCTGCGGTAAGTTAACACTCTATTGGTATCCGTAAAGGCTTGGTTCTGGTTTGTTGGGAGAGCCAGTAAGGAAGGTGAACGGTGACCGGTGAGCCTGGAGTCAGTTGCTAATCAATTACATAAGTTGCTGCTGGAGACGATAAAATCACACTCAGGCGATGGAGACCTTTCGCGTACGAATATGTATGATTTTCCTATATAGGAGATGAGTTGTATTACTAAACCTTACGATATAGAGGCTCAGCTAGTCATTGAAATCCAATATACGCAAGTTAATAAAGGCAACTCTTATCTCATTCTTAGGTACCCCAAGAAATAGCCCGTCCTGCTCGTTAGGTCACACCGTTAGAATCATATCTCGTTGATACCTTCTCAATAGGGGCAAGTATTTTACAAGTCTCACCCAATAGATCCCTTTCTTTCACTTTGAGATTACAATTCACTGGAACCATCCTTCTTGGAAAGGATCACATTCTTCATCACTGCGCAGAAGGAAGGGGGCAAAGCATAACAAGCAGTGGTATGAATTTCGCAGATGTCTTCATTAACGACTCAGCGAGATACGACGGAAGAAACCGTCTTGGTTAGCCGTCTATGCACGTATCATAACCCAGTCGTTCAAAATTCTACTTCCTAACATAACGATAAGCATCGTCTACCTCTTGTTCAGTCTGAAATCTCTAGAATTATGGTTCTAGATCGAGTTCCGTCAAGCTAAGACACTCCAGCTTTGATATTTCATATACACTTATGAAATAACGCATAGCCTAACTATTCAGCATTGGCAACTCAGTATAGGTACCTATCCAATATACGGTAACTTAGTGTTAGATTGCGTGAGAAACTACCTCTCTAAAGTACAACGTCCATATCCATAGACCTTCATCTTTTCTACTTGTCGATTCATTCCCTTTTCCTAGACCCAAACCTTGCTGGAGTTGTAAAAAGAGGCGTCAATCCGTCAGTGGTCATCCTTCATTGGCCTCTTGTCTGGGAGAATTATCGTAAGATAGCTTCCTTCTAATATCAATATCTTCTTATAGCAAAATCGCTGGTAGGGTATTTATCATGATACTCTCAGTCTTCGAGGCACTTACAATTGAAGAAAATACTTGAACTCCTTATTACCAAGTACCGTCTTATGATTATGAAGGCATCATTAGCTTAGTCGATCTGATCTTGTCAAGTTTCTTCGCTGAGTAAAAGAGGCCAGTAAACATCACCTAGACGTTAACGAATTCTAAGCAGGGGCAAATATGGGTAAGCTCATAGAAAAGAACGACAGCAGTGAGATAGATGCAAGCTGCTTGTCTTATGACAGAAATTACTTATTAAAGAGCGAACAATACTCCGCGTCCACTTGGATAAGTGTTGAGGTCCGAGCAATATTTCTAGTTAGGTTTCTATACTATGCGATTAGCTGTGAATTTGTGAGGGGATATGGAGTAGGAAACTTCCTGTCTGCTTAGATTCGTCCTCAGGGACGTGTACGTCTTTAACCTTTTTACCACCTTCAGTTGTAGCATCCAGATTGTAATGGAGATTGGAGTCGCTTGGGCTTCTGTGGAGTAAATGTCTATTCGTTATGAGTAACAATGTTATGGAAAGATTGAAGTGATTAGGTATTTACGTGATGTGGAGTCCACCTATCCGCTTCATGTCGTTGTCCTTGAACAGAGAGCCCCTCTCGAAGCGCCACTTAATCGTATCAAAAGCAAGCTTCTTTTGTCTCCGGTCGATAGCATCATGAAGGCGTATGAAGTCTGGTCTAGTAGTGGCAATAAAGACCGAAATCTTCTTGGAGGTGGTTCTGTTAAGTACAGTGCCGAGGAAGCAACTCATCTTGATTTTCGGTTGAAGGAAGCTGTCAATAGGTAGGAAGAATGCTGGTGGGCGTGTTTACCTGACGAGTGAGCCACCTTATATATTTAATTCATGATTATGACTTCTTACTCTGGTCCCAGTGATACTGTATGATAGTTTCTATGCCGACAGGAAGTTTTCCAACAGGACAGGATTTCGCTGCTTGCTTACCGCTTGCTTATTGGGGCCCTTTGAGTCAATCATATCAAGACTATTCACCGATTGCCTTTTTGCTTCATCTGCCAACGATGAATACAAACAACTGGTAAAATCGTATCTTGCGCATTATTATAGATCGTCAGAACGTATAATTCACCTAAGCTCACATAGAGTCTTGATTCTGATCGACCACCTAGCATTGTTGGAATAACTTTTACAAGGTAAAACAGGTGTAAAATGATGTACCGTTCATATTTCTATATTCTGGGCCAGGTCCATTAGGTTAGGTGAACAGTAACTATGATCTCTAATCCCTCTAACTAGCAATCTACGTCAGAGGGATACTCTAGTTGGCTATGGGGTGAATGCGTCAAGCAGGGAAACAGAGATGGAAACAGCTTTGATACACACAGGATGATCCTTAGAAATCAGGCATTACTTAGTATAAATGAGCCTTATACCTAACTGTACCAGTTGCTATTACTCAGATATGAGTGGATAGAATATGAACCAACAGGTAGGTAATCAAAGTAGCGTTGATGTACGAGCTTTCCAGTACGTCTTAGCCTCTACATCATATCTCAATGTCCCTATCGTTAGGGGGCACGGTACGATCCGTTGGAAGGACTATTCATGGCTGTATATATGAAGAATCACCCCCTTTTCGTTAGGAACCTCCCACCATATCGTTTATAAGTTTCTTATTGACTATGAGCCGGACCTAGCTATAACGGTAGGTATCAGTGGCTTCGTTGGGCGAAGGCTTTGGGCCAATCTGATCGCACGCATGTAGTTAACATGCCCTTATGTGTCCTGTCTTAGGTAAAACATCCCCCCACGAGCTTCTTAAGGGCATGAAACTCCTCTAATGCTAGTATAGCAGAGGCGGAAGGCCTGACGTTCCAATTAAGTGTGAACATGATACGGAGGACATCCTTGACTTCCCTTGCCACTCCCAGCTCATGTGTCACTCCCTTGAAAGTTTGCATAGTTCTGAGCTCTGGTCTTGTTGTAATGATAGCTTCGAGAATACTATCTTCCGGTTCAAGTCCTGCAAATTGATCAGGAAAAAGTCGCTTGATCTTTGCCATACACCAAGCCTCTTGTAGGAACTCAGATTTGCTGCCATGAATACCCAAGACGCCAGGTCGCATCCAGACAAGTATCATGGCAGCGGTTGACCAGACCTGCGATAGCGCGGTGCACGGTTTGCCACAGAAGACTTCAGGGGCACGCATGGCGTATGGCTGAGTTCCGGTATAAACACCAACCGGGAGGACTATGAGTGTGTTAATAGAAATCTGTTCGTGTCATGTATCAAGAGTTACTCACTCTGTCCAAAATCTCCTAATTTGACGGTGACATTGTTGGTTCCCATTCCGGAAATCAGGATGTTGGATGGTTTGTAGGCTAGATGAGGCCGTCAGCGGATGCCAGCTCTTCAAGACTAGGTACTGTACTTACACACATCCACATATCCGTGGTCGCCCAGAATGACCGAGCCAGTCAATGCTGCATGAAGAACCTTCTCGATAAGGGCGTAGTGGTGCATGTTGGGCTCGTACTTCACCTCTTGAAGGGTGTTGTCCAACCATTCTAGAGCGATAGTGTTATCGTCAATCTTGTCGTACATTTGTCGGAAGATTGGGGTAGAGGCGACGTTGGGAAGGCCATAACATTTGAGTTCACGATCCAGCTGCTTCTTGGTAGTCTCATCGTTGGCTGCTTTGATGATAGCCCTAGGTAGTAGAGTTAGTCTCAGAATATGTGGACGGTTGAAGCAACACAACGAACCACTGCGGTGCGTGTACGTCGTTATCACGCGGGTTGACCTTGGCTTTGTAGATGGTAGCTCTGTGGGTCTTATCTCCAATCACAGGTTCGAGAAGCTGATAGTTCCATTTGGCGCCTTGAAGAAGACGCCCGGGAGCAAGAGTCGACATCATCAATCTTGATGACGAGCTCCTTGCAGCGGGAGACAAAGCCGAGCGCACGAGCGACAACATTTTGAAGTTGCCGATGAGCGAGAAGGTGAAAAGGTGAGAAGATGAAAAGGTGAAGGAAAGATGAATAGTAGCTGGGATAATATGGAATGAGAGATGGGTAAAAGTCCTAGGTATCCATACGTGTGACATCAATGAATAACGCGCATGGACCTTTGGCATAAGTGTTTGCTTGCACTGTACGTTGTACCCTAGGTTTAGGTGCATGCCTACCATAACAGTTGGATACTGCAACAGCCATTGGAAAAATAAGATTCATTACTCGTTTTTACAGCTGGCAGTTACCTGCCAGATTGGAGAGCGGGTGTTGCCAGGACTGTCTGCCAGGTGGTCCATGCGACAACAAAGTCGACGATAGATTACAGGAGGTACGTACCTTCAAATTACCACCCCTTACAAATTTTGGATTTCTACGGATTTTCCAAGGTTCTAATATGTGAACCACATCATCACTTTGATATTTACTTGTTTCCGTTGATTACTAGGTCTCTTTAAACCCCAACCGCTGCGTACATATTCCACAGCCAGGTCACCGCGGCTCATCTCAGTCTCCTTTCCCTCAGACCCTCACCACTCAGCCTCCGATCCTCCGGCCCAGCCCGCCGCCCCTTTCCCCGGGAATCCTCCGCGGCAAATCGATCTCCACAACCCACGGCAAATGCCTAGGCATATCCCTCCCGCCACTCGTCCGCCCCTCAATCGCCGCATTAACAAACAGCGTCTGGGCCCCATCCCTCTCACCACCCTCACCACCTCTCGCAAGGCTCGCAAGCACATAACCCCTCCGTTCGCACCTCTTCCTCTCCCTCACCTTCCCCTGACCCTCATCCTTCAAATCAGCAACACTAATCCGCATATCAGCCAAGCTCTTCACAACCGCACTCAGCTCCCCATCGACCGCGTTATCGCGCGTAAGTTCCTCCTGAGCTCCCCGGCGCTCTTCCCTCCACGTCACGAGCTCCGCGCCCCACTGCTCGTGCACGCGGCCGAAGCAGTGCAACTTCGGCCGCGCGCGCGCGATCGCGTCGAATAGTTCCGGACAGCCGCTCGGAGCCGGGTCCGCGTTTGCGTCCGGCGCGTCCAGGACCCCGTGCGGCGGCCCGTGGGTGATGGCTACGTCTACGGGGCGGGAAATGGCGAACTCGTGCTGGCGCGCGGGATACTCGAAGCCGCCGCCGACGCCGCGGAGGGGCTGGGATGAGGGCGTGTACGGGCTTGCGAAGACGGTCAGGAGCGCGTGGTTGGCCAGGGGGAACTCGTAGACACCTTCGTCTTGCAGGACGAAAATGCCCTCCGCCTCCTTGGCTTTCAGCATCCGCTTTGCTTCGCCAAAGACGCCGTATACTTCTTTGACGCGTGGCAGATCTACGGGGAGGGCTTTGGCTGCGATTTTCTTTATATATGCCAGCGTGTCTAAGGTGAAGTCGTGGTTTCCTGGGATGACGATCTTGAGGGGTGCTTTGATGGCTGTCAGGAGCTTTAGACTGGCTTTGTATTCGTCGAGTCTGGATTCTTCTGTAAGGTCCCCGCAGTGGATGACTACGTCGATTTCTCGAATCGTGCGGGCGAGGGGTACATCTTTGCCATGGGTATCGGAGATAATTAGGAATCTAGTCTTGACAGGGTCCATAGTTTAGCGACTCCGCATAATGCTTCGTTTTTGGATAAATAGAAAATGAGCGAAAACTGGAAGACGCTTTCTCTAGGGGGCATGTGTGATAGTGAATCTGTTTCTTGATATGACGGGCATTGCCTTGGTCATATGAAGATTTTGAGCGTTGAAGATGTTTTGAGACGGTTGTATCGGTGAACAGTCCAAGATAGAGAGTTGAACGACAACGGCGATGAGAAGATTACCTGTTTATATCGGCATAAGATATTACTTGCCACAACTTTACAACTGTGACGTTTAAGTTTCTGCTACGACCCCTTACGCGCAATCAGACATGCTCTGAAAGTGTCAAGATAGCAGTGCTGTCAGATTGTCAGCTTAACAGAACTCTGTTCAGACTGAGCTCGTCATCCTTAAATCTGACAGGTATCCGCCTTGACCTTATCGGCCATAGAACCGCCAAAGCGTAGATAATGCAACATGGTACGAGCAGAGATATCAAGTATATAGCCCTAGTTATATAATATATAAGTACCTATATATGCTGGGCTTTTGTCAGTTCAGATTGCTGACTTACTCGGACACGGAACACTTCATGACTGTAATATTAACTCAAGTCAAACTAAGATAACTTAGCCAAAGTTGACAAGACACCCCCTTTCCAAGATAACTCATGTCACCAAAGCAAATTTGACGCTTTGAAAATGAGCACGGAGAGATCAAGTTGGCAGCGCGTATTGCTCGGCTTAGAAAGTGGTATGTGGTACGGCACACACCATTCAACCTCCGTTACCTACGCATTAGCGACCACATCCCATACTCAAGACTAAAAATGGATTTCATATCTTCCCAAGTATCAGGGACGGAATTAGGCTTTGTAAAACTTTTTTTAACAAAGGGCGGCCAGGAGGACTCGCAACCTGAAAGTAGTCTTAGCAGTCACGTGACACGAGAAATAGGGGGGAAGCTATTTCCATTCCGGCTCGAGCCGCCTTCGAATTTCTATACCTGGGGAACCTATCCACATGTAAGTAGCCACATCCAGCGCAGCCAGCGAGGCCGCGCAATCTTTCCTATCCGTCTAACCCAAGCCAATTTCCTATTCCTAGTCCTGGTCCTGGTCCTAATTCTAGTCCAAGTCCTCCGTAACGCTCGGCGCAGGCTCAGGCGCAGGCGCCGATCCCGATCCCGCTCCCGATCCGGGAGTCAAGACGCCCTCCAAATCGCCAAACTTCTCGCGCAGGAACTCCTGCACCTCGGGGTTCCCCCCGAGCCCGGCCAGCAGGCCCTTAGCATCGCCCTCGATCTTGAGGCCCTGGAGGCCCGTGGCGCGCGAGAGCGCGACGTAGACCTGGCCCTCCTCGAACGCGCGCGACAGGTTGACGATGACGCGGTCGAGCGTCAGGCTCTGGCTCTTGTGGATGGTCATGGCCCACGCCGGCGCGAGCGGGATCTGCGTGCGCATCAGCAGGCTGTACGGCCGCTCGTCGCCGAGCTCCGTGATCGAGCAGTCCGCGAAGATGGTCCGGACCTGGCCGTTGTGGAACTTCACCACGGGCCACGTCTTGTACTTCGCGCCGGGGCCCTCGATGAACTTCTTGATCATCATCTCCTTTATCTGCGCGCGCTCGCCGAACAGCTTGTTCTCGGGATCCTGCTTCGACGTTACGGCCCGCGGCAGCTTCATCGGGTCGTTCTTCTCGAAGCCGCAGATGATCCCCTGGCTGCCATTGCACAGGCCCGTGCCCAGGTCTAGGTTCACCAGCAGGACGACGAGCATGCCTTTTTTCAGCTGCACGCACTCGTCGAATCGGTGGTCGTCGAGAGCGCGCAAGGGTCCTTCGGTTTGAGACCCCGCAGGCTTTCGCATTCCCTTCCAGCCGAGGTGAGGGTGTTTGCTCTGCTGCCAGAAGAAGTCATCTAAGCACCAGTAGGTGTGGTTCATGGTTTTTAATCTCTCGAACTCGCGTCTGTTGACATTAGCAACTTCCTCGCGAGTGGCGAAGAGTCTGGTGGCGTGGTGAACCATGCACTTGTGATTCATTAAGAGCTCGGTATCGTCCAAGCTGAGTTGTCGTCCAATTCGACATTTCTGGAGTATGCGGATAAACGTCTCGTCGTTCTGGCGGTGGATGGTGTTCAGGTGGACGTGAACAAAATTACACTCCTGCCATGCCTTGCTCCGGAAAGCCCATTTATCTTCATCACGATACTCGCCATGTCGTCTACAAACGTGGACTTTTCCGTCGAGCGTCACCTTCTCGACGAGTTCGTAACCACATTCGATGCAATGTTGAAAAGGCCTCACGGGCGGCAACTGACAGAAATCGCCAGTGACAACGATCTGAACTCCTCCGAATGCGGGTTGCTTAGAATTAGCCGATTTGCCTCGCGCTTCCTTCATGACCTCGTTTAACCTCTCGAAATGTAAGTTCTCTACCATGCTAATCTCGTCGATAACAAGAACGTCAGTTTCTCTAAACCGTTTCCACGCGAATCTTCCATGGGCTCCGTTTCTTAACTCGTCTAGGGTGCGCTTATGATGATCCGGAGTCCAGCCTGCGTACGTCCAAGTAGTAGACCCATTGACCTGTAAAGCTGCGCGTCCGGTGGGTGCTAGAATACGAACGTTCTTGCCCAACTCTCGGAGCCGTGCGGTAAAAGCTTTGAGCACGGTCGATTTACCGCAACCAGCCGAGCCTGTATAAAAGACATTATGGCCGCTCACTATCAAGTCAACGAGACGGGTCTGCTCCGGGCAAAGCTGAGGCTCAACGTAGTTGGTGGGTTGTATTGTATTGTTCTGAGTTGGTTGAATCAAATCCGGGTCGAATGATGAAGATGGTGGGGGCGTCATGGTCTGAGAAAGGGTTGCAATGTCGCTGACGGAGTCAGGGTAACTCGTCTTCAGCCTTGAAGGGAGTGCCGAGGATGAAGGCGGTGAAGATGAGGAATGCGTTTCCAGCTGAGATGGTTGCTCCGCTATCGGACGCACACTGGAACGCTTCTTAATCGCAGATTTCGTATGAGCTTTAGTAGCACGCATAGATTTAGCGGAAGATTTTAGGTTAGTAGTTGGTTGTCGGTTGGTTGTCTCTGTCGGTTCCCTCGTGGGATCACCTTCGAGAGCGTGCTGGTACGATGCCGGCGTTGGAGGGCTAGCATACGACATGGCCTTCCTCTTAGTACCCGAGTGCGGTTTTTGAGGGCTAGTTGCTGTGGCAGGGTCTTCTTCATCATCACTAAGTAAGCTGATGACCTCTACCTTGGAGTTTCGTACTTTTCGTCGCTTCGATGAAGTGAATCCAAATTCGTTAGGTAGAACGGTGTCTGAATCCGGCTCCGGAGATGAGGACGGAGACGAGAAACATATCTTAAACGGCTTCAGTAGTGGCCGTCCATTGATAGGAGGCGCCTGTTGGGGATCTGTATCTGAAGGCGGATGGTGGTATAGGATTGGTTGGAAGGGCGTAGAAACTTGGCAACCCGTGTTAGGTCCATCGGAGAAAGTTGGCAAAGACGAGGACGGCTGAGGAGTGATAGGTCGTGCCTGATGCTGCGGTAAGGGAGGCAAGTCGTCGTTGTCTACGTCATAGTTTTTGAATGTCTGATTGGATGTCGTAAAACCCAAGAGCTGTTCGGGTTGTTGACGAGAAGAGAGTCCCACCTTCGACCAGTCGGCAGGATTTATAATGGGCATAGTGTGTTCTTGCCCAAATGGTGAACCCACTTAGACATGTTCTAGAAGTCGCATTGGATAAGCTCGACAAGTCAGTTTGGTATGCACGTAGTGGGTGTGCCGAGTGTGACAATTCCTTCCTACCTGCAGCAGGTAAAACTTGGGCAAGGAGGGAAGCTTGACGCGCTTTCCCGCCGTACGCGTCTAGAATTAATTGTGGGACCGGATATCCGCAGCGCCGGGACCCACTGAAGCAAACGCTACCGCCAAGTGCTTTTTAGGTACCAGCTACCAAGGTAACACGATTCAATGTCTCACATTATTTCCGAATATAAAAATCCATAATATTACAAGGATATTTCTGGATTTATTCCAATTCAAATTTGAGATGAGAGGGCCTCGATTCATGTTCTCACGAGAACCCGTAAACTTCTTGAGTCTCATTGGCTAAAATCCCTGTAGACCTTACTATAAGAGGCATCTGTTGCTCTTTAAATCGAGTTCTTATAGGCCGTTCTTTAGTGGATACATCACCAAGGCCTTCCATTCTGTAACCGTCACTTAAGGAGATCCATCGTGTTATCACAGTGAGTAACAAAGTTGATTGGAGTTACAGATAATATGGTTGGTTCGTTATAAGATTAATTGCCACTGTGAACCTAGCCGCGCGAAGAGAAATTGAAGTCTTTCAACAAGGGACGCACACATATCTAGACACTTATCTCAAGTCACTACATGGGCAGTTAATCACATCAAAACAATCTCGTTTATATAATTTTACTTTATTCTCAAGTATGATTCTACCTAGCAATGGTGCTACCTGTACACCATCTCCCCCTTCGCTCACTGAGCTTACCTTTCTTATCCCCTACACCGGAGCCGGATTACCCTACTACCGATCCTGTAATCTAAACTATACTCTCCCAAAGTCGTCCCTTCGTCGTGATAACTTGCGTTGATCCTCCACTCGTAAAAGAGTTACTCCAGTCTCCTCGTTCGGAGACTGGCCTTAGAAAGGGCCCAAAAATGTAAAATGTAAAAAAATACCGACATGTAGAATGATACACACGGTGTTTCTTGCTCCACAAACACCGATTTATCCCTAGACGCCTCGATGAACTCTCCTCAGAAAAGGGAATGTTTCCAAAAAAAAGATTCAAGAAAAATCCGAGCATCCAATTGATATCCCGGTCCAAAGACTTCTCATATATCCCGATCCAGAAAGATGTCCGTATTCGGGACCTTCATATGGCTCGTACATGATAATCCTAAGTTTTTTTCTCCTCGCAGATGCAATGCCTCGCTAAATTGGTACGTCGTATATGCTTGCACCAATGCTATGCAAGTGGATAAATGCTAGGCATTCGTGCGAATAAACGTCAATGATGTATAGTAAATAAGTTGCGTTACGGTTGCCCGTCGTGGTCGTTTTGACTGAAGGAGTGGAGGATCGCGAGCCAGGATGCTGAGGCGGGCCCTCGTATATGAGCGCCGTCCCGGCGTTACTACCTTAATCCGCTAAAGTCTACCTCGGCGTTCATGTGACTGAGACCGAGAGAGTTGATCGATACGTTTTCGGAATTCGCCCGTTGGAGTGCGTGGAAATCGCCGACGGTCCTCGGTATCTGAGATGGTTGGTGTTGATGTTGCTGATGCATGATAAAGCTGTTCTGTCTCTGTGGGGGTTGTCGGTGCAACATGTTATTCATCATGCCAAATTGTGGATTCTGGGCCATGTTTTGTTGTTGACCCATATTAGGAATGTTCGTGGGTTGATTCAGGGGGTGACCAAGATTCGCGTGCATATCGGGCTGCATGGGGTTACCCACGCTGTGGTTCTGGTTCATGCCGTGTGACGCCAGATTGTGGTGCTGGTGCGGATGCTGGTGATGGGGTGGTTGTGGGTTCAGTGGGCCTTGTTGGCTGAGCGCGTGTTGCGGCGGCTGTCCCATCGGACTCATTATGTCAGGCATCGAATTGAAATCGGATCCGTGGTATTCCGCATTTCCGGGCGACATGATCGGTGGTGAACTAACCATAGGGAATGGAGACTTCATATCGTCGCCGCTGTTCGAGTGACCTGAGTCCGTTCCAATATCCTGGATATGCTGCATGCTACCTGGCGTGTACGGTTCGGTCTTGAAATCTGTCATCATCGGAGGCTGGGCCATGCCGGCGTTGCCAAATCCATCGAAGATGTCAATGTTCTGCAGGCAGGTGTTTTCTGGTGCACGCTGTAGTATTGGGTTAGCCAGGCGAGGCAAGATGTCGTGGACCTTGTTCAGGAGTAGCGGTAGAAAATGGTGGTCTCCGTTGCGAAGGACCGACAGAAGCTGCAGAAGTGAGTTGAGCTGCTCACGAGGGCCCATGCTGAACGGATCGCCAGATGAAGGCATAATAGACAAAACATCAACAAGAGCAGATGAGATATCCAACAACTTAGCAACCATAGGTAATCCGATCAACTCGGTGCTGTGAGTCGAGAACTGCGATGTCATAGACATTAAATCTCGAGACATGTCGATGGGGTACTGCATTGGCATCTGTTCCTGGCTGCCCTGGGGAACGCAGCCGTTTTGCATGCTGAGATGCCAGGTAATAGTCTTGAGCCATTGCTGATTCGCTCGCTGGTCGGCGTCCTGAACGTTCATGTACGGCGGGATCATGTCCGAAAATTGCTTCTGCAGAGCACTAAGGTAAGAGGGAGACGACTCTGCACGAGTCTTGTTCCATAAAGTAAGGAATACATCGTCGAATGGCCTAAAAAGGTTTACAAGTAAAACGTAGCCGTTTAACTGGGGCGCCAAAGGGTCCGACGGATCATCAGTCATCGTCGGAAGGTTGATAGAAGCCTGAAGCGTCAACGGTCGTCCACGCTGCAGAGCATAGGCCCTTTGAAATTCAGAGTTAGCATCACTACAACTATCATATTCTTCATCAGGGGTAAAATTTACCTTTCCGTCACAAACAAAAGCCAATAAAGGCGTCTTCGTCGCGAAGCCTCAATATTATCATATTGCAGGTAAGTCTCTTCCTTGTTCATCCCAATCATATGGGCCAATGTTGTGGCCTCCCGAAGATAATACCAGGCCTTGTCGTGCATATCAAGGGCGTAGTGAGAGCAGAAGAGGAAGTAGCTCGTGCAAAGGACGTTCAGAGTTGGCGATTCCAGGTACTCGCACCCTTTTCGAACTCTGATCGTCTCTTCAATAAGCACCATACCCGAAGCGATGTTGGCTCCAGGCAAATGTTCGAGGAGAGGGTCAGCACCAGGTACGTTCATTCCAGGCTGAAACATCATCCACGCGCAAAGCGAAGTGACCAGGCAATAGGTGTCAAGGCTCTGATCAAGATACATCGCCTGCTGTTCGAGCCGCTGTCGATGAAGAATCGGCATAATCGGATACATGTTGGCGAAGAAGAATTCGATGCATTCCTTCGCCATCTCGCTGGCTAGTAAGCCAGGAGTGGGTTGTAACGTAGGGCTGCACTGAGAACTGGAGAGTCCATTCAACCGGCTCTGCACCTTTGCTGAGAGACTGGTTTGTCGCTGGGTTTCGCGTAACTCGCTGATGACCTTCGCTCTCGAACCTTTAGGCCCCTTCTTCTGTGGAATCGCATTGTACGTGCAGGTCAATTGCGCCGAGGCGCAGTTACGGCACGGGTTAATGCCATCGCACTTAACCTTTCGTCGATGGCATGCATCGCAAGCCCTCTTCACGGCCTGCGACATGATGGCGTCCCTATACTCGAGTCTACCGGGAAGCGAATAATCCCAATTCCAAATTTCGATAATTCGACGCAGTTCTTATTATGCGCCGGCTCACTCGTCACACGTCGTCTTCTTGAATATTTCCAAATCCAGCCTCAGCAAGCTTTACAAGGCTCGTGTGGAGAGCGAAACCTGGGACACGGCAGTATTTGCGGAGAGAATCTGGAGTGAAGCAATTGGACAAGCGTTGTTTAATCGGCCCGTCGCTGAGAGAAAGGCGGAGGAATCACGTTCATTGGGAAAAACGCGGGGATTCAGCGTCCGGGGTCGTCAAAGAGGTGTGGGCGACCTCCTTGTCACCAATAGCGAGATGCGAGGCCAAAAGAATGCAACAGACGACTGCGATTCGGATAGTGCAAAAAGGTGTAAAAATGAGAGAGTATGGAGAAATAAGAGAGAAGAGAGATCGTCGTCGAGGCAATGCACGACAGTACAACAAAAAAGAAAAAACTGGAATGGGGGGAGAGGAGGCGAATTAGGCCAAGGGCAAAGAAAAAGATGGGGAGACTGGAGGGAGCGGACGGATGGGATGATGGAATAATAGCGCTGGACGCTTGGAGCGAGGCGGGTTAGGCAGGTTAAGCAGGTTAAGCAGGTTAAGCTAGGACAAAAAGATCCAGAAAAGATCTCGAGGAGGGTTCAAGGGGAAGAGGGAAATGAGAGCGGCATAAGGGCCCTAAGAAGGCCTAAAGCAGGGCACAGAGGCAAGAGTGCAAGACAGCAACCTGGAAAACACACTGTGAGTGGCCGATGCTACTATGCTGACTCGGGCTAGTATATCCTAAAGAGGCAATCGTCTCCGGCGAATGGTCGTGTGCGCTGGTATATGAAATGAGTAATAGTAATATCAAGTAAAATACCCGAACTCGAGTCGGCAGCCAACGCTAGTCCTCTTTGGCTACTGGCGACTCCTTGGCAGATCCAAGGCCGTCGAGAGCCGGCACTGTGTGGCTTAGGGGAAAGACAATGATTTGGAAGGACTGGCCTGTCTCGCAGCCACCGATCGCCCCCAACTTTAGCCAGTTTAGCAGTGTGTCCTAGGCAAGTAAAACTGTCCCTAACCTCGGAGAGGAAAAGCTGTCCGAACGGTGACGAAGCATCAGCGCGCATGTATTTGTTTTATGTTATGGCATTAAGTATAACGATTTACCAATGAGCCGGATTTACGAGAAGCAATTGGCTAACACTCTGTAAGAATATTCAAAATATTCAAAAATACTGCAGCAGTTAAAATCACAGGCACATCGTCTGTAGCGTATTATCTCCCTGGCAGCGGACAGATTCGAGTCGGCCTGAGACCTGGGGAATGTCAAGGATGCTGACGACAAACCCCTAGCGTATTTAGAAGGAATACACGTAAGGTACCGTACATTGGATGGCAATGGTCCGCTTGAAATATGTAACCTATGTGTATCATAAAAGCTCCCGCCCTACGGGGTTACTGTCGTACTGGTGTTCAGTGCTATTTTTTTCAGTGTCTTTCATTTTCAGCATCGAAATGCTACAATCCCATTAGGTTGAACAATAGTTTGTGATCTAGCAACGCTAATTATCCATAGATTCAAGAAAGCCATTCTCATAGTTCCCCTAGACGACGACGACGACAGTTTACACTATTAGCGACTAGGCACTGCTACCGAGAAGTTACGGGCGAGTCGTTAGATGAAGACAAAATAGGCAATCCATGTTACTCGATATTGATAGTATCCAAAAAGGATCTGATGCTGCTCCTGTAACCGTCCCCGTTCCCGTTGAGGTTGAGGTTGAACGAAATATCGCCTACTCCGTTATGTTTGTCTACAGGGCTGTGTTGATGGGATGCTCAATCCGACAAGGCAAGCAGGCAAGCAGTCTGTTCCTCCACTCACCTTACGTACATAACAATAAGAGGCTGACCGCATACGCGAATTATGGTTCTCCTTCAAGAATGGGGAATACCGACTGTTGAAATGACCGCAAGATTACGGGAGGATTATCCAAGTTCCAATGCCGCAAAGAAAAAACGCGATTGCCGTGACACTTCATATTGGATGTGCTTGAATGGAATGTCCGTCTGCATGGAACCAGTCGCTAAACATTCTTCTCGAGCAACTAACAAAACAAAAAGCACTTCGCTTCGTCCTATGCAAGCATATCAGGCAATTTACATCGATCGCTTGCTTATCCGACCAGTGTCCATGTCGATAGGTAGTTGATGCGATAGAGTTAGCGAATAAGTTGTGCTGATGTGTTTGTGGGTGTTCAGGGCGATCTCCCGCGCTTCCTGATGAGCCAAAAATAGCCCCAGCACTGCGGGTGCTCAGCTGCTACGTTGTATGCAGGCAGTTTGTCTCCTTGGTCTCATTGGTGGAACGCCCAGTGATCGCCTAGGATCGTTTTTTGTGTGCAACCTACACGAGGTAAAACGGTATGGAATGTTCTTGGAGTCTTCCCGTGCATCCTATCTACTATGTAGCTTACAGCTTACATACTTCGAGTGGGATTATTAACGATTGTAGCCAAGAATCAACACCATGATACAGCCTCAAAATACATAGCTCTATATGCCCAGGTGGGCATATACTTACTTAATAGTATAATAGTATCAGCAACTTCGAGAGTTAACCCACCCGAATTATTATCTAGCTGTACGATCATCGTAGGGCTAAGGCTGGATGTGGATAGGTACTCGTCATCCATGCCTGGTACTTTTCTGGAAAGATCTCCTTCCCCCTCCACCTTACGACCATCATCTCATCGATCATCGTGACACTGACAGCATGGGTTAGCTTTGAAACGGCTTCAGATTGAACCAAAAGACTCTAATAAAAAAACCTAAGTCGAGGTTTGAACCATGGAAGATATCTAAAAGGATAACATCGAGTCATCGAGGGTCCTAATGCATGGCATCGAAACGTGCAAGACAATTCGCAGTCGGCTTTGCCCGTCTGACTGCTAACTTACGCACATATCTAGGCATATTTTTATTTTAAGGTATACCCTCGGTGAAGATCACCCTGGGTGCTACTGAATCTGATCTCCGAAGGTCAGGCAAAACCACCCTTCACGAAACTCCAACAGCCAATTCTAGCAAGTCTTCTCCGTGCCTGGTCAACCCGTCTAAACTAAATCTAATAGAGCAGGGGCCAGCTTTGCCCAAATCAAAGAGTCAAGCCATCGTACTCGAAAAAGGCATCGAGGCGTCGATTGACGAGAGATGTCTACTTGACCATAGCAAATAATGCTATATACTTCGGAGATATCATCACCTATCGTGACTACTATCGTCATCGCTGATAAATACTTACTTATGTGTCGAATTGACTTTTTCAGCTCATGTACGCCACATCTTACCACTCCCGTCATCTCGTTCGACGACCCGTCGTCATCATGATTGATTGTGCTGAAAGGGCGTCACACGGCAGCTTACTAGAGTAATAAGTAAACGTCTCCTGTGTATAATATGTATGATACGTGACATTGGCAAACATGGATGACAATCCGCCAAAATCGCATTTATTTTATGCCCATAGTGCGAGGAATACGGTGCGCTTCAGCCACAGCCTCTCTCTTTGTGCCCCCCAACTGCCGTAGGAGTTCGTTGTTGATTCGCAAATCACAAGCGACAGAGAGCCTTTTGCCTGCCGAGGTATCCATTTCCGTCGTCGGTAAAGCCAAAGCACTGTGTTCCCCTAGGACTGCCGAAATCCGAAGGAGATTTATTTTCGACGATCGAATTTATCAGAAGTAGCAAGTAGAATTGTCATCCCGTTGCATCGTGTTATCGTGAATTAGAGCCTCCTTGTACTTGCGTCGTTATCTCTCTTCGCGACAGACGAAAAGCTTCATCCCACAGTCTCACATGGAAAATATCCCATTCATCTTGCTAGAAACTCCGACTAGACCGTAACCGTGTCTGTGGAGAAGAGTCCAAGCGAACCCCAGCTTTTCTTCTTCATGCTTAGTCCTCCCTTTTTCCCCCGCAAAATAGAGGCCGACTATACCAAGCCACATGCCAGTAGTAAGCTTGTTCATTTCGCTATCGCTCCATAAACAATCGACCCCATGGGCGCGTCGGTCCGAATAAATACAGAAGATGCGATGCCATATCTATACCTTTCCCCGGCTTTGCCCATCTTTGAAACGGGGCCGCTGCCCTGGAATTCTTCTCGACTGGGGGACGGAGTTTTTCCACCAATCCCGTCGCGTAACATTAGACAGGTTCCTTTCCCGGGCAGTCCCAGATGACAGCAATCTGGGGTTCGCTTCTGCGTCCGATCGTACGAAATGACAGTATTTGTCAAATCAAGAGCATTCAATTTCAGATAATTGAAGGGGTCGAGGAATACATATTCTCAAACATCTCTATCGCGGTAGTTGCCAATCCATTCTAGAAATATCCCCGACTGCGCCGCCATGGAGCATTTACGATGTCTACACCAAAAGTTTATAACTAATCGGGTGCCATGAAGATCCCCTAGCTAGAATCATGCGGTAGCTAACAATCTACGATCTGACAGCAGATCGTACGAGACGGAAACCACCACAAATCCTCATTTTCATAGGCTCGCCATTAGTAGAAAAGGGGTAAACCCTACGACGATATGTCTAGATTGCCAAATAGGCTCACACGCATGTGGGTTAGGTATATGTGAAACAAATATAGGCAAAAGTCTATGCGTACTTGGCCTAGCACAAGCGTCCGGCATCCTCAATATACACTAAGGAGGAGCAAGGCCCTCCTAAGAAACCGGTAAATTCCTTCTAATCTGAAGGAGGCTCCAAGATGTGCACGTCTAGAAGCCAACCCGCATGTCTCTATCCGTCGTAGATCGAGGCTAGACAGCTCCTAACGACGAGACTACTATATAGACCATCTCGCTAAGCGAAGTTCCCCAGTCCGCTTGCAACGCTCGTCACTTCCCCTGCGGTGAGATTTTCGGTGTGATATGCCTCTTCCGTGCTGTTTGCAGGTGCATGCGGCCTACAAGCGCTTCAGCTGCAACGGACTCGCCCCGTGTATGTGACCTCCGGTGCCAGCTGGGCTTTGGAGATGCCATCGATTGCGCCGTTGGAGTATACAGCTCACGGCTTGGTGGGTGGTCGAACCTACCCCGTGATTTCCGTGATCTCCGATGCGATCTCAAACCAACTCCGACTCCCCTGTCCAGTGGATTCTCGCGTACCGTGTTGGCGGCTTAGTAGTATATGACGGGCTACATATGTGTATAAGATCGAAGTTGATTCCCCCAGATGCCTTAGACTCGGCACGACTCGGTCGATTGGGTAGACTGGCAGCCTCCATACCTAGCATCCCCCCTCGGCGGTTCTTTCACTAGCTACCCAGCGTGCCTAAGTACCTCCGAAGCTATACTCTGCAGGCCTATAGAATAATAACTTGTTTTAAGTCTATGCGCCGGCCGAAGCCTTGGCATTTCGGACCGGAACAAGATGTGCGGCGCATATGAGCGCATATCCTTGGGGTATCAAATTCAACTTCACGAATGCCTTTCCTAAAGTAGCCTGCGCTGAATAGTATCTTGCAGATGACATATTAGACAAAACGTCCAAGCGATGTTGGAACAAAGAAATGACGCCGACGGGTTGGCCTGAGATGATTACATGTGATGTGCCAGATAGGGGTGAGATCCCCGATACGTCTTGGTTGGATTCCGAATATTCGTCCGGAGTCAACTCTAGCCTACTAGTTTAAGGAGATAATTCGATTTTTTTGGATAAGCAAATGACGAAATGTTGTCAACGTCGAAGCCTAGCGGTGGCTAAATGATTAAGGGGCTAGCTGTTCGAGAGGTTGGATTCTGACCGCAAAGTATGGTTTACAGTCTTTTTAACCTTGGATGGGATCTTACGCGTGAATGACTTTTATCTTAGTCTTTGTAAGAGAAAAACTAGGAGGATTACTTTGTTGTCATGGACAGTATTGGACTTCAACGCCTTATCTCGTACGTGTCATGAAATACATAATTTAGGTACCTAGTCATCTTCCTTCGGGCAAAGTGTCCTAATCATACAAAAACGCATTATTTTCAATATGAGTAGCATTGATACGGCACTACTGAGGCTATGATATATGGATAGACATTTGCCACACATGTCATTAACTGAAGATAGGGGCTCGAGGTTAGCATCCTGTTAACCTCTTTTATCCGTGGTACTAGGACCTGGTACAAAGGATGTCTATTTACCTGTATAGCTGGATGGTTGGGTATTGCTGTTAGAATCTAATCCTAGGGGTACATATCACGATGTCGGACTGATGATGTTTACTGGTTTCATAATAGTCAGAATGATTTTTCAACTCTAGCTACCTGTCCTAAACAACCACTTTGAGTCCTTAGCATCTAACCTACCCAAGTTGAATCGGCGTACGGACCCGGGATCCATAATATAGAGATATGCATATTCTCATTACTTGACTCTACACATAGTCTAAAAGAAATAGAGGCTAATGTTGTAGAAACAAGCCTCAGGTCCTTGAAATACCGGATCAGCTCGGCGTGTCAGGTGGCGGTATCCTCTGATAAGATTGAACACATACATAAATTCGACTTCTGGAAAGATGTAAGGTAATCAAATAACAACGTATGAGAACTACTGCACCCTGTGGCTGTATTTCTAATGAATCATTGATCATTATTGATTACTATATGGTGTAGATACAAATCTCACCCCCTTTTAATAATATGTAGGGCCATGTACGGATAGATTTTATAGGGCCCGCTTTGAACGCTGAGCAAATAAATGAATGTCGTCTGTATCATAAATAAAAGCTTGGATACTACTTCTTGGCTTCCGCATGGGATGCTATTTTCACTCTCCGTCAATGCATTAGTAACTGCATCAGTGTCAGCGTCAGCGTTTCGAAGCGAGATATCCCCTCCTCGGTTGGGAACAGGGGAGCAGCTTTCCATCCGAGCACGGTCCTACCGATGCGTATTGATCTAAAACGACACAATATGTAAAGGCTACGGCCTGCTCATGGACATCTCGCGGTCCACTCGCTTAACTATGGCAGATAATACACCATAGAGCAAGCCAACAAGCTATTCGCGCTGGCCCCAGAGACGGTGGAGCTGGTCCGCGAGGGGCTCGAGGACGCTGATATATCTAGGTAGCGGTCGTGTCTCCCAGTCCGTGAATGAGGGTTGGCCGGATCGGAAAGCTCACTTATCACCAACCAAATTTCTAAGTACCGTTTTGAAATCGAATCCCTCCTAGATATCGCCCTCGCAGCCCCGCGCACCCGACAATTTGCTCATATGTAGCTATAACTAGGGCCACGTATTTGCCTCGCGGCGCTAATACCTCCACTGATACAGGAACAAGTAGAGCTAGGAGAAGCCCGGAAGTCGCCGCGCAAAGCCTGATTTTGAGGTCCAGTAGTCGGTTCACAAACATCTCCCAAGCTGGCGTAGCAGCAAGACGCGACATCTTTGTCGTGTAAGCATATCCGCGCTATCTAACCTGATCAATCCAAAGTCTAGGCGTGAACGGCGGCATATACAACGCCATCGGGCGCGACTACCCCGACGCCAGCGCCCCGGGGGTCAATACGGTCATATCCTCGTACAACCCGACTGTGGACTCGATCGGTGGGACCAGCGTGTCCGGTTTATCTCTACCTCCGCTATAATGTTCATTTCATTAACGAAATGCGATTGACCGCCAAATTGAGCACAGTAGAGTTCGTGAATCTGGGTTTGTGGATGGGTTGCCTCAGAGATGGTAGTTGAGTTAGAGAAAGGGGTAGCTGTGGATAATGGTATTTAGGTTCTCGGCACCAGTGTGGCCAATGCCATTGGATCCAAGCGACAGGCCAGGGATTTTGAAAGTGTTTGGGGTATTTGGATATGTCCTCGCTCATGCTGAGGGGCAATGGTCTTGTTTCTCGGTGTTTTTTTTCTTTCGTATTTTACCCCTGATGCGTGAGTCGAGCATTGGTACATACTATCTGTCCCTAAACATATGTATATCCTAATGCTCGGTTAGGATATTCCACGACAAGGTAGATATTCGTTATGCCGCATCTGTAAGCACCCACTATAGGTAGGTATTTATATATGCTCGACATATTTACCTTTGGCCTCTTCTACTCCTTGATCCATCAATTCTTCTGCTCAAGCGCCCATATCCTCAACAGCACCCTCCTTATCCCAGATCTGCTTTTCGAACTTCCGGATGCTCGCTATAAGTTCAAATATCCTCGCCCTAGCCCTCTTCTCTTCCTCCTCTTGCTGGCGCCATACTTCCTGAAAGACGTCGAGCATAAAGGGAGGGATTTGCATCTTAGAATTGTTCTTGTGGTTGAACAATATGGCGGTCTCCCTGGTGGCCGCCACGACGCGTCTCTGTTTGTGTGATATTATGACGCAGTTCATGAAGATAATCTTGTCTTTGGGTGTAGGTAAGGATTGGAGTTTATGGAATGCTGAGACGGTGTCTGGGTATTTCAGAGGCTACGAGTGTATAGTTAGTCTCGTGGTGTCATCTGTTGTCGACCGGCGTGCGGCGTGATGATGGGAGAGGGAGACGAACGAATTTGTAACTGGCACGGTAGGATTGCATGATGAGACTTGGCCCCTTGGAAGTCATGAGCTCCCTCCATTGATCGCCGTTCCTTGGATCTATGGTTGCGAAATGCGTGAGCCAATTGACGCGGGAGGATTCGACGTATCGATGATAGTTGGCGTTATTTATATATCCCTATCGACCACGACTTATTGATTAGTGTTTCTGTCCATATTACCGTCAACCTCGCAACCGTCTGTGTTTCCTAGTCTTGCTCTGCAATTAAAAGCGTATAACGAAGGGGTATATCTGGTTCTAAGACATACCCAGCTTGCCGTCTCTCCAAATGCGACTTTCTGGTCCACGAATCCACTATTCCCGGTTGTCAGGAAACCCGCCGAACCTGCGATCAAGTCGCGCCATTCTGTAGTAGCGTCGCGCAACAAACTCGCTATCTTCCGCGCCTGCCCCCGGCTGCAGCCGAACAAGATGCATTTTCCTAGCCGCTCCTTTATCTCATTGTACCAGTGGCCAGACGGTATTAGCTCACTTTCTTTCTTGGATTCGGATGAGTATGCGCGACTGGGAGAGTTGATTGTATTGGAGGAGTTAAAGGGATCTGCTCGACGTGCTTGCGCGCTGGCGATTGGACCGAGGCTGACGAGGGATCGTCGTTGTAGCGGAGCTGGTGAGAAATTGCAGGACGGAGGTTTTAATCGTGGTCTAGGAGGCATCGTGTATGTTTGCGCTCTTGTACGCACAAGAGAGAGGGAGAGAGAGATGGAAAGAGCTTGAAGGACGTCAATTGACGAGTTAGTAGGAGGATAAGGGAAATTATCAATGTAAATGACACCGTGAAAAGAAGGAACCCGTCAAAGAAGTTACACGGGGTGCTAGGTTGTAGCTATCCATAGCTCTTACCATTTTTTCTGCGCCGTAACTTTTACTCGGAGGGGCAATCGCGATAAGATATGGCGTCACCTTACCAAGTAGCCGCTGGTTTCCGTTTCAATTGATCCATCTATACACCACTGCTTTGTAACCTCATCCTCACCTTCAACAATATTAACTAGACAGTCAACTGCACCGATAATCAGGCGAGACAGACCAGCATAGTCAATGGATTAACCACTCCCTACAATGTCGGCGCTAAACCCAGAGCTGCGGCGGCAGGTAATAGCCATCTACAAAGAGCTCCTCCACCTCGGCCGCGACTATCCCCAAGGCTTTTCCTATTTTCGCCCACGGCTCCATAAAGCCTTCATGGCTAACTCGCATCTACGGGACGAGGAAGCCATCCGGAACGCCATAGCTAAGGCGGATTACGTTAGGAAAGGTATTTAACCTACATGAGGTCCCCCGTCTTCATCCTACAATACCCGTGTACAACAAGAATCTACGAACTAACTGACCTGCCATCTCACCAAGAAATCGAAGCGCTGTAAGTAAACCAAACATGTTTCTTTAGATCTATAAAAAGCCACTGGTTATTATTCGTGAGCAACGCAATATCCCAAATCAAATCGATCCTGTCCTTCATTCATATCGTCTATAAACAATCGGGCTTCCCTGGGCTCGGTGACCGCTCCCTTTATATACCTTCATATCATGACTAGAACAATGACACCAACATCTACCCTCCCTGATCGAGTCAACTTCCACACATACACATGTATCGCATATATATATTCGTAGTATATTTCCAACCACATATGTTCCAAGATCGCATTTCCATCTATCCCATTCGATGCATCATCAAACAAAAAAACAAGAATAATAGGCAAGGACACAGTCCCGAATATGCACACACCACCTACATCTGTTCTTCCCCAGATTCTCTTCACCTTACCTTTCGAGTGAGAACGTTGTGGCCTTTCCCATCTGGTCCGACTTAACGTAAATGCGAAAATTTGAAGCGTCTGTTGGTTGCGGTGTTGACGTGTGGCGCGTATAGGTACTACCTGAAAAGGTATCGCACACTTAGGAAAAGGTACGACGGGGCTTGAGGGGGGAAATTGGCTAGGACCGGGATTTTGGATTGAGATAGGAACTGGACCGGGTTGGTGGGAGTGCGCCCCCAAGGATGTCGGCAGGTTTAGAGCGGTGGAGTAGACCAGATACATGTCTTAGACATGCCGAATAAACATTAGACACGGAATGCCTAGCCGGCCACAAACGGAGACCAGGTAGACCCCATATCACGATGTCGAGCTGTTTAGCCCTGGAGCTTCTTTCTAGCGCTCCACGCTCCGACTTCCAAGCACTCCCCCCAGCTGGTGCCGCCTTCGCGCAGTAGATCGTTCATCATTTTGCCGCTCCACCCATCCCATTCGTCCTGGCTTTTCCCACTAACCTCCCGAAGAACTGGCTCCAAGGCGAGGATCAATCCTACGACCGTCTCCAGCGCGGTCCGTCTGAGGGCGGCCTGAGAGGCGGTCAGACCCTTGCCCCCACCTTTCGCGTCCGTCCCTTTGCCTTTTCTTTTCATCGAGTCGATATAGCTCTTGCCATCTTTTGTCACGACACCACCGACCCCTTCACGCTCCCATCTGATCTCGCTTAGCGGAACTGCTAGTCGCTTTGATCGCAGTTCCATCAGACTTTCCGCCTCCTGTAGAAGGTATGGTCCGATCAACGTGCAGGGAACGGCGGACACTCCTAGCGCATCTAGTCCTTTAGTGACCCAACCGTTATACTCGACTAGATATGGGTTCAGCGGTGCACTGAGCGGCGTGTTGTTTGTCATGATATATGCCCCTAACCTCTCCGTCTCATCTTCTTCTTCGCTGCTGGAATCCGAATCAGAACTGGCTTTCGACACGACGGGCGCCTTGAGGACATGTGGCCGCAGCATGCGCACGCTATGATCGCTCTCCCAGAATTCCAGCACGCCGCCCGGTTTCAACATGCGTAGGTACTCTTCGAATAGTATCTGCGGATCGCGCATGAAGGTCGAAAGACACATCGTCATATCTTTGACCATGATCAAATCGAACTCGTTGTCGGGTATAGGCCACGGTGTCCGCCGCATATCATGTTGGACGAACCGCCATTTCATATCCTTATCAGGTTTCCAGTTCTGATCGAGTCCCGAGCCAACTAGGGGAACGATATCCATACCAGTAAATGATATGGATGAATGGCCGTGCTGGGCGAAGTACCGATGGCACATCATACTCCAAAACGCAGCACCACATCCTACTTCGAGGACGCTCGTCGGCGGCTTATTGGAGAATTCGGGGGCTGTTGTCGGACCACCAAACAACTGGAAGAGCATAAGAGTACGCAAAGACTGGCGATGGAGCTCTGCTAAGTCCACAGGTAAGGGGTATAGTAGTGTGGGCTCGTTGATATAAGTACGATTGTTACGAATGATGAAGGGTTTGGTAACAACAGTAGACGAGGGTTTGGTGGATATCGAGGAGTTGGACGGGGCCACGCTCCCCTCGGTCGAGGAATTCATAAAATTGTCGTTGGAAGTCATGATTCCAGGTCGGCCAGATAGACCCGAAGGATGGGATATGCTCCCAGCACGGTAGGAGGAGGTGGGGATGTACTTTTGAGGAGAGACGAATTGGCTAGGCTCGGGGGGCATTGCGTCATCATGGTGTTTACCCCTGGATGTTCTTCGACGGATGGGCGAAGATAGGCCCGCAACAGCTTGTATTAAAGGTGAAGTCGGAGAGTGCGGACGTCTGGGAATAATTGACGACCTGTAGTGGAGAGAATCACGCTTCTGTAGCCTGTTCGCGGGTGGGTGGGAGGCGGTAAGGGGTTGCTGATGATGATACCCACTGTCGGTGCTGAAGATGGGTATGTGCACGGATCTTATGAACCTGGAAGACTTTGGCGAGGAGGCGGGCCGTTCAGAATCGGATACGTTGGACGCAGTAGATGCGGATGGAGAAGGTGACGCGATCGGAGTCGAGGTTGAGGCTGAAGTGACGGGTAGTGGCGGCGGCGCGGGTGCAGATGTCGATGCAACGGTCGAGTCCAGAATGCGGGTTTGTGTGGTAGTGTTTGTGTCACTACCGTCGTTATCGTTACTGATTTTGGTATTGGTATTGGTATTGATATTGGTATTGAATATAGGCTCAGAAGAGGCAGTAGAGGTGGTTAGGGCGCTTGCGCCTATTCCACCATATGGCTTGGAACCTGATGGTGAGGTATGCTCTATGGCTATGGCTAAACCGATGCCTGAGTTTTCGCCTGAATTTTCGATATCAGGCGGTGACGAGGAGATGAGGGTGCCACTCGTGATACTGGCAGATGCAGCATGAGTGGGGTCAGATCTGTGCGAGTGTTGTTTTGCCGATATATGTTCATGTAAGGTAGATGTTTGTGGGCATGGTGAACAGGAATTTGGATATGTTTGTGTTTGTGTAGATTGTGTTTGCGCTTGTGCGAATGCCTGTGCTGGTGTTTGTGCCTGTGCTTGTGACAGCAACTTTGCTTGCTGCTGTACTTGGTGTAATTGTGCTCGAGCTGCTGCTTGTGTTTCGTGCGACGTTCGGGTGCTGACGCTAAAGGAGGAGGAAGTTCTCGAGTGGGAATGATGCGACGCCGGCCTGTGAGCGACAGGTTGCGGAAGGCTTCCGGCGGGCGGAGGCCGACGTCTGCCAGGGATCCTTGACCTAATCGAACTTGTGTCGATGCTCTTTTTCCTTTTCGATTTTTTATTCGGGGTTTGTTGCGATTGCTGTTGTTTTTGCTGCTGCTGCGGCGGCTGATTATTATTTTCGATTTCCTCGATACTATTCCTATTATCTTGATTTTTATCCTTCTCTTTTACTTTTTCTTCCAAACCATCTTCGGTCTTTTGGTTTTGGTTGTGATTATTTCCGTCCTGCTGATTGGCCCCGTGGACGAAAGTGTAAGAGTTGGTGTTGGAAGAACTCGTTCTTCTAGCGTTTGCTGGTCTGACCCTTACAGGGGGTGAGTACATCGCCAAACTGTATGCGAACTCCATCTTGCCAGTTGCGACGCGCTATTGTCGATGTACTGGTTGTTTCCGGAAAGTACCCAAGTATAAACCGGGACCGGGACCTTATAAAATTCGGGGCCGTACGCTGCTTGGAAGTTTCCCCGGTAGCGTCAGTACTTTGGCTGTACTTGGAGTACTTGGAATACTTGTGATACCTGGAATCAATCAAAATTCTTCAACGAACCTTCCCTTCTGGGGCTTTGTGGCATGTAGTAGTATGTGCTGTTGCACTTCCACTTTTGGTCCAATGCTCGTAATGACCGCAGTTCTTCCCCCCCTTTCCTTTCCTTTCACTTTACTACAACAGATTGTTCTCCAAACAACAATATGTAGGACCCTTGATCTTTTTGGGTGGTCAGCGAATGAATCAATTAGACGTCACCAGTGGTAAAACTCGATCTTTCAACCTGTTATTATCAACACGTACGTTTTGCATGCGATTTTCTCGGGTCGGTCTCATACAACGACGGCAACAACGACGACCCGCTGCAAATCAACAATTGTGGGTTGAGCTACTAACGTCGCTCTGCTGATCCGTTTTCTCCCTACTCTAAGCCATGCTGGCCATGGTCTATAGCCTTGGTTTGCGTCAACCCGTTCGATGATTGGATGTTTTCGATTTCCGGCAGCACTTCCGGTCGTCTCGTCTTCGTTTGGGAAACTTTTACCCGAAAGGAATGCTTCTCTCGTTTCATGAATCGGTCTTGCTTCCCGATCCGAGGATATGCAGCCTTTTGCGGGATCTTTCAAAGAAAAGAAAACCCGCTAAAAATCTGTCGTGACGGTTGACCAACATATGACAGCATGCACTGGCCGACACCGTTTTACTGTTGCAATAGAATAGCCCGCGGTTGCAGAAGAACACACAGTTGTCCCGTCATCCGTTGTTGCTTGTGTGGCCAAGCAACGGGAGCATTCAAGTGACAACCTTGGAAGTCCTGTCAGTTGTCAGTCGTGCATTTGTGCAGTGTACCCTGACAGTTCTTCCCCAGGTTCAAACTTCCCCTCCCCCGCCTTCAACTTATAATAGCAATGGAACCCTCCAATACCTGGATGCGCCGAATTGGAATGGATGTGAACGAACGGCCCGAGCTCAGCTAATATCTCGTGGTCGTGGAGCCTTTTGATGAACCAGACCACTTACGATATTTTGCAGGGCCTCTATTTTCTAGGGGTTTCCTGAGTGACGTCCAATTGGCAATTTCGAATTCCCTGTCCGGTGCCTTTCTCGGTGAGTTTGTAAGGGTGTGGGATGGTGTCAACCAAAAAAAGTCTCTTGGCGCGAGAGACCTCGGGAATTTTTCGTTCTGTCCTATCAAACTGGTCGATAATACCACCACGGATCCCTTCGAACACCTTTCCGATCAGTTCCTGTCGAAATCTGGGGTCAACTGTCGCATCTCACATGCGTCCGTCTCTCTTCACACGTGACGCCTGTAATTTCCCGTTCCGACCACGATGTGTTTTCTAAGGGAATCTTCTGCCCGTTGGCGCTGCAGAATTGCTTCTTAGGATCTTATCTCAAACATATTCATGATGTAGGCCGTCATTTATAGTAGCTTGAGCGAAGGATATAAGAGTGGGCACTCGGTCTGTCTGCTTATGTTACTCAGCAGAGCTCGGGTTGTTCTCTACTCGAAGGTAGTAGACTCGCAAATATTCGACACTCTTAAACGTTGGTGTCTATCTCGCGGCATCGGCTAGTATGAATAAGTTACGATTCAGATCGTGGCACTCTCGCGAACACGACAAAGACAACGATTAATGTCAAAAGGAAGTGCGCATACCTCATCTCGAGTCGCTTACGACTCGGGTGCGGCTTGCTAGTTATGTATTTACCTATGTAAGTATCTAGGTACGGTCCTCCAAAAACAGCCCCGGCCCTATTCCGTCTAGCGCTTTTCCTCATTGTGATCACGATGCTTTAACTCATCCTCTTATGGCTGTTTTGGGACGATTGCGATTTTCCATCTGTCAACGGTGGACCGTCGATCCCTGCGGGTAAGGCACGTAAAGGGTATGTGTACGATTCCCCCGCATTTACAACTGCATAGCGGCGTCTAGCCTGTCAGCTCTCCTCGCTTGCTCGCTCTGTGCTACCGCGCATAGTCCAGGAAGCCTTGAAGGTGGCCTCATGGCGCACTATAGTGCACTATAGCTTGTGATCGATCCAAATTCGTAGAATCCCAGACCCTCGTCCCAGCCGTTCTGGAATACTGGTAGGGGGTCTCGGTTATTACCTGCAGGATACCATTGGGAATACTGGGAACATCGAAGTCGGGGCAAGGGAATGCTGGAGGGTTCGGACAATGATTCCCAGGTAATTGGACCAACCAAATAGATACCTAGATCTCCTAGCCTCCGAATATACGGCTTTGCACGTCGTAGGATGTTGGCCTTGCAAAAATAGGCCCTATGTTCGGAGCGATTCGAGTCAGGCGGTCTGTCTGGTGATGCTCCACTGGAGAACACGTAGGTGCGGCTAAGATAAATAATTAAATATAGTTAAAACTAATGGCCCCTCCTGCTAAGAGAACACGACTTGGTAAGGGCCAAATATCCATCATACCTCTTGTCCTAAGGTGTTAGCTCGTTGAGGCTTGACAGCCTCGACAGGTTTACGCAAGTCAGGTTCAACGAATCTTATACACCAATAATAAATGAGCTAAGTGCGTCTCGCTTATTATCGTGCATATATGCATCGATCAGGCTGAAATACAAGAAAGCCAGTTAAGTCGCTCCCCAGTTTCCCTACCTAGCTTCTAGACTCTTAGCGTAGAATAGGAGTATTGAGGCTGAACTGGTCGAAGGCCAAGCTTCGCAACAAGTGCATCGTACAATTGGCCTTTACCCGCAGGAAGATGACGACACAGCAATCTTATGCGCAATGCTAAAGATGCCTTGACACATACGTATGATCTCTGAAGTCATGGTGCCGAGACAAGTTCTATAAAATGACAAGCCTACGTACTATATTAAATGGTCAAACAGCAGGTTTCAGCTACAAGCTGGCTTCAAGGAGGTGATTAACGAGGATACCTACCTATGTAACACTTTACGTCTCCCACCGCTCAACTCGGTGATCTCCGCTAAATGAACCGCCGACCTTTTCATCTCTTCTCATACCGTTCACGTAAATAGCTCTCGGCATGGCGGTCCGTTGTTGGCAAAGATAGTAATCATTCTACATTTACATTTACGCCTTTACTCTTGCGAATACCTGTGGAAATTTAAGGTGGAGTTGACGCTACATAGCTATTACGATGTTTTGCGTAGGTGGTATGAGGATGATCCTATTTCGGAGATCGGAGAGGTAGGGTCTTGAGCGACAATCCGGTTCTTTCAAGAAGCTGGTCATTTTACCCCAGCTGGTGATTGGGTATATCTGGACGAATATAAGAGAGGAATTGAATACCCAGAGCCAATTACTATGATAAAGGCGGCCGTGTTAAAAGTTGTACACAGGTATTACTAATAAAGATGCACCGGTATGGATGCTAAACTAAATGGGGCTGATTCATCCGTGTTGATCAAATACATATTCGCTGTCTTTAGATAGAGAATATACGTCCATGATGAATGGCTGACTCTCGCATCTTGATGGCACCTTGAAGATTCTCAGTGTCCCCGCTAGAAAGAGTTGAATATTTAAGTACAATATGTTGAAGGGACATGTGTACATAAAGTTGAATTTAGGTGGATTATATAATACAATTCGTGAAATATGGGTACCAATTTGTAACCGCCGCATCCATATTATGTAATCATCTGATTTGAGGTCAAACTTGGAAAGAACATTCACAAGGCTGTCGTAATGCCAAGGTCCCTCAGGAGAAGGTCAGTGCGGTTCAAGAGCTGGACCGTGCGAGTCATGTGACGAGGCTAAATCTTTAGATTCTTCTCCGCTCGTACCTTACCAAACTGGAACAAAGATTGGAGCAACCAAGCACGGAGGCTCTTACCGGACTTCTCAGGTACCTACCCAGCCTAGGCAAGAGCACATACCAGTTTAGACCTTCCCGGACCTTTACCACGCTTGCATACAGTACATCGGATCTTATCTTTTCCAACTGCATCACAGGCCACGCACTTGGATGCAGCTTCTTACAACCTTGGAGGATTCCGATTACCTAAAGACACCAATTCGTTCACGTCTTCTCAACATCCTCTCTCCTGCTTACAGCTATCCTGCACATCTCTTGAAAAGATTTCAGTTGTAAGTTAGCCTTGCTCTTTCTCCCTTCCCTGCCATTACCTCCCCATCACTTCCCATCGATCACCTGGCAATCTTTATCGCCTTGAACTGTCACTTTCTTCCAACCGTTTCTCTACAACATCTGGGCACCCATTGCCATTGACTCTTACCTAACCCACCCCCGCCGCATGGGCTGATTCGTCGTGTTTCCAAGCTCCTTTGCGATCCCCACTCCACGACCTTATGGTCCTTATCCAAGCATAGCCTTACCTTCCTCTACTTCTATTTCGACTCATAACTTGCAAGATGTTAACGCAGTAACCCATCTCCTAACAGGTCAGCACTAGGGCAAGGACACCATACCGCGAGTTCTGCAAGTTCCCACGGAAAATCGATGCAACAGAAAGAGCCAAAAGCTCCCCAGCCGTAAGCCATTGCGCTATAGTTCACGTTCGGTTCACGTACCTGTCGAGGACAAACTCCCGCCACATTAGCGCCAATCCAGAGGGGAAACGACGATAATATCCTCTTCCAACCGTACCTACCTTTGCGATCCCGTCCTTGCGTACCCGAGCCTAGGATCGTCACATACATATCGTTTGAGAGCCGACCTGCTTCTTCGAATTTTCCATGCCTCTTAACAAGATCCACGATCTCTATGCATGGATATTCGTTGAAACCACATTCGTTCGTTCATACGCTTATACCAGTTGTTAAGGCCGGTTCTGCCAGGCCCGTTGTGAATCCCTTCACTCGGCGCAACAGACCTACAGCTTAGCAGCTCATGGCCGCTAGTAGTATCCTATACTTCAAGCGATTATTTCGACATCCCCTACGCTCTTAATACGACACATTAACCGCCATCGCCGAAAATTTCTAATAGTACAACTACAAACATCGTCTGATATACGTCACATAACCGTCCAATACCATCGTAACTGACATATTGCGATATCTTCAAAGTTCCCTTACACACCAATCGCCGACCAATATCTCGCGCGGCATGTATGGTCCCAATCATCAGCAGGGGCACAATACACGCCTTAATGGCGTCCCTGGTGGCCGCGGCATGGCTCCTCAGATGATGTATAATTTCGTCCAACAGCAAAGCGCTCATCAGCACCATACGCACCCTCAACCGCACCACCAGAATTTGCCCCAAGATCATGGAGCTCACAGTGGCGCGACGGGAACCATAACCCACTCAACATTCTCTTCCGGACTTATGTCTAATGTTACCCCATTTACCCCCAGTAACCACCAAAATGGAAACGCACCAGGTTCTCGGGGCGGTCAGGCTCAATATAGCGAACACTGGAACGAGCAGTTGAAGTCATTCAAGGAGTCTGAGCAAGCCCACCAGACTATGACAGAGCAGCACCAACCCCATTATTTTGCTAGGCTCCGAGCTAGCGAAAACAGGGGTATCATTCCCGCCCCAAGTGCGAATGCTGCCGAAACAGCAGTCGATGGTGAACTTGAAGATAGGGGCCGACCCGTTAACGTCGATAAGGCCCTCGATCGACAGGATTGGCTGAACCTTGATTTCAGTGGCCAAGGTCTAAAGAATATCTCATTGATGCTTTTTGACCATTATGCATTCGTTACAGAGCTATATCTTGCTTCTAACAACCTTACGCGGTTACCCCGGGAAATTGGCCAGCTCCGGTCACTACGTCTTCTTGACGTTTCACATAATCAATTGACCACGTTGCCCCCTGAGCTGGGCATGTGTACACCTCTACGGAGACTCCTTTTGTACAACAATCTGATCCAAACCATACCTTGCGAGCTAGGGGCTCTGCACTTCTTGGAACTGCTTGGTATCCAAGGAAACCCCCTGGAGCATGATCAGAAGCAGAAGTTAGTAGAAGAGGGCACGAAGGCCTTGATCGCCCACCTAAAGGAACAGGCACCAGGTATGAGATATTTGCTCTTCTTACTGTGATTATAAGTTGTAAACTAACCTCGTCGGCAGTTCCTATTCCTCCGAACCCCCGTATGCCTATCATCGTACAAGAAGACGTTGGGTCGGAGAAGGAACGCATTCGGGTAATGTCTTGGAATACTTTGTGCGACAAGTACGCAACCAGCACACAGTATGGTTACACTCCCGCCAGTGCTCTCTCCTGGGAGTATCGCAAGGACAGTATAATGCGAGAGTTCCGAGACCGAAGTGCAGACATTCTCTGCCTGCAAGAGACCGCGATGGATGCATTTGATAATTTCTTTTCGCCAGAACTAGCAAAGCTTGGCTACAAAGGCGTCTTCTATCCCAAGACCCGAGTCAAGCATTTGACTGGGAAAGACCAACAGTCTGTAGACGGCTGCTCTATATTTTACAAAAGCGATAAGTACATCATGTTGGACAAACAACTGGTGGACTTTAGGCAAACGGCCATCAACCGACCCGACATGAAGTCGGCCGACGACGTGTTCAATCGAGTCATGCCGAAGGACACTATCGCTGTCTTCTGCTTTTTCGAGTCAAGGTACACCGGCAATCGGTTCATAGTTGTCAACGCGCATCTATGTTGGGAATCGTTCCTAGCAGATGTGAAAGCCGTCCAGACGGGAATTCTGATGGAACTGGTTACGAAGCAGTCCGAGAGGTACACGCGCAGGCCGGCGTTGTCAATCGAAGAGAAACGTATCAAATCTCCGCCACCTTCCGCTGACGGAAATTCGGACGACGATGACGAATCGCCTCGAGAGCCTGCGCCCTCTCAGGAGTACCGCAATAACACAGATATTCCCATCTTAGTCTGTGGTGATTACAACTCTATGGCCGATAGTTCCGTGTACGAGCTACTCGAGAAGGGGCGGATAGCACCCGACCACCCTGATCTAGTGGGTCACTCATACGGAAATTTCACAAGAGACGGCATTGAGCATCCTTTCAGCCTTCGTAACGCGTACGCTCACCTCTTCGGTACCCCGGACGAATTAACCTTCACCAACTACACACCGACGTTTTCTGGCGTTATAGATTACATTTGGTATACTACCAATACTCTAGACGTGGTCGAGCTGCTAGGCCCGCCCGACTACGAGTATCTCAAACGGGTACCGGGTTTTCCGAACTACCATTTCCCGGCAGACCATATTCAGATTATGGGTGACTTCGTCTTCAAGTCGCGGAAGGATAAGAAAACTACACCCGACCAAGACAAGGCTGGTAGTTCGAGAAACCAATCTCGAGACTTGAACTGACGGACAACCTGACATTTCGCCAACGTGACCCCTTGTCTTGGGGTCCGTGAGTGTCAAGAGTCCTACAAGTCGATGCTAGTTATGATAAGGATGCCTTGCGATAAGGCCACGCGTATATGGATGGTATGAGATGAAATTCAGCACATTTTTCCCACACTCTTAAGGATGGGTTTTGGGGCCAATGGTTGGACATCTCGGAAGGAGGGAGGGGGTGATGAAATGGAATGAGGATGGTACCTTTTTTCATGACGATTTGATCCTGCTATTACAACACCACACAACACCACACATCTCCACAGTTTCATTATTTTGGCGTTGAAGTACCTCGATGTACGTTAGTTGCTTCTACAAAACAATTCGAGAATGGCGAGGCTTTGCCGCGTTCTGCGCGCGCATTGCCGAGCCCGTTCAACCCGCACGACCTGGTGATTTCGTTACCTATGCTACAATGTGCTACGTGCTTCGTTTTGCGCTTCAGCTCTAGGTACTGATGGATCTCAGGGTTGGACGGCTCGCTCAGAAGACCCGTCGTGATGTGGACTTAGCAGACGAGAAGACACCGACACGACGACATTATCGCATTATGACCACTTACCTCACATCGTGTAAATACAGGCTATACTCTTTGTCCACGTCGTTCCTACTAGGTGGGATCGGCTGTCGACAAGTCTGCGCACGGCATGGATTGTGGCATACTTCAACGATTAGTCCCTCTAATAGATAGACCTCCAATGAGGTCTGAAATTCACGAGTTTTTGCACAAACTCTTGGCTTTGACTTTTGATGTTATGTGAATGTAGGCTGGCATTGTGAAAGGTGAGTTGATGACTTGGCTTGGTAGGCTTGGTAGGAAAGATGTTCTTAGTTGCTTGGACTGAGTAGGTAGGTAAGGTTCAAAAACAATACCCACAAGAACTACCAAGGCGAGTGTTACTCCTTACCAGCAGCGACATTATCATCATCGCTGCCTATCAACGGCTATTGTCAAAATCAACCTAAGTGCGTCTTACCGGACGCTACAAGCTAGTAGATACGTAAAAAGAGCGGAAAACCCTTGAGAAATTTCAGGTAAATTCAGACATTGGGTATGTGATGGTGTCAATATCATCGGCCTTTTAATCTCTTGCTAAGATTTAAGGTCTGCTCCTAATACGGCCGCATTCATCGAGGCATCTCCTAGTATGAAAATGAAGCTTCCTAGTTTCATTTCCCCCTAGAGTCATGGCATAAAAAAAGGAACATTAAAATATACATTTTATAGTCCCCTTGTCTCCGTACTAATGGCTATTCTAACAGGTTCCTACCTACATAGGTTACTTAGTGGATGTGAGCTTTACATTGAGGTATCCCTTTAATTGGCAATTGTCTACAGCTAGGGATTAAGAGGTAAAACACATCTGCGTAAGTACCTAGGTATTCACAAAAGATCGGTTCAGGACGATAATAATACGAATTATACGAGGTAAAATAAACATAAAACCATGTACCGTTTACGTTCTACATTCTGGATTTGGTCTATCAGGTCATGTGAGCTTTATTTTGTTTCCTAATCCCTAGCTGATGACAACTGCCAGCTAATGGGATGAAAGTAAACTGCTTCGTATATTCCTGATTTTTTTAAATAAAAAAAGGAACGATAAAGAAAATTAACAGGGTTGCCCAAGGCGACAGCAAGGTTGGAAATGAGCAAGGTTGGAAATGGTGCTTGGAAGCTGACTGTAAAAGGCAATTCGTAGTGTATGCGTCCCATATTTTAAGCTTCGTTCCGCATGTATTAATCCAGTTACAGTTAAGCTAAAGGCTAAACACAGATTGCTTACATAAACGCGTAAGGATTTGGATAGGTAGATTGATATTGCTTTCTCATATCCTCATTTTATATCACTGTAGTTAACGGCATTGGAGATAGAGAAATATTACATGTTTGGTTGTTACGGATCTGCATCATATGTTTTCTGCATTTAAAATCGGTAAAATATCCTTACGCCCACCTGAGTCTCTCCTTAGTTGGCGCAAGACTACATTCTCCACAAAACGGGTTGTGTACATGGTGATAATCGTTTGGTGGAATAGCCCCGTAAAAGTTGAGGCTCTTAAGGCGATTGTACAATAAATCTTAGTATTTGAAATGGATAAAGTTTGCCGGTCGACTTCTTGGGTTTGATCGGGTCTACCTTTAAGCCGTTAACTGGATAATTCGGTAATGTGCCTAGGACTTGTTTTCACGAAGTAGCATTATTTGGACCTTCGCAGCAAAAGTGCAGGTTGCCTCACAGGCAAATTGCACGAAATATGCAACATACCAGAATTTCTGTGACTCATGTTCGAGCCTAATCCTTTACTTGGGTATTCAAACCCGATCGTAGGAACTGGAATAGCCAATGAAACTGACAGTAGTTGGCAAAGAAGAAACGTTTCATTATATTACAAGTAGAAAACCGCCAATGAAATAAAATGCGTGTAGTTCAGCTCTGCTTGTCCAGCTGATCACGTCGAAATTAGATACTAAGTAGGGAATTGAGATAAGAAACCCCCTGAAAGTGCAAAGGGAACATAACATTTGCATTTTTATTTTCTTCGGTGACCGAACCAGTAGTATCACGTATCGGGCATGAGGGATTTTTGACCTAGCCTTAAAACATATGTTGGTAGTGGAAGCAGGTCATTTCGCGTTGATTTTTCCAAATGGCTAATCATTTGTGTACTAAGGTACCTAGTTTTGAGCCTCATGTACTTGTGTACTGCAAAGGATAATCTTCCAGATAGGCAATAAATAAGGATATAAAATTGATGCAAGGTTAATACCCGGATGATATCTTTGGATGAGTGTGGCAGTGCCTGAAGCATATGGCAATGATCTCCATATCTTGTTGGCCGGAAAAAGCTGAGACATATCTTACATGAGTCTATGGTTTATTCAAAATTGCCTTTTTTCGTAGGAATTTCGGTGAACATGCATAGATGTGGAATACTCAAGAGCGCCATGTTTGACTTAATATGACTTGTCGTTGAGACCAGGGAGAAAAAACGCCTAGGGTATAAGATTGGGATATGAGGTAGATGTGGCTTGCGGAAGTTTGTTTATTGAGCTGATAGAGCTTACAGTGGGTGGAGGTTAGGGAGCAGACTGTTTCTTAAATGCTACCTAATAGGTACCTATGCACAGCATTTACGGATATGGATAAGGTCCGAATATGGCTTAGAAACTCGGATCCCCTTTAGATTTACTTCATATGCTTCACATTGAATACCTGCCTAAGTGCACAGTCAATCCTTCCATCCATTCATCACCAGTACCTATACTATGGCGAACATCAACCTCCAAATCAAGTCTTTGCCATCTGGCGCCGTCGCCGAGTTCGAGAAAGTCTCAAAATGGCTTCGGAGCAATGCTGCCGAGTTTCAGAATATCAACGGCATCAAGATCTGCAAAAACACCAAAGGATTGGCAGATATTACGAACCATCTTCTGAAGCAATTTGCTAGAGTAGTCGAGGTAGGGATCCTGTCTTTCATGTAAAGAAAACTTACATTTATGGTAGCTAATTTTCTAAAATCCTCAAGTCTACTTCATCGCAGAATCGCATCACAGCTATTCATTTCGACCATTCTGCCGCTGTCCCTGTGGAGGAAGGTTGGGTGGTTGATCTCATGCCCGTGGATGTGGATGAAGGACCTGTGACAGTGGGAAGCCAAAAGCTTAACCTGGGGCAGTATGTCCACCTAAATGAGGAGGCAGACGTCTCTGGAAATTTCTTTGCTCTTCTATTGTTATCCCAACTTGATGTATGAAGGATGTTGGTTAAGTCTTACCTGTGAGCGAGATAAAATGACGCTATTATAGTTAGGTACCTACCTAGGTAGTAATAATAGGCGATGATTTGCGAAAAAAGACCATAAAGCTCGTATGATATTGGTTAGATTAATTAAATCGATTATTCTAGGTACATATTATGTTATTATTAAAGCAGGTAGTGTGCCAAATTCATAAGAGTATTGTTTTGCTTTATTCAAAGGGGTTATCAATTCTAAGCTTGGTAACTACCATAACCGAATCTGTTGGGTCCGTAATCTGGCCTTAGAAACACTGGAAAGATCTTGGTACTATTGTCTCTCAGTATCCCGAAGTTCGACTGTCCAGCGTGAAAAGATGGAAGTAGACTGCTATAATCTCGTAGGTTGCCGAAATTGAAATCCTGGTGGTAGACTATAGTATCTAGGTATCTGTTAACTTCTTGGCCTTCATTTTATTTGATGTAACATGTATATCAAGACTGGCGGGCTTCTTACTGCCAATATGATGACCACTACCTTGGGTAGATACACGATCATAGCTTGTGTCTTGTGCCTGGTTGTAGTACCTCGCGTGCTGCTTCTCATTGAACTGGCTTGTTACTTCGGGGCAGTGCCATTTCTGGATGAAGCCACATCTGTATTCTGGACAAAAGACGGCCATATACCCTACCATGCTATTAGTTGAATACTATGAGAGGCGGTCTTTTCTTTCTAGTATAGCAACATACCAAATTTGAGATCTGGCTGTCTCGTCTCTTGAGTTATTGGTGCTATGAATTGGTGCGGAGTTGGCAACCCGCAATAACATGTTCCCTGACCCATGTTAAGCGGACTACCAGATGACATAGTCTCTTCAGTTATCTAGTAATTTTGTCAAAAGGTCATGTCGCTCAATGCCTAATCGTTCACGATTGGCTGGAAAACACTTGTGATGTTAATTTAATCAAGAAGATTATAAATTTTGTCCTGGGCAGTGGGCAACAGGAACTAGGTCGAGGATCAGGTAATTATTAGAAGAAAGGTAGATACGGAACAGAGAAGCCGAGTTCTATGAAAAAGGGTTTCACCACATGCAGTCTGGCGTTACTGCGGTTGGCCTCCTCTCTTCGAGGCTGAAATCCTGGCTGACCGGAATATAGGTACTTAGACATGTGGTTTTGAAAACCAGAATTCCTCAGCTTGGAGTAAAGGTTAGTCCTAGAGCCTGTCAGATTAAGCACACCATGTATTAATAACACGGCCTTGCACCATCCAAATATCTACCTCCGAATTGCCTGGTTCACAATGTAGATTACCTAGGTGAGTAGGAGACCTAGAGAGTTGTTAGCTGGATATGCATGTAGGTAGGCAGGTGATTACCTAGGTATGTATCTTTTACATATAATACTCTACCTAGTAATCTGCTACATAGACAAGTACTTAGGCAATTATATATCTAGGTAAACACTCTCGGTCGTATTTACGAGGAGACGGTCATGAATAGTTCGGTGATAACCATGTGTTATTGATAGCTAGCTAGTTGAGAAACATGCAGAATCTTATAATTAAAACGAATGAGGCGTCCGATATTTAAGCCTCAGCCAGGCTTGCCCACCCCAGCAGTAATTCGATCCTAAAAGAGCGTATAAAACAAATGAAACGAATAATCATCCCATTGTGATTCACTGTTAATATTATGCCGTGATACCTAGTTACCAATCATGCCTCAGTGATACCAGGGTAGTTCCTGGTAGCTGGATCTCTAGATCGTGGGGAAGTGGGACGAGCCAGGTCCACTCTATGTCCCACCAAATCCGCCGTTCGATTGGGGATTGAAGGAGTTCTGGGCAGCGGGTGCGAAGCCGCTAGGAACTCGAGCGCCTGCTATGACATCGCTTGACGAAATCCCGACCGAATTGTTATAGCCCGAAGTGTCGAGATTCTTAAATGTAGCCGCAAGTGGACGATTCGGTGATGTATACACACCGTTGATGCCGACGGCTTGCCCGTTTCCCTCTGTTTTAACGCCGTCGAACTCGACTTTGTCTGACTGCTGTGGTGGCATGCCGAACTGTGGAGAGGAGTGAGGTGAATTGTTAGGCCACGGGGTGTTGTGCATATGGTTCTATATAGCCATATCGTTAGTTATGATCCTTCTTGGGCTTGTGAATTGAAATTTATTAGTACTCACTTGCGGTTGAGCATGAGCATGAGGATGGTTATGATTGTAACCGTTGACCACTAAGTAGGTAGGTAAAAATTAGTGCCACGGAACACGTGAGGTGGGGTTACTAACGTACCTAGCGGGCCACTTGCGCCGTTGTTCGTCCCGGAACTTGGGGTTCCCGGTACACTCGTAGTATCCCAAAAGGGTCTTCCATTTCCGTTTGGATTCGACATGTTTGGGTTGTCGTCTTCGTGATTCCCGGCCGAAACTTTATGGCTAAGAGCGTTTATCGTGAGAATGAGGGTCGTCTTGTCGTGCTCCAAGGATTGGAAATTTTGAAGGATGCGACATTCAACAACCCGAGCCTTACGGGCTTGATTCAACCTTGATATAAGTTTGAGCTTAGGTCCTGGGGTGTAGTGCGCGCACAACTCTTTCAACCTGGTTATCTTGGGGGCCATCCCCTCGATGATACGGCAGACCTGGCATGTGTGCAGAGCCTTATTATCTCGGATGCAGCTTATCGTGTCACTAAGAGCAGAGAGCTCATCACGCCAGCCTTGGTATCGAGCCGGGGCATGTTGAAGGAAATCGCGAATCTGAGAGATCGAATCAAGGATTGTGATTGTTGTCCCTGCCAGTTGACCCGCGGCCGCGACAGCCCCGAGAACTTCCATGATCCCGGAATCCGGTACGAGAAATTTTCAAGGATTTGGAAGACATTTAGTCTTGTTGAGTGCTAACCGACTCTTAGTCATACAGCCAGCTGAATTTCGAAAAGGATAAAGGAGGAAAGACTTCGCGCATCATCGAAAAGAGGCTCTTATAGTAAGATTTTGTTGCCTTCTAGGCTGTGATTGCAAATTATGCCTAACTGACCGCAGTCAATGCCGCGCACAAATGAGGCAGCAAATACACGTACAACAATGTTTGGAAGTGTTCAATGTAGGTGGAGTAGGTAGGTATGCATTATTACCCATATCAGTTGCGCTACACAGGCAAGTTAACAATTAGTAGGCATTCACTCTTTCAATACAAGCTAGATTCGAAATACTATATATATGTTTACATCCGGCGTATATTTCGCTTTCGAATAGATCTCCTAGACTGGTTTTCGTGCGCGGGAACGCTGGCTGTGCTAAACCGCCACATAACGCAGCTGGATGTTAGAAATCAACAATATCCAATATATCCGGAGGTAGCGACGATACACAAGGCTGAACCAATGATGGTGTAATAAAATCAATTGCGTGATACCGAAATAGTTATCAAATATGGCCTATCAGCTAAGTCGGCGATGTATTCGGACGTTTGGGAGTATACACATCCCATAAACAAGACCACGATTTGTGGATTAGACTCAACGCAAGGCCAGCACAATGCTGGCAAAGTCAGGCCTTAATACAGGTGGGTTAAACCCAACCAACGTATCTAGCACACTCACAACTTGATGGACTGAATCGAAGAACCAACGTACGAGATTTCTCGGTAGTCCCCTGAGACCTGAAGGGTGTGAGCTAAAAGTAGTACTACTAGTTGCTACACCACTTTTTGTTAAAAAATCTCTGAGCTTAACACGTGGATTCATAGAATGTTGGAACAATGAAACGGGAACCTTTCTTAAGCGACAAACTGATCACTATGTGGTCCGTGGACTATGCTGGAAGAATTCGAACCTTAGATACGTAAGTACTAAATAGTAGCTTTAAAACAAGTTCAGTTTCTATGAAATCTCGACAGCGATTCCAAAATACTTTGAATTCGACTGCTGGAAATTAGTCCTTCGAGAAAGGGGGATCATCGAAGTCTACGCGATCTACGATCAAAGTACCGAATAAGAAACAAACGGAACTAGTATGTGGAGCCCGAATAACTTCAAAAGACATAAACCTAATTTTATCAGTCCCAAAACAATCGTTTTGCATGTTCACTTTCATGGAGGGATTGGCAAGTGACTCTACGGTAGCATAGATATTTATCTATCAACACATCGTGTATAGGTATGAAAAGACAATAATACAAGTCAATATCGGCAAGTTGGAAGGAAGCTCACACAGCCAATGTCAGAGGTTTGGAATGACATTATTAGTCTCCTCATATTCACCCATTGCCAATTTAACTACTTATGAGATGTTTGATACGCTCTTGATATTTCATCGGTAAATCGAGCCCATCCAGTTACCTAAGCACATTCCCCTATCTTTCCGCGCCACATATCCTTGCCACATGCCATAACCCCTCAGCCACCTAAGGATATGACAGGGCAGGCATACAGATCATCCGGGGTACCGTCGGACAGCGGAGGGGTACATACATAGGGGTACTATCTTATCTTCTTTCAACTTCATGTCCGACTTGAACGTGATTTACAAGCACACATGAAAAACATATAGTAATATGAAGAGAAATTATTAATGAAATTTTCTTCGAATTAAGAACTTCCGAAGTTGGAATGTATAACATCCTCATTGCATAGCAAATTTGGAGGCAGCCCTGGGGCTGAGCTGTCAGTTCCACTTTTACGATGGTGCCTCGTCTTTAATTATCGCTTCCCTCATGAATATCTTCTTTATCCAAGATTCTATGTCGATGAAACATGCACTAATAGTTCACCGACGAGTATCTATCAGGCGCCATGGCTATTCAGAGGTCCACTTCTAATCCCAGCGCAAGTGGTACTTGTGAGAGTTGCATCCTCCCTTACCATCGGAGAAGCCCAATCATTTGGTTTCAAGAAAAGGGCAACGTAACTTACATTAACACCGATGTTTCAACTCTCCGGCGAGCTCGAGAAATGGGATGCGAGATGTGTGCATTAATATGCGAAGCGTTGGCTATATACAGCAATATTCCAATAGATCAACTACCGGGTAAAGTGTGGTTCTTTCCAAAGACATTCAGTATCAAGTGGTTTTTCCCTGTCCCCAACGAGGAGAAGAGAAATTCTGGATCTATAACCCTTCATTTCTCATCCACATCAGGTTGGTCAAATCGCCATTGTATAAATGCCTCACCCGCTGCTTTACTGATATAATGAACGTGACCAGAATTTCCTTGTGATTCTAGTTGGGATCTGTACAAATACTTTGGAAAACGCAACCAGCTCCCCGCAAGAACCGACTCCGAAGAGACCTTCACCCGGATCAAAAAGTGGTTGAAGGAATGCACCACAGGACACAGTATGTGTGAATGTGGTGTTAATGGGGAGCTACCTACACGGTTCCTTGACCTCCACGAAGTGGAGTCGGATGGAATAGCAAGACTGATTGAAGTAAAAGAGGCTTCCGTTGAAAATGGAAAATACGCATGCCTAAGTCATTGCTGGGGCGGGAACTTGGTCAAAAATGCTATGGCGACTAAACTATCTTTAGACGAGATGAAGCAAGGTATTCTAGTTGAAACCTTACCTCAAACATTCCGCGATGCAATAACTGCGACGAAAAAACTTGACATCCGATACTTGTGGATCGACTCCATGTGTATCTTACAAGACGATGAGTCTGATTGGGACAGGGAATCTAAGAGAATGGCAACTATATACCAGAACTCAATCATTACAGTTGCTGCAACGTGTTCTGAGGATCCTACTCAGGGCTTCTTCCGCTCTCCTAGCAGATTCGGTTCCTACCTCTTCCAATGCCGAACAGCCTCTGGTCAGCCAGTTGCCATATATCTCCGCCGGCCTCTACCTCATCATGAACACTATTTTCAAGCCTCATTTCACCCGCTTTTGAGACGCGCTTGGGCGTACCAAGAACGCCTGCTATCGCCTCGATACCTGCATTTCACGTTAGGGGAAGTGGTCTGGGAGTGTAACGAGCTCATGGCCTGCCAATGTTGCATGGAGCAATGTTATGAGAATCGTCACTTTCTAGGACCTCCCACTAAACTATTATATACAGAACGTATCAAATCAGTAGACATATGTAAATTAAAGGCGAATTGGAGTTTCGTCGTTAGTAATTACGTACACCAGGCCTTATCTTTTGAGAAAGACCGTCTGCGAGCAATTGCTGGGATTGTTAGCACATTTTGCTCAGTTGAGCTATCATCTAACCCGGGAAGATCTGTCATGGGTCGTTATATAGAGGGACTATGGGAAGATACGATATGTGAGAATTTATGTTGGTGTGTTCTCCCCCAAGCCAATCACTTCAAACCTCGCCGGGCGGATTGGAGGAAGTGGAAGGCCCCAACATGGTCCTGGGCATCTATTCAAGATCCCTCTTGCACGGTCAGCGATATTTACAGTGCTTGCACAGACACCGGGAAGTTAGCCAAAGTCCTTGAGGTTGAATATATCACCCACCCCCGGGCTTGCCAAGAGCAAGTGCAATACAATTGCATACGCCTCGAGCTAGCGATTACAGAGATGACACTTATCGAAAATCAACAATCGGACTTTACACCAACTCGTTATTTTAAGGGGTTTGGTCGTTGGAAGTTACAACTAGATGGAAAGGACTTGGATATAATTACAACTGATGTATACCCTGACTACGATTATACAATAGCTGGATCGGGTCACATTGCCCCCGGAAGCACAGTCATCGGCGGCCTAGTCTTAGAACGTCGATATGGAAGAGGAACTCGAATTGAAGGTCTACTACTAATACCGGTGGATGAAGAAAATCGTTTGTACGAACGTGTCGGAAAATTTAGGACCAATCAATTGCAATCTCGTACCCTACTCTCAGAGACAAGGGTTATCTCGTTAGTATAGTATAGTTCAGAACTGAGGTTATAGTACTCTGAGGGGGAATACCAAGGCCTAAGATGAAATTACCTAGGCAGCTCTGATATTTCCAAGTCTTGATTCTTGTGAACTATCTTTCCATTATAAAGGTATCATAAAGGAGGTTGATAATGCTATTAACTATGATCTCTAGCCCCAGCTTCATATACGTCCTTCAGGGGCCTTCACGTGAAGGTACTGCCTGACATTAGCTATGGAAGTTCGGCATCCACTAGGTAACAATTTGCATCCAAGGCCATCTCTTAATGAATCATAAGGAATTTCTAAAAGTAGAAAGAACTCTTAGATGATTTATCTAGTATTAAATTTTTAGGATATGCATCCATATCAGAGTATTCTTTCCAATCATCATGTTATCATTATGTACATGTACACAAAGCCCGACCAGACAGCCCACAGTGGAAATTACAGACTGCCATTATCGAAAGTACAGCTTTCACGAAACTGCCCCATTCGATCCCAGCAATCGGTACCTTTCATCGATACATCGTATAGCCATCAGCACACATTACCCAACTAGCTGGCGCGGGATTCAGGATGTGGAGTTCTGAGTCGATCCGCCAAAAGGTGGACCGAATGGCGGGCCACCATGCGGTGGTCCGTGAGGAGGTGTAGGCGGTGTAAGTGGTGTAGGCGTAGAGGTAGGAGGCGATCCCTCCGATGGCGATCCGTCAGACGGCGATGAAGGCGGAAGCCGGTCTACGGTATAAGCAACCCATTGAGTAGGAGAATTATTGCAGATGACAGGATATCCATCCTTTGGTACAGAACCCTGGATGAAATTTCCATTATCTGAACAGTTAGAGTTGGTATAGGCGTGGACTTGAGCGGTAATCAGTCAGTAATGCATCCCAACATCACGATAGTAGAATTCATCAATATCATGGAGAGGAAATGCTCACAAACCCATCCGTCCGTTAAATGGACGTATATAGAGCTGAATGCTTCGGGCCATTGATTGCAGATGCCGGTCATCGACTGGGTGAAAGTGCCAACCCCTTGATTGTCGGCCGAGCAGTCCACTTGGCCGAATGTCCTCAGATCACCTACGTACGGATCATTTCGCGGGAGGACTGCGGCATTGGCACTAGAGGCGAGGGCGACGAGGCCAGTGAAGATATATGTAGGATGCATCTTGGGAAATGGGGAATTTCGAAATATCCTAATTTTCTAGCCTGCCGTAATAAGGGGCGAAAAGAAAGCGAGCGCGTGGACAGTCAGTCGTAATCTTATAAAAACGAATGCTTACGTCGCAGCGGTTTTGATGTGCACCAGACTGGTCGAAAGGGTGCACTCCCACTAATGGCCTGAATCTTAAATACTTCAGACCTTTCGCCATTGTGGGGGGACGGGAGAGGAATCCGGCTCCAAGCTTGCGGATAATCTAGACCCGAGAGGATAACGGCTGCGCTGACGGCGACAACGCCATCTCAACCTTATTCCGATATACGGGTAATGCATGCGAGATGTGAGAAGGTCGGTGATGGCCGTCGAGGCTCATCATGCCGTCATACACGACCGAGTAACATGGATACCCGTACATAAAAAGTAGGCCGCCGATATTCTCAATATAACCAGCACTTCGGGGCAATATAAATCTTGGCGGCATGTCAGGCGGCAAGCTGCTTGTTCTAGCCACCATTATTGGTGTACAAGGTCAAGATTCTTCTATGCAGGTTGCCGTACGATCTCGTAATGAGCAAACTGCTGTATATTCGTGGCGGCTTAGACTGACAAACCAACAGCAGTTCGTATTTCGCTAAGCTCTGCTAACTCGGTAGTACCAGAAAAAAAAAGAGGAACTGACTTACTCACTTATTACGTCGTAGCTGTCTCAGTGAAAATCGGGCCTCTCCTGCAGAGCAGTTTGATCATGACTCGGTCCCACGCAACCACGTCCGCATAGAATATTATGAAAGTCCCGATTTAGGAGTTTAGGGACGATTATTCATTGAATACTTAGACAATCTAAACTCTGATAGACAGATATATTGGTGATATGGATTAGTCAATATGGTGAGCTTGGTAGTAGGATGGTAGAGTAATTGAGAAACCCCCTTTTCAATTGAAAGTGCATAGAATAGAAGTGCCTATTATATCGCATACTTTGCTTGACTATACTAAGTATTTCATAGATGTAACAGTCAAATCTCTCATAATTGTAAATAAATAAGTAGTAATTCTAGAAATATTAGATAGAATATGATCTACTATTATCTTGAAATTGAGAAAAATAGAAACACAAATAAAGGGAAATATGTGTCCATGTACAGGTGACGTAATATTCCGCCGGAGCTTTCCCGCCCACTGGAGCGTAGCAGGCGCGTCACGGAGATATTATTTTTAGTTACCTGGCAACTGCCTGGGTAATTGGGCCCGACGAATCATCAAAAGGAAGCAACGACCTCCTTGTTGAGCTATACCACCAACATTCACAAAACGGTGACTCTTCGTCTTTCTTCATCCTCGTCACCTGAACTTCTTTTTCCTCTCTGGAAAAACAAGAATTAAGATACATTCTTTTTTCACTAATAAACTTTGTCCCCTCAAGTATGTCGTCTAACAATCCAGCACACATACCCCACTATCGTATTTCTCCTATTACCCAAGAAAGACGACCACAAGCATGCCCGGCGGACTAGACGACTCGCGCTGGGCGCCAAAGAATCAGCACAATCGCATCAACAAACATCGTGGACGTCTCGGTCAAAATGGACGGTCTTCATCTTCCAATGCAACAATGTCAGCATCGCATTCCGAAACCCTTCTCCTCCAACTCGAAGATCGACCTTCGCCCGAACAAGAGTTTTCACGATTTCTCAAGATCGTTGCCAGACTCAATTGGAAGCTACCATTCCTTAAGATGGGATATAGCATGGCTAAGGAAACTGCCGACAAGGAGCAACCGCAAATCGAAGCTTGCGAAACCCAATTCAAGCTGGATTTTCATGAATTCTACATGCTAATCGAACGTGCCCTCGTCCGACTTATGGGCATCTTCGGTGTTATAGTCAGGCGCAATGGGATCATTATCGACGGGGTCGTCAGAATGAATAACGCCCAGGACGAGAATTCGGATCACAACATGGCTGAGGACTCCAAGGAACGTTCCATCCAACATTTCTACCACAAGAACGTCTTGACGGCGCTTCAAGATCCTAAGAACCCCCTTTACAGCATATTCGGCAAGTCCGAAGTTCGGGCGCAGCTATCGAGAGCCAAGGACCTTCGCAATCGCTGGAAGAACATCGATGAAGCCGCCCCCATCAACTTTGCGCCGCTGCCTCTCTCGAGCTATAACCTCGAGTTGATTATGCAGACCATTCTTACAGCAATCGAGGAGGCACACATTCTCGCGCTTGATTACCTACGTAAGAGAGGGAACGAACCAATGGATGCTACCAGAGAGGAAGATTGGGAGTTTATGGTGGATGCTATGGATTGGGAAGCTGTTTAATTACCGGGGGACGCCAAACTCGACTGGCCTTGTTCACAATTCTCGGTATCAAACCAGATTCTTGGACAAGTGTTGAAGGACGACTCCTACTAACCCTAAGCTACAATTAAACTGGTTTTCTACCATCATGCGAAAAAAATAGCAAGGCACTGGTTACCCCCTTTCCCCGAAACAAAGTTCCTAGGACAGATTTTGATGTGCAAGAGACGGATTGAGCATTTGCAGCCGGCCACCGCAACGTTGGAATCATCTGTTGATTCGCAGTTGGAGATTGCGTTTTCCTTCAATGATATACTTTTCAGACAAGAGGTGGCGTTTTGATCGTTGGTGTGGCTAAAGTAAGATAGCATCGATACCCAGCAAGTAATTCATCCTTGGTAGAACTCATTAGAATTAGAATTAATTAGGTAGTAGCTGTAGCTTGTACCGCCTTGATAGACCTAATCCCTAGATAACATTATTAGTAACCCCCATCTTGGTTATTATGAGGATAGAGATGAGTCAGGCGTTTCTGACGACTGTTTACCTTTGGGAATATGGCAGTCAAGCCTCTCTTCCGTGGTATCCATGAATCAAATGAGTGCTCTAGAAAGTAGAACGTGATATGAAGCATCGAATTAAAACCAACGGCGTTCCAGGGGTTGTTGCGAGGATTAAAGCTCACATGCATTGGGTACCTAGATACATTTAAGTTTAAGCCAATCAGACGCAACCTTCAACCCTAAAATAGCCTAGCTCCTCTGCTAAAACGTCAGAGGGTTCCACTCCACTTAGTCGGAACTCTGCAGCTATCTCCATAACCTCTCACATTCCTCTTACTACAAGAACCACCTATGGTCAGCGACCTTCACCTATTATCCTATCCATCATTCCTATTTCGTATTACTTACCTACCCTTAGCATCAAGAGCTAGATCGAGACATAGGGCGAATATGCCTTCCGCCGCTTCCCTGCGGTCCGTACTCGCGTACGCGAGCAACTTCGTCTCGCAATTCCCTCTAGGCCTCCCTGACCTACCGAACCCGTTCTCGGCCCCCAACCCCCAGACGCCTCCAGCTATCCACGTCGAGCCCTCCGTAACGCCGTACGAGCCGTACGAGCCCTTGACCGGAACTCCGTCCTGTCCGATCGACGGCCCCGTGAGCTGCAACAACAACACGGCGGCTGACTCGTGCTGCTTTATCCACCCCGGCGGGCGGCTGCTGCTCACGCAGTTCTGGGACGAGAAGGTCCACGTCGGCGGCAGCGAGGAGGACTGGACGCTGCACGGCCTGTGGCCGGACCTGTGCGATGGATCGTATGACCAGTACTGCGGGATGGCGCCACGGTTCGAGAATATCAGCGGCGTGCTGGAGCACTACGATCAGGGTGAGTTGCTGGCGGATATGAATCGGTATTGGATTGCGAATTAGTACGTGTGATATACCCTACTCTACTATATACTCCGTATTAGAGAATGAAGAATGGGGCCGCCGCCCCTCAAGGCAGGCCTTGGGATGGGACAAGAGCGCTAACTAAGATACCTCTAACAGCGGCACAAACGACCACCTATGGGCGCACGAATACAACAAGCACGCGACGTGCATCAACACGCTAGCACCCAACTGCTACGGCGACAGCTACGCGCCGGGCCTCGAGGTCGTCGACTACTTCGTGCGCGCCTTCAGCCTGTTCAAGCAGCTCGACACGTACTGGGCGCTGCAGCACGCCGGCATCGAGCCCGACTACAAGAAGACGTACGAGCTGGCCAAGCTGCAGTCCACGCTCGAGCGCTTCAGCGGCGGGAAGGTCATCCTCAAGTGCGGCGGCCGCCACCGCAACGTCCTCCACGAGGCCTGGTACGTGTACTTCGTCAAGGGCAGCTTGCAAGGGGGCGACTTCGTGCCCGCGAAGGACAGCTTCAAGGGCGATCAGGGGAATTGCGCGAGCCAGGTGAGGTACCTGCCTAAACGCCGTAAGTGAGCGAGATCCATGGCGGAGGGGAGATTGTTGGAATACGGCGGGTTTAGCATTGTGTGTGGCGTTTGGGACTTAGGTTGAGTGGTTTATATATGTGTGTCTTGGTATCAATGGACAGATTTGGTTTATTGCGATATACAGCGATTTAGAAATTGGGAATTTTATCAGTGCTTTTTTACTCGTTGAACGAATTGCCTTACATTGGCCTTGAGGATGGTTGTGTGAATAAAGTTGCCTTATATTTGTGGTAACGGAAACTAATATGCGGTGGTAAATCTATTCTGTATCCTTGATATCTCAGGGGCAAGTAGAAGGGCCAGTGGCGCAAGAATTGAGCGATGGATACTGGTATCTTACAGAAATACCAGAATCTACGTACCTAATTATTTGTTATCACTATCTTCAGTCTACATTGAAACGTGTCTGCTCCTGGATACTCAATGAAAATAGCTAAACAAGTGGTACAGAGCTATTCTGAATAACACATCTTGGTAATGAGAAGTTCAGCCCAGAGAATGATAAGAATTGATGTCTTCTTATACTTGAATAGTGGGTATATTTTAGTGCTGTCAACCTAGTCTTATATTCTTTTCTATATAGCAAAATCAATGATTTCGGCCGTAGCCGTCTCGGTCAATATATCATCTGCTAGGAAGCAAGCATCGACGGGCTTTGTGGCTAGTAGGTAACACAACTCGTACCTGGGAACATAAAATATGCCTATACTCACTGTAGTTACCTTCAACCTGAATTATCGTCGGTAAGGAACTTCCCGCGCTGAGGTATGGTCCTGATGATAAGGGTTATGTAGACGAGCAAGTTTGCTGAGTCAATGGCTAGTCACCAGCAAAGGAGCGTACAATGACCTAAGAGGCCACGACGACAACGTATAATACACCCATATATATGTCCATCAATCCCACCCCACGGATCTAGTATCCCCAAAGCAGTATCTTGAAAAAGAACGTGCTTCGTCAGTACGAACACCGTGCCCCTTAAAGCGCGCATGGCTCTAACCTAACCCATACGCAATCAAGGAATCTTCCGAAAAATATTCCCACGCGTCCCCGAGGCTAAAACGCCCACCGCGGCGGCGTCCATCTTAGCCCCCAGCAAAGGAAAAAAAAAAAAAAAAGAACCTCGAGTTCCTGGCCTGGCCTCATATCTACGTCATCCTCCATTGCGGCTTAACCCCCCCGCATCGGACGCGCGCAACGTCAGATGAAACTTCCGCGCCGGTTTACCGTATCTAGGTAGGTAGGTAAGGAGAGGTCCGAGTTAGGTACCTGCCTATCTGGACCGAAGTGGAAGGGGAAAACCGTGCGTCTGGGGAGAGGAACTCGGTAGGGGAGCATTCAGATGCAAGCCACCCGCCTGCAACTCTATGTAGGTCCGGCCGTCGTGCCTAGGCTATTTATTTCACGACGGGGCCAGCAGGGCGGCTGGGCTGTGAGGGAAAGTCGCCTGCCTATCCGAGTAAGGATAGGATTCGTTGGGATGACCTTTTTGGGGACGTTAAGTCCGGAAGGGGAACTGGCGCGTTACATGTTACGAGTTATCAAGTTATCTCGAAGAAGCATGTGATAGGTTATGTATGTAAAAAGGACTTAGCATTTCTTGACGTTACTATAAAAATTTTCTGTGACGGTGTTACAGTATTAGTATTCGCGGTGACTACAGACGCGGTTCGCGATCATGTGAAGTTGAAGACTTTTTCAACTAGAGACAGCTACCCCACAAGAACTATCACTGGACTAAGTGCTAAATGAAAACAAGAAACTATGTGTCATCGGCGAAGTTGAAGTATTAAACATGCTGTAGTTTTGGGTAAGAAGAGGTAGATCTGGTATGGTAGCTTGGTTTGTGGTTGTTGACATCTTACGATGTTTGATGTTCGACTGAGTCAAAATAAACCGGCGAGAGATGAGATGAGGGGTTTAAGCGGTGAGAAGCATATGTATGCACACTAGCATGCGCAAATGTGATAGCCGGGAAAATGGGGGATCGGGAGGGGACTCGCTAACATGCACGATAACCTTTGGACGGTTTCTCCGGGCTTCAGCGCCCCTGAATCGTTAGGAGGGAACAGCAAGACAGGCGTTAGTATGTCTTAGTTGAGTTTAACTCCCGCGTATAGCATCGGTAACTGGGACGTCGAATATCGGGTGATGCCATGAGAATAGCAGGGCTCTATTTCTCGGTAGACGATCTCACAACCGCCCAAATGCCGACAAGGCCATCGAATTGGCTTTGACAATTTGCTGCTAGCTTCCGCAAGATGGTGGTGTGGGGGCACGATTCTTATTGATCGACTGTTTGCTGATGAAACATTGTTAGGTTGGAGCTGTGATGAGATTGGTTAAACATCTATATTCCGTCATCGCCTCCCGCACTTAATAATAAGCCAGTTATGAAGCTCTTCTGGGCAAGGAATCTCGTGCTTTTGGACCAGCATAGTCTCGATGAGTTGATAGCGAAGAGGAGAGAGCGGAGGGCGTTATCCTGTCCTTCGCCGCTTCTATGTGAAGGGAATTTTTGTCCCGGAGAGAGCAACGAAGGAAAAGAGAACCAGTCAGAAAGCGTCGTTTTTTTCGGAGCGCTCGCGAGCCCTACTGATCCTAGTCGTATATAAAATGGGTATTATTTCTTAAGTAAGAGCCAGACTAGGCTTAGCGGCACTTGTCGGGCAATGATCGACCATGCGAGTTGAAATTTGCTGCTCACTTACTGGCTGCAGGCGTGCTGCATGACTTTTGCTGACTCCGCTCAACTCCACATAGATTGCCGTTGTTCGCCCTGGAATCGGCTCCTGGACTCTTGCTCTGGCCAGTGAAAATTCGGCATTCTACGCTACCTGGAGTAGAAGGATGGATGTACTATACATCGTCAATGCCCACCTTGTCAAGTCGCATCGATGATCATCGAGGCATTAAGGGACTGCCCCGCGTTGGGTCTATCTGATACTTGCCGCGATGCTGTCATGATGAATATGAATTGAAGCTGTTGTTTCCCCATTAGAATAAATAACGATATATGATGTCTTTTCTTTGGTGGGAAATATTAGGTTGTCGTCGAAGAAGCGAAGGCTTGAGCTGAGAGATTACTAGGTATAAATAGACCCGCATACCTTAGATAGGACAGGAATAGAATAGGAGTACGATAGTTGAAAGAGAAGTTAGAAGTCTGAACAAGCTTCGGGAATGTATACCTAGGTATGCTCTCTCAATACAGCAATGCTGCGTTATCACAGTACATATAATGAGACCTCATCCATCAACGTGCATATGACGAAGTTTTGTTATGTGTGTTATTCGTTGGAGTAGCATATGGTAAACCGGTATATTGTACAGATCGTCCTGTTCGTCCCATTCACTAGGGCTGGCCGAATTCTAGATGTCGATAATGGCGGCACTTGTAAATATCTTTGCGTGGAAGTCTCCATATTGTGTGGGGTTTTCGTTGAAGATTTCGAGATCTCGTATACACTATAATATAAGAGGGGCAAACGAGAAGAAAAAAAAAAGGCAGGACAAAAGAAAATAAGAAAAACATGGAAGAACCTTACAAGTGTACATAATGAGTTGAATCCTATTGGCTAGTTGGATAGTATCATCCATGGCTAGACACCTTAATAAATTCTTTTCGTCGACCGCGCATTACCGAATCATCGGAGAAGGCCATGGACACAGTATAGTAAGGTAGTATACTACTTCGTACGAATGTTGACTCCCCTGATCCATCCTGCTTGGTGTTGTTGGTTAGATTGACAAACTTCAACGGATACTATTATGTCGAGGATGAGTAGGATGAGCTATTTTGGTCTTACAGTGACGCGTCCTTGGGCCCCCACGGCTTGTGTAATCGTAAGAAATCAGATATCTCAAAGGCAACGCAAGTAACGCAACGCGAAGCAACGGCAGGTATGTGGCCTAGTTGTCCGGTACAACGATTGAACTGCCAGGCCGCCTGTCTGATGACAATGCCAAGCAATTTGGGGAAACTCGCCAAGTCTGAAGAAGGCGGACAGAGATCTTCAAATCCACCCAGTTCCAATTCTCGAGTATTGATGGATTGGCTGTTGACGTTTGTTTTGCTGCTATCTTTATAGCGACAAGTAAAGCGCATACCGCATACCAGGCGTAAATAGCCGCGTGCATCAATACGTACAGAAGAACCAATAGGTTTTAACGGCTGAAATGTTGACAGCAGATATTCTTGTAAGTCGTTTCTACAATCAGGGTTGTTGGTGCACGTGTGTAAGAAAGATGTCAGGATAATTTTATGGGGAGGACTAGGAAGTTAAGGGACCTACCTAGTGTACTATGTAAGGATTAGGGGATAAGCTGGGGGAGCATCTGAATTGACGAAGGAACTCCGACGGGCAGGACGTGTTACATCTTTCGCAGCTGCCTTCGCTGAATGTTGCTAAACGTTGCCGAAAACTCAACAGGTCTGGCAGGTACGCTAACAAAATACATCCAATCCAATGGATAATAGCAAATCTGGTACCACAAGCCACAAGCACTAACTTCCAGCCAAGAGCACTTCATGTTACCAGAAAACCAAGTCAATGCGTCGGTACTCGTGATATATTCAAACTTTTATTAGAAGCCTGCAGACCCGATATGGAGATCCATCTAGATTCCAGCCACTGAAAAACAGATTATTAGTGGCCGAGTAGCGTCCCCCCGACGCCCCGAAATAGTGCCTTGTACACTAAGTACCACATAAACGTACTCCGACCTTCCCGCCCGCGCACGCTGAAGCTTCCCATCGTGCTTATTCTCCAGCTGCCACCCAGGGCTCCGATTGTATCGTACCTGCCGGTAGACCACAGGTGGGTAGGGTTACGATTACAGGGTTCCTACAGCCTGGAGCACCAGGAGCACCTGCGAGGCGTGGCAATCGGAAGGTACCTGAGTTAAAACGTGTGGGTTGTACTGTACTTGTCATTTTCTATTCTCGCGCAGGCATGTGCGATCCTGATGCTTGTACCTAGGTACATAATCCACTTAGTCGATCGCGGCTGTTCTACATGTATCTATGGTACAGTACCCGTGGTCGATGCTTTCGTTCACACTGAACCGTTGTACTGCTTTTTTGTTCCTTTTTTCTCCCACCAAGCAATTCCCGTCTTGATCAAATAATCCAATAATCCAATCCCACGATCTTGACCTCCCATATCTACGCACCCGAGTCCCTTGCGGAGAGATAATTCTTCCATCTCGGGTTGCAATTTGATATTATTTAATTATTCTTATCACCTTAGCACGGTGAACTTGGAAGTATTTTAACGTTGTCCGTTGAAATAAGTCATTGCGCATGACGGCGGCAAACCTCGAAAACGTTCTTTTTTTCTTCGCCTCGTCCTCGTCCACTCCTTCCGGAATAACCTCCTATGACTCCTACTTCGGGACCCTCTACAAAGCGTAACTTCACCTCCCCTCTACCCTTTGGTCGAACCGGTCCCCTTCAATCCGCCGAAGGAAGAGATTTAGGTGTTGTAGTCCTCGTCGCCTTCGGTTGACTGGCTGGCTCGGAACAAGCTTCTGGGTCCGGTCAGCACTACGCGAGCGTATGCCTCGCGCTTCAGCATCGGCAAAGCGACAGCACGGTGCCTCGAATAATCGCGATACTAGACACGAGAATGGCCTGGTAGGTCCCGGGAAGCGCGTATCGAAACAAAAGAGCCTCAACCACCTGAACGGAAATGCGAAGCAGCCCTCCGACGATGCTGCTATCCCCCCTGTCCCCCCAACACCGCCACCCTCTGCGAACGGCTACTCCAAGCAACCGACCGAGATGCCGGCAGAGAACAGGATCACCGAGTCTCTGAGGAGAGGCTCGCTTGGTGGCTATTCGGAGTCGTCGTCATCCGAGTCTTACCACTCTCATCTCGGCAATGGCATCCCCGAAGATAACCATCGTCGGATCGACGTCAATGCTACTAAGAACTCTAACGTCCACCGCGACCCCGGTCCACTTGGCGTCGACTTCGCTCTCACCGTCCTACGGTCATGTCCTCTTCAAGATACCATCGCCATTCTCATCATTCTAATGCAGATCCCCCCTCTTGCGCTATCCGGTATTTATGTGCTTTTCACGCTGCTTACCTTCGTGACTAGCAACGGCCTGACCTTTAGCGACGTATTTGAGTGGAACCTAGGTGCGCCCTCCCTGGCAACCGTCATCTGCGTCGATGGCATCGTCCTTCTCATCTGGTTATTTCTATGGGGCCCGATTCAGCACGTCATCCTCGACCTGGCGCAGATGGTCATTGCACTGGGATTGGGTGGCGGATCAAGTTCAAGAGATGGAGGGTCTATGAAGAACACTCTCATCTGCCTAAGCATGATTCTTCTGTCTCACGTCTTGCGTCACACCAGAATGAAATATTCCCCCATAGGATATCTCCTAGGCTCTAGTCGCTTCATGACCCCCGATCTTGATGACCCGCTGGAATCCTTAGAGTCTATACGTGGCTACGATAGGGTTCAAACGGGTTGGTTCGGGTGGGTTAAGAGCATACTGGCCATTCATATCTTAACGCAGGGTCTCGTAAAATACATACGCGATTGGTATTTGAGGCGGGAAAGGCGTGATATTCTAGCTCAGAATGCCGCCGACCCCGAGGCCGGAAAAACTTACACCGCGGAGAATGACGGTGGATTTTCGACGCCGGATAGCGATACTGCTTCCCTCCAAAACTCAACAGCGTTAACTACAAAAAAGAAAAGAAAACAAAGTGCCCAGATTCGGAATCGACAACCGCTCTGGGCAGCTTTAGCGAGCACAAAAATTGTTGTCGTGAAAGAATACGAACTTACTCATGCCGCGGCGGAATCCGCGGGTTCGAATGCAACTGACATTCATAATCTAGGTAACGCTCCATTCAACACACAGCCTGACCAAATTTGGATCACCTACGTCGGATGTGATGAAGTATGCTTCAATACCAGCTACTTCATTCATACCCCGGAACCTACTGCCTCCCAGGACGGGACAAGGATTGACTTTGCCAAACCTTTCTATGTTCGGGTTAACAATGCTGTCTGGCAGCCTACCAGGATGGTGCCGGTGCAGGATCCTGAAGGGGATCTTAACCATGGGACTCGATGGAGCGGGGATATTTATGGGCTTACTCCCATGTCGAACTACGAATGCGAATTTGTTAGCACGACAACGCATGAGGTCCTGTTTTCGACCAGCGTGAGAACTGCTCAAGCCAAGTCGGCAGACGTAGACGTCAGCGCTACGAAGCCACCGGGTCAACGATCCCTTCGACCTGATTCGCCCATCACGACCCTCAAGACGTCGATTGCAGCAGCTGAAAGCAAACTGGCTGAGGAAAAGGCCCGTCAGAAGGCGTTACGGAAGGAGTTTCATCGGAAGGCGAATGCTATGAAGAAAGAGAATGAAAAACTGTCTACCGCTGTTCAGTCAGCCGGCACGGGTGACGATAAGCTACGCCAGAAAATCCAGCAGAATACTACGCAGCACAAGCAGGCAGAGCAAGCTATCACTAACGTGGAATCGGAATTAAAGGAGCTCGAGTCCGTCCCTGAATCTTTGAGGTCTGCCTGGAAAGCCAAGCAGGCTGCGTGGGCGAACGCGAAGGCCAAATACGATGGCGCCGTTACTGCATTTAGGGGATTCAAATCGTCTGTCGATCGCGGAATTAAGGGTCTTCAAGAGGAAAAGGCGAGCCTCCAAGCCAGACGCAACAAGATCAGCAACCGAATCGCCAAGGTCGACGGTGAGCATGCACGTATCGCCGATGCCAATGCTCGTGGCCTTGATGAAGCGGAGCGCAGACGGCAAGCCCGGGAGACGTACGAGAATGACATAGCCAAAGTTGAGTGCGATTTGATTGCCAAGATCAACGAAGTCGATCTTGCTATTTACAACAAGGAGCAGGAAAACATGGCACTCAAAACACAGCTAGACTCGTTCCATACGCAGCAGCAAGCTGCGTATGCTTATGCGACCTACGAATTTCCCGATGCAACTGCCCCCTTCTCGTCTCCAGGCCCTGCACCTCCAGTCCAAGGACCCGCTACTAGCACGGCAACGTATGAAGCGACGGCTGCTTGGAACAACCCTCTCTACAACCCGTCACTTTGGGGACCCTCCCCTCTTGCCCCCGGGTTCGTGCCGCAGGGAACTGCCACACCGAATATTCCGCAGCCCGGGACTAAGGCTAGAGGCCGCTCGTCGTCGATGCTTAGTGATGTGTCCGGTTTCACGCAGAGCAGCGCAGCCGAGGATGAGGGAAATAATACCATCCCTGCGTACTCGCACATTCGAGAGGGGTCCGGGTTTTCAGAGTATTCTAGTGCTCCTCTGGGCCTTGAATATCCTACACCTACCGGACCTCGAAGCGATATCAATGGCGAGGCCGTGAGCGATTGTAGTGGTAGTCCTAGCGGGGGTAGTGCCAGAACTGGCAGCGATAGGGATCCGATGAGCCCGGCTTTTTAACGGGATGGTTAGTTGAATGCTTCAGTTTCGCTAGTGCTTATTTATCAGGGTCAAAAGTCGAGAGCCGTCTTTGAGGCTCTGCAACGATGGGCGTTCAATCCCATCAGTCCAGGCTGATTAGGTTGGATGATAGGCAATGAGAAGCTCTGTTCTTTCGCTTTACCCCTTTTATTCGGATTACTCTTTTGAGTTATGTGACATGCAGGTGATTGGTGATTAGGTACCTAGGTAGGTTATGTATGTGAATGTCGCGCCAAGCCGGATTTTGTATTAAGTAATAGTAGTATCCCGTATGTGTTTGTAAGCCTGGACAAGGCATAGATGACGGTTGCTGAGCACCTACTTGGAACTTGTAACTCATCTTAATTTGGATATGTCTATCGTATATTGAAAGTGCGTAAGTGTCACATATTGCTTTTTCTCAGCTGTCTCACCGTGCCCCTGCAAAGGAAAAGAATGTATCGTATTTGACCGATATTTGATATATATTTAGTAGAAAGGAGTGAAATTTAGGTGGGTACTAAAATTATGTCACCCAGGTTTTTGGTCTCTTGTTAAATCATCATCCTCCGAGCAGCCTCAGCTACGCCGCAGCGCAAAGCGGGATTTGAGTTGTCCGATAAATCCGAATCCCGTACGCGCAAAGCACTCGCACCTATTCTACACCCCAACTCCTCGAACCCATAGCATTATTATACATTTCGCCTCGTTGCTTCTTTTCTTCTCCACGTTTCCTTCAATCCCGAGTAGAGGACGGGAATCGTTTTTCGCCAACCTAGATTCCGTCGATAATCTGCATTGTGTGCACCATTGCCGAACGGGTTTGTCTCGTTTCGTGATACACACGTACATAACTTACAAGACTTACACACGTTACCTGTACCTTGCTAATTTAATTGGCGCGCGCTTGTCCCGGCGGAATGGACCTCGACTCGATTGGTCCCAGTTCGAGCGGCCAAGCAGCAGTAGTCCCCGGACGGAAATCGGTCCCGTACGGCCAAGCCTGCACCAACTGCTCCAAGGCCAAGTGCAAGTGTATCAGCCGCGGCACCCCGGGCTCCGCCGCCTGCGAGCGCTGCCAGCGCCTGGGCAAGCAATGCGTGCCGTCGGTTAGCGTGCGGAAGCGCGCCGTCAGGCGCCCCGCCGCCGAGCGGACGGCCCATCTCGAAGAGAAGCTCGACGACCTGGTGTCCATACTCCGGGCCCAGGCCTCCGGCACGCCGCCGACGGGCGCCTACAGGGCTGGCGCTACTACTAGCGACGATCTGCCCGACCCCGGCATTGACCCCGACGCGAATGCCGGCCCTAGCGCTATGGAGTTGGACCCGTCCATAGGGGTGGTGCCGGTCCCCGGTGCCGATAAAGCGGCGTCTGGCGCGCATCCGTTGCCGCTGCCTTCGCAGCCTGTCGAAGCCGCCTTCTGTGCGAGATATGCGAGCATTAATTCGTACCCTACCCCTCCGTCTATTGCCTCGTCTCAGGATGGTTATCCCTCTCCTGCCGAGGCTGAAGAGATCTTGCGGGTGTTTCAAGACCGATTCGTCCCCTTCTTTCCGTTCGTGTACATACCACCTGAGACTACGTTAGTACCATATCTCCCTTTTGCTAAAGTATAATAGTCTCGTCCTTTAATCATGGGTGATTGTATGATCACATGACTATCGATGCGAGGCATTGGATAATGTGACCGGCTAACTTGGAGTTATAGCGCTGCACAACTACAACAGGAAAGGCCATTCTTATGGCTGACTATAGCATGCACTTGTGCTAAATCACAAGAGAAAAAGGCAGCCTACAGCCAGAAAATTAGAGAGTACCTATCACAGAAGATGCTGATAGAACTGGATCGAAGTGTTGATTTGTTACTTGGAGTCGTGTGTTATCTTGGCTGGTACGCATCTACAATCTCATCTTACTTTCAATGAAAGGCTGGATGTTTATGCCTTCTTTCGTTACATCTAGCTATCATGGATGAACCTAACCTACCGTATAGGGGCATGCACCATTTCACCGGCAAGCCATATATCAATGCTTATATAAACATGGCTACCACCATTGTCGCCGATCTCCGCTTCGACAAGCCACCCCAAGATAACTTTTATAGGGAACTGCACTGCTTTAAACCTACTTACGGGTACCCAAAGACACTCTCCACCCACCGTACGAACGAGGAGAGGAGAGCTACCTTGGCTTGCTTTATTCTTTGCTCGGGGTATGTACGCCATTATCCATTATCATTGTAAGACATGCTAGCTAAACTTTTGGCTTGTGTAGTATTTCAAACTTCCTAAGGACTCAGACTATGCGGTGGACGCCTCACATGGAAGACTCGCTTCAGAAACTTGCCACGTCTCCGGAGACGATACACGACGAGCTTCTCGTAGCAATGGTCAGAACGTATAGGATCCAGGAAGACGTCGCGCAAATAACCTGGCGGGCTGCTGACCATTCCGGAAACTCAGCTACACTAAAGAACCCCCCTTTCATCTACGTCAAAGCTCTGCGCACAAATTTGGAAGCAGTTAAACGAGAGCTTCCGGCTGTTCTTCGAGATAACAGTACGTCTACCCTCTACACCTATTCATTAATTTCTTCTCCCACTTGATGGCCCCAGAACCGTTTTAGGTCTTAGCGTCTTCACCATACTTACCTAGGCCGTATTATATCTCGTTAACACTCTGAACAGAAGTATTCCTCTCGCACTACTACGCCGCCGAGATCGCCATCGCAGACATGTGCCTCTGGAACGTCAACCCGTGGCTGACGGCGCACCCGCCGCGGCCGGCGCCAGTCACCGGCAGCAGCGGCGGCATCGACATGGGGAAGCTGGACGCGTACTACTCGAGCCTGCAGGCATCGAAAGCGAGCCTCGAGAACTTCCTGTCGTTCGCGCCGGGGGAGTACATGTGCCTGTCGATGCCGCTGACGCTGCACTTCGGGCGCGCGACGCAGACGGTGTACCGGCTCATGGTCGTCGACGACCCGGAGTGGGACCGCGCCATCGTCAAGAACAGCATCGACCTCATGAGCGTCATGGACCGCGCCGCCACCCGCTTCCTCCAGGTGCCCCAGATCTGCGGCATCGACACCGCCGACGACCCCGACAACTTGGATTACTATACCAAGGCCGCCAACGCGCTGCGCGCTACCATCCCGTCGTGGACCGCGACCTTAGAGCAGCTCGGATGCGCGTCGGGGAGCGCGGCCGCGGCCGCGCCGAATACGCCCGCCGCGGGCGCCGGCGTCGATCCGCAGTACCCGCCTGGCTCGGCGATCCCGGAGCTCTCGTCTATGGAGTGGTTGGACGATCCGTGGTTGACGGATATGCTGAGGTCGTGGGAGGGGAGTTAGTTGGTAGAGTCTACTGACTGACTGGTTGTTACTGTTTTTCTTTTTGGCTGGACTGCCGTATTTAGGTATTCGGGGCGTGATATTCTTTTACGGTGTTATTATTGCTACTGCGGCCTGGACTGCGGCTGTTTTATCGGCATACATAGCATTTTCTACCAGGTACAATACCCAACTTTGGCGTCTGGAAAAGGGGGACGGGGTAGGGGATAGTGGATATGGGTATATGGGATGGAATTGATAGCATTCCCCTCGCTCTACGAAATGTAGTCGTTGCTCCGTTATGATGTTAGTATTAAGATATTGTAATACTGAATGGCAAGTGGATTGGGTTATGTAATTTTAAAGCTCACGTTAATATAAATGTCGAGAAAATCTAGCTACCTACGCTCGGTTTTGGTTTCGGGTAGCTATTCTCATATGGGAAATTTACTTACGTAATGTTCGTCAAATTCAACTCGAAACGTATGACAGCCGGGCATGCATGCACCCCTTGTTAAACCCGTTGGGCTTCAGCCGCAATGGGCCCCTATTGATACCTCACCGCAATACATCGCAGGTGCGGATAGTTAATTATAAACAATCTCCCGATCCTGAGCACTGACCGAATCCGAGTCTCAGCCCGGAATTTGGCGGGGTTAAAGCCGGTTCGGCTTGGTGCCACCTAATTTTCCCAGATTGCCAATACTGCTTAACCCCCACCCCGTTAAATCCATCTAACTAGGTGCTGTTTCCGTTTGATCTTATCAGATCAATTCGGTGTCCGACTTTCTACGTCAATATTCCGAGATCCGGGTCTAGTGTAAGGAATTAGTGTATGATGATTTGATGACTTAACGATACCAACGATTCCCGTTCCTGCATCACCTGCTCATGCAGACAACGTCGGGAAGAGGCGCAATGGACGTATACACGAAATTCGGTCTCACAATTAGTTAGAACAAAAAAGCCCCAGATCCTGCGAAATGGGATGTTAGATGTTATGACTCAATGGCGAATCTTAAAAATCCCCCTATCACGCCGTTGAGTAGGTGTAAGCAATTGGAGCGGGATTCGGAAACGGGATTCAGAGGACGGAAGCCGGGACCGTGCAACACGCTACGGCACTTCTCGTATGGGCTCCTCGCCAAAAAAAAAAAAAGTCTGCGCTCTTCGACCCAAACCCGCCAGCTGCAACTCTGCGCAGGGAACATTTCTCTTGGGTCGATGGGGAGATGGAATTCGTAGGGCAGAATGCGTACGTAGAACACCGGACGTCGGTGGGTACCTTCTGTTCTAGGACTTTCTGTTGAGTGATAGGCATCTATATATTTATTTACTTATCTGGGTTTATTTGTTGTCTTCCCTTTCCATTGCGTTGTGTTGTAGAGTAGAGCTCCCGGTGCATATAATATCCTCTGGCCCTCGTGCCTTATAATACATATTGTTTGCTTACCTCTCAATCAAGAACGACAGACCGGTATCTGACAAGATCCTCTAAGTCCGTGGCTAGATAATTAGATCGATATCGCTTCTTAGCTTGAATTACCAGGGTCCTCTTGGCGTCCACTTTGGGTCTCGGCATATATATATCCGTATATATACACGATTCTGTATCCCCCTGACGAAGGATAGCCACGTCTCAGGACCGACAAAACAACAATACCAAAGTGTCCAAAAACCCTGTCTCCCCTGCTGGTATTTCATACGTAACCTCGACAATACGTAGTTGGGCAGGTCAAGTCCCAGTAAGGCGCCATGGGGAAAGCGGCGGAGGCGCAAACGTCAAGACTGTCGGCGTCCAGGCTCGACGGCGACACCACATCCTCGGCAGTGTCAATGCTAGAGAAAGAAACAGGTGACCACTGGGCTCCGAGGGAAGGAGAAGGCGAGCCGACACAGGATGCGGAAAACCAAGAGCCATCGGCGTCCTCGTCGACGGAGATCATAGCGGCGGAAAATGTCGAGAACACCGACTACGTGACGGGGTATAAGCTCGGGCTCCTGCTTGTCAGCGTCACCACCTTCTTCTTCCTGCTCATGCTGGATATGTCAATCATCAGCACGGTAAGTCGCGCTTCTTCGTCCCTTATATGTTGTTTGTCGATAGGACTGTGACGATAAGTTCTTGAGACTTGGGTATAGACTGACATCCTGTTGGACAATAGGCCATCCCACAGATCACTTCGGATTTCCATAGTTTAGAGGATATCGGGTGGTACACAGGTGCCTATCAGCTTACTAGGTATGTCTCTCCGCATAGTGACTTTCAGTCCCCACGATATCAGACATGTCGGATATAAAAGCTCACCTCGACTTGTATAGTGCCACGCTACAGCCCCTGACCGGTAGGGTGTATACTCGTGTTAGCGCGAAATGGGTGTTCCTCTTCTTCTTTTTCATCTTCGAGGTTGGCTCGCTACTATGCGCCGTCTCCCAATCTTCCGTCATGTTTATTATCGGACGAGCCGTCGCCGGGATGGGTAGCTCAGGACTCCAGAACGGCGCCTTAACTGTCATTTCCGGTGCCGTGCCCATGGAAAAGCGTCCGATTTATATGTCTATCATGATGGCCTGTGAGTTCAATCACTTTCTTTCTTCCCTTGCTAGAGTTGGCTTTGCCAATATGCTAACGGCTTCGTAGTCGGGCAGACGGGACTCATCACAGGTCCGTTAATCGGAGGTGTGTTCACGCAGTACGTGACTTGGCGGTGGTGCTTCTACATCAACTTGCCACTCGGTGGTCTTGCTGGGCTTTTTCTTTCCGTCTTGCACGTGCCGGACCAAACCTCCAAGCCGCGAGTCTCCTTCAAACTGCTCCGCGAGATCATTCCGGACCTTGACCTCGTCGGCTTTGCCATATTCGCACCGGCCGCCATCATGTTCCTGCTGGCTCTGCAATTCGGCTCTTCCGAGTACCCCTGGAGCTCGTCGACCGTCATTGGCTTATTCGTGGGCGCAGGGGTGGCATTCCCTATCTTCCTGTACTGGGAATATCGCGAAGGCGACAAGGCGATGATTCCCTTCTCCATGATACGCAAGAGGATCGTGTGGGTTAGCACTCTCCAGTTCACCGGTTTGGCGACGAGCGTCTTCATCGGTGCCCAGTTCCTCCCCATCTACTTCCAATCCGTCAAGGGAGTAGGACCGACCTTGAGCGGTGTCTATATGTTGCCGAATATCTTGTCTAGCGTGTTATTTATCGTTATGTCCGGAGCACTGAGTACGTCATTCCTATCATCTTATTTCCGAGGATGATATCAAAAAAAAAAAAAGAATCTGTGTAAGGTCATGGCTAACAGTTATCAGTAACGCGACTTGGCTACTACCTCCCTTGGGCAGTGGTGGCTTCGGCGGGAACTACCGTCGCCGCCGGCCTCATCTCAACCTGGGCTCCCGACACCGAGACGGGGCTATGGATCGGCTACCAGATCATCTACGGGCTCCGTGGCTGTGGTATCCAGGTCGGTCTATTCGCGCTTCAATACGCCCTTCCGCCCGCCCAGAGCGCCCTCGGGACCGCGTTCCTCATCTTCTGCCAGAACTTCTCGGCCGCGGTCTTCGCCGTGGTCGGAAACACCATATTCACGCAGACGCTGCTGAAGGAAATCGTGAGACTGGCACCCTCCGTGGACCCCCAGGCAGCCCTCGCGGCGGGCGGTAGCGCGGAAGCGGTCCGATCCTTGGTGCCGCAGGGAAGTCCCGAGCTGGCGGGCGTGATTCAAGCGTTTGCCACAGCTTTCGACACGGTGTGCTACATGCTAATAGCTTGTGCCGGGTTGAGTTTTGTGGCCTCGTTCGGGATGGGTTGGGTAGATGTGAGGAAGAAGAAGGAGCCTGAGAAGGGAGACGTGTAAGAGAAGCGTGAACTTCAAGATTCGGAGCGATGCGTTGGTTGAACTGTATATATATATAATCTCATAGCGATGGATTGTTCATAGGCATTGGTTACATACTCGGAACTCGGTAGAGGCGCTGGTATAAAACGGATCGTATGCATGGATACAATAGGATACCGTAGGAAACCTACCCCCTTCAACCTCGGCATATATATACACTAGTAAGTTAGAGCCTCGGAATACCTAGGTACTCAATAGTATATATGTTTCGATCGGCAAATATCAGATTTCTCATGACCGTAACAAGCTTCTTCGGTAACCTTTTGAAATTTTTGAATCTAATCGCATTTGAAAGCATTGTTAGAGACGTGGAATGCTTGCTTTTGAAATTTATAGATAGAGTGGTGTGTGTGAGCTGCTGACGCGTTATTGATGATGAAGATGAAGAATTCGTCTACGTCCATAGAACGTCCTCTACTTGGGTACAGTACATGTCTACTTGAAAGCTGAGGCCGTCGGCGCATATGTACCTATATCTGTCGCATGGGATATCTGCCTGGAGTACGCCTAACGCATTATTTAGGATGGCGCGTAAATTGAAAAAGGCAGCAAGGTTCCCTATTGGCGGCACACCGTTAATACTGCAGTTGGATGGTTAGATACAGCCACGCACCACGCCAACATGCGACATAACCAGCTTCAACAGCTGCCACGTCTCCCCATAATAATGTTTTACGGCCAATCAATCCTGAATGGCTGCCAATTGAATTCTGAGTGTTGGCTCGATGTGACGGCCGGTGGGTGGGAAAGAAGTTGCATGCCTTTTCATATAGTTTCGCGAGAAACTGGGCAAGCATTTCAGAAAAGTCGTAACTTTCCGCCCCAAAAGCTCCAACTAATCCAATCTCACTTTTCATCGAGTACCTTTTGAACGAACATTTAGACTAAGTCTTATCAATTCCAGTGAACAAAATGTCGGATATTGGCGCTGCATCTTTCGCTGAAAGAATGATATTGTCACTATCTAAGATCGATGTTAGTCAGTGGCCTTGGGATAAGATTATCAACGGTTCTGGCTTGGGGTTAAATCTATTAAGTTTTATTAAAAGTTCGGCTAAAGGCAATCCCCAGATGGAGAAGTTGGTGGCTGAAGCTGAAAGAAACAACGCCTATATGAAATCTCTGAATGATCTCATCAGCGAGGCTGCCAGGTATCAAGCTCGGTCCAATAAGATATCAGAACGACAACTAGACCAGATCTTGAAGGCCTTGCAAGGCTTGGAGAGCTGGACACAAAGCATGAACGAGAGGTTACAGTCCATCGCTGACGGCATCAACTCTTTCAGCAGACCTTCCGTTACGGGTCTTATTCACGGAATCGGAGGTCTTTTGACAGAAGCGGCCGCCGTTGCCGAGATCAGGAGGCTAGCAGATAACACCGAGAAGATGGCCGGATCGCTCAGCGGCATCGACCAGAACCTAGATTCGATTAATTCGCGAGGCGACTACTTTCCTCAACACGTACACTCATACATCCGAACCATGATCGAACGGCACAGTCGGGATGAGATGCCGCACTACTTTTTCGTCTTTCACCAGGGTCACGAATGGCACCCCAAGTTCGAAGACCTTCAACGCCAGGACCCGCTCGGGCCTCCGTTCGTAGGGTATAAAGATGACCTGGACGAGCTGTGCGCCTTTCTCGTCGACGAGGTGCGCCCCCAGGTCGGCACGGAGCCCGTCTTGCATATATTGATGCCAACCGTCAAGCCACTCGCCATCACCGAATCCCTTAGATTCCCCGACGCCATGCGGCCCTTCTGCGTCGAGGGCCAAAAGGGCGATGGGGGAGTTCCGTACGTGTTTATGTGTACGCCTCGGCAAGAGGACCGTCAGCATCTGAAACACATCGGCGCCCTTCAACCCAAGTCGAGATATGTGTTGCTCCAGCAGGCGGGAGTATGCTTGCCCTTCATCGGCAAGTATCTGTCTTGGACGCTGGAGCCTCAGTTCTTTGAGGATCCATACTATACAACAACAACTACTTGTGACCTCCTTCTCTATGAATCATTGTATTGCGAATGTAATCCAGTCCCTCCAAGGGTGCTAGGAGAGCCTCGGGTCGCTTGAGCGAAATGCATACGTTTTGACTACGATGCGGCAATTAAAGGGATTATGAGTACCTACCCGGGTGGGGGGGGTTTCTAGACATTCTTATGCAATGACCTTGACATTCTAAATTATCCTTAAAATAATAAATGCAAAAAATGATGTTTCCAGCATATTGAGTATAATATGTAATCAAATATACATCCATTACAAAATAATACAGGGGTTTTCGACCAATTATATACGTAGAGAAACAATGCTTATTAAGGAAAAAGGGTTTTGGAGCGCGAACAGGATATTTCAATAACATGTATTATTGAATAATGACCATTGTATAAAGGAATATATTGTAATTAATTGCAAGGGTGACTAAGCTAAAATAATTTTAGGTGTGCAATGATTTTCGTCCTGCAATGGTGGGGCTAGTTTAAAAAGGGAAGAAAAAAGGGAAAAAGGGTAGGTGCACCTTCTTAATCAAGGAAGGTGCTATAGTATTTAAATATTTTTTTTTTTTACATGCACTAAGTGGGATTCGAACCTAAGGTTTTGTATGCATACTACGGGTATTACAGTATTACGAGTCACTACTTACTTGACCACTTGGCCAATTAGCTTACGAATCTACGCGCATGTGGGGCTTTCGGATCTTGGAGCTTATATCCTAGGTTCAATTTCCGGAATTTGATTGGTGAAACCCCCCGGAGATCCGCCGAGACCCACCATTGCAGGGAGGAAAATCATTGCAGTGGAAGAAAATCATTGCAATAGTGAGAGATTATTGCAATAAGAGAAAGAATGGTATTTTTATATAATGATATTACGTAGATAATGGGTATATGCAGGTAATAAATAACTAGGTAAAATGGTGTCCTTAGAAGAACAGTATATCAACGTGGTTATCTTAGCCCTGGCTGGCCATTATAACTACAGCTTATACCTGACTTTAATCAATTGATTACTAGATGGGTCAAAGTGTTTTAGGGTTATTCTTACGTAATTATGTCGAGGCTATTGCCAGGAGTGGTGATGATTACGAGTATGCAATTAAGGGGTAACAATGTCCAGGAACCCCCCCCACCCGTATAGGTAGGTATGATGCCTAGGGTGGGTGTGGCACGTGACAAAGATGTCCCTGTCGACGACAAGAGCCTCGGTCCTCGGCAGGCCTGTCAACTTCTGCTAAAACACACAAGTCCATGACCTCGGATTGAGATAAGAAGATGATGCGAGTTACATGTATCTATATTAATAAGTCTTTTCCTATCCTCTTGAAGCTTTGGACCATCCGGAAGAGAAGGAAAATGTAAGGCGTTCAGGCGTCGACGATTGTATGACGGTTAAACAAGGTTGTGTTGGCATTGAGTTGGTTGTTAAGGTTAAGTTGATTGAGTTGTTCAGTCCAACCACTTGGAACGATTTCACTGTTACACGTAGGTGAAGCTCGGGTCACCTGTGCAGGCGAATTAAAGTGGTTCAGCCACGACTCAGCCCTATCAGCCATGATTGAGCCACATTCCGGAGTCCTCCCACTGCAGGGGCAGCGCAGCTCTTAACCCAATTGTTTGCAGGCCAATCATTCTCAGCCAATCATCCCAACCCCTCCAATTAATTCGAGATGTCTTACTCACACTCATTCACCAGGTGTCTAGGAGAGTGGATTCACTTTTGGGCCATGAGTGCCTGGTGAGCTGTGAATTTCCACAGTCACGGTTATGTTGAAATAGTATCAGTGCAGTCCTGGCACCCGCCGGAAGAATATTACTTTACATTCTTTTAACCTCATTCTCTGCGCTCTTTATCGTAGTTCTTGTCACCGTCGTTTTGACTTACATCTAGGCACATCTAGGCGCATAGAAAACAATAGGCACCAAACTCGAGGACAATGCCATTCATCCCCAACACACCCGAGTCTTTGATAGGCCGCACCGACTCTAAAAACCCAGCAACAACATGTCGAGGTATCACTTCAGGAGGTCGACCTTGCCGGCGCGACTTGAATTCTTCCTCAGGATCCTCGCCAGCAGCCCCTCGAATTACCAAACCTACCAAACTACGTGTTGATGACCCAAGCAATCCCGACCTTTACTGCTGGCAGCATAAAGACCAAGCAAGCTTGTCCGCCAAATCTAGCCCGGGACCGAAGACGAGGACGACTCCGATCCTCGAAACCCGCGAGAGTTTGGATACTCTCATCGATCGGCTCGGTATAGTTGAGGCAGAAAGGCACAGGCGAAAGCATCATCATGGGGATAGGCCTTCGAGACACGACGACCGGGACGACCGGCACAACGAAAAGACCTCACACTCAGGCAACACAAACGCCGAACGACCACATAGACGTAGACCGAAGGAGAAGAAAAGGAGTTTCTGCTATTGCTTTACCATCACCGAGTTAGAAGAGGAAGAGGAGGAGCGTCCAGTGCGGCCCCAGCCCAAACCGGTACAGAGCGCGCCCGCGAAAACGACCTATTCGAGACCACAGGACCAGCACTTGGCCATTCCTCCTGCTGTGCATGGGCGACCCAGTACCGACCCAAAGCGACCTTCGGAATCTCGCAAAACTTCGCAGACATCGCAGTACTTGTCCTTGATTCCGGCTACAGCATCGCCACAAACGGCTTCACAGCTTATGGCCGAATTAGCGAAGCCTATTTCGCAACAGGACGAAGCCGGCTACATTTATATCTTCTGGTTAACGCCCGAGTCCCAACCAACAGCCCCTTCAGACGAAGCAGCAGAGTCTCTTCTGGCACCACCCCGTCCGGGCGGCCGCCAGAGACGAGCCAGCGATGTGTTAGAGACATTTGCCGTCAAGGAGAGCAAGACTGGATCGTCATCTGGACCGTCGTCTAAAAAGGTCCTTTTGAAGATCGGTCGGGCATCCAACGTGCAGCGACGTCTCAACGAATGGACCCGTCAGTGCGGTTATAAACTGTCGCTGATCCGCTACTACCCCCACATCTCGTCTAGTCAACCGTCGACACCTCGAAAGATGCCTCATAGCCACAAGGTCGAACGCCTGATACATATCGAGCTTGCCGGCGCCGGTTTACGAGTAAGCGACAAGGGCAATTGCGATGTCTGTGGAAAGGCGCACAGGGAATGGTTTGAGATAGACGCTACCAAAAAGGGGATCGCCATGGTCGATGAAGTTGTTAAACGTTGGTCGGACTGGGACGAATCCAAAGGATGATGGCTGCTTTTTTCAAGGGTATATACGACATCACGACGTCACGACATTATGGACACACATAGAGGGGAGGTTCTCTGGCATGGCGTTTTATTAGAACTGGGATATGGCCTGGTGGAATGCATGGGAGGCGTGAGGGGGGCGTTCTGATTTAAGATGTACCTGGATATGGGACGTAACCAATGCTGCCTCATTCTCGGCAGTTCCCGCGTGGTTTCGGGTGCACTTTGTGTGACTTCTACCCCTTACATCCTGGGTGTTGCCGTTCTGCCGTTGTATTTAGTCGCGTGGTTGTTCCGTTCCTTGTACGATGAACAGAAACTGGTGTGTTCCACGCGTCTTCGGATAACACGACATATCCGGTGGTTTGGATTAGGGGTTATGGCTGTCAAATTGCTTTTAGTGGAAATATTCGCAAGAGAGCCAATGACAACTCCGAAGTCCAGTGGTTCATTGGCGCGTCGACACCCAACTACTGCAACCCTAAAGGGAGATGCGGTCGTATTCGAGGTTGTATACAGCTTATAGAATCCTGCATGAATATTAATTGCTCGCCAATCCCTGGTGGCAGCCAAGCCAAGCTTTTCAACAGAGATTTTCTTCATTCTTATTCATCATGGCTTCCTCATTCGATCTTTGTCGTTACACATCTGGAGAGATCTTAGACTGAATTAGTGCTGACATGCATACAGAGACAACGGACTCCGTATCCTTTTTGTATCTAGTAGTAGAATACAATCCGAGGAGCGGTCCGAGAAGAGCTTGGGAAAAACATTCATATTCCCCTTCCTATATATTTGATACACTTCGCACTACCGCCGATCTGGGTCGGGCTTCGAGCCGCCCTAACATCGGGAGGGAGGAAGCGTTCCCGTCACATTGCACCTCATTAGACCGATTTCATGCCTGCGATTGGGTGATCTGTCCCGAGAAATGTTCTGAGGAACTTGCGAGCAATCATGCAAATGAATACTTGGATCAGCTTGGCCAACAGTCTGATTCCGAAGCACAAACAATATTTGCGTTGTCGAAAAAGAAAGGATCTTCAAAGCCTGCTTCGGCTTTCGAGCGCGGCATGACTTTGCGCCCACAGCTCAGTGGCTGTCTCTAGTTCTCCTATCTGCAATGCAGACATACATAAAACGCAATGCTACGTCGACCCTCCCGGCCAAGCTCCAGGTCCAACTGCCTCTCTAGGATGCGACGTACCTCTTCAAAGTCCAGCCGTTCCCCGAAAGTCTTGTCTAGCGCTTCCTTCGGGATGCTGCATACTAAGTTCACCTATGCGCGCGCGGGATGTCATCTCGATGAGGTGACTGGTCAATCCTGTATTTTCGTCTTAAGCATGCTGACAGGCTCCTAATCCCTTTTGCTTACTTACGATACATATTAAAATGTTACCCCATGCGGTTCTGTTTCCGTGTCAAATCTGCTACTTTTAATTGCCAACTTTTTTTTGGTCTTTTTTTCCATATCAAATTTTCGTACTTACTGGTGAAGTTTCATTTGCGCGCGCCGAGACGCAGCTTTGCGCCGCGTCGCGAAGAGTAGATAAATGGCATATTCTTCCAGCTTAGACCGTGATGATGCGACTTCATTTTCATGGGCTTCCACTCGGACGGCGGTAGAGCAAGATCCGTCGCTGCTGTCGTGGGGGAGCGGCAGTCAGCCATCTGTGCCGTCCATCGATGATGATGCTCAGACAGTTAGTACCGATTGCGACAAGTCATCATAACCCGACTCCTTATTAACTATTGGTAGGAAACTAGGTCGATCTCGGGGAGCATTAGGTATGGCACGACCGATTTGGGATTGGCCTAGGTTGGCGAGTTTCTAACTATTCTCACCAAGATCATCAACCATGTCAATAGATTCGAGTCTGTACCATTTTGTCGAGGAACATGGGAGAACATATCACCGATATAAAGAAGGCAGTATGAATTAATCTTCCTTTACGAACGTCAGACCACTTACTGATAATGCTTCTAGGATACTTTTTACCAAATGATCCTGTATGTTCCGAGCTGGATTTGCCTGTCTCTTCTGGCAACTGACGGGTATATTGACAGGCAGAACAAGAACGATTAGGTATACAGCATTGCGTCTAAACGCACTTTCGTCCTGTCTGTCTTGGAACTCGCTTACGACCGAAATAGATCTCCAACATCAACTCTTCACTATAGCGATTGGGAATAAACTTAACATAACCCCATTTGCCGAAGACCCTCGACGAGTCTTGGACATTGCAACAGGTCCGGCTATCTGCCCCTATCCTTGGTCCTAGCTGACACGATCTTAGGAACTGGTATATGGGCCATAGAGTTTGGTTCGGCCCACCCTTCCCGCTCTGAGTCCCCATATATCTATGCTAACCCGTGGCACAGCCGTGCAACACCCCGGATCCCAAGTCGTGGGGACGGACCTCAGTCCCATCCAACCGCAATTGTACATATACCCCCATTCCAGTCTTACCACTACACTAGCACTGACATACCTACTAACCCCCACCGTCTAGCCTGCCCGAGAACTGCACGTTCGAGATCGACGACGCGGAGGACGAGTGGGCCTTCAGCGAGCCCTTCGACTTCATCCACGGGCGCGCGCTCATGTCGTGCTTCAACGACCCGGCCTCGGTCGTGCGCCAGGCGTTCGCGAGCCTGGCGCCGGGCGGCGTGATGGAGTTCCAGGACGCGCTGTTCCCCATGAGCTACGTGGGCGACCCGCCGACGGGGTCCGCGCTGTACCGCTGGAACGAGCTCATGGTCGAGGGCGTGGCGCGGCTCGGCCGCTCCTGGAGCAACGTCAAGAACTACCGCCGCTACTTCGAGGAGGCCGGCTTCGAGGACATCGTCGAGAAGCGCTTCTACTGGCCCACGAGTCCCTGGGCCAAGGGCCTTTACTTTAAGCTGGTTGCTACTTACTTCCAGGAGGATATGCTGGCGGGTATCGAGGGTATGAGCTTGAAGGTTTTGGGGGGCCTGGGCATGTCGACGGAGCAGGTGAGGGGCTTTGTGGAGGAGGTCAAGCGCGATTTAAGGGATACGAATGTGCATGCTTATTTGACTGTGTGAGTTCTCCTTAGACGCTCTATTTACTTGATGGTTTTATTTATCTATGGTATACCCGAGGAGTATATTTGGGGCGAGATGCTAATGCATGGTAGTACATACATATATGGACGGAAGCCTGGGCGTACGTCTCGACGATGACGAAGATGTACCACTTTGTGTAGTATATGGAAAGCATATCAAGGCGCTTGTTATTCCAGCTACGCCGAAACAATTATATCAAATGTAACTCTGTTTGAAGCAGTTATCGCGCTACGTTTCGTTGCTTCGGGGATATCGCGGGTTCTCGTAAAGTCGTGCCGAGACAGGACCACCGGGCCGAAGTTACTGGTCCTAACGTCCCGACAGGTCGGATCAGCTGTTTAACCTCATAGATCATACGAACTAGTGGGATGTTAATGGAACTTTTGTACACATGTTCATTGAGTCGGTATCCCTTGCTTTATGGTAGAGCGCAGCAATCTAAGGTAAGCTCCGTGCTGGCCTCCGGCGTAGTACTGCATATCTGGAGCCAGGATTTTAAGCAAAAGAAGGGCTCTCTTAATTCAACATTCACGATTGAGAATAGACTTCCCACTACACTGATGTTGGATCCTTACTTATTACAACCCCTTTAGATTGAATGGTATCGAGTTTCCATCGAAGAGTACTGTTATGAACTGGCCATGTCACCTGCAATAGATCGCAAGTTATCCGACTTGTACCTAGATTCTCGTCTTTTGGCAGTCTTTAGCTTATTTGGAAGGTGGGACCACCAAGCATACGGCTCAGTCCCTACGTCCCGACAAGTACAATAGAAGTGGTAGGTATTGATACTAACTACAGTTAAGTCCTTCCCGCACCAAGAAAAAAACCACGCGTGAATTAACGAAACTGCAAGTAATTAGCCAACTCGCTATCTAAAGAAATTTATATATATTCAGCAAGCTAGAATATTTGAGTTACTGGTAAAAGGTACATGATCTTACATGGAAGCCCTTCTTGGGTGTAAATCCTGAGGCCACATTACCCCTTTTTCTTGTGCTTTAAGTGGGTCGTCATAAAAGGGGTCAAAGAATGATTAGGTAGGTAAGTATACTTAAATAAATATATAGGTACGTGTGATCTATTGCCTTATTATTTCATTCTATATTACCTAGGTACATAGGCAGTTTGATGAAGTTAAATTAGAAACCTATCCAGGTAGCCCTAATGCGGATAATCATCCGCTGACTGGATGTGTGACGACCACTAACCTTAGCGTATTGAATACGGGGCATTAAGCCTTAGTGGATAGGTATTCAGCGGCATGTCAAACAACACCTGCAACGCCCGGAGAAAAGTTGGTTATATTTCACTTCCATTGTTGAAAATCGCATTTAGGACTACGTGTATAACTTATAATCGTGAATAATGGTTACATCCCTGTGTATGAATCTCAGCTAGGTACTTCATGTTATTTGTGTGCTAAAGTATCCTCTGCGTCATATAGTCGAAATGGATCCATTACTTAACATAATATTCTCAAGTCACTTATAGGTACCTACCTAGGTAAAAGAGAAGATAGTTGGACACATAGTTCGATACGATAGTATTAACACATGGGTCACCTTCTGTGATGCCATTCCGCCCAAGGTCTATGGAAATAATATATAATAATCAAGACCTGCGTTGAAATTTCAACTCTCTAACCTCCACAGACAACCAAACATTGGAGCTAAGTTGACTTGGAACGACATTTACCTACTTAGAAATAAATGTCTTCGATACGACTGAGGCTCAACAAGAGTTGCAAACCTCTACTCCAGAGACTGGAGTTATATCGAACGACACGAATTCTTACGAATACCAAATACCAGAATGGTTTTCGAAGGGAAATATCAAGACCCCAGCTGATCTTGCCGCGTTAAAGTCCCGCTTATACCTCTCCAATGGTGACTCCCGTGAGGATACAAATGTCGACGACAACCAAGTGTATGAGATTCCATATGACTTGTTCTCACAACCGAGTGACACCATATCCGCGGCACTTGTTCGTAATCCAGACGGCGACCTACCTTTTGAACTACCAACCGTGTTAATTAAAACATGGTGGACGGCGTCTATCGGACCATTAGATGAAATCGTCATACACCTTGCCAAAGATTTAGGTGCAGCTTTGATATCGATAGATCTGGAGGACCTTGAAGACTTAAGCTGTGAATTCAAGCGTCAGGACGAGAATTATGGCCACGCTCTCATAAATGAAGACGATGCAGAATCATCTAAATCAGATGTACAACATTACTTCGTTGTCAAATCGGAACAGAACGCGTCCAAAAATGCTTGGCTGCGGGTTAACCGAGCCATCTCATCAATCATTAACACTGCACGGGTAAATTCTCAGGCCTGTGCCTCAGCTACTCCCACAGGCAACGACATTCCACGAAATCTACCTGTCATACTTCATATTCGCCACTTGAATGGGATGTTGGCTGAGGATAAAAGGGGTAGATTGCTTGCCAGGCTCCGTAACTTCGCCCAGGAATATCGGAAGGGCGGGGGGAATCTCGTTCTGCTAGCGACATGGTGTTCTGATGGCGATGACGACGACTACTTCGAACCACGGATGATGCGAAAGATGGGAATTTGTAACGAATCTTGTGTGACTATCAACCCAGTTACTCGCACTGGTCTTGAGGGGCCCTGCAGAAAGGATGGAAATAGTTATCTCGCCATGATCAATACGCGGCGCCTGAAGAGATCTCTGAGGGAAAAGTTGGTTAATGGTACATCTATGGATTTCTTGCATATGAACTCCGACTGGGGAATCCTTGGCAACCCATTTGGCCATTTCCCATGGCCAGAAGATGAATTAAAGCGGGCAACACTACAAATCGTGGGGAAAACGCTGAAGAATCCGGTACTAGGCCTTCCTGACATTGAAATTGTCCTTCGGCGGCTCAATTTATGTATCACGCCACCCCAGATCGTAGAAACAGTCCAGAGTGACAAGGCGGATAATTCTATACCGTGGAAAGAGAAGATAGACCGTCTTAAGGGCGGTTGTAACGAATTTGAGGAGAAACTTCTGGACTCCGTTGTCAACCCAGGCAAGTATAACACTTATTTAGACCTCGATACCCTAGATGTGAGATCTTCGACTAACAGCATTGCAGTGAACCTCGAGTTAACATATGACGATGTTATAATCGACTCGGAAAGTAAAGAGACTATGAAATATTTGGTTTCGATGTCAAATTTCTGTCCAGATGCTAAGTCGAGCTACCTTCTTAACCAGATCAGAATCAATGGTGCCTTGCTTTACGGACCTCCGGGAACAGGCAAGACACATCTGAGTCGTGCCATCGCTAAAGATTCAGGCATGAACATGATTGCCATTGATTCTGCTTCCATCACCTCCAGATGGTCAGGAGAAACAGAGAAATTCATTAAAGCTTCCTGTTGAGTAACCCCTTTACTACTCTATTGTGCTCCTCAACCTAAAGCAATGATTTCGATAAATATATTCGAGAGACCATTAGTCCCTTGTTCATTCTAAGACTCGCTTATATGATTACCTACCTACCTACTGACCAGAGACATTACAGTCACACTTGCTTCGAAACTCTTCCCGTGTGTTTTATTCATTGACGAGGTGGACGCTCTGTTCTATCGTCGTGATTCTGACGACAAGAGCTGGCAGAGAAGCGCGCTTGCTCAATTTCTGCAATGTCTTGATGGACTTGTCAAAGAGGAAAAGGGACCATTTGTCATTGCAGCCACGAATCGTCCCTCAGATCTCGACGACGCATTCCTCCGCCGGCTACCACAGAAATTGTTCTTTAAACTCCCAGATGCAGAGTCCCGGCTGAAGATACTTCGACTCTTCTTAAAAGACGAAGACATCCACAGTTCGCTTGATGTTGAGGGATTAGCGAAGGTCACCGAGGGTTATTCGGGTTCGGATATACGGAGCCTGTGCGGCAAGGCGGCAATGATCTGGGCGATTGAGCAAGAAAGGCCCAAGGCCAGAGATGGCTTGAAGGGCAAACCCAAATTATGTCTCGAAGCTCGTCACTTCGGTAAAGCTCTTCAGAATATCAGGCCAAGCGTTTCCGAGAAAGCCCTTGCGGAGTTCACCAAATTTGCTAAGCAATACAATGCAAACGATTTCAAGGTATGGTAATATCCAAACGAGATTCTAGGTGCTTAGGTATCAGCAACTCACACTTCACAGGACTCATCATCTGCATCTTATACTATCGACGAGCGATGTTTCACGAAATCTGTGGTGGTATCCGACGAAGCTTGAATCGAGCCGGATGCAGTAACTAAACAGTCATCGAACCGCCCACAACTACTGTGTCTTTGCCTATAGTTACGGTTATCCATTTAACCTATAGGTACTTCGTATAGCTTAGAAGGGTGGATAATTAATTGACGATATAGAGGTATTGGTAAAACTAAGTGCTTTTTAATGCTGGTGATTGTCGTGAACATTGCTGTTGCCTTTTGGATGCATAGTTAGCTATCCGTTGAGATGTGGTCCTTCGGGCATAAGATAGGTACGTAGGTATTTATATAGTGGAAGATAGAGATCTACTAAGGCTGAGAGTTCCGAAAATATATTCAACCACATGCTAGTAGAACCAGGATCCAGGGACGGTGAGACCACTCTAATTTGCCAACTCGCATCTGGCCACGCAGTTATCTTTGGAAATGCCGGGCGAACTGTGTGCACTATCTCAAGTTATTTACAACACAGGTTTACATACCCTAGATAAGCCAGAAATCGACGAGCCATGATTTGAAATCTTCGAGAATTTCGCCGTTGGGGGGGACTGAATGGAGTTCTTATTCGTCGAAACGACGTCCTATCTACCGCAGGCTAAATCTATTAATATACAAGTAAATTGATATTAACCGACCGAAAATGGCGTCCAGCGGCATATAGGAGAAGGGGTGGTAGCAGAACCATGTATTTAGGAGCTGAGACCCAGGTTATCGCACAGGCTCCCCTGGCATTCCCACTACAAGCCTTCGATTCTCGCTGACGGTATCAATCATCTCGCCCAAGATGCAGTGGAAAGCTCTCACCCTCGCCCTCCTCGTGGAGCGTGGCTTCGGCCAAGGGATGTTCCCGATGATGCGGTTCAGCTGCTCGCAGCTCGTCGTCGATCGTCTCGACCCCCTAGTCACACCCGGCTCCATCCCGTCGCCGCACTTGCACCAGATCGTCGGCGGCAACTCCTTCAACGCGTCCATGGACCCCGCGACGCACGACCTCCCTTCCTCCTCTACCTGCACCAGCTGCACCTTCTCCGAAGACTTCTCCAACTACTGGACCGCCGTCCTGTTCTTCAGAGCCCGCAACGGGACGTACAAGCGCGTGCCCCAGTTCGCGAGCGAGGGTCTCCGAGCCGACGGCGGCATCACGGTGTACTACATCCCCGCGGCCGAGGGCCAGGGCAACGTGACCGCCTTCACGCCCGGCTTCCGCATGCTCGTCGGAGACGCCGCCGCGACGGCGCCGGGTACCGCGCGCAAGGTGTGCCACCGCTGCATGCCGAAGACGGGAGACAACAGCAACATCAACTGCGGCCCTCCGGACAGCCAGGCCCTGCCCGCGGGCCCGTGCGAGGGCGGTATTCGCTCCGTCATCACCTTCCCTACCTGCTGGGACGGCGTGAACACGGATAGTCCGGACCACATGGCCCATGTCGCTTATCCCGAAGGGTCATCTGAGAACGATGTTGGCGCGGCCGGGACCTGCCCGGAGAGCCACCCGGTGAAGATACCGCAGGTCATGCTCGAGGTTATGTGGGACGTAAGTGCTATCAGTCTTTCCTGAGTCTCCATTATGAGTTTTGGGCTTGGAATTTGTGGGGTCGCTATGGGATCAATCACTCATAATTGCTGACACGATGTACAACAGACTCGGCCTTTCAACGACGAGAGCTTATGGCCCGAAGACGGTTCGCAGCCTTTCGTCTGGTCTACTGGTGACAAGTAAGTTCCGACGATGGAGGTCGTGTCTTAGTCGCGACTCTAAACAGTGTACAGGGACGGATTCTCGCAGCATGGAGACTACGTCTTCGGCTGGGAAGGCGACTCTCTTCAACGCGCCATAGACGCCCGCTGCAACGGTGCGGTTTGTAACGTGCTCAAGACTCAGTCGTCAGAGGCGGCGATGAAGTGCACCAAGTCGCGGGTTGTTGAGGAGGACATCGATGGATGTAAGTCAAACCCTTGATCAAGTTAAGGACTGAATCCGGACTAACCGTTTCTTAGGGACAACTTCAATTCCAGGCCAAGCCATGTAAGGTAGATCGGGGTTGGCGGGATTTTGGATTTGGATAGCTAGAAGCGCGCAGTATTAGATTGAATTGTTAGTAATAAACATTCCAATTAAGATGTTGACTTTGTATAAGTGTTCCTTACCAGCCTAATCGCTTGGAATTTCATCGTGTTTATGTGAAATAGTGGGTATGCATTCGCTAAAGGGGGGGGTCGTCAGTGGCTTCAGCGGGCTGTCTATTCCGTAATTGGAGGTCTCATGTTACCTAGTGTAAGCCGGGGTGTAGAAAGCTAAAATTCTAGGGGATCAAAGCCGTCTATCTAAATGGATGTGTTTTCTCCATACTCCCGGATACAAGTAACAGTACAATAGGCACTTTTCTTAACTTTGTATATCATTCATTAAACGTTAAAACATTAACTAATTATTGTACTGAGTTACCAACCATTTAACCCTGCATATTACAGCATTGGGTTGGTTAGTATTACCTATTTCTTCCCGGGCGTTGTCCTCGTTAAAACTTCCCCGTCGTCATCTTCATCCCCAGTTTAAATAAGCTCAAAGCCCCTGGGCCCCTCACACTTCGTGGTATAGATGCCAACAAATTCCTCTTCTTCGTCGTCGACGTAGAATTGCTCTTCGTTGCATTCCAATTACCTAGGACTTCTTGGATAAATGTGGTGTTGCCGAAGACTTCATCGAGTATGTCGGGTATGGAAACCTGACTGCCGTTGGTAAAGCTGCTGATGAGGTCGCTTGCTAACTTGACAACAGACGTAGTAGACGTCACGGTCCTGTTGTTAAGAATAGTCTCAATAAACCTAATGTGTTCGCCATTGACCACGGTAGCGTTACCCGTCGCATTAATCTGGATGTTCCCGCCGCTCAGCGCATCTCCCTGCGTGGAAAGAATCGTCCCAATGTTCTGGAAGAGCGTGTCGAGAAATAGCTCGCCATTGAAGTATCTAATATTGTTACCGCGGGGAAGATAGACGTCGTAGACAGTGATCAGACCAATTCTAAGGTCTCCCGACATCAAATTAAGGGATAAGTTGCCTATGCCGAGGTCGAGAGTACCCCAATTAGGCAAATTGAGAGTTCCCTGGATGTTGGTACCGTTCTCTCTGGCTGGCATCAGGAGCTGAAGATCTTGGATGGAAAATCCATCTAGCTTGTTCAACGAGTTCACTGTGACTGTCTTGTCTAAATGTCCATTCGTGTGTAGTGCGCCCAAATGGATTTTTGGGTCGCCGCGAGTGGATAAAGTGACGGTAGGTTGGTCGAAAACATTTGCGAACCACGATATCAATTCAGTCTCATTAGTTACTGTGACGATCTGGTTCTTGATATTGAGCGGTGTGGTCCCCTTTATGTGCAGCTCCGGTAGAGACACATTGACAAAAGGTGAAAATGTGGGCGTGTCCTTGTTATACAAGAGCAGTGTCATAGGGTCGATCCTAGCCGGTAAAGGCGAATCGAGTGACGTGAGAATAGAGACGTTGAGCTTAGTTGGCGATACAGCTATGAACTGACCGCCGCTGATGGGCATCGTCTGGTCGTTGAGAATGCGCTGTACGATGGCGGGTATGATCACCAAGAATCTGAACTGACTGTTAATATTTAGACTGATAATTCGCTCCCGAGACAAAAACATACATAATGGGCAGAAGTATGGCGAGGAGAACGATCGCTCCTATCAAATACCACCACCAAAACCGACCACAGTGACGTTTGAATTTTTGCTTCTTGGTGAGAGGGGTCGCTGCCGCCTCCTTCTCTTGAACATGATCGGTCGAGGAAGCATCATCACTCTGCCTCACCGGCGCAGTTGCTGCTCCTTCGCCATCGTCACCTCGACCGCCATGTACAGAAGTTGTAGGACTACTGGCCTCAAAGTGAGATCGGTCTTCTCGAAAGGCGGACGTCATGATCACTTTGCTTTGGCTGAAGGACGCTTGGATGCAGTAGAAGAATGTACGCCTGAAGACTTCTTGAGTGAAATCAGGGAGAGGAGTTCAACTTCAAGGCGGACCTGGTTATCACATGTGTATCCAATATGCCGGGAGTCGACTACCACATCGGCTTGCAACGATGACCAGGGCGTTAAGCCTTGCCCAACATCCACCTCTTTGCAGCTACATACATATCGTATACCCCTCGTGAGCTGTTCTGCTTTGTGCGCATCGACTTATCTCCATCTGTGCTCCGACCCCGGTTTTTTTGGTCATATAACTATTACAGGGGGATGGTCAGCTTTGAGTTTTTCAAGGATTCTTACTGGTTTTTGCGAGGGTCACGCACATTACCGTCGAAGAATAAGATGTTAGTCTTGCGGGGTTTCGGCATAGTACAACCCCAGTTATTAATTACCCTTAGCAGATCTTCATTTTCACTGCGAAGAAAACAAAACGCCCGAGTGGGATGATGTCAAGTCACGCCCGGCCTTCCTGATATGGAAAAAGATGTACCTGCATGATTCCCAATCTGACCATACCGCCCGAAAGGCATCCAATAGTCGATATATTCGCGGGGTTTTAGCAGAGTAGTTAAGTCGTGATCGCTCAATTTAGACCTGGGGCAGCTGGGGAAGAGAGAACTAGTGTTAAGTCAGCTCGTGGCGCGGAAAAATGTTGGGAAATTGGTGGGTTATGGGAAAGAAAAAAGACAGAAAGGGGGCGCGTGCGTACGATCTCTTCATCTTGGAATACCACGAAATCTCATAGCTTAGTACTCTTAAGGTGAAAATGTGGAAAAGTGGGAACGGTATGGACCGTGATCAACAACACATGCAGTAGACCACTTGCAACGCCGAGCGACGACGAGATTATCAGATTGAAGGTAAACAAGCTAGATGGCACCACTGTGAGACCTTCAATGCAAGCGCGGTAATGGCGAGTACGAGCGCACACATTTTGTATTTACAATCCTACCCTCCAAGACAGATTGTCGAATCAGCATCTAGAAAAACTTGCTGATTTGGGTCCACCTATTATGGGTTACATGGGGGCTCGTGCCCTACGCAACCATGTCACATTAGTGATTGGCATCGTGGAGAAGTTGGGGAAGTTGGGGCCGCTGTCGTTCCGCTAGCTTAGCTAGAGAGCTAAGGAGGAGCTAACGCCGGCAAGCTCATTACCCATGTGGGTAAGAGATGGACGAAGATCCAAACGAGGAATAACGCCCGAGGCTCACCCCCCAGCTCTCCAGCTCCCAACTGCTCATGGATACCAAATTCCATGTGACATGAGTGAGATGCATGCGATGGAGTCGGTAGGAATGATTGCTCATATTCTCGATCCTCCCATCTTGGGCTCGCCTATCACGTCTTCTACTCCGTGGTCGAGCTGAACCGGAGCTTCATCTTCAAGTCAAAGGACGAACGACACCTTGGAAGCCTTCCTAACAACTAATCCACAGCCGTCGCCATGCTGTTCTCTAAACTCTTCATAGCGGCCTTGGCGCCGGTCAGCTTCGTCGCTGCAGAATCGGTGCCAGACTTGGATCTTGATGCCATTCTTGCAAAGCATAACCTAGCATTGGTTCCTCGATCTGACCTCACAGATGCATTAACTGAGCTTAACGGACTGCTCAGGAGAAATCAAGTCCAACAACAGAAAGTCCCCATATACCCACGAGCTGGCAACAGCACTGGCTCGAGTTCTTCCAGTTCTTCGTCGGGCAGCGGGCTTGACCTTGGAGATCTTTCAGGACTAGGAGACCTAGGCCAAGCGATCGAAGGCTTGACTTCGCTCCTCTCAGGCCTGGGCGATATTGGAAGCCTTCTCAAGGCCATCGAATCCCTTCTAACCTCGGAGTTCTTGCAAGCTCTCCACGATGCTATGGTATATCTGGCAGCGACTCTCCAGCCGCCTATTCCCACTATCGCCAGGAATGTTCTTACCAAGGTTGAGCCGGTGGTCGACTTGATCTCAACACTAGACCTAAAGGGCATCATCGATGAGATTGAGGGTATCGACATCAAAGGCATACTTAGCGCGTTATCGCCACTGCTGCAACCTGATGCCATCAAGGGCGTCGTAACCCTGCTGACCAATGCCGAAAGTCTTTTGACCAAGGACACCGTTGACTCGCTCAAGACATTGCTTTCCAGTGTACAGCCACTCATCGACAGCCTTGGAAAGATTGACCTCCAAGGTATTCTTGATGCCATAGCCCCACTTCTTACCGCAGACTCCATAAAAGGCATTGTTGGTCTGCTAGGAAACGCAGAGAACCTGCTTACATCAGATTTCGTTGACGATACCAAGTCCTTGATCTCTGGAGCCGGACCGCTCCTCGATAGTCTCAAGAATATTGATTTACAAAGTCTAATCAACCAGATCACGCCAATTCTGAACGAACTCGGCCAACTTGACCTCAAGGGCTTGTTCGAAGCCATTAGCCCCTTGTTGACGTCGGATTCTATCAAGGGCATTATAGGACTTCTAGGAAACGCCGAGGATCTTCTGACGAAAGACTTTGTGGATCAAACCAAGTCTCTCATCTCATCAGCCGGTCCTCTGCTCTCGAGTTTGGGTGATATTGACTTACAAGGCTTAGTTAAGCAAATATCACCCTTGCTCGACACTCTCAGCAAGATTGATATACAAGGCATTCTCTCAGCTGTCGAGCCATTGCTGACAGCCGACTCAGTAAAAGGCATCGTTGGACTCTTGGGCAACGCTGAGGATTTGTTGACAGGTCAATTCGTCAACCAGACACAGACGCTGATATCCGGTGCCGTGCCCTTGATCGCAGCCGTCGGCAAAATCGACCTGGAAGGCCTTATAAACCAGGTGGAACCACTACTGGATGCTTTAAGCAAGGTTGACATAGCTGGGCTCATCGAAAAGGTAGAGCCTATCCTGGACGCTGTAGGCCAAATCGATATCGCTGGTTTAGTGAAACAAATTACACCAATCCTCAATGCCCTCGGACAGGTTGATATAAGTGGTCTTGTGAAGCAGATTGAGCCAATCCTGACTACCCTCAGCCAAGTTGACATCGCAGGCTTGATTAAACAAATCACCCCGATCCTCAATGAGTTAGGTCAGATTGATCTGGCAAGCCTAATCAAGAAAGTAGAGCCTATCCTCGACGCCCTGGGTGATATCGATATTGATGGGCTAATCAAGCAAATCACTCCTATCTTGAATTCCCTAGGCGATATCGACATTAAGGGTATCTTTGATGCAATCGCCCCACTACTCACACCAAACTCCGTCCACGGCATTCTTGGGCTCGTTGACAACGCTGAGTCTCTACTAACAAGCCAGTTTGTCAACGAGACTCATACCATCATCGACGGCGCAGCACCATTAGTTGGTGCTCTCGGACAGATCGATATCAAGGGCCTCATCAATCAGATCAAACCACTGCTCAGTACACTCAGCGGAATTGACTTCACTGGCCTCATCAGCGCTGTCAGGCCTTTGCTCAGTGCGCTGGACAAGATAGACATCCAGGGTATTGTCGACCAAGTCACACCTCTGATTACGCCGACATCCGTGAAAGGAATATTGACTTTATTGGGTAACGCGGAGAGCTTGTTGTCGGCTGCTTTCGTCTCGCAGACGACCGAATTAATAGGCGACGCTACGCCGGTAAGATTTCTTCCTGCTCTATTCTTATTAACAACCATCATGCTAACTTTTCTTGATGTAGATCGTAGCGACTGCTTCAGACTTCATAAACGCCATACTGCAGGCGTTAATGGGAAATGGAACATCATGACGGGGCATCTTGGTAATGACGGGAAGAGACTTGGGCAACCTATCATGAATAAATGATGCAGTATATTAATGAATAATAATGAATGTTAATGAGTTTAACCAGATAATACCGTCGTGATATAAGTAACTGATCTTTGTATTACGTAATCATTCCGTGGATTCAGGGGTTCAGGGGTAAATGACTAACCTTCATTGGTGTAAAATTGTATATACATTTCGGGGTTATATCTTTACTCCGCGGTATGCGGAATAATTTGACAGGTTAAAGAGACTCTCTTAGTAAAGTGGTCTTTCGTATATTTTGTTATTTCTATTAGATGTCATTTTCTCCATTTAATAGGCCAAGATGTTCACCTCATGATACACCACGGAATACTAACTCCTAAATATATCAAACGACAAGCTTCCGAAGCTTTATCTAGCTGCTCTAGTCGAAACGTCTGACTTGGTCTGCTGACAGTTGGAGTCCCAGGCATGAATTGCGAGTCTTCAAAGTTTGTGTGTTCTGATAGATTAAAAGAAACACCGGAGGAAGATGACCCTAAAGACTTGGGTGGTCTGGGGAAGTCTACGCATCGATCTGTCTTAGAGCACGTTATACTCCATCATAAATGGCTAAACATAGCTGAATCTCCAAGATGTACTTGCTCTTTCAATAAGGCGACGGCTTCTTCTAGCCGATGGCATGCGGAATGTACCCGATGTCGATACGAGAGAGGAACTCCTTCGGCTTCACATCCGACGCAAGTTTTCAGCGTGTCTTGCTCAGATAACGCCCCCACAAATCCTATGGAGCGTTCATGTAATAACTTAATTGAAGATATATAACTCCCTTTTCAAGCCCAATTCAGCAAAGTCGTGAAACAACTGTCAGGTAGGTAATGCCACGTCGGCCCATATTCTCCATTAGTTCTTATGTCTTTCTAACCGATCGTTCGGCAATATGATGAGGGGAAGCTACGCAGGTGTCACCCGCGACGGATCGTGAAAGAGATATCATAGTAGACGAGGTCATTACTAGGTGGTATGTCATAATCTCAGCCACAAAGCCATTTGTGCTACACTAGAGAGAAATTTAGAAACAATCATAAATTAGGCAGCACATGTTGGTATTACGAGTAACCTTGACAAGAGAAGGCTAGGTATTTATAGCTGGCATTCTCTTTGCTGGTACCTAGTTATCATTAGCCAGGGATTAGGAGGCCCAATATAGCTTCGCATAAGCTGGTAGGCCAGACCCGTAATGTTAGGGCTGGGGGTATCAAGGTACATGATTTCACAGGCATTTTGCCTTGTAACAGTTGTATCTTAATGCACAGACATATAAAGTGGTGCTCCCGGTCCATCATAACCAAGCTTTTGCATGTACTTAGGTGTATCTTGTTTCTTAATCCCTGGCAGACGACTGCCACTTTAGGGGATAATGACTCTGGTCGTTGATTACCGTTGCTGAAGCTGAAGGAGATAGGTGGTGTCTAAAGCATACGTGAGGACCCTATCATCTCCTAGAGCGTGGAATTCCGGTTCTTCGTATAGCTAAGATCGCCACTATCACAGAAGAACATTACATAAAGAAGAGAACTATGGGGTAACGAGGAAGACCCCGTCTTCAATGCGCCCCTACCACCTATATGAGTATGGTGTAGTAATTTGAATGCGGGGAAGTGAGAGACCAATCACCAAGTGCATCCCGCAGTTTCGGCTTGAAAGACAGGATTTATCGCTCCATCTTCTCCTCATTCTGCTCAGGGAGTCAGTCGGGAACTGAGGCTCAAGCAGTAGAGATATACGCAACTAATCCCCACTTGAAAAGGGGGGAAGTCGAATCAACCAATCATCATCGTGACCCCGGCTTTTCGGGTATAAGTTGATCAAGGTTAAGAGATGGGGTCTCCCAGCAACTTGGAAAAGGGAAAAACTAATGCGATCATTCTCATTCTCCTTTTATTAGAAATAAAACCGCCGGACTTATCCTAGCCTCTTGTCAATGCTAAGAGGGACTAGGTAAAGTCCTCTCTTAGTTGCCCCTGACCCCGGACTCTACACCCCGGACTCCATACCCCGTACCCCATACCCCGTACCCCGGAATATGGGGCAAGGCCCATAACTTGATTGTGGCTCTTACGCAACCCGCTTCTGCTGAAGGTCAGCCCAGTGGATATCAAACTGAATATAAAGCTCTTCACTTTTACCCTCAATCTGTCTTCTAACATTCTCAAAACCCCCATTGCAACCATCGCAGAAGTACTTCAAGACAGTCCATTCATCATGGTTGACGAAAGCAATGAGATTAAAGATGTCTCGGCGCAAGTCAATGACGGAGGATTCGAACATGTCGAGGATGCATCGAATCTCAAGGTTACCGCGAAGATCAACCAGCACCATGAGGAAATGTACAAGGAAGCGCTACAGCAATATCCAGACGATACCGCCATTGATAAAGAAAGCGAGAGAAAACTCAAGCGAAAACTTGATATACGCATATTGCCCCTGCTAAGCATATGCTACTTCTTCTACGTACGTACCTAGGTACCTATATAATGTACTCATAAAGGAATTTCACCTGGGACTGACCATGATGTCTAGTATGTCGACAAGACAACGCTCTCCTATGCTGCCATCTTTGGAATAGAGTCAGACCTTCATATGACAGGCTCCGAATACTCGTGGCTGTCGAGCATCTTCTACTTTGGCTGGCTCTTCTGGTCTATCCCATCGAACCTCATCATGCAGCGCTGTCCGCCTGCCTGGTATTTGGCGTTCAACATCTTCATGTGGGGAGTGCTCTTGATGTGCCAGGGCGCGGCATCAAATTTCGCCGGTCTTACAGCGCTGAGGACCCTGTCCGGGGCCTTCGAAGCCATCGCGGATCCGGCTTTCATGCTTATAACTTCAATGTACTATACACGTGAAGAACAGCCTGCTCGTATCGCAGCGTGGTATGTGTGGAATGGTATGGGTGTAGCAGGCGGTGGTCTTATTGGTGAGTAAAAGCCTGACGAGAACATATATGACAAGACAATCACAGTTGCTCATATGAACAGGATACGGAATTGGCCAAGTGAAAGGCGCGCTCGCCTCGTGGCGTTACGAATTCATAGTTGTGGGAGCAGTCTGTTCGTTTTGGGGCCTCATCCTGTTTCTCCTCCTACCGAACTCACCAACAACTTTCTGGGGCTTCAATAAACAAGAACGATTGCTCATGATAGCTCGAATGCGCAGCAATCAGACCGGAATCGAACACCAAGCAGTCAATTGGGGTCAGGTCAAGGAAGCATATCTTGATTATAAGACGTGGCTTTTTATCCTGTTAGGTTTCCTCGGCGCGGTACCCAATGGCGGCATCTCGAATTTCTCAACATTGGTTATCAAAGGCCTAGGATTCGATACCCTACACACTGCGCTACTAGGTATACCACAGGGCATTATCATCGTCATCTGGATCGGCCTTAGCGCGCTTGCCAACAGATATATGCCGCCTAATAGCCGTACGCTCATCTCCGCCATGTTTATGCTACCTACCATGGCGGGAGCTTTGGGATTCCTGCTTGCCCCAGCCGATGCCTATGTCGGGCGTTTGATCTGTTTGTGAGTGTGGACTTCAGGAAAATAAAATTCGAACCAATTCTAACAGTTGACAGTTATCTCACCGGATCTTACCAGGCAGCATTCGTCATTTCCTTGTCCTTAGCAACAAGTAACACGGGAGGACAATCGAAGAAGATGATTGTAGCGGCCATGATCTGGTTCGGCAATTGCCTAGGCAATATCGTCAGTCCCTTCTTTTACATCTCGTCACAAGCGCCGACCTACCACCTAGGTATCGGGTCCCTGCTTGTAGCTAATTTCCTCGAATTCCTCCTATTCTTCGTCTTCCGGTACGCGTTCATATTCGAGAATCGGAAAAAGGAGAAGATTCGAGCACAATTGCGGGAAACCGGTGTGGACACGAACAGCGCGGAGTGGCTGAACGCAACCGCGTTCCAAAACTTGACGGACAAGGAGAACCCAAATTTCGTTTATGTGTATTAGGACTTCGGTGGCCGAATGAATTTGGAATCTCCCATGCGCGCTCTGTGCCCATAAGAGCCTTTGAGGCAGAAGGGGCAGACGCTAGGATCGCGGGATAGCATCCTCCAAATCGCTGAAGACATTTCGGCTCATACCCCTGAATTTGTTGGCTTGGTAGCTTATCCATTATCGCATCGCAATAACTTATGGCATGGGATTGAAGGTATTAGTATAGTATACCGAAACTTCTTTGCGGAAATAAATATTTATCGCTATATTCGACTATTGGTTTATTATTTTTCAGACACCCTGCCGCCTTTTGAAATATATCAATAGGGTGAATTGAACCAATTCTTAGGTACAATAGCTCTGTTGGTTCGGCCTGTAATTAGCGTCAATAAGGCGACTCCCAACCATGGTACCGCGTGCGGGCCAAATTCACAATCTGGCATCGATTGAGACAAGAAGACAGGAAGGCTGAAAAATCCTTGAGTTCAGATCGTTTCAATATTGCTTCGGTTCTCCACCTCATTCCCACACAGTCAATGTCCCGCAGATACCGGAATTCTAACGCGACAGACGATATTCTGTATGGACTTCGTGCTATCGGGACGTGGGATGGACAGGATTGTCAGAGAGAGGAGTGCTCCGTGATAGAGGTCACACATAGAGTGCATGCTAGGTAGTAGTGTAGTATTAGTGAACTAATAACGCTTGCCCTTCGAAGCACCTTCGAGGGCGCTGAGCGCCCTATATATGAACTACCCTGGTCTCACACTATCCCTAATTGGGAATAATTCACATTGTCCCCTGACAAGGATGGAACTCATAGGTTGTGGTAGCGATAACATAGACGCGCCATCCATTGCAGTAAATCATCGCGTAAATGGATAGAAGATGAACCGAACTGAGCTTCACATTACTGGCAACAATTACGCCTATAGTACATGTGACCGACTAGTTTGGAGGACGTTGGACTGGTCGGGTCGAAATATCGATTCGATTGAGTTGGCGGATGTCCCCAGGCTATTTATATTTGACAGACAGGTATAAGTCCTGCGAGATCTGCCGTAGGAGATATGTAACTTTATTCCTCTAGGTTAAAGATTTCCTAACCCATAACCTATCTATCACCTTACCACTTTTAAAAAAGATGATAGTCATTTTAACTTAGTCATACTTGGAGCCAGACCTGGATGCAAAGCAGATTTTAGTCGACTAGCTGGAAACATAGGGGAGTAAGTTGTCAAGTAAGGACAGGGACTGACACTCCAGAGTCTACCACCAACGTCTGTCCGTTAACAAAGCTTGCTCCTGGACTTGCAAGGAAGTGAATCACATTCGCAATCTCTTCAGGCGTCGCGACCCTACCAAGAGGCATAGACTTGTTGATGATTTCGCCAACCTTTGGCTGCTTCTCAATTCCACGTCTGAGCATCGGCGTATCTGTGAAGCCCGGACACACTTCGTTTATCCGAAGGCCCGAGCTCCTATTTTCAAGGGCTGTAATCTCCATGTGAGTATGACCAATTTTCCTTGATAGCCCAGAGTCTGGCTCACCTGCACACTTCACTATGCCTCGCGCGGCAAATTTGCTTGCTACATAGGTGATTGATTGAGCCGTGCCGAGGACAGCAGACAGAGAAGTGACGTTGACAATCGCACCAGGACCTATACTTCGGCGACCGCTGCGACCTTCGACATATAGAGGCTCCTGATTCTTCATCACACTGATCTCTTCTTGGAGGCAATGCAGAATACCCTTTGCATTTACATCATGCAACAGGTCGTATTCCGCTTCATCCACACTTGACGTGTCCGCTGGGGTTTGACGCGGCAGCTAAAGGACGCTGGTTAGCAACATGATTGCCCATTGTCGCGCTTACTAACTCCGGCGCTGTTCACAGCGTAGTCTATTCTGCCGAACAATTCCTTGGCTTTGGTAACCATTGCTTTCACAGACTCTCGGTCTCTAACGTCAACGGCGATGGCAGCAGTCCCATAGTCTTTAGCTGAGGCAAGAGATTTGCTTTTTGCCGACGCCTCTGACGCTGCATCAAGTGTCTGGTCAGCGAAAATAACTGCCCGGGCACCTCTCTCTGCAAAGGTCAACCCGGTTTCAAGACCGATTCCACTCCCTATTCAGAAGATATTAGCCACGCTGATGACGATGTGATTTTAAAATTCATTTCTCACCAGCACCAACAACCAGAGCTACGCCATAGACATCCATTTGGGGATTTTAGGGCGAACTAATTAGAAATAAAGCTGTATATGAATAGGTACAGTGTAGACTAGTAATGAAAAGATATAAGACCTTAGGGAAGGAGAGGCAAGACAATACTGTCCTTGCGAGGTTAGCAACTCCTCTGAATCATTGCCTCGATAACTCATAAAAGTTGGGCAGAAATAGGTTGGAAGAAAAATAACGGGTCGAGCAAGTGTCATGTAAGGGAGACAATGTTGCCCCTTATGATATAGTGGGTGAACCAATTAAAATGTTAGGTATAGAACCAACAAGAGGAAAAGGGGAGGGGTATATACAATTTGCCTCTTGCTAGACCTCCACAATCTAGCCATCGACGGAGGGCGTGTCCCTAAAGGCTTAGGTGCAAGGCAGATCGAGAACTAAATCAACCTCAGGACGGCCAAGCTTTTTTGTAAAGGAGATGACAACGGCCATGCGGCCATTTACTAGGCTGTACACCCCTTAGTTGAGGCTCATGCTGCAGAGCAATCCCTCAAAGCAACGCGCCGCCCAGTTCGATTCTCGCCGCCCTCATCGGAATACCCGATAGCGGCGGCTTTGCCACCGATGGGTAAGTTGTAGGTAACGGGAACTTGCGATGCAATCTCAACACAATTTCTGCGAAAGCTTCTTCATAAAGGTTTGGACAATTTCGCTAACACCAAGGCTACGCTCCGCGCGGAAGGCTTTCCGGTAGACGACGAGATCGTGGAATGGGCTAAAAGAATATCGCATGCCTTAGAGCCGGGGATGTTCTATCATGAGATCGACCAGGTAGTCGGCAAGTATTTTGATGTTACTTTCAAATACAGAAGTAGATAGACAGGGTCTCAGAAGAAGGAAAACAATATGTCTGATAAGAAAAGTCATCTCTCCGTGAGAGCGATGGGTATCATTAATGGCTCATAAACATCATATCCTAAATTCAATAAATGAGATCGCCCCAGAGGAATGTCCCATTGCAATTAAATTGCCCCAGGTAGCCACATCAGTCGCATAGTATTCATTAGGAAGCCAAATTGCATTTTCCATGTCTCGCCTTAACCAATCATGAGTTGCAAATAGGGAATACGGACGAATAGAGGAAGGAGAAGAGGGAGAATGAGCGCGGAGAGAACCGATACTCAATACCCCTCTATCAGTCTCAAGGTATCGGCCACAACTAGAGAAGGAGAGTTTTCGAACTATTGCACCTACGTTGAGTGAGCCTACCGTGTACTTGCTGCCTAGGTTCCAGAGTTTCACGGTGTTGTCAATCGAGTAAGCCATCAACTGGCTGTCTGGGGAGAAACAGGTAGAGCTAACCGGAACCGTATCCCTGATTATACCGGCTCCAGCGCCCGACTTACTCCAGAACCTAATCGTAGAATCCTCCGAGCAAGACACAAGCAACTTGCTATCCGATGAGAATGCAACCGAATTAACCGCATTGGAGTGGCCTCGGAGCACCACAGATGCTGCATTGCTTTCTAGGTCTGAAAGAAGGACAGTCGTATCTACTGAGCATGACGCAATGAAGTGATTATCTGGTGAGAAAGTAATACCACGAATTGGTCCTGTATGGCCTTCAATCTTGCCCAATGCCACTCCTATGAATGGGTCCCAGAGTCGTATGGTAGTATCATTAGAGCATGAAGCGACCAGCTGGCCGTCTGGTGAAAAGAGGACGCCGAGTACACTGTTCGAATGGCCTTCAAATGTATGAGATACTACTCCAGTCGATGTGTTCCATAGTCTCACGGTGTTGTCAGCCGATGCTGATGCGATTAGGTTGCTATCCGGCGAGAATGCAAGATCATTGATGCTGTCGGAATGGCCTTCGAGTTTTCGATGCTCATTTTTCCTTAACCAGATTTTAATCGTAGCATCCTGCGAACCGGAAGCAAGCCATTGGCCATCCGGTGAGAATACTACGCGAGTAATCTCACTTGAGTGACCTTTAAGAAGTTTGGCGCTCTCCATAATCTCCCCTGTAGATAGAGTAGAGGACTGTCGGCTAGGTAGTATACCGGGGTTAGCGTCCTCCTCGAAGTCGTCAAGCTTCCCGACCAGTGTCCAAGTCTTTGTATCCCAAAGCCTTACTTCATCGTCGAAAGAACTTGAAGCAAGAAGCTTACCATCAGGGGAGAATAGGACAGAATTGAGGCCACTCGTATGGTCTCTCAAAATGGCTACCGCAGTGCCGCCAACTGCATCCCAAATTCTCACAGTCTTGTCTTCAGAACCAGACGCAATGTGGACAGCGTCCCAGGAAAATGCGACAGCCATAACCCTCTTCGTATGCCCCTTAAATGCCATAAGTTCTGTTCCTAAGGCTGTATCCCAAAGCTTTAACGTCATGTCATCAGATCCAGAGATAATTCGCTTTCCGTCCGGCGAGAATCGGACGGAATTAATAGCGCCTGAATGGCCGTCGAGTATTATGCGTAATTCGTCCGAGTCATTCGAAACGTCCCAAAGCCTGATCATTTGGTCAACGGAGCCGGTCGCGATCAACGACCCATCGGGAGAAAAGGCAGCAGTATTAACACAGCTCGATTGATTGTCGATTCTTTTGATTTCTTGTCCAGTTGAGGCATCCCAAAGTGCCACCGTTTCGTCCATGGCGCCAGACGCAAGGATCTTGCCATCTGGTGAGAAAACCACAGAGTTAACCCATCCGGAATGGGCTTTGATAGAATAACGCAACGTCCTCGTCTTTATATCCCATGCTAAAACTGTGAAGTCATCTGAGCCCGCCGCGACGGTCGTTCCGTCTGGCGAGATGGCAACTGAACTCATCTTATCCGTCGCACCCTCGTACTTAGCAAGCGTGGCTTTTGTTGCCACGTCCCAGAACCTAACAGCCTCAAAGTTCGACCCTGAGGCAATTTGCTTGCTATCCGGCGTGAATGCCAGGTCACTGACGTAATTAAATTCATCCTTGGCCGCCGGAACATCAGCTTCGGCGATTCGAACGTCTTTGATCCAAGGATGTATCTGACTTCGAAATTGGAATTTCAATTCGTTACTAGGCGGAATGAATGAAAGTGCCGCGCAATACGTCTGAAGAGGTGCTCGTTTGATGATGTTCTGAAACTTGAAGATAAATCGCCTTGCGTCTTTGACGAACGGTAATTGACGCGCGTTACTGTCTGGCTGAAATATCCACTCATGTTAGCAAGTGGGGAGTGAGCTGGCTATGACTACCTAGGTCGTTATGAAAAATACACACCATTAGGAGGGCATGGTATAGTCTTATTATGGCACTCATTTCAGCGCTCTTCCCCATCAGGTTGATAGCCTCAAGCCAATGAAGGAAGTGCTCTCTGAAGAAAAGGTCGAACGGGTCGCCGTCGGTGAGACGTCTTCCACTCAGTCGGCAATGTTCAACCCAATAGAGGCATGCATATTGGAGATCCGGGGGAATACATCGTTGTATTAGATTAGGGTCCACATTCTCCAGGAGAGTACCTGGTGATCCAAGCCCACAGATATCACTTTTGAGATTCTTCGACATAAGTGCCAGACAGCTGTCGGCTAAAGCTTGGTGAGCCTGTTTTTCGTCCACCCAGAAGTCGAGGTCGCTGCACCGCTCCTTATTTAGAAGGAAATCGCGAAATGTGGGATGATGTAGACGAAGGGGATAAGACGTCTTAGGGGGAATGTTGAAGATTGTATGTAAATCAGCCAGGGTGTCCTTAATATCATCCAGGGGCATAGCGAGCAACTTCGCCAGTGATTCCATAGAAAGTGAGGAGCAGAGTATCACGATGCTTCCAAGGACCTCTCTAAACATAGCGCACAACTCTTGTCTCTCCTTTTCATTGTAGTCCTGCTGAATGGAATTTCGAAGGACATTGGTGTAAATGAGGTCTAATTGCTTTTCCGGACCTACGCCAGAGCGGTACCCGTTGATGAGGATTTTTATTCGTCTCTTCGCAAGCCGTCTACCTTCGCGAATAAAACGGCACGCAGTTGAGGCCCATATGAAGAGGCCACATGAAATCTCTACCAGGCGTTTGATAATCCTCATACCAGGCCAATCGTCATCGAAGCCACGTTCTTCTCGGATTGTTGAAAAGTGGTTTTCGAAGAAGATACTAAGATCATGATCGACTATGTCGGGTGAGATTTCTTGGAGAGTAAAGACCGCGCGTTCCACTTCTGGTATCTTTGTAAAGCCATGACGGATCAGGATTTCGGGTCTACTTGTAACGAAGACTCGCAACCGGATATTAGTGAGTAATCTAGCAGTACTCAAGACCCTTATCAAGACCCTTACGTCTCTTTCGCTTTCGCATTCATCCAACGCGTCAATAACAATTAGCACTGTGGATCGAGGAGGATAGTCGCTATGGAGCTTCGAAAGCGGATTAATTATCAACCTTTGCCATTGGTCTTTAAGCGATAGATTCATAATATCTTCCTCCTCGTTGACGGCTTCACATATGTAGCGCCTTGCCAAGGGGAATCTAGATGCTAACTGCCGAGAAAGAGTTGTAACCAGCTTGTTAGCATTGCTAAGGTCACCACCGCCTCTTGAGAAAAAGAAGTTCGCTCCCAGATCGCCCCGATTGTAATGGGTCCTAGCGACAGTACGAGCTACTGTCGACTTTCCTGTGCCCGCTATTCCGTTTAGCCAAAATATACACCTTTCGTCGGGACTCTCAAGCCACCGTTCTATCTCCTGAAGCAGCTCTGTCCTGGTGTTCGGGAGGCAGGTTGGCTCGTGCTGATTGTGGCGCGAATTAAAAGCTGCTTCAGAGGCAATAGGTATCGTGGCCAGGAGATGATCCCGTTTTACGTTTTCTGCGTGCTTCTTGTCAATTTCTTGGCGCAGCCGTTCGAAAGCGTGGTCTCCTTCCCCGTATAAGAGTGGCATGAAAACATTGAATATCCCTAATAGGCAATATGCCATGTCTTCTTTTCGCTTTGTCTGTCGATTCGCTGCCCAAGAGAGCCGTTGGTCCACAGTAAATTTCGTCATGGCATCTCCTCGGAGAGCCTCATATGGGATGCCTGTTATCTCATGGATAATTGACTGAAGAGACTTTTTGTCACCTAGTCGTGTGCCCTCGTAAGAAAAGAATTCAACTGACGCTGGGGCAAGAAGCTCTTGGAGCGTCCAACCCCGAGTGAACCATCTGCTGCGGCGAAAATCCGACTCCCATGAGCGTACAAGGAGATAATCATTCGTGACATCGTCAGGGGCCTTGTTGGCTGACACATCAGTCAGATACGCGTAGCATCGAGTAGCGTTACGATACCAAGTAAACATCGTTGTTATTGCCTCCTGGAGCTCGGCACTGCTGTTCCGGTTGATGCAACAAGTGTCCACCCAGAAGAATTCCAGGCCGTCTTTGGCGGCTTGGGTACCACAAAATTGAATTTTGGCATAGCCTGTGGGCTTGGACTTGGCTTTTCCCTGTGCCAGATCGTCGAAAGTGACTTCTTCGTCGCTGTCTAACAGCCAAGTATGCGACAGTATAGCATAACTAGGGAGCTCCTCACCCGTAAAATCCTTGGTAAGCTGAAATGTGCCATCTTCATTCCACTGAAGGAGACGCATCTTGGTCCGGAGAGGCTAAAAGACGCAATGAAATGGTTTCTATGATGCGATGGAGGTACCACATTGGGATTCTTAGAATAGACCTAGGTAGATAGGTACTAAGGGAGATAATTATTCCAAGTGTTGAAGAAAATGGGTAGTGGTTCTCCGGCTAACCCTGAGAAAGGCGGCTTGAACAAGGGGGAAGATATAAACGTCAATGGGGAAATCGTAGGCAAAAAAGACTGGGAGGTAAGAGATAGCAAGAATTAGAGCGAAGGTTGCCAATGTGCTCGACTTTTCAAAATGTGCCGGAAGCTGTCGCTGAAGATTACGAGTCTAGTTATTGACCGGAAGTGCAAGTTTCTAAAGAATCCGGGGTCGAATTGGGGGTCACGGGACCTAAGTACTAGCGTCCGCCCTCAACCGGGCGATTCGCCGTACTGTGGATGCTATTGGCTGTTTTACACCGTACGATATCATACCAACTCGGATTGATATTGAATTGTGATAGGCACCCATGTAAGACCCCGTATTTTGCTATTTTGGGCCACACCTTAACCTCATTTTGGCTTAAGGTCATTACGTAGGTTGCCGCTGTGGGCTTTTCTTGGATAGGAATATAAACCTTGCAATTTGTTTAAAAGAATACTTGCCTATGACAATTTTATGATTTTTTCGCTCCGACTTCATACCTAAGTCTCAAAATCTTCTTGTACTCATCAATCTTTCTAAGAAGCAATACTACAAAAACATTCTTCAACCCGCTATTAAACGTCACATCACGCAACATCCTGGAGAACCCAACCAAATACCAAGAGATTGCACGGTCGATCCTTTTTCAACGCTCTTATCTGTAGTCTAGTTGGCGCGCGGGCAGATTGCCTTACTATCTTCGACCAGCCTTACTAACACGAAAGATGGTCGCCTGATAATGGCCTCGCGTTATGTCCCGCATCTAAGCTTGTCTTTTCACCGGTATCAAAATATCTGCTTTATTCATTATACAATCTATAGGTATCCTATTGTCCTGGCTGCCTCACATTAGCCCAAGATTACGTCAAGATCTCGGCCATCACTTGATAACGTGTAATACATAAAGAAATAGGTACCATTAAGATCCAGACCAGTTTTCACCACGTCATCAGAAGGATTAGATCTGCACCTTCAAATCACCTCTATCCAAGAGCTCTCTGAAGACCTTACTCATCTTCAGAAGATGTTGGTCATGGTACCTAGGGGCTACAAGAGATAAGCTAATCGGCATACCATGAGCACCATAAAAGCCAGGCACGTTGATGACAGGCATGTGGAATCCCTGCATCAGGTCAGCAGCCAACGAGCTAATATAGAAGTAACAACAAAAATAGACACTCACCGTCCAGTGAGTATTGAAAGCTGCGCTACCCATATCGTCGAGCCCCAGTGGAGCTTCATCTACCGCGCTAGGTGTAAGAATGAACGAGTAATTTTCGGCCAACTTGTTAATGGTGCGCCGCACCCTAGCGTAAGTATCGGAAGCATCTACCATGTCTTTGTGGGTGTGATTATAAGTGTTCTCGACAATACCACGAACTTCCGGTGACAAATTCGTCTTATTCATCCGATATTCCCTGAGAAAGGCCGTCTGGGCTTCGCCAGCGGTGATGATTTTCTGTACTCGTTTCAAGTTATCAAAATCGTTGACTTCAGATGGAAAATCTACTTTTTCGACCTGCACGTCGTTGTCTCGGAGAATAGCCGCAGCTGCGTCCATGGCTTCTCTTGTGCCGGATCCTGCCAATGGCCACATTGGAGTCTCAATCAAAGCAACCTTGACTTGTTTCAGTGGTATGTCTCGGGGAACCTCATCATCCTTGAGACCAAAGACATCTGCAAGTAGCTGCAGATCCTCGACGCTGCGAGCAAAGAACCCGAAGGTGTCAAAGGTAGGGGCAAAGGGTTTTTGGCCTTCAGGTGAGATGGCGTTGTAGGTTGGTTTCATAGCGTAGACACCGTTGAAAGATGCCGGACGAATAATACTGCCACCAGTTTGTGCGCCCAGACTTACCGTGACTTGTAAGTCAGCTACCGCGGCCGCGGACCCCGCTGAGGAGCCACCCGGGGTACGGTGGGGGTCATGGGGATTAGTGGTATTTGGACCAAAATTCCCGCCCCCCGAATTGGTTACGGTGAATTCCGTTGTGGTTGTTTTGCCTGCGGAAAAGATTAGACCACAAATAGGAAAAGAGCATATCAATCGGCTAACCGAAGATGAGGGCCCCGGCGGCTCGTAAAATGGCAACCGCAGACGAATCAAAGCCTGGTTGGTTCCCTTTGTAAATGGGGGAGCCAAACTGCGTGGGCATATCTAGAACGCATAAGTCATATTCCTGATCATGAGCACACTCTAAGGCACCTTTAGTATTCATAATATCTTTGACGCCTATTGCTAGCCCATGCAGCGGCCCTCTCTGGTCCTGGGGGATTTGATCCAGAGCTCGAGCTTGGCTGAGCACGAATGCTGGATCTAGTGAGAATCAGCCCACATCTTCAAAGGTAGGAGGCAACAAAATAAGAAGTCCTACCGAGGTAGGTCCAAGCTTTGACAATGCTATCCCGCTCCTGGATGCGCTCCAAGAGAGAAGACACATATTCTTCAACCGTGATAGTGTTACTCTTCAGCAGATTAAGCACTTCCACGGCAGTCAAAAGGTATGGCTTGGCAATCATGGTTGATGATGATCATTTATGGGACGGCGAAGAAGATCCAGAACGGAATGAAATTGAGGAGCTTATTATCGGGGAACATGGAGAATTCACAACAACAAGACAATATTGGGCTTTGCTCTTGTATAAATCGAAAGCAAAAAAGATCACATGGGGCATAGCCAAGTCAAAAAGACGGTGGCTATACCAAAAGGCTAACCGCAGTTCAGCGTTGGAGCTATAACCTGTAACGGCATACCTCAACAAGACTCACGTTTGAAGCGAGGGGCTGTGTATGCAGCAAGTGAATTTACATGTTAGGTACAGTAGGTTAGCACTTATGAGCAAGGGTATTGTTAAACATATCCCACGAAAAGTTAATGTGATTGTGTGCTAAAGTAAATATAGTTAATATCATTGTCGGCGAATTGAGAAAATATGTCATACGTGCCCTACTTAAAAGCGCACCGTCGAAAAACTTCCTTCTCCTTTTAGATTAGGTACCTACCTATCCATTGCTTGAGCTTTTGATGGTAGCTGACTTCGTACCCCGCTATCAGCCACCCCTAACTTAGTTCTAGTTGGTTGGCTAAGTACAGTAGGTTTCGCATTACCCCTCTTAAGAGCCTCAATGCTTACCGGTTCAATGGACCTGCTTTACTAGATGGCTGTCGCCAATAGAATTACCAAATTTGGGGGCGTTGATGTATTGTGCCAGCTTAGGAGATAGGGAGAAAGGCCGACATCAAGGTCCGTGATAAGTGAATGCTAGGTGAAAAAGGTACCAAAATTGACATCTTGGGATAATTAAGAAGTTAAACCACGTGTAAAACTTTTGTCAACCCTCCCTAGATACCAAAACTATCTAGGTAAGGTTACCTACTAATGTCCCGTTGAAGTTATGATCTTGGTATAGTACTGGATCCTCCATGACGAGATTTTGATGAAGCTTGGATTTCGGGCTTCGGAAGTCTTCCAATGATCCGGTAAATGTCGGTACAGGTTAGCATTCCGAGCGCCGACGTATTGCGACGTCTCTTCCACGATTACGACGAGGATGATGCAGGCAGTTTACACGCACGCTTTTAACAACTGAATAGCTAAGTCGCATATATTATTTCCGAAAATTAAGGCTTGTATCAGTATCACGTACCCCGGGAACAAAGCCTTCAATCTTCGGATGTGTTACGCTAATCACTGGATATATACGAAGGTGATGATCAAGATGGATGATTGGCGACTTCGTAAATCGCTAGGAAGTCAAAATAAGCTTGATATGCAACGAAAGTAAAAACCATAAGTGCAATCAATTGTAGAGCCAGCTAATTTAATTGGGCGGAATTCTTATCGACAAAGATTCAGACCAATCAAAAAGGCCTGCTATCGGGATAGCGCGGAATAGTGGGGTTATATCTCAAATCCGACGAAGCCCGTGAGATCCGATACCACTATTGAATTCCGGCACTGTTAGGATACCCCAAATTTTATTAAAAAAAAAAAAAAAAAAAAAAAAAAAATAAGGACATGTCTGAATTTCTATACTTACGGATACGGGATAGGGTTCCTTCCAAGGTATGGCCGAAGTAATTTCCGGCTCTTTGTGCAGGTTATTCACGTTCTGTTGCCTCGCCGAAGTTTGAAGCTACAGCGAGCTCACGCTACGGGGTGATAACCCGTTTCACTGCTCTTACAGCATACTGCAACCCCTCGAATTGGACATATGAAGCGAGCACCGAGCAGCAATGACAAACATAATCCCATTTATACCCCGCAGCATTGTGTAATCATGGTCTCAGGCACGCGGCCGGGATAACTTGAACAGGGATCCTAACACCGCTATATCCGCATAGGTTATCTACCTAGCTCATGCTATATAAAACGAATGATGGTCCATGAATTCATCCTTGGATACTTCTTCTTCATAGCCAAACAGCTTCCATATATAATTCAGATTTTCATATAGTTCCCTGATTACTACAAGTTGTCAAAAATGTCTTACCAAGAATGCTGCATCAAGGGGTTCAAGTGGAGCGGTACGCCCACTGGGAAGATCTCTAAGCTCAACGACAACGATGTCTGTAAGTTAGAAGCTCCCTATCTTAACCTATCCTTTAGCCAAGTTCTTATTAGACTTCATCGTTATAGACATCGCGGGCGACAACCCTGATGTGGCCGTCATGATCATCCACGACGTACTAGGATGGACCTTCCCCAACGCACGTCTTCTCGCGGACCACTTCGCGAATGAGATCAACGCGACAGTGTACCTGCCGGATTTCTTCGCAGGCGAGATTGTCGACCCGGTCCCCATCACGGCCGGGGACTTCAGCAAGTTCGACGTGGTGGGCTTCGCCAAGCGTCAGGCGCGCGAGATCCGCGAGCCTGAGATCTTCGCCGCCGCGAAGACGCTCAAGGCCAAGTACAAGAAGGTCGGCGCCATCGGCTACTGCTTCGGCGGCTGGGCCGTCTTCCGCCTCGGTGCTAAGGAGCACAACCCCCCTCTAATCGACGCCATCTCGACCGGCCACCCGTCTCTGATGACTAAGAAGGACATTGAGGAGGTCGCGGTCCCCACGCAGCTTTTAGCGCCCGAGCACGACCCCCAGTTCACTCCCGAGCTGAAAGCGTACATTCTCGAGACGTTCCCGAAACTCGGCATTGAGTGGGACTACCGTCACTTCCCCGGCGTCGAGCATGGATGTATGGTCCGCGGCAATGAGAAGAAGCCCGGTGAGCGCGCGGCTATGGGCAGGGCTAAGGATTCGGCTGTTAGCTGGTTCAACCAATTCTTGCACGAGTACTGAATGGCTTTGATATTTAGCTGTTTGAATTGGCGCACTTGGGTTCTGTGAAATGGGAGATTGGCTAATTGTGGATCTTATTGGAGGACTCGTCGCAACCTAGGAGTATAAGTTAAGCTAGCTAGTTTACGATGTAAATGTTATAGTAACATTGAACACTCTCGTTTCCATGAAATACGAAGCATCCTTGTCGCCAGCATTGTGACTAAATTTCTAGGACTGGTCGAGGATCTCTGGGTTAAGATCATGGGATTTGTTATGATGGATATTGTTGAGCTCACATTGTGGAATGATAGCGATAATATGGCCCCTATTTATGAGACGCACAGCGCTACGGCCACACTAAAAGACGCCACATTTGGGGCTATGGATGTGGCGCTAACCATCACTGACATCACTAAGATTCTACGGTCGCACAGGAGAATCAATTCTCGTCAAGAAACACAAACATCCATGGATATCGACCAGATATTGTATGGATGATGCTACCGAACCATAGGTTCCTAGGAAATAAGCGCGAAAACTGCTTTACATGTTCTCAAGCAAAACTCCAAGACTGCTAACATTCCCAAAGAGATCGTCAATATTCATGGCGCGTCAGCGTCTTCAGTTAGATAACCAGAACAACACCACACTCAAACATCAAACCCTCTACTCAAACTTGTTCTCCTCGTAAAACGTGTTCCTCAAGGGCAAGTCCCCATCGAAGCCCTTCGACTCCTTCATGTGGCGGTCGAAGCTCTGGGTCGACATCTGCACCTTCTCGAACAAGCTGCGGTCGAGCACGGGCGCGACGGGGGGCTGCTGGCCGCGGCTGCGCGCGACCTCGACGGCGTTGGCGTAGTTGTGGTGGGCCAAGCTCGACGCGATCTGGAACGCGTTGCGGATCTGGCGGCCGTTCCAGCAGCCGGTCGAGCGCGCGTTGTCCTCGTAGTGCTTGCCGGCGAAGTCGATGATCTCGGCGTCCTTGACGAGCAGCGACGGCTCGCCCGTCATCGAGTGACGCTGCGTCTCGATCTCGCGCAGCTTCGCCAGGTTGAGCCGGAAGATGTCGCGCGTCTGCTGCTTGTCGAGCGGCGGGTAGTACAGCGACATGTGGATGCGCGACTTGAACGCCTCGTCGATCGTGCCCACCCGGTTCGTCGTCAGGAAGAGCAGCCCGTTGTAGTACTCGAGCACGCGCAGGAAGACGGACACCAGCGCGTTGCGCTTCATGTCCAGCTTCGACCGCTGCGAGAGGAAGACGTCGGCTTCATCTAGAAGTAGGACGCAGTCCCATAGGTGCGCCAGGCGGAAGACATTGCTGAGCGACGACTCGACTTCGGAGGGCGTGAGACCGAGGTCACCGCATGTGATGACGAACAGAGGCTTGCGGTACTCCATGGCCACCGCCTCGGCCGTCGCCGTCTTACCTACACCGGGCACACCGTGAAGTAAGACCACCAAACCTCGTCCCTTATTCTGGATCAGATCCTGGCTCGGGCCCTCGGTCGACATGTCGACGTAGCGTCGCTCGAGGGTCTTCTTCTGGAAGTGGGACGCCACGAGACCTCGCACGATGTCCTTGTAGTCCTTCAGGATCTTGAGGTTCTCGAACACGCCCTGCTCCCGGCGGATAGGCTTCAGGAAGTGCGTGTTTACGGGCAAGAATCTTCTCTCGCGCAGCGCGTAGGCAAACATACGTTTCGGGAGGAGAACAAGGTCTTCCTCGCGCAGTTCTAGGGCCCTTGGGTTCATTTCGTAAGTGCGGGTTCCCTTGGTGCGCTGGCGCAGGAACATGTCCACGTTTAGGTTCTCGCGGCGCTGCCACAACTCCACGCCGTCCTCTTTCTGGACGATTTCGCGCTGCGCATACGCCAAGTGCTGGCGAGCGCTGTCGAACCATTGCTGAATGTTCATGTCGTCATCCTCCACTTCGCAGCGGATCGACTTGGTGAGGGTTAGACGATGGAATACGGGACGCCAGTCCGGATTCTTCTGGTACGCTTCAGCGAGGTCGACGATGACATCGCTTTCAACGAATTCGGGATGTCGCATCTTCTCCCTATTCTCGTCATGCAAAATTTCATTGTCGGCTTCCTTCGTGTCGAATGGTGGGTTCCGGGTCAAAGTCCAGGCGTTGTACGCCTGATGTCGGTCGCCCAGGAATCTCTTAAAGTCCTCACCCTGCTTCTTCAATGACTCGAGAAGGTTTCGGTGGTCCTGCCTGTAGCGGATTGGGAATACCTCAAGGCTCTCAATAAGTCTTTCACCCGAGAAAGACTCCAGCTCGAATTTGTGCCTTACAGCACCAAACGAGTTACCATCGTGATCAATGTAGTAGGCGAAGATGTTAAACTTGGTCTTCTTATCCTGCTGCAGCTCATCGCTGAAGAATTCCCATCCCAGCTTCGATGGGTAGGCTGCTTCCGGCTCAGGCACCTCGGTTCGGTAGACTCGCCAGACCTCATGGTATCGACCAGCAGTTTCTCCTGCAGCCGGCATGTAAATCAGGTCGCCAGTTCGGAACAAACTCCAAAGGTCGTCGAATTTGACCTTATCAGCACCCGTCCCCTCGAAGCGGTCATGGAGTGGCATGATCTCCTTATCAACGAAGTTGACGTAGCATCGCATATCTCTGAGAGCTTCGGGGCTATCCATGATAGTGTCAATGTCCTCGGCATTGGAATCGACCGAGAGAAGAGATTCATTGTCGTCGTCGTCATCGCTTCCGGATTCATCATCAGCATCCTTCTCTTTGGTATCATCCTCCTTCTCTACGATCTCTACCTCCTCTGGAGTCTCGTTGATCTTCTCAGACTCAACCTCCTCCAGCTCCTCGTAATCAGCCCACTTCTCTTCAAGAGTGGCGAGAATCTCTTTCATCTTAGGCTGGAAGTAAATCAAAGACTTGAAAGGCCTCACGAAAGTACGAGGGGTAGATCTCTGCTCGGTGTCCTTTATCAGCGAGGTAAGATGGCCAAGAATAGGCTGGGACTGGATTCGGATGCGCTGAATCTCAGTCTCGCCGGTCTGCCCGGCCTCTGCTCTCTTCTCTCTCCTGGCTCTCTCCTGGGCGTCATTCTTGTGACGAGGTACATAGACGTGCTCCCGGGGAACGCCGTAAGAGAGCAGGTACTTCTGGCGAACGCGGGCAAGCTCTTCCTTGCGTCGAGCGGCCTGTTCACGTCGGATCTGGGCCTGGAGGTTGTTCCCACCCACGAGAACGTCGATGGCATAGTCAGGCTCTTCGATGTCATGGAATCGATTCTTGAAGCTTTCGAAGTTGAGCTTGCGGACTTCGGGAACCTTGGGACGCCATTTGGCTTCAGTTCGACGGCGATCAGCAAGAATTCGCTCACGTCGCTCTGCTTCCTTCTGAGCGGCTAGGGCAGACGGGTCGTGTTCACGTTGCCTCACGGGAGCCGCATTGCGATTTCCGCCACGCTTCCCGCCACGCTTTCCTCGGCCAGACATTGTGAGATGATGTTTGGGTTAAGTAAAAAAAGATATTCTGATATTCGGTGTTAAAGAGGAATTGGGGAGGAATCCTCTACTTGTCGAGGAGAAAAGAATCTGGTGGGAAAAGTCTAGCATGCTCAAAGACGAACTATGTTCATCTATAAGTACGTTTAAGTATTGATATCTTGCTTGTCAGTTACTACTGACATTCTTGGCCCCCACACGATCTAGGACTCTGAATACAGGCCTCCGTCAACCAATGAGATCACCGCCTGACTACGCCGCAGCACTAAAAAGGGCTGAGTCACTCGGCATCTAGGCACCGGGGAGGACCTACGGGAGTTCTCGGTCCAATCAGAAGTCCATATATGATAAAATTGGGAAACACTACAGCAATCCTTCGCATCGACCGCTTGGGATTGCCAGTGCTTAGCCCGCATATAACATGATCGAACCTATAATGTGATAGAGGCTACTTATCGCTCATCAAACGCCGTGAAGCTAATGGTTTATATGTGGGGTAATGGCTAGGCAGCTTTCTGAATATCATGAATCACCCCCGGATGAGCAATGGCAGTGAGCCTAGTTGTGGGGATGAGGCACTGCATGCCGATAACGTCTGATTACTCAACGTAATAAGGCATATACGTGTAGTACAATCACTGTCTGACATCTTCAGCTTATGCAGACTTTCTTCGCCTGGACCGGGATGGGTTTATGCACCTTTCGTTTGGACTTGCTGTGGCGTCATTCAAGACCAATTCACCTTGATCACGCCTAAGATGCTCATGAGTAGATATCCGACAGCGCTTGTTCTGCTCAAGAGGCACGTCTCATCTCTGATACTGCCTTCTAGTTCTGGCCAAGACGGTTTGTTCGTCGACTGAAGCTGTGCATTCTCAAACCAGCGATACGAAACCTGAGCCGAGGCAGCTCATTCCGTCCTCAATTGGAATTCACTGAATATTCATTTATGAGAATTCTTGACGACAACGACTTCGAGAAGGCCAAACTCCTAGTGCTCTTCCTTTGCGCTCACCAAGGACTTTAATAGGACGGGTTGGAGCGCACCTTGCTAGTCTAGCTACACCTACACGCATACTATTCGCAGTACGTCTAGGTGTAGATAAACCTTCAAGCATGATCACGCGAGGAATCTAGCATATCTGGGAGTAGGGTATTAATATTATTCTAAACTAAGATGGGATCTTATATGGGATATTAGCTAACTAATCAGGTACATTACCGTCATGCTTGAACTTTGGGGACATTGACCCAAGGGACTTTCCCAATCCTACTTTCGAAAGGGACATAGTCCAGAACATGCGCTTTACTTATGATGGGAGCGAATTGCTTGTTTATCCGACCTTCCAGGTCCATCCATGGGAAGATAAATCTGTCGAATATCCAACCTGTCCAACTCTGCCAGGTGATCAATCGGGTCATCATCTCCCCTTGCGTAACCGTCTCCCGGCATATTGGCTCCTGGATTTCTTGGTAAGTTTTAAATGCTTTTTCCAGACCCTCGGTGGTCGGCTCGGGATTCGAGCTGAACAAGCTCTGCAGTTGGTTCACTAGTACAGCGGCCGACTGCATGCCGGTATTCACACCCATGCCGCTGATCGGGGTCATCTTATGGACGGAATCGCCGAGCAGGACGATACGATCGGCATACCACTTGTCGATAATTCCCTCCTCCAGGTGTACCAGAGAGATCTCGTCGTGGTTGGCGGTCTCCCAGATCTCTCCGAATGTGATGTTTGGGAATAAGTGCAGATCAGCAAAGCTCTTGGCCTCCTCCTCCAGTTCCTTGTCACTGTATCTGCGTCGCGCAGTTGTTGGTGCAGGTAATTTTCTCAAAATGGAGAAGTACACGTACTCCCCACCGGTACATACTTGCGACGCCACGCCATTGCCGTGGGCCTCGTAGAAATGGCCTATATCGACACCCTTAGGCACTGGGGCGCGCCCAAAGATAGCTTGGAAGTGCGTGACCATAGGATAGGGCTTCTTATCTGCCACCCCGTCGGAGGATTCACGGATGATCCTGTCCATTACTTCCCGTGTCCGACTATGCACACCATCGACTCCGATGACGAGAGATCCCTCCTCGATGCTACCATCTGAGAGATAAACTCGTACTCCATTGGGGTTTGTTTCGATGTCAATGACACGGGAATTGGGTTTTACCCGAGTCTCGCGCTCAGGTAAGCCTTCGTACAGAGTTTCAATGATTTGGCTACGTGAGAGTCCTAGAGACGGATATCCATGACTGAAGGTGGGTCAGCTGGCACCATTCAAACATTCCAAGGCCTTGCCCCACGACTCACCTCTCTTCCATCGTATCGAACAATCGAAACTTAACGAGGAACTGCCCATTGTATAACGAATTCGTTTTTTTATGGAGCCTGGTTGATAGTTCTTCGATTCGTTTCAATAACCCGATCTGATCTAAAAGTCTCGCCGACTGAGGAAGAAAGACGGTCCCAGCACCTTTGTATCGTATGATCTCGGATTGTTGTTCAAGGACCACGTAATCGATGTTCGCTTTTGCGAGAGCGTGTGCGGTATACAGACCGACGGGTCCGCCACCGGCCACGATAACTCGAGGAGCTTTCGCCATTTGGATAGAAAAAGGAAGAAGCGTATTCCGTAGCTGTAAAACTCCCTAGCTAGCGATTACGTCCATCGCGGGCATTAATACCCAGCATCTTGAGGTCGGTGCTTATTAAACGCGAATCAGCTAAGCCCTATCATACAAGGGATGGGCTGGCAAATTGGTCGTAGAGTTGGCCCAGTCGGGTGCATCCGCTATTAAATCGAAAACGGGACCATGATGGAGCTTAACCCATGTAGGATTTAGCATGCGGCTCAGCCAGGGATTATTATATGGCTGCCTACCGGAGCTGATAAATCTCTGAGTTATGGATTCGCAGGGGAAAAAATAGGCGAGAATCACACCGTTCAAGACCGGTCTTCCTCTTTTATAAACGAGAACGAGCAAGTATGGGTCGATCTGCTCGATTCGTATACCCATCGTTGTCACAGGATCCACAGATGTGCTGAGTTTGATTAAGCGTGTAGGGTCACTTTCATTCTTTTAATAGATTATCTATAGGTTACATTACGCAATGCATACCATGTTAAAGTCCGAACGCTTATTAGGTTACTCGCACCTACCCAGCGCTCGGATTCCAGAATACTTACCAACATTGACTATCAACTTCGATAATAATGGAGGAATATATCTACTATTCACTTAGTCCCAGGGAACATATATTCAAATAGGAATGGAACAAACCTAAAAAGTCTTAGGTAACTACCTACCTAGGCGGGTATACATACATGTATCCATCACCGTATATGTGTGCCTCAAACACCGGCACCCAAGCTGGTATCCCTAGGTAGCCACCAGAGTTCTACTTAGATATTCCCAATATTCCTAAGTTAATATATCTAAATATTATGAACTCCATCATATCCATCATGTTCATTCTACCTAGGTACGTTTACCGAGTCACAAAGATATTCCTTTAGTTGGCACAAGACTACAGTCTCCATAAAACCGGTAAGTGTACATCGGTAACAGCGCAAGCCCTCAGAATAGCGTCAGATTAAATGGGCCATGTGCGAGTTAGTATTAATACTACTGTATCGCACTGTATTTTAAGCTATCCCCTGGCTACCTCATCAGCTTTCACTGCTAGGTAAAACTCGTATAAGCTACCCAAAGGAATAGTCAGGGGATACAGAGCCTTATAGTGCGAGACAGTGCTACTCGCACGTGCTCCATTTATTCTGACGCTATTCTGGCCCTTTAAGCCTGTAAGCGTTGCGGCTCTCTCAGTGATCTTCGGAGGCGTCCAACCAACAGGAAGTAATGTTTTCTGGGTGCCAGTAGAACTCAGGAGCTGCTTGAAGTACAGTTACTAATCGTGGCGGAGCTGTGGTCTTACGCCAACTAAAGGGTTATCATAAAAAACGTATTCTCCTTTTCCATCTTCACAGTACGGGCTAAGGACAATATCCAGAGTTAAGGTCTGTCATATCACGAGAAAAAAGATACATTCGTAAAATGTTTCTTTTATTCAATATATCTTAACGATTGATTTTGTTATATGCGCCTTTACTCCAGTGGGCTGGTCGGTCCCTTGCTCAAAAGCATTATAGTATGTGAGGCGTTTTGCGCTTTTGCGCGCCTTCATGATATCCAAGCCAACGTAGATATATGCCGACTAGGGACTATATACGTCTCCTAGGTGTTTGATATTTTATAATATCACAACGAGTGTTTTCCTTGGATTCTTGGTTTTCCGTTTGGTCTTCGAAGTGTCCATGCTGTGTACATCTAATCTAATCCTGGGGATTCTCTCAAGATGCCTCCACAGTTAATAATAGAATGGACCGAGTACGTCCTAAGCCGTGGCCACCGTGGGCCTGTATGATCATAAGACATAATCCCTTGGTATCTCAGGAAAGTGGCGTTGGTTCATATGCGTTAGGCCACCCGGATTCATAGGCCTCGTGTGTTCGATTATCCGAACAATGTGATTTCCTCGACGATGGCCGTCGCAGCGACTTTGTTCATTAGGTACGCAGTTGCCTCATAACTTTGCTCTTGGTCTGGTTTCCATGCAATCTTCAACAATGATGGTCGGGTATTTCGCCGCAAAATTCTTAGCTTCTTCTTCAAGCTGGGCTGCAGCGCCAGGAGCATGTGGCATCTCGAAATACGACTCCAAATGCTTCTTATCTCGGAATATTAATTCGGTAACACAATCGACGTGGACGGCCTCTGGTTCCCCGCCAGCAACGATCGCCGTATGTTGTGCTGAGGTAGACCGCGGAATATATCTTCTTATATGTGATAGAGGAAATGTGTTGCCAGCAACTTTTCTCGTTAGCGGCATATGTATTTCTTCGTAATGTTTTCGAAATTCCTCTGGGGTTAAATCCGGTCTCCGGTAAATTAACATGAGCACTCTTATAACCATGGTGTAAGTTTAGGAGGTCCGTGTTGAAAATTAGGTAGGTAAATTTGCCGTACTAATAAGGGATTTATCGATATTTGGTGACAATTGATTCTAACGAAACTAGATTTGACAGAATGATTACTTCGGACTTCCTTCCCTTGGGGTGATAGGACACCCTCAGTCTTTATTGTTACCAACCTCAGCCGGCCGTTCGGCATCGGAGCCCACAATTCCCACGTGGCTGCCAAGGCCGACTTCGCTTATAACACCATTTTAGGCATGGGGGGTTTGACTATCGACTGCGAGCTGATGGAGGCTTGCGGCGTGTTCGTCGCACCGGCCTATCATTATTCACTGCACCGCATTCAGCCCCGTTAAGCTGCAGACAACACATGTATATTTTCTATAGTACCACAGATCATCCTGTTTATGTCTGGAACTTATGTACGGGAACTGCTGACCAGCCTGTAAATCTAACGGATCACAATCCCTATTGAACCGGATTCTGCCGTGTCGCATAAATGGAAGACATGTTCTATTGACTCTGGCCAATGATTTCTAATTCTATCATGCAAGCTTGTGATCTACTCATTGTCTATGCATAACACACCTAGGTAATAAGTCAAATGACGGGAGGAAAGGGTTGCGAAAATGGGGATCGAGTTGAAAGAAGTTAGCTTCTTCGCCGGTTTCGACTCTTGAAGCTATTAGGTGACAAATGTTTAGGTACTCATCCTCGATCTTCATATCGACTTCCGTGTGCTAGGATCGTCATCCGGATCTTGCTCGGAACCCGCCAATTCTGGCCCCACTGGTTCTGACCCTTCAATCAGAGCGGCGCGGAAGGCTTCTCGCTTTGGACTACGCTCTAAATTAGTAACCGCAACTTTGATAGGTACTAGAAAAGATGCCATACAGAAGATACTTAAGATCGATGTATCGAAGAGTGCATGTCATGATAATGACTAAGATCCAAAATGCGATCGACGACTGCCAACCATATTTATCTAGTAAGAGTCAGTATTGAACAGAACCTAGATGCATGACTGATGACGTACAGTATGGGGCCTGAACAGCAGGCCATATAAGAACTTGGCTCCACGCAGAAACCGCGTAATACGTAGCGATAGCGACACCAACGATAAGTGTTCTCGCCTCTGGATCTTGAGGCAATCTACGATGTTTAAGTTGTCGCCCTTGATAACGTTGCGTGGTGCCAGAACTTACAGGTCAGAAAGCCATGCCATAATCAGGGGAGCAGTACCCAGAGTCAGGTAAGATATGAAGTAGCTAGCGTAGGCAGTTGCTAATGGCGTAGTATCGGGGTGCGATGTCCAGATACTCATCGCGATACATGGTACAAGGCCGATGACAGCTATGAACATGTTAGTCATATCGGCAAATCTCCATGGAGGCGCCTGCAAGCTCCTCACCTTGTGCTACAATCAAGATCCATCGCGTCCTCAGAAGGTCAGAGAGGATAGCCCAAACCCAAACTAGAGGTCTCGTTAGCTTGGCTAAATAATATGGAGGGGTGGCCTTATATACCGAAGACAACGTTGATAGCGCCACCGCCGATCGGGATTGCATTCACTTGGGATGTAGTCCACGTGGGTGTTCCATCGGGATTTTTGAGACTCTTCAAAAAGAGATTGAAGTAGGCGTATCCCCAAGGCGCCAGCACAGTCGCGATATACATAATCGCGATGAAGTATGTTACCCAGTTAACAGCAGTACGTCTAGGTTCTGTAAGCTTCTTCGAGAGAAATGAGTCCGGCATTGACGAGTACTTACCTAGCACCAGCCCAAGTTATCCTCTTTGGTTCGGCGCGTCCATGGCGTTCTAGGCGTTCCATCGCAAGTTTACCGTGGCCGTTCTTGAACCAGAAAGCCCTAGGATTCACTCGGTTGGGCAGATCAGGTAACAGGAAAAATCCCAGTGCGCCCCAAACGACGGTCATTACCCCGTTTATGACGAACAACCAGCGCCATCCAGCCAAGCCACTTGCGTTATGTAGAGTATTGATAATTGCGACTTGTAGCGCACCTGACATCATTGAACCTATCGCTTGGCAAGAGTGGTAGAATCCCATTCTCTTTGCGAGTTCCGAAGGCGTGTACCAATGCACTACGCAACCAGTTTGATGAGCAAATCTAGCAGCAGGTAGGGACAGAAGATAACTCACTGAATAGCGTCATCATACCCGGCCAAGCTGAACTCTCGCAGAGTCCAAGAAAGACGCGGAGGATGTACACTTGCTTCGCATTATGAGCGAGAGCGATCAGTCCTGTTATCAAGCCCCAAATTATTTCCAACCCGGATAACCAGTAACTCGGCCGTACGTATGTCATGATAATCTGCGATGGGATTAACATGATACAATACGCGACGCTGAAGTACGTGGTGAAACTTGCGACTGCGTGTTAGTCTAGCGAAGCCGTTGATCTCAAGTGAGTAGATGACTTAACCTACTAGTTGAGCTCATTGCCATTTAAGGCAAGATCTTCCTTCATCCCCGATACGTAGGCATTGCTGATGTTCTGCTGGTCAAGGTCTTATAAAATGTCAGGGTTACTGGCGCTCTTCTCCCGGTAAATTATTGGCAAAGACCTACACTTGATAACTGTGATGAAACTCTACGTTAGTCAAGTTTTGTGTACCGAACGAGGTTCATCGCCCACCTTGAGACACGCATCCAAATGTCATTAGGAAGATATCGAGCCTTCGAACGAGATCGCGCTCCTCCTCCGTCCGCTCATGACGCTGCGCAAAAGCTGGCCGACCGGATTCCATGATTAACGGACAGCTCTCTTCTAAGGAACGACGAGAAAAGTCAGAATGAAGAACTCCAATGATTTTATGAGGCGCAATACTCAACCTGGCAATCCCCTCATTGATGCTGGTATAGCTCCATTTCTTATCTTTCGGCTAACCCCGCTCATAGCGATGATGACAAGGGGCGAGCTTCGGTCTATTTCCGGGACTAAAGAGATATAATTTGAGAATGATGGAGATAGAAACTACGATTAATGAGGGCAAATAGATAAAAATTCCATCATAATACAGTTGATTAGAATTGGTTTATCATGGGTAAATCTACACATCACTTTTCGCAATACGCGTGTGGTAAGACAGCACATTCCAGCAATGCCAAAGATAGCGCAACATCCTCCTTTTAAGCTATCTCCTTAATTGACAGGCGCCTGTGCTCTCCCTAAAATCCAGACCAGTACCTTACGGTGATCATCTTTAATTGATATTATGTCAGGTGGCAACTCTTATCGCCCACGAGCAGCTTAGCTCCAAAACGAAGATAAGTAACCGTTGAAGGAATACGAATAGAGATTATTGTCGTTGCGTCTGCCTCTTTGTAGGTTCTCCCTGATTTCGACAATAAGATGTTCCATATCAATTCATAAAGCCATCAACCCGTTGCTAGCGAACCAGTGAAAGTAGAAATATATCTACATAATAATGTGTAACATGGATGCAGTATAACCACGCATTGAAAAAATGGTCAGGTGGTTACCTATATTTCTCTTAGCGCCAATTGGCTAAATTGATATTGAAAGATAACTCCTTACTGATGAATATTCCGGAGCACTCCCGTATGGCGACTCCGAAACGGCCTTCCGATGCTCCACTTGGTCTGCCGTGCTGTTGCCGAAGCCCACGTACCTACTCCCCGATACATGTGGCACTTTCCCCGTTGTAAAACTTTATCGCATCTCGCAGATCACGTTGGCAGGGATTGACGGGTAGACAGGTAGACGGTAATACGCCAAGGTATCCGATTTATTTAGGTATTGGTGAACCCATACAGCCCCCACCATACAAGATGAATCAGCCTAGGTCTAAGACTACACTGCCAATCTACTCAATTTACTCCTAGTCTCCTCAAATACAGCTATCCTTCTATTATCTTATTCCCCTTTTCTTCACACTGCCTAGGAAACATGGCAGTTTGAATGCTTACCTAACCTCTTGAGTATCCCAGTATCCACTTCTATGATCTAACTAGATCATTAGAGAATAGAATGGTGTAGGTATTCGTCCAAATTTTTAAGAATTCGACAAAGTCGAAAAATGTTCCAGCGTACCCCTCACGGTGCGTGAGAATCGTACCTTCCGTTGACATGAATTCAATCCATCGAGGCGTAGGTAACCTTGGAAGTAGTAGCTCGCGGGTTTTTCTTCTTTAGTACTAGCTCTTCCGCTGTTAGCGCCGGACCACCAACGGCCCAACCCGGACAACATCTCCCAAAAGGACTCCGAATGCTTAAACCCGACTTCCAAGTGTCGAAATGCGTGCAATGCTACTTCATCATAGTAACATCTATAGCCATGTCCGAATCAGTGCATCAGGATATCAATCCATGGCCGAGTGGACATAATATACACTTAAATCCTTTCTCCTAAATCCATGACTTGAAGTCTCTTCATGGTCACTGTCTTGAGTATATTTAACTTCGTCTATCCTTAGGCTAAGACCTACTCAAACCATTACCAACATCAGTATCACACTAAAACAGCAAACAATCATCAAACTATCTTCAGCATTCTAAACGACATATAGTCCCAATAGAAAATTATAAAATCCCTTTTTAACCACACCATCAGTCAAGATGCGAGCCCACGACCACGCCCTCGTCGGAACCGCCAAGGAAATCCCTATTAACACCGCAACCGCGGTATACACATTTAGCCCCGTTGTCCTACCCATTGCCGACCGTGTCAAGGAACTCGAGGTGAAAGTCAACTTCCCTGTAACCGGCGAAGACCTCCCCATCGTCATCCTATCCCACGGCCAGGGCCGCAGCAACCACCTCAACTCCCTCGAGGGCTACACGCCCCTCGCCGAGTTCTGGGCCGCGCACGGGTTCGTAGTCCTCCAGCCCTCGCACCTATCCGGCACCTACTACAGCCTCCCATCGACCAAAGGCCAGGAGCTGCACTGGCAAGACCGCTCCAGGGACATCATCCGCGTGCTCGACGGGCTCGACGGCATCGAGGCCGCCGTCCCGGCGCTCAAGGGGCGTCTGAACAAGGCGCAGATCGCCGTCGCGGGACACTCGCTCGGCGCGTGGACCGCGGCCATAGCCCTCGGCGCGAAGAACGTGTCTCCGGCCGACGGCTCGGTGACCAATCTAGCCGATGCGCGCATCAAGGCCGGTGTCATCCTGACCGGTACTGGCAAAGCCGGGGACGACCTCTCGGAGATGGGACACCGCATGGTGCCGTTCTACGGCCCCGATTTCAGCGAGATGAAGACGCCGGTGCTCGTCGTCTGCGGCGACGAGGACGTGAGCCCCCACCTGACGTGGCGCGGCGCGGACTGGCACGCCGACCCGTACCACCTGTCGCCTGGTCCCAAGGACCTGCTCTGGATCAAGGGGGCGAAGCACGGTCTTGGGGGGATTAGCGGTTGGGATACGCAGGAGACGCAGGATGAGAGCCCCCAACGGTTGGCTGCTGTGCAGAGGCTGACGACGGCGTACTTGAGGAGCGCGCTTTATGCGGGCGATAAGTCGTGGGAGGAGGCTACTAAGGCGCTGGCACAGCATGCGGAGCTCGGCTCGGTCGAGAGCAAGAAATGAATGGTTGGTGATTTAGGGGTTTGATGGCATGTACTCTCCTCTCAGCGCTAGCTTTGTAACATTTTGAATTAAACTTTTCTGTATAATGACTAGCAGCGCTAAGTCGCAAAATACGTGCGAATTACTTACCGCGTTCGTCCCCAGAGTAGGGTCAAGAGAGAATGAACTAACTGGACCATACATCAGCGACAGGCAAGTGCCGTTATCCAATTCCCTTATATGCCAATAATTAAATAACGCCTTTCCTTCTGTTGCTGGGAATGGCCGAATGGCCGAAGACCATCCTTCAGGGGGGCCAGTCAGCAATGTACACCATATCTGGCGGAAGTCTGCCCCTAATCTGGGTTTTAACTCGCCCGACATCTACATAAACGACTACTAAAGCTCATACGTGAAATACCGTTATCAAATCCAGCTCCTTTTCATCACCGAGCAGAGACGAGACGACTATGACGCCCAGCGTACGTGGATTGCATACAGATCTTATGCTGGCACAGGAGCATCCCCATTTGGAATAGATAGATACGGTAGATCCAAAAAGCAGCCCCATTTCTAAGCGCTTCGGCTTACTTAAATACGTATCTGCGCTTGTGCTTGAAGCTCAGCGTAACCCAGGCATGGTCATATACCGCAGTGGCGCCAAGTTCCTGCTTGTCAGATGGGGCTTCCAAGAGCATGCCAAGTCACTTTTTCAAAGGTACCTAGGTACCTAAGCTTCACGGCAATTTTACATTAGCGAAGCACAGGACAAGCGAGCTGAAGACTGAGAGGCTGCTAGACAGTGACGAGACGAGGAGTGGAAAATTCGTTATGATGCCCAGTGGGGACCCTAACTGTGTTGGTTTCCTTATTTCCTTATTTGTGTTGTCATACCTGCAAGAACGATGATTGCAGAACTGGAAACCAGTACGCTAGAAAGGGAATAGGTCATCTTTCTCATTACGAATACTGTGTGCTTAGGTAAGTAGTTAGTTTGGTTCGAAAGAAAACGTGTAAGCTACCTAGTAAGTACAAATGACTCAAAAATCTACCTAGGTATATAAACGGTGTTAGTCTACCGTACCTTCAAGTTTTTATGATATTGCCAATGTGTGGATGCCGTCTGTCAGAATCCCTACCTACCATAGGGGTAAGGTCATTTCCTATCACTGGTATGAATAATAACCTTAAAGATGAGTCACGATACAGTACAGTACAAGGAGCCCATCTCTGCTCTTGGTGAAGGTGCAGGGCAGCTGTAGGGCAACTATGTGACTAATCCAGTACCGTAGCGTCTATCAGATTTTATACTTATCTCGGTTCTTTGCGCAGGTATATAAACAGCACGTATGAGAAACTCCCTTTCCTAACATTCACAACTTCTTATCACAAGATCCAATATCATTTATCGTCTACACATCCAACTTCATCCAACTTCATCCTTAGACATATAACCAAAAACCTCGTCACATTCACCGCACCCATTCTTTTTTCTTCTTCCCTCTCCACACCTACCACCTGACAGCATTTTTTTATTTTTTATTTCAATACATCACGTCACCCGTTAATATCGCCGACTACTTAGCAAATATATCGACTTAGGTGTGTAGATATTTTGCATTAAGGGTCATCTTCGCGTCCTTTGATAGACATCTACATTAACGGCGTCTGTGTCGTCTTGCGCCTTCTTCACCCAACATCCTCCTCTACACGGTAACATCAGGTAATTCACAAAATTTCACCTATATGATTCTTCTCTACTTTCAAAACTAAATTATGACATCCAGTTCATTATCACAATGGCCACTTTAACGTCGCTACCGACTGAGTTACTTCATACGATCGCCAGGGCTTCCACCGGAGAAGTACAGGAATGTCGCCGAGTATATCTGAACGGACCAGCAGTATTAAGAGAAGTTCGCATCCTTGGACAGCAAGATCTCATGAACTTGACGTATGTCAATCGCCGACTCAACCTGGTCATCAATCTAGTTCTCTACCAGTATAACAGGGACTACGGCGACTTCTACGCCATTAAACACGCCGTTGTTCGCGAGAATATCGAGACCTTGGAACTCATTCGCGCCATGCAGTTCAATATACACTACCATGGATTGAGTAAAACGTCCTGCCACACGTTACACGTAGCCTGTGACTATGGTAGTCTAAGAATGGCTGAGTGGTTACTTCGTAACGGTGCTGCCTATGAACAATTGGAGACACGAGAAGCATTTCCCCAGCCCATGGCGCCAGAGGAATTGTCTTGCCTGAGGTATGCAATGCACAATCGAAACGAGAAAATGGCAGTGCTACTACTTTCCCATGGTGCGACACCTTACTTCATATTGGAAGACCACTACATTGCGGGCGGCAAGTTATCCACCGGCCAGTTTGAGACGGCACTTCACCATGCCGCTAGAGCAAAGTTACCAGAAGTGGCGAAGTATCTCGTGCAAGAAGCGGGATTGCCAGTCGACGTAATGAACTCCCACGAGGAAACACCTTTGTATGAGTATTTTCGACATGAATTTAATTTACCATACATCGAGTACGATAAACATCGCGGCCCTGACATCCGTTGCACCAAGGAGGACGTAACCATGTTACAATTATTCATTCGACTTGGAGCAGACGTTAATTTCGAGCGACGCAACGAACCCCTCCTGCTTACGCACGCCCTGCGTATGAGTTACTACGACCACGCCAACGTTTTGCTGGATGCTGGTGCGAAAGTCAAGCATGATGTGCGAAGGGGACAAGGTATCCCCGAACCTATCCAAGCTTGCATAAGGCACGAACCAGCGAGATTCAGAGACGATTATGAAGCGTCCAAGAAACGTGATATCCTCAAGAAGCTTATCGAAGGAGGAGTGGACCTAAATGAGCGGCTCATGGAAGGCTATACACCACTAGAAGAAGCAGTCCTACTCGGTTTGCCTGAAACAGTCGTCGACCTCGTGGAACTCGGAGCTTCCATCGGCCCAACAACGTTTGATGGAGGCAACATCCTAGATTTCTTCCTGCGTCATTACGATGAATTACCCTACGACAGATTCAAGAAGGCTGAGAAGCTCACAGAATGTGGTGCCCGAATCGACATGCCGCTGATCACTACAGGCGAGTCGTTCCTAATGGAACTCATCGAGCGCTACGTCAAGGAGAAAAACGTAGTAGTTCCGCCCATAGAACCCCTATTAATCCAAGCAGCCCGGGGCGGAATGAAGCCGGAGTACCTGCACCACGTTCTCGAGAAGCAGGTCAGCCACGTCCCCATCCGCTACACCGAGAGAGTGCAGATCTGCAACTCACTCATCGAGCACGGCGCCAAATTGAAAGACGCCAACATCGCGTCTACGGCCGCTTCGGAGTTCATAGACAGTACTTCCCAGAGCTCCTGGTGCACCAAACCCTCGATCACGGAGGAAGAAGCTTTGTTCGACTCCTTTCTCGAGATGACGCCCAAGAAGTACCTGGATGGCCTCCTTACGCGAGCTCAGTGTCTAGGGGACAAAGTAAACACCACCAAGATACTGAAGAGTATGGGGAGGGACATGGTCCCGGGCTGAAGAAGGCGCGCGTTTTCGTCTAGCACCTTGGCGAGGAAACAGAACCATCTTCTATAGATCGGTGAGGCACAAGTTGGCTACAAATTTGCTCTATAAGCAGACCTTTAGGATGTCAACGGTGGAACATATGACATATGGCAGTCGCAATGCTGCTTATAAAAGATGATGGCGCCGACCCTGTCCTTTCAACGGACGAACTTCGCGTGATGGTTAGAGCCCATCAGTTATCGAGTGCCTGCGCTAGGTCATCCGTGGACGTTGAGTGAGGCAGAGACGCGGTGGGACTACTAGCGAGATTATAGAGTTAAGGGAAGGAAAAGATGCAAGGGAGACGAGAAACTAGATCCAAGCTGTGAGACTGAGCATTCCCTTTCTCAAATTGCTATGCTTGAAATATGATAAATATAGCTCAATAAATAGCTCTAAAGCAACACAACATAATGCCTTTTCGTGGTAATTGATGTGACCTCCTATCCTACTAACTCTTTAGTACGGTATCGACTAAGCTTGTCAAATGAAACAAGGGGCCCAATATCACGAAAGTAGACGAACAGAATCATATCGATATGTAGACATAACAACCGGCTTAGTAGTCTAGTTATTCGACAAAATAAATGCAGTATTTGAGCATGCTACCCTCTTCTCGCCTAGAAGAGAAACGTATGCAATAAATGGTATCTATCGTAAAGTCAACGTTAAATATCCGAATAGCAAGGGCCGCATTCTCTGCCCCCTCCGCTCTCTATGATGTGTGTTGTGGATCCATGCTATGCAAAGCATCGCTCTACTTTCCCCAGGCCTCCTTGTTCCTACGAGACGCAGCCCCCGGCGCCCTGAATGCGGTATCCATACTGAAAAAGGGAATCTAGGGCAAGCGCTACCACCTGTGACAGTAATGCATAATCTCCTGTAGTCACCAAAATTGACCGCTATCCCTATTGCTCCCCTACGCGAATTTGACCTCGTTGAACAGCCCCGCCCGAACCTGAATCAGACTTGCTAATTCTAATAAGAACTGCTGGTAGACGATAACGTTAGTGAGGACGTGTGAAACCGAAGCCGTTTTGACTTCGACTGGTGTCTCGGGTGGCGTCGGGACGATGGACTGGTCTGCAATTTCGCTCTCATCATGATCCGGTTCTTCTGTAACCTCTACCTTCCCTTCGCTATCGTTGCTCTGGTCTTCTCCGATATTTGTCGGATTTTTCGCCTTCTTTTGACCGAAATCTAGCGGGATAGGTTCAATCTTCGGCGTCGGTAAAGTAATTTGTCGAGCAAGTATTCCTTGATCCACTGCCGCAAATGCGGCTGCTTGGCTAACTACCGGGCTGTCCCTGTCGGAATGATGGCTTCCTGGCGAGAATGACCGCGACAGCCCACTCTTACTCGGACTTTCGTAATTCATGGGAAATTCTTTTGGTGGAGCAGGTGCGGGTTTGCTGGTGGGCGATGTAAACCCATATCCTGCTGATGTCCCTGATCCTGTACTTGACCCTCGAAGTGAATCTTTCCGTCCACGTGGACTGTTTGACCGGCTGGGGGTCCCAAGTTCAGATAATATCCTCTGTGCAAAACCCTCAAGCGCGCTAGGTCGCGCCGGCGATTCCGCCCGGGAACCATCTTGGCTTGCTTGATCAGTCGTAACTGAACTTGGCCGATGAGGCTGCGGGTTTATTACAACAGCGTCGGCTGTTTGGAATGCCTCCCGGCGTTGTTGCAAAAGTTCGTCGAATCTAGGCACCGAACTCCGGAAGTAATCAACCTGGTCAGCAAGCGACTCTAAAACAGTCAGCATGCGAGGCAGGCTTGATGCTTTCCATGCTGGTCGGCGGCGACATTTCATGATAGCCGCTAGTCTTTCGAATTCCGCGAACAACGGGGATTCGGGGTCTGGCGGTGGAGAAAGAGGCTCATCTGGGTCATCGTAGGAATATTTCTTAGGGTGACGAAGGAACCATCCTTCCACAGATATATACCCGCACACTGATAAGTCGATAATAGTCTCCGTAGCCGATAGATTCATCTCAACGGGGTTAATGAAGAAGGTTTCGAAGATATCTAGGATGCTATTTAAAAGAGGGTCATCGACACTTAACGTGTGCGGAGGAACATCTCTCGGTGCTCCAGGTAGGCTATCAGGGATCGCTGGTAGCTTGTGATTATTTGTCGACAGTTTCGGTGCCACAAGTTTTAGAGAACACGGATGACCTTCGACGCGTGTCATACTATCTTTTAAGATGTTCTCGTACATCTCATCAAAATTGTCTTGTCCACCGACGGTCCCAGCAAGTGTAGTGAGAAACTCAACCTCTTGTTGATGAGCACCGGCAGTCCTACGCGAAGTATTCATATCAATACCTTCGGTACGGAGAAGGGTTGTGGTTGCGTATCGGTGATGCCGCTTAAGAATCGCCGCCACAAGCTGTAGCGTCACGCAAACAGTCTGCTGGTTCCGGGATTTGACGCATGAACGAATTAAATCGACTAGATTAAAGAGCAATGGCGTATAACTGGTTTCAACTTTGGTAGCCATCATAGTCGCGAGGTCCATAGACTTTCGCTTGCGCGCGGCGCTGACGGATGGCTCGGCCTCAGATAGAGCTGAAGACTGCGTGTCGGGAAGAGCTAGAAGGTAATGGAGAATGAGATTAATCATGTCAGGGTGGTCCAAGGTTTCCAGTATGCGTCGAAGGTAAGTTAAGACAGCAACAGACGATCCTCCATCGACATCGGAAGATTCCAAAAGCGAAGGGTACCTTCTGAGAGTTAGCTCCGAGGTTTTAAAAGCCTCATACTACTAAGCCGGACACTCACAATAATTGCTGCAAAAAAATGACCTGAAAATGTTCGAGCAAAGTCGACTTAACTTCCACTGATCTACAATGGTTAAGAACATCCTGCCAGAAAAGCATATGAGATAGAAAGGTCTCCAGATGTAGCTGAAAGTCCGGGCTACAGGAGCTGACAATCTCAAAGGTCGACGTTGGGTGCTGGTAATCGGATAATGCGAGAATTGGAGGCAGGTTCTCTGGTGGGTGGTCGATGACAAGCTTTCGGCTGAGCTGACTATATAAAGCGCCCAGTCCAGTAGCCATCAGTGTCGAAAGGTCGCTCTCGACAATCCATTGTTCCAGGGCGACAGAAGACGAGGCAGCCTCGATGATATATAGCAGACCGGTTCGGGCAAAATCACCGATTTTCCCTTCGTGGTGTATGTAGTCCATTAACAGATAGAATAGGGGAAAGTCTTGCTTCTGAGTCCTTCCAGCAAACTTCTCCCTTTGGTCTTTCGTCTTTTCCTCGCCCCCATGGCTCTCGGGATGGGATTTGAACCAGGTAGAAAGGATGTGTGGCTCAAGTCGGATTTTGGTGGTGATATTGAATGCTAATTCGACAACCTTGACTTCGGTGTCAGGTCCTAGTCGAATGCTATTGGCTCCAGTAATACGAACTAGAAGGTTAGTCAAGCTCGCCGAGAAGGCTTCGCTCTCGACAAAGGCTTCCTCCTCGCTCTCGATAAGGGTGGCATAAAACAGAACGGCTTCCTTGATGATCCACTCGTTATATGAGGTTGTTGCTATCTTGGCGATTGGGACATAGATCTGCTTCGTGGAACAGAAGGATATACACGGATGAGGTAAGGGTCGCCGGGATTCGTCGGAGAGAATGTTGGTGAGCCCCTGAAGGCGGATTTCGATGTTTTCAGCAGCATCTTCGTCTCGAGCAAGGTTTGAGCAGTTTCGCCAAATATGCTAGTTAATTCGATCAGTTTGAAATATACGGAAGATAGAAATGATAATAAAACTCACTAGCAGTTGACCGTATTCCTTCTCGAAGCGTTGCCGGCGTCTTATAGGATCTCGTGCAGCATCCTTGCTGGAGCTCCCCGAAGACAGCCGGGTGTTAGCTATGAGGCGCGACCACTAGAGAGCGACGGTTAGTATCTAGACCGCTAAATAAAAACGTGTTAAGAAAACGGGGAACAAACAAAGTCCATGGCGTCTTGAGAGACATTCTCTTGAAATGTTTATTGGGGGGAAAGTATCAAGTACAATGTTAAAACTAACAACCACTCGAACTTCAAGCTTTCCTGATCTCCCAGTCGCGCCTGCATTAACGACCTCTAATTCCGAAGCCTGAGATGTTTCTTGATGATTAGGCGTCCGGGGTACCCTTGTATCGGGATTGTAGGTATTATGTAACAAAACGAACATAGGCTAAATGTGGCAGCAGCTAGAATTATGTAAACAGATGAGGCTAGTGTTTGTGGCTCGAACATAGATCCACCACCCTTACCGAAATCGTCATAGGGTGGAACCTTGGATGATCTGCTTCCTTAACGAGCCACCGTTGACACAGTTGAGGCTGACGATATGACTCGGCCCCCACCCCTTGGGGCTGGAATTTTTTACCGACCTGACCGACGCTACTAGTGTAGTCTTCCAAGGTTGTTTCAAGTTCCCAAACCCATCGCCCGAGTCAATCCACCACTGCCATCCTCGGGTTGCTGGGGCCATTCCAATGTCAAAATCCCTTATCTTTTCATTTCCAATAAACACAGTCTACTAATAGGAATTCTTCAACACCGGCGGTTAACCGCAGTATGCATATGCATGGAACCTCGAATGAGTCAGAAGCGATAGGAGCTCCAAACCCGGAAAGACTGCTAAAATAGTTAAAGTTGCAGAGGCCTGGGAGGCTAACCGTCTAAGTAAAGCTCTGGGCTCTCTGATGAGTCGCAGTGAGATGCCTAGATGTGCTCCCGATGCTTTGCGGGGACCATTCACATGGCAAACATGCAAGGTTACCTGCATAAGTCTATATTCTTATTCTATATGAAGCTTGTGGTTCGTCTGTTGATTTACCGGACCGGCTCCCTATGGACTACTGTCATGAATCCCTGACGGAACGATTGGGGCTGAGTGATTATCGCCTAACGAATCATCGCTCAGAACAGCCATCATTCATAATCGGTATTCTGTAAATGGCAAGGCATACCCGCTGAGAAACACACCAGCTTCGATAGCTTCCGTCCGACTGGGCCATCTCGGGATGGTCGTTGTAGGTAATTGGCAATGGGCTGACATCTAACAAAAATACGATGGCATCTCACCATTTCCCCTTTGTCTGTCCGACTCTCGAGTCCAGTTTCTCTATCTGTTGATCGATTTTCTTACGTCTTGTGCTTCGTGTCTCAATTCTTAGTCTCCAAAAGCTCCCAGACTACTACCGATCGATGAGCTCACCTATTGGCCTCTCGGTAGCATTCCAGGCTATCCAACGCACATCTACATGCGAGATATAGGTGTGGTAGTGAGTCACCATGGGATTCTTCCGTCGATCCAAGAAGAACCCATCGCCAGATGGCCCGCCATTTGGGGTCGGTCACGGTGAGTCGTCGATTCCATCACGATCACAAGTATCACCACCGCAATGTCATCCCCATGACGGACTATACCAAACTCCCGTTCCTGGCCAACGCGCTGGTTTTCATCCCCCGCCGCCGTTGCCGGCACCACCTGGCTGGAACAATTCTCTGCCTCCCGGATCCGGTCCACCTCCTCAATACCATGACCAAAGATCATATCCGCCTATTGTCGTGAATCAACATTACTACCTAGGCCCACCAGCTCTTTCTCCGCCACCGGCAAATCCATACCCTCATAGCAACGGGGTATGTACCGCGAGCAGACTCAAGCTCGGCTCAGTCATGAACATAGCAAGTGAAATGATACCAGGAAATCTTGGTCAACAACTTTTCGATGACGGTCTTCCAAGATGGCACGGTTACGGCACTCAGCTACTTAATCAAAGTGCCGCAATGTATGACCAAATACGTAGCAGCCTCGATGATGTAATGACGTTGATCGACCGGGATAAGTATGTCGGAAATGAGAATGAATTGTTCGTGTATCAGTTCAATCCCATGCCATCCCCCCCTATTGAGCCGTCGCAGCAAATCGTCCTACATAAGGGGACATCGAAGAAGAGTCATAAGAAGGAATCATCAAAGGAGACTTCCAAAGCGCATACGAGTGCGATAGCTTCATCGCTTGCTTCACGGGGTTACTTCGCCAAGGTAGAACTATATGCGAACTCGAAACTACCTCCAAACCTACCTCCCCTTCGTTTGTATGTAGTTGTATACAGTTTCGCGATTCATGGCACTGATATCCGCTAGATACATCCCAACGTATCCCCTCATATGTCTCGCAGCGAAGTACTCCGAAAGGGTATATGAGAACCCGCGGGGTGCAGAACGAGATGCTCATGTTGATGCCGATTGGAGGACAGGGACTAAAGCTATGCGCATCAAGTCCGTTCCCATGGACCACATGGACACCATAGTCTTTGCCGTTAGAGGAACGGCGACATTCATGGATTGGTCTGTAAACTTAAACACGGCGCCAACGGCGCCTACTGGCTTTCTTGTGAGTATAAAGATGCATAGAACGCTTAACCTAATACATCTAACAAGATTCAGGACGATCCCAACAATTTTTGCCATGCAGGTTTTCTGTCAGTGGCACGAAAGATGATCTCTCCGGTAGCAGCCAGACTCCGCCATCTTTTAGAAGAGGATCCGCGACGATGTTCTTACTCACTTCTCATTACCGGCCACTCGGCTGGCGGTGCCGTCGCGTCTCTTCTCTACGCGCATATGCTATCCACATCTAAAGCTGCATCCTCGGAGCTCAACAATCTAACGGGCTGCTTTAAGAGAGTACATTGTATCACATTTGGAACGCCTCCCGTCTCTCTTTACCCTCTACAAAAACCTTCGAAGTCCGAGCTTAAGAAATTCATATTCTTAACCTTCATCAATGAAGGAGATCCGGTCGCGCGAGCCGATAAGGCTTATGTAAAAAGCCTTCTCGAGCTTTTCGTCGCCCCAGCACCGACAGAAGAATCCAAGGGGTCAAGCAAACACCTTCCGCCTCCGAAAAGCTCGTCTGCAAAACACAGTAAGCGGCACGGTAATAATTCTAGTGCATCTCTCGCCTCGAAGACATCCAAAACTTCTGTGAAGTCTGGTCGCTCTTCATCTCACTCATCTTCCAAGTCGAGTAAATCAAAATCGCCGGGGCCGATATGGAAAGTCCCTCCAAGCACCCTGAGCAATGCCGGTCAGATCGTGGTTCTAAGGTCAGGCGATTCCAACTCGAAACCCAGGCGAGCGAAAACCGTCGAAGAAAGACTAGGCGAAGGAGTCATTGCCCAAGTGGCTACCGACGAACAGTTACGAGGCCTTATATGGGGCGATCCCGTCTGTCACGTTATGAAGCTATACATTGGCCGAGTTGAACGACTTGCGGTTGAGGCTGTTACAGCGAAGGGACATTAAAATTCTGGATGAAGCACGGATTTATCACACTAACTTTTGTATTTTGATATAAGACAATCACCTTGGCACGACATTATGATATTACGATATGTTATCTCTACTTTGGCGCTGGGGCATGATACCACATTGGTTGGGGATTTTGATTCTAGGTAGAACCGAAGAGAAGCCAATTCAATACCTATTTGCTTGAATATTCAGTCGGATAACACAGATCAGGCAATCATCGACATACAGCACCCTGGGAGTGTCATCAGTTCTTGGGAACATTACGATAGTGGAACAACTTAGGACCACAATTGGACAACGAAGGTCGCTCAATCACCCAAGCTGATCGTCATAGGGAAACTTCAGGATCTTGGATTGGATTAAAATATTATGATTCACACTTAAGATAGCGAAAGAAAAGGCGTAGGTTAAATAAAGTCACAGGCAAAAAAGAGTCATAAAATTAACGAGCGACTGAAGTTGGATTTACTAAATCATGGAAAGCAGGCTAAACAATACAATTTGGCACTCTCCCCAACATTACATCCCTACATATCTCATTTCCCCTAATGCTATGCACCGATTATGCGAGTCGTATTGGAACGAGGCTGGCGCTTACAACACGCTGCCAAGGGCAACGCAGGGAAGGCCGACGTTGACAAGGCCCTCCTGTACAGGGCATTAGTATTTGTGCGGTGATAGTAGTGAGTAGGGGTGATTTGCTTACCTGTCCCATACCGGAGTGCTGGCAGCAAGCGGGGGTCTGCTTGCACTGGCTTTCGAGCAAGTCGGAAAGACCAATGACTAGAGAAATTGTTAGCGGTTGCAGAAGGTAGGATATGATGCATTGATGGGATACTCACCAGCAGCAACGTTCAACTTGGAGCAGCCCTCGAAAAGACCGACTTCAGCACCCTCAAGGCCACCCTCGAGGAGACCAGCGAGGAGACCGCTGGCCTCGTTGATGGCGTCGCCGGACTGGTTGACCTTGTCACAGCAGCTGAGGTCGAGGTCAGAGCCACAGGTGTCACCGGCCTGGCCGATAGTGGTGTCACCGGGAACGGGAGTGAGGTGAGCAGGAGCGGAGCCGCCACCGAGCTGAGGAGCAGCGAGAGCGCCGAGGGCGAAGGTGAGAGCGGTAACGATGGTGAACTGCATTTTGAATAGTTGGTTGTTGGTAAGAGCGAATAATAAACGAGCGAATAGTTTGCTGAAGCGAGCGTTGGATGAGATGATGTAGTTAAACGAATGTGTGTTGTGAGAGAGTGCTCAGTGTTTTTTTTGGGTTTTGATGCTGATGATGGAGAGAAAAGATTGGACTATGAGGTGGTTGTCGACCGGACTTATATATCAAAAATCAGTCTGCCTGTTCACCGTATTCTGAGTGCTTTACTTTTCTGCCCTGAGACGCCATCGTGCAATCGAACGTCAATAGTTGTCATTCTTCACCCTATAGAGGAATGGCCTCCTATGATGATCGGCGAGTATTCGACGCCCTTGAGAATGGCTTGTCTTATACCGACGGCGCTACTGCGCGCCACTTGGAAGATTGCCCACCGTTTCTCCCCAAACACAAGCGCACCGGCCTGTCTTGCCCAGCAATAAGACGAACTATTGCAACGAGCCTCAAGAATCCTCTCCGGTCAATGAAGTGCAATTGAAAGCCGGACCAATGTCAAATGAGGAATGGTGGAAATTGAAAGTGCCCGTTCCCGAGGGCGTAGCCGCGGTATTTTTTGCATACTATTGCGGACTCGAATGCCTTTGATTGATTTGAAGTCCGGCCCTAATAGCTCAATATGGCCTCAAATTAGGACACTAAGCTGCTCCCAAGCATTTTGCTAGATCTCCGCATCTCTACCGTTGGTTCTAGGCGGCCAATAGGTGATCTCCCCTAAGATCCAGAATCTGAAATAGTCATTGTTGCACAGCGCGTACGGCACGCAGCCATCACGCAAACCCCCTTAGTAAGGTAAACTTCACGAGGGATAAAAGCAACAGCCCTTCTATTCCTCTATTCAAACCCCTGAACCCAAATTCCTGTCCTTAATGAATAACCATTCTCTCTAGTCTCCCTATCTAACATTATCATTAGCAACCCGATCAATGCATGTCAGCTATAATCCCAAACCCACTTGAACGACTCCATCTCATAACTCAAGTCCAGAGATATGGCATGTTGATGCATTACAGCCTGTGTAAGCGGTAGTTTCCGAATCGTCCCGAATTTACGAGGCTCCCGCCCAGCCATCCGAGACCAGACAAGGACAGAGTCGGGCGTTCGCGTGCCACCTTCGGCAAGATCGCATCAGATGGTAGAAGAGTATGTAACGTTGGTTCGATTGTATACGATAGAAAGCATGGCCTAGGGAATCTTTTGTTTGGCCTCAAGTAGAAGTTTTGGATAGCCAGATGGGTAGATGGCCGGTAAGAAATGGCCCGGTCGCAGAAAATTTTACTGGTGAAATGGTAACGTAAAACTACATCTTGCTGGCTGCTTGCCTATGTAGTAGCTCTGGCCACTCTCCAAGGCCAGCCTGACTATCGTGAGATGCATCCTCCCCTCCACAACTCAACATAATCTACTGTCACGGTGATTGTCTGCAATAAATGACACCCCGCAATGGTGAAGTGCCGGTTCCCGCCTTTTAAACCCCCCAATAACCCAACCTGCGCCCCAACAAGCACGCAGCCGCGGTCGTGCATATGCCATTAGGTAGATGGCCGTACCTAAGCGGCTCATGGATGATAACATCGATTTCACATTGAGGTTTACCAACCTCCAAACCACATGGCATGCCGCCTCATAGCCGCCACGATCTGAGCACGAGGCACCGCGGCTGGCAAACTTACCACAAGGCACATTCGTACAGGGCAACTACTCGACCGCCCGAGTGCGAAGTAATTCTCAGGCGCACGAACTGATACGTAATACCGGAGCCTGTGTCTAAGTCGTACTAGAACCACTATCACCAAAACCTCCTCATCACCGGAGCCGTCATCTGATGTCTTACCCCTAAAAAAAAAAAACTTCTTCTATTATCAATCAATACCTACGTATATGTAAGAGAGACAATTTGAGGCGAATGATCGCCGCAAGGAATCAATCCTGATCTTTAATTAGCTGTAACCAACCCAAAATACATCATTGCAACCAACACATGACCCGGTCCCAGGGTCTCGGCCCCTTAGATGATGTCGACCCGCAACTATACCCGCGAATTAGTCTACCCGACCAACCATATACGAACATACATCAAGCTCCGGGCTTCGAGACAAGTATTCCGCGGATCGGAAGATTCTATGTCTGAAGGGTAAATCTACGGTAAACGACATCCGTTTCGCCCGTGACTTGAAATTTCTCTTGGTGTCCTTGACTTTGAATCCTCGCAGTCACAAGTAGTTCCCTGTTAGATTCACCTCATTTTGATATCCTTTTTATAGAAACTCACGGTGAAGTATGTAATCTTGATTCCCTATTAGTCAGTCTAGTACATATTCTTCATAGCCAATGTCCCCACTCAACCGATTTGATAGCCCAAATATGTGTCACGACTCCCGTACGCTGTCGGACGGCATCGGGAACCTGCATCTCAGCACATGCAAGGCACTTAAATTACGACCAAGTAGCTATCCACCTGCTTTCGGATCAGCCTATCGAAGAAAATGCGTGTTTATCGGGCCAGATATTCTGGACAGGTATGACTCCCGAGGGGTATTGATATACAAACAATCACGGCATTCACTCAAGCAGGAATAAAACAAGATTTTACCTATGATCACCTTTAGTTAGGATGAACTTCGAGTAACTATTGTAACCCTGCGTAAGTTTTGTATCGCAGCGGATTTTTGCATTCTGCTTTGCTACAACTTCTGTATCAATGAATGGTATATGCTAGGGGGATAGTATGCGACTCTACGTTGTGTTGGACAAGATTCAGTCCTTGGTAATGGAAGCGAGGTCGTTTGCTGATGGGATTGGAGGGTCCAAAAACGATGGATCTAGACAATTTGAAGCAAACTACCTCCATGCTAACCAATCGGGGCTGGGCTCTCGGTTTGCTAGTATTAATTGCAATATTCCGTATAGTCCCCTGGACGGCTTCAAGGTTAGAAGTAATCAACCGTTATATTCACCACTGGCTGAGCTATGTTGCACACTGCAAATGGAATCCTTATCCGACTTGGAGGACAACGATAACCTTGTCTCTGCTACAGGAAACGTGCGTATGAGACACAGGGTTGTTGAGAATCAACCAATAATTCGATGAGAACGACATCACGATCATGGTGTTTGGAAGTTGCTGTCTTAGAATCACGATGACTTTACCTAGATCGTTGACTTTTGTACTACTACGGCTAATAGCTACCCTCTTTTCCCAACTGGAAATCATCTACAAATCTAGATGGTTATGCCAATAATACTCCCAATTCCGTCGGGATGCCGCATGAGTCTAAGGTCGTCATTTGTATACGGATACCTATAGACCCACACATCCTTTCTTGTGCTTGTATAGTTCAAGCTGTCATGATACGCCTGGAGCTCTCTGGTAGTTTGTCATGATAGCATATGTATAAAAAGAGGGGACGGGAACGGTCTATACCTACTTCTATTAACTTCCTGTTCTTGACAACTTTTGCCTACTAGAGGCATATACACTCGCTTTACCTCTTTAACATCTACAGGCACTCATAATGCGTTCTCCTACAAGCTTGGCCTTTGTAGGCCTAAGGTATGGCACTTAAGTAACTTCGAGTACAATTATTACATGCTAATAGGATTAGCTCTCGCCTGGTTAACGGCCTTGCTCAACAGCCCGAAACGCAAACAGTGACGGCTACCGTAACTGTTTGTGGTGATAGTTGCGCATCCACAGTGACAGTATATTCTGGTTGCCCTATTGGGCAATCGACGACGATACCTGGTTACTCAACTTCCACACTGGGAACGTCGTCTACGCCTGCTTCTGTATCCTCTGCTTCAACTTATTCTTCTCTCACATCCTCGAGTGAAACTGATACTATCGTGTATCTGACGTCAAGTTCCACTATCACTGTCAGCGAGACCTTAACAGAATCAAGTGTTGCCCATACTTTGACACACACTTCGACTATCCCTGTATCCACGTATACTACTTCATCCAGCACTGGGGCAGTCACAACATCGACCGTGGACACTCCGTTGGGAATCTCCAGCAGCACGTGGTAAGCAATGGATCCATATGTAAACATCCCCAAAATCAAATTTATACTAACATGAACAGCACCGACGAGTCTTCGACTGGAACTAGTTCATCTACTGGATACAATTTCACTTCTACTCATCCGCCCCAATCTAGTACTTTGTCAATCCCTTCGTTTACTAGCACTTCCACCGTCACCATCTCTACTCCAAAGAGCACGCCAAGCAGCTCAACATACGTCAGCTCCGCTACAGATGCATATGGGACGGCTACTTCGAGCCAGGGCTATTCCATCTCAAGTTTACCCAGTACTAGCTCATCGACTATTCATTCGAACTCTACTGCTAGCACTTGGACTTGGTCGAATACCTACTCCGCCTCGCCGTCTTCATCGAGCCAACCTAGTTCAACCGTCTCCACACGTAGCAGCTCGCACAGCACTTCTGCAACAGAGACGCTCCCCGCATGGAGCACCACCATCACTATAGACGTATCAAGTACTTCGCCGACTTCCGCAACTATTCAATACAGTACCATGAGCTCTAGCTACGGATCAGTCTCTTCATCTACGCATGGTGCCTCTACTCTGACCTCCACGGCAACGGCTTCTATCCCTTCGAGTCTTGGCAGCTCCGGAACTTCTCCGGCAACCGGCTCTTCTTCAAGCACGCTTAGCATCGGCACCTACTCACCATCTAGCCTCGGGGGTAGCACAAGCACCTCAAGCACGCATTCCCAGAGCTCCTCGGGAACATCATCTAGCAGCACTCCTACGGTCTCTACAATTTGGACAGCTACCTATAGCACGTTATCTACACCATCGTCCAGTGCTTCCGCTTCCGCGAGTTGCTCTTACCCGCCAGGTGGCTACAACTACGGCTGCGAAAGCGTGCCCGCGCCTACGCCATCGTCGACTTCGACTCACAGCACCAACATTAGCACCAGCGCCACCATCATTAGCAGCAGCACCGGCTCGACCAGCACCTACCAGCCAAGCCTAACCCCCATCACCTGGTCAAACCACTTCACCAGCACGTCCATCATAACCGTCAGCGGGCCATTTGTCATCTCCACCGGAGGCACGGAGGCCGCGACCGGCAGCACTACATCCTCTTCAGCGGGCGGGTACCCGACGCTGCCGCCTCCGGGAGCCAGCACTTCGACCTACACGAGCGGAACCAGCAGCTCGTCTTCGGTTTCCAGCTCTGAGACATACCCCACTGTTCCCACCTTCGCAAGCACCAGCACCCTGACGCCATCGCCCCCGACGTCGACTCCCGCCTCCGCCTCCGCCTCCACTTACAACACAGGCGGCTCCGACGCCGCGACCGGGTCAACTTCGTCTAAATCGTCGTCATCATCATCGTCTGCGGCGACGACATGTGTAGCCGGAGGCTACGGCGGCTCGTCCATCTGCTACACGATCGAGCCAACAATCGGGGTCCCGACAAGCGCCGCCTCGTCCTCGGTCCCGACGACGCTGGCTACTTACCCGCAGCTCACCAGCACTTCCAGCACGGCGTATCCTACCGACAAGCCGGAGAAGTTCGGCCCTGGCGAGCATCATCATGAGGGTGCCGAGCACTTTAGGGGTAAGTATGACGACGACCACAGCGCCGACTGGACGTGGTGGGGTGGTGGTCGCAAGATGCATCGTCGAACGGATGAGGGCGAGGGTAAGGGTAAGGGCGTGGAGCGTCTGCGCCGGAGCTGGAGAATGGTCTAGTCATCTTACTTACCTCCCTACCTAGGTAGCAAGAGGATGAAATGACATGAACTCCCTTCGGCACGTAGACTAGGTAATCGCGGAAAGAGGGAAGGAAAGGAGGGTCGTACAAAAGGGAGGGGGGTTGGATGTATACTTCGCTTCTTGTCGCTCATTCATTCCGTTTACCTTGAACTATTTCCTTTCCTTTTTTCTTCGGTGGAGATACACGAACGCGTCCAAATCGCGATGGTGGAAAAGGGATTCGATAGATATGAGTCTTAAGATAACGTTTTGTGCTACGAAATCTATTGGCTTTCATGATTATTACCTATTTGACTAGTTCTTCGGGCATGTGCTTCTGCAAAACAGTCGCATGGATATGTGAATGGTTGCCTAGTGTAAATTTGGGCTTTGCACATGGCTGGCGTGGTCAGCCATAAACTGCGTGTTTTTCTTATTACTCCGGCTATGATAGCCGTTGGAGAGTCCGATAGGCGACGAACGGTGATGGCTTGTTTGTTCGCCACGCTCGGATCGGTTTTTTCCCTCGAGCGGGATAGGCAGGAGGTTACATAAGAATAATGAATCTCATCCTTCGCCTGCGAAATGGAGTTGGAGACACCGAATATTTTTCGATTCTAATTCGGCTGAAGACAGACACCAACCCAACACCAACCGAAATATCCCGTGAAATGGATGCGAGTTATGAAAATAATCCGAATTCGCTATAAAGACCTCGGGAACGTAAGTGCCAGCCAGATCCGACCAATTTGACCCGTTATGTTTGGCATAATTATATCACGGAGGTGCAGTAGTGGATGAAACGGTGACCCAAATATTTCCTAAGCAAAATCTCACATTCGAAGAGGATTTCGCATCAGCTTGTTTCGTGTCTTGGGTTGTTGTTGGGATTGGGAGGGACTGGAAATCTTCGTTGGAGTCGAATCGCCCAGAAACGCCCCTGGCATGTGACCCGCATTTAACCCAATATGGTTAAGGCTCTTATCGCGCTACCACGCTTACCACGCACGCATGTATTGATGTACCTAGCTTCGATTGTCGATTGCGGCTGCACCGGAAATTCGTGGCTTCCATTGCCCGATGCCTTATCGATTTCTTATTTCTGAAACTGATGATTTGTTCTGCGACTCGAAACATTCATTCAAAATCCACACCTCCTCGCCTTTCTTCACTCGGGCACACGAGAAGTAAGACACCGATTCAGCTCTCATATTATTATTACAGTTCTTACAATCCCTATTCTTCTCACTTCTTTACCCCACCCTGCCCACCTCAATTTCTTTATCTCTGTTCCTTATTCTTTTATTAAACCAACTTGCGTATTACATACAGTACTGTTATTTCTTTTTACAAAGTGCATACATCGTACCTTTCAGCCTTGGCGACGCTTACCTTTTCGGGAACGTTCTCAAAGTTACAATACGGCTAGTGGGTAGTGCGGAGACGAAACTGAACAGGGGTTTATAATTGGATAAGCGGGAAGACAAGGATTTCTCGAGCTCGACATTATGTGGAGGATTTATCTCCCTCTCGGATTTTGTATGGGAGCTCTGTGAGTGGATAGATTGGTTGGTCCAAAATAGGTCTAGGCCTGGTTTGTCGTCCCCGGTCTACTCAGGTGCCCCGTCTGAATCGATCGTCACTTGTCACGGAATAACTTCTCTTGGCGGTAGCCCAGATCCACCACAACCGCTTTCTGTTCCCGTCGTGAGAGCGCGACGGGGGGCGAAAGTGGAAAGGTGGAGAGGCAGGCGGAAGTATGTAGAAGTGGCAGTGACAACTACTAGTGACAACATCAGGAGGACAAGCAGACATTTGTAGACCGTGGATATGGAAGGCACCACACGGGCAAGAATGGGTCTGGGTCCAGCAGGTTGCAGATCCCATCAGCTTGAGCTTGCACTTGCCTTGCAGATTCCCAATGCTCCAGTTGCTCCTGCTCCCAATGTTCTTGGTTCTTGCAGTATATTGGAAGTAACGAAAATGGGCTAATCAACTGTCCCCATTTTCAATGCGATGCCAAAGCCATTGAAAAGGGAGGTGCGATGTCCACAGTTAGCATCGTGGATTCTCATTGGACGAACACCTAGCCTTAAACTGTAAGAAATGAAGAAATGTATGTACGCCCACTGGTATACCTGGGACCAGGGTACGAACCCAATATGTAGGTACATACGATACTTACGATGCAATACCGTTAAAGAAGTCATCATCACAATCGGCTAACCCTCACCTCAAGTCCACCTGCACCCTTCCAGTCTTCCAGTCTTCTCTTCTCTTCCCACACACTCTCTTCTCATATTTTCCTGCCTACTGCTCCTTTCACTTTTGTTGTTGTTTATTCACACCCGGTTTCCTTCCCCCCTTCTTTTTTTCTTCCCTTTTTTCTATTTCCTTCCCATATTTGTTCGGGGGTTTCTAGCATCACACCCGGTATAGTTTTCGCGCATCGGACAGTATCGTCGCATTTAAGCAGCCTAGTCCTATATCCGCCAACCATCACGATCTCTGTCCTCCCATGTATCGCATGTATCGCCAACCATGATTTAGACTAGAGTTTCGCCCCGATCGGCCTGAACCACTCCAGAGTTAACTTCTAGCCGTGGATGTATCCTTGTTGAAGCTCACATCTACTCAAAGCCATCTCCTCGCCGATGCGCATACCCTTTGCGACAAAGGAATACCGTAGACAAATACCTACCGGCCTATCATTTACCTTACCTTAGACTTTACCTAAATTATCGGCCATTCACGTCACGACCCTCCCCGGGTTCTGTATGTGCTAATAACAGAACCACGCGCGAATCTTCCTTAGTTGCAGGTCGTCACTAAAGAAAACCATATCTTTGACGGCTACTAGTCAGGCAACAACATATTCACTTTATTCTTCTGTTGAGCAAACTCCCTTCTCATCCTAGTATATCGCAACCCAAGAAGTCGACAGCTTCTCTCATCCCTGTCAACGTCGCACTTGTTAGTTACGATGAGTTAGGAACATAAGACAAAATTGAGAACAGCCACACCCCTCGATTCCTCATAGAAGGAATCGCGTTTGTAAGTGAGAGTTGAGTTGAGGGTTGGAGGAGGAAAAAAAAGGAAAAGGAAAAATCGAAGAGGGTAAAATAGAAGAAGAAAAGCAAATATGGCGTCGAACGGGTTTCATGCGACAGTCCTTCACCGTGCGGACGATAATCGAGGCGACGACGGTACGAATGGTGGTGCTGGTGGTGTGGCTCCTACATTGCAATCGTCTGGATCTAGAGAGTCAGGGTCAGGGTCAAGATCAGGATCAGAGTCAAGAATCAATAATATGGGGATGGGGATAGGGATGTCGTTTACGGATACGCTGGGACCACGTTTCTCCAATTCCAACGCCAACGGCAAAACGAGCCTGAACATGAACCCGAACCACTTGGACCGTCCGAACCTTGACGCCAATACTAATTCCAATTCGAGTATTATTAGCCACGCAGTAGCTGGAACTGAAGCTGGAGCTGCTGGAGTCTCTGGGACCCGTGCAAGCGCAAATCACGCTGCTCACGGCCACACCCACACCCACAATGGGCACTCTGGTGGTAAGGGTGCAGACGGTGCAAGCATTGGCGCAAGCAACAGAAATAATACTAGGAATAGCACATCTCCGACAGTCACGGCTACGGCCACGACGCAATCGTTAGATTTTCGTCAGCCCGCCGCCACAACCCAAACCACCAAACTCACCACAACCACTAATTCTCCCTTATTCCTCCATTCTCCATCACCAACGCCAAAACACAACTTCTCCGTCTCATCCATCACGACGCCTGCATCACCACCAACGATACCCGCGACGCGACCACCACCTATTACTACTACATCTCTCGCGCACCCCTTTAGTAACGCGTCGCATCATCAATTAACATCGTCATCGTCGCCGTCCGCCATACTGGGGAATCCCTCATCTTCCCTACCGCCTCTGGCTCCTCCGCCAGGAGCTTTGAGTTCGATCATGGCGTCGTCGTCCGCCATGTCGCCGGCGAACGGTGCGAGTGCATCGCCTCTACAGCCTCCCAAAACCTCGGGTCATCTCTCGCCACCCGATTACCACCAGCATAGCAGAGAGAAGACGTCCGGGAGTTTCTATGATCCGCTTACTGATACCACCAAGGAGCGAAGAGGATCGGACAACTGGTCCAAGCAGGTAAGCTTTTAAGTTTATTCAATCGATTCGAACATTGTCAAGATTCATCTGTCGCACATCTATCGCATCGCAAACCTCGACACGAGCAAAACGCGACGAAACGAGCAACATCCATGGATGACTATTAGTTATTAAGCATCTTACATGGAATGGTGTTGATGGACGTCACTAGTGGTGATAACCTTCAAAAGAAAAGAGTAAAAAAAACCAATAATTTCATATTTGTTGGCGACCTTTGAACTTTACATTTTCAACACATTCCACCAAAATATCCAAATAACCCAATGCCCAAGTTTGCTTAGTGGCAGTGCGGGAACACTCGTCTCTCTTCTTCTTTGGTCGGTGTTCACCTATGGACAAGGACATGACCATCATCAATTTTAATCTTTTTTTATGATTGTGATTACGACAATTTTATAATCTGAGCAAAAAAAAAAAAACCATCACTCTTTTTTTACTCTTACCTACTTCTATTTTCTCCCTCATCACTAAATTCCTATTCCTACTCGACTAACCTTTGCGTTCTTCCATCAGCGATCTGACCCGTATGATTTCCCTCAAACCAAGTCGGAATCCAACCAATATTATAATGGTTACGGATCACCTTCTCCAGTAAATTCAAAATATCCACGAAGCCCGCATTCGCACTCTCACCCTAAAAACGACGGCCGACCGACCAGCCCTTCTAACAAAGCCCTTAATTTGGCATCTCCCCCCTCGCGTCACAACCGTGCTGCACTGGATCCCATTTCTTCTACCAACCGCCACACTCCTACACCAGCACCTTCTCTACCTTCAATATTAAATCCAGAGCCGACATCATCATCAAATGTACGTGTTTACTGCTATGCTTTTATTCACAATATGGACTATCTTCTACCCCAAATCTACCCATTGATTATTTATTGATGATTATTATGATCATGATTATCGTGATGATATTGATTGCTGACTTCTTCCCTACCAGACTCCGAGCCGTGCAGCGGAATTAATGTCCTTCTCCAACATTCTATCCAGTGCCGAACCCCTTCCAAAACCGAGGGCACCAATCATGGCTGAGCCTAAAGAGAAGCCCGCTCGTAAGAGCAAGGGACGCGAATCGATCCTCAAAGAGTCGGCGGCAGCCTCTAAGAAAGAGTCGCGTCGATCTTCCGCGAACCATGCTAAGGACACACCTACAAGAGCTCCCAAGAGACAGGCTAATGGCCAGGTCAAGCCCAAGACCCTACCTGCGGATAAGGAAAAGAAGATTCAGGGCCTTATCGACCAGTTAGATGCCGATATGGATAACGTCGATCTGTCAGAACTGGAAGTTGAGGAAGAATTTTATCACGGACGCATGAAGAAGCGTAGATTGGAGCTAGAAGAAGAAGAGTCCGAAGACCAAGTTGCCCGACGAGGGGACTTGGCCGCCAGCCTGTCTGGCAAGTTACGTGAACATGCCAGTTATGGTAAGCGTCGATACGACCAAGTACATTACGATGACGCTCTACAAGAAGTACGAGAACGCGAAATATTCGCCGAGAAGGAGCGCAAGAAGGACATGCAACGCAAGCGTCGCAGGGAAAAGTCCATGCAAGTTACTATCGAGCAGAAGGAAGCCGCCTTGGCTAAGGCCCTCGCTGCAGAGGATGATGCCGAGCGAGCGAAGTACCTGCGTGACGCGGAGCGTGCCAACAAGAAGGCGCAGCAGACGAAGCTGATCTTGCAGAAGGGTATTAAGGGACCCGCTCGAAACCTGGCACCTCTTGAACTGAACCTGGAGGGTGGTACTATGTCGACCTTCCAGGCTAACGACTTGGAGACCGGTTCCAAGTCTAAGGGTAAGGGCCGTAGCGGTAATCGACCGAAGAAATCCAAGGAGCAGAAACAAGCTGAGAAGGATTCGGCCATTGCCGCTCAAGCCGCCTTGGATGCTGGCGAGGAATTGCCTTCCAAAGAAGAGACTAAGATTCGCATCAAGTTGAGCAAATCTACTACCAAAGAACCCAAGGAGAAGGATAAGGAAGCTAAGGACACTCCTACAAAGGAACCCAAGGAGAAGGAGAAATCTGTTGAAGAGCCACCTCTCAATCCTCTCGAGCTGAAGTTCCAGTCTAAGGGTTACAACCAGATTTATGACCAGATCTGGCGTGACCTCGCCCGCAAGGATGTTCCGAAGACATTCAAACTGGCTAGCGATTCCTATGCCACGAAGGCTTCCAACCTTAAGAAGACTGCTATCCTGGCCTCGAAAGAAGCTAAACGATGGCAACTTCGTACCAACAAGGGTACGAAGGATCTCCAAGCCCGTGCTAAGCGTTGCATGCGCGACATGATGGGATTCTGGAAGCGCAACGAACGTGAAGAACGCGATTTACGCAAAGCGGCCGAGCGACAAGAGCTTGAAAATGCCCGCAAGGAGGAAGCTGATCGCGAGGCTGCACGCCAGAAGAGGAAGCTCAACTTCTTGATCTCGCAAACCGAACTGTACTCTCACTTCATCGGCAAGAAGATAAAGACGGACGAGGTCGAGCGAAGCACGGATAACCCGGATATCGCACCGGATGCTGCTCACGCCGTGTCTAAACCGAGTGACGTCGATATCAACGAATCATCGGATGCCCCTGCCGGCAAAGTTACTGACTTCAGTCAGCTGAACTTCGATGCCGAAGATGAGGAAACTTTGAGACAAGCTGCGATGGCGAATGCCCAGAATGCTATTGCGGAAGCCCAACAGAAGGCACGAAGCTTCAACAAGACCGATAATGATATGGATGAAGATGGCGAGATGAACTTCCAGAACCCGACCGGTCTTGGTGATGTGACAGTTGAGCAACCGAAGTTACTGAACTGCCAGCTCAAGGAATACCAGTTGAAGGGTCTAAACTGGCTTGCAAACCTTTACGAACAGGGCATCAACGGTATCCTAGCCGACGAAATGGGTCTCGGCAAGACGGTCCAGTCTATCTCTGTTATGGCCTACCTTGCCGAAGTGCACGATATCTGGGGTCCTTACCTAGTAGTCGCCCCGGCTTCCACTCTACACAACTGGCAACAGGAAATTGCGAAATTCGTCCCCGAATTCAAGGTCCTCCCGTACTGGGGTACCGCTGGCGACCGAAAGGTGCTGCGCAAATTCTGGGATCGCAAGCACAACACTTACCGAAAGGATGCGCCTTTCCACGTCTTAGTCACATCCTACCAGCTCGTCGTCTCCGACGTTGCTTACTTCGCTAAGATGCGTTGGCAGTACATGATCCTTGATGAAGCGCAAGCTATCAAGAGCTCCCAAAGTTCGCGTTGGAAATGCCTACTTGGCTTCCACTGTCGTAACCGACTGCTTCTCACCGGTACCCCTATTCAAAATAACATGCAGGAACTCTGGGCCCTTCTTCACTTCATCATGCCTTCACTTTTCGACTCGCACGACGAATTCAGCGAGTGGTTCTCGAAGGACATTGAGTCTCACGCCCAGAGTAACACGACCCTTAACGAGGATCAGCTTAGGCGGCTCCATTTGATCCTCAAACCGTTCATGTTGCGTCGTGTGAAGAAGCACGTGCAGAAGGAGCTTGGTGACAAGATTGAACAGGACGTTTTCTGCGAGCTTACCTACAGACAGCGCGCTTACTACAGGAACCTCCGAAACCAGATCAGTATCATGGATCTGATTGAGAAGGCTACCCTTGGAGATGATCAGGATTCGGGCACGCTCATGAACCTTGTTATGCAGTTCCGAAAGGTGTGCAATCACCCTGACTTATTTGAACGCGCAGACACGACGAGTCCGTTCTTTGCGGGTTACTTCGCCGAAACTGCCTCCTTTGTCCGCGAGGGAAACAATGTTGCCGTTGGATATTCGACCCGAAGTCTTATTGATTATCACTTGCCCCGCCTCGTTTGGACCGAAGGTGGTCGATTGCATAAGGCTGGGAAGGATAATGAGAAGGCTGGCTTTAAAAATAAGTACCTGAACCATCTTATGAACATCTGGACACCGGAAAATGTGCGTGAAAGCACGTCTGGCAGCGATGCGTTCTCCTTCCTCCGATTCGCCGATGCTAGCCCCGAGGAGGTCTATAAGGCTAGCCATCAGGATGTGTTCACTCGGGCCGTGGACCTTGTCAAGAAACCGAACCGGCTTGGTCGGATGAATGTGATGTACGATGAACCCGACGAGGAGAACTATACTCCCGCCCACGCGTTATTCCGAATTGCGGCGCGTTCGGATCGCAAGCCCCTAGCCGAAGTCACGAGCGAAGGTGTGCTTGGCAATCTCATGAACATTTCTCGGACAACATGGCGGGAATCTGGTCTGGGCCGACTTGAACAAGCGGCTCTGCCTGGTGCTACTGCTCCGCCTGTCGAAGTTTCATGCGAGGGCACTAGAGCTCCTTTCGCCGAGCGTGAAGACACGCTGTTCAACGTCCGAATGCGCAAGGCCTTGTATGGACCTAATGCTCCGGAAGAGAAGGCCCTCGTGCTACAGAACGTCCCGGTCGAGCGCTACCCGCCACCAGCGATGCTTCCCCAGCCAGACGGCGAAAAGCGACGATTTACAAATATTACCGTTCCTAGCATGCGTCGTTTCGTCACCGACAGCGGTAAACTCGCTAAACTCGACCAGCTATTATTCAAGCTGAAGGAGGAAGGTCACCGTGTTCTACTGTACTTCCAGATGACGAGGATGATAGACCTCATGGAGGAATATCTTACCTACCGCAACTACAAGTATTGTCGACTTGATGGTTCTACGAAGCTAGAGGATCGTCGTGACACTGTTCACGATTTCCAGACCCGACCTGACATCTTCGTCTTCCTGCTTTCGACCCGCGCTGGTGGTCTTGGTATCAACCTTACATCTGCCGATACAGTTATCTTCTACGATAGCGATTGGAACCCTACCATCGACTCGCAAGCTATGGATCGTGCGCATCGTCTCGGTCAAACAAAGCAAGTTACGGTCTACCGTCTTATCACGCGCGGCACTATCGAAGAACGCATTCGCAAGCGCGCGATGCAGAAAGAGGAAGTACAACGAGTTGTTATTCAAGGAGGTGGCGCACGTGGTGTCGACTTCAGCGGTCGTCGTCCGCCCGAAAACCGCAACCGCGATATTGCCATGTGGCTCGCTGACGATGAGCAAGCCGAGCTCATCGAGCGACGAGAGAAGGAGCTTCTCGAGAGCGGCGAGCTTGACAAGCAAACCAAGAAGCGAGGCGGCAATAAGAGAAAGCGGGAGGCAGTCAGTTTGGATGAAATGTATCATGAGGGTAAGTCACCATACGAGTTATATCGCTGTCATCTAGATCAACATACTAACTATACTTTCATAGGTGAGGGCCACTTTGATGATGGTAACAAACCTTCTGGTACTGCTACTCCCGTTGAAGCTGGAGACGCAAAGGCTGCTAAGAAGCGTAAGAGCGGCAGTAAGAAAGCCAAGACCACGAAGCAGCGACTTGCCATCGCCGATGGAGAGATGGACGGTTAACCTATTACGAAGGGTTTACTTGTCACTTAAATATCATCAGGTCTCGAATACTACTTCTCGCAACAGAAGTCGAGAACCTTGTACAAAACCAGAGGATCACGGCGTTATAATGGTATCGATTACATGTGTGCAGAGATGGGCTCTTGGCGGGACAAACACAATCATCATAGAGCTCTAGTTAATCGTCTTTTCTATCTTCGCGAAGGGGGGGAGAGAACACGAGAGAGGAATAGTATGTGGTGTGGTGTGGAAGGAAAGGGGAGTTGAACCAAAACTGTCGCACTAGGTGGCTAGACTTTGCAGAATACCGGAATTGCCTTTTTTCGCAACTAAACGTCAAAATTTTCCCGTGGATCGTGGATCATGGACTAAAAGTCCCCCCCGTTTGTTATCGTTGTAGGATTACGATAGAGGGGACGGAACCTCATGGAGTCAAAGTCGATCAATTGCATGCATGCCCAATGTGGCGTTTGAGCTGTTTGGCTGGTAGTAATGATTAAAAAGTACTGAAACCTATGCGTGTGTGTGTGCGCGTGCTCGTGTTGGGCGTTGTTAGATGCGTGCTTATTCCTCCCAACTGCCGTGGAATGTGACTTGTCTGCTTCTGTTTCCTTATCTAGCCAATGACTGCCCTGTTAGGCTGAGTAAATGATATTGGAAGTCTTAACCCTTTGGCCCTTAAGTCGTGATAGGCATTTGATGATATATTCCTTGGCTGGTCGGCTTCCAACTTCGGGTTCCATTCTCTGGGTTGGTTTGACTCGCTACATATACTGACTTCCGGGACTAACTCCACCCATGTTTTATCATGTCTCGAATTGACCGCCTACCCAAAATGCCAAAGCCCGTCTTAGAAATCTCGCAGCACCTTTCCTCTCCGGCTTTCTCTTTCACACCGTAAGGTAAGCCACCAAGAGACACCTTCACGAAATATCCCTATATAAACTACTACGCACCTCCTACGTAGACGTATGATCAACCAGCAAACAAAAAAAGAAGCATGAAGAGGCCACCCTGGGAGTCGAACCCAGAATCTCCTGATTACCTAGATATTAAGCAAGCGCGTGATATGCACACGCTCAATCGTAGTCAGACGCCTTAACCATTGGGCCAAGCGGCCCTTATCGTGTGCTGCGAAACTTGATGAAAGAACAGATGGCTAATTTCCTGTTATGAGACTGCGGGACAGTCATTCAGTAAATTTGAGAAAAGTTTGCGCGTCTGATGTGGGTTATGTGGGTGGGAGAGATTGCACACTAGAGGTTGGTGTTTGGTAATAGGAAGGATGGGACGGAAAGTCTAGTTCAAGTTAAGAAGGTCCACATGGAGTTTTCGATGTGCTCTGGTAGGGGTTAGGGAATTCTGTCGGTGCTGGACCCCTTGATAGTAGCAGTAGATGTTATCACGTAGGAGTCTGAGGCATCACCGGACAGCAAAATCATATTCCATTCATAGTCAATGTGGATCATTTTTCTCGGTTCATCTAACAAGTCTATTCCAGTTCGCGAAACCCCGGCATATGCCGATGCCAGTTTTCGCAGTGTGCAAAGCGAGGCTTAAAAATCATAAGCTTTTCAAATCCAAGGGCTACGGCTCCATGCCTCCGATGTCCATTCTATAGACCCCCGAGCCGTGACCATGCATGTGTGGATTCCTGAAGTCGTACTATTATATAGTACTGCTGCGAACAACGCCGTTCGCATAACCCTCTAGACCGATTGCAAAAGGTGGAGGGGTATCTTAGACTGCGCCGGAAGCCAACATCTTCTTGCGAAGATAGTTCTTGTATTCTCCTATCGTGCCCTCCCATGGCTTAATGGTTCGGTTCTCGCACACAAGAATTTGCTTGGCAATCTTGTCGAGCAATCTATCACAATGTCAGTGTCAACTTATAAATTTTCTACTATAAGGTTATTCTTACCTGAAGTCGTGCGAAACCACAATCACACCACCGGTGAAGTTGTCGATGGCATCTGCCAAGGCGTCGATGGTGGGAATATCCAAACCGTTTGTAGGCTCGTCGAGGAGAAGCATGTTGGGTGAATCGATGGCAAGCAGGGCGAACACAATTCGACTCTTTTGGCCTTCGGATAGAGTGCCCATAATAGCGGTCTGTACAGGACCAGATACTCCGTATCTGCCAAGGCACTGTCGCCAGTATTGGTAGTCCTGTGACTTGTCGCGGTACTTGTCACGAACGAAATCCAAAGCGCTCTTGGTCAAGTCGAGCTGCTCGGCGCTGTGCTGAGAATACATGCCGAGCTTGAGATGTGTGTGGCGACGAACAGAGCCTGAAGTCGGGGAAAGCTTTCCAGTCATCAGACGTAATAGGGTACTCTTGCCGACACCATTGGGACCGACTAGGGCCGTTCGAGAATCCATATCAAAACCGAGATCAATGTTGCGGTACAGATCATCCTTAGCCTCGCCCGAGTACGAGAAGGTGACGTCGTCGAAGGACAGAACCGGAGGGGGAAGCTTTTCAACATCAGTGAAGCGGAACTTGAATTCCCTCTCCTCCTTGACCTCCTCGATGAGTCCGTCCGCAATCATCTTGTCGAGAATCTTCTGTCGGGACTTGGCCTGTCGCACCAAGTTGGCGTAAGTACCAGCACTGGCAATGAACTCCTTGATGTGCTTGATTTCTTCCTGTTGCTTCTTGTAGGCGGTCATCTGGTTGACCTCCTGTTCCTTGCGAGTCTTGTTGTAAGAGTCAAAGTTACCACCATAGTACATGAGCTGCTGCTTTCGCATGTCGATCATGTTGGTACACACGCCGTTAAGGAAATCCTGCGAGTGAGAAACCAAGATGAGTGTTCGCTCCCACTTCTTCATGTACTCTTCTAGCCACACACAGGCTTCGAGATCCAAGTGAGCAGTCGGGTCGTCAAGAAGTAGCAAGGTCGGCTTAACGAATAGCGCCTTGGCAAGGGCGACACGCATACGCCAACCACCAGACATATCCTTGGTTTTCTTGTTGATGGTGATCTTGTTGAAGCCGAGACCAGTCAGGATAAGGGAAGCTCGGGTGGCGAAAGTCGAAGGATCCATCTTGTCCATGTGCTATTGGGTATTGTCAGTACAATTCAGTAAGGCAGAATAAGGAGTGTATATACCTCATAGACATCCATCAGTACGGGGCTGTCAGGGCCCTCGTCCTCGAGAAGCTGTTCTGCTAATCTGTCGAGACGGTCCATCTCTTTCTCAGCCTCCTTGAGAACCCACTCGAGAGCACCAAGATCAGAAGGTGGGGCACCTTCATTCAGGAGGTAGATATCGACATGATCCGGGATTGGGTACTCTCGCGCAGCAATAGCCTTAAGCAAGGTACTCTTACCGCAACCGTTTTCACCAAGCAATCCGTATCGGCGTCCGAATGAGAGTTCGAGGTCCGTTTCGTTAAGGAGCACACGACCGTGGAAGGTTAAACTGGCACTGATAATCTTGACGTCCCTGCTGGTGGGTACGGATGAGAGGACACCGGTGGTGATGCGGTCAGATAATCCATCCTTATCCATCTGGTTTGACATGGCCTTAGCCTTTTCCATCTTCCTGTCATCGGTTGCTGGGACATCGTCGAGATCGGGAGGGGTGTCATCGCCGGCGACGGAACCGGCAGCGCTTGCGTTCTTGGATGCGGTCTTAGAGCCAGCCTTAGAACGAGAGACGAGGGTCTTCTTCTCGCCCTTGCCCTCAGCGGCCTTCTTGGCGAGACGCTTTTCCTTGGATGCAGAAACCATCTTGATGCTTTTTAACTCTTATTTTGTCTATTACCGACCGAGGGAATAAAAAGGAGATGGCGGACGGCGGTGATCGAAATGATCGAATAGGAGGAAACTGAAGAAATCTACCCCGCTTAGGCTACGTTATGGCTGATAGCGACCGCGAGTTGTCGACTTTAATCACGATCACAAGTGAATGTGACCGTATAATCGGGACGAATGAGTGGAGAGTTATCGAGAAAATGGAGAAATGCTATTGTTTCTCACGACTCGATATATTGCGGAAACAGGAAAGGAAAAAAAGTTCAATTATCCTCCGCGAACTTTTTTTGGATTGTTGAATGTTAGGGGATTGATGACGGTGGGAGGAAAACTGCGCGGGGGGCGATAAAAGTTCCTGAGGTCCCAATTTTCCTTGGGCCGTGGCTTGGTGGGGCTTTGTCAGTGGGGTCTCGAAATTTTCGTCCCTTTCACAAGTAAAATCTTTCCGATAATAATCGTTGTGGGCCAATGAATTGTTGCCTGAGGCAACTAGGCAACTATAAGCGTGTTTCTTGCCCTATCAAAGCTTGGAAAAATGGCAGGTGGGGGCGGGTCCTCAACTCACCGCTTTCGTCCTACACAGTAGGTGAACAGTGTAATTACTGACGTCACTGTCGCTATTCGTAAACCTAACATGATAGCCATAAACGATCGGTCAAACTCAATTTCTGCCCTGACAATTATAGAGAGCTCTATTCACTTATTATTATTGCCTAGAGTATCTTCAGCTAATCTAATATCACCTATGTATCTACTTTACTGCGAGTTGGACAACTGCATTAGGAACGAAGAGACGTACAGTCAAATAAACAATCATTGAAAATGGTCGGAGGAGTTAAACCTCGGCAAAAACCCACCAGGCTTGTACCTAGGCTTCCTTAGACCTTTTAGAGATTTAATTAGAACCTCATTTATGTGCTCTTCTTAGAAGTTGGGGGCAGGAGCCTTTAGGTTACTACGGTTAGGTATATTACAGAACGAAAATGGAAGAAGTAGATTCGCTATAGTGGCTGTTATTGAACGTACAACTATGTGAACATGAACACATGGTTCATTCTAAGACAATTAAGCTTGGTGAAAGCTTTTGTATATATCATTTGCGATTCCTCGGGGGAGAGCTCCAAAATTACCCCTATTGATAGTTCCTGACACTTAGCACCACTCATACCGTAAGCTACATTATCTAAAGACTTCTATCGCGAAGAGAATTATATCTGTCTTTGGTTGTAACTATTTTCTGCGTAATGTCATTATCTATGTAGGTATTTAACAGCTTTCGTTAAAGTGCTCTGTTTGGATGGTCTTGGAGCTGCCCAGGATCTCTACCCGAATGACCTGCCTTGTGGGCTCTTGGTAGACTAGCCTAAGCACAACGAGTACGTAAATTACATAGGGTCTATATGCGAGAATTTCCTGTCTTCTTATACCTATTTTGCTACTCTAACGCTGAATCTTGACTTCAGTCCTTTGGTGGCCTTCTCACTCCGTAGTTGAGGACCCTCCCTAGGCACCCAGTGTCTACAAGTTTCCATAAAAATTCTCACATATAATTCCACCCGTTACTGGCTTTTAATCTCTTCTATGAAGGCATGGACGTCCCTGGAACATTTGCTTATAATTCATGTGAAATTGGTGATGTATCCGGACCCTGTAGACTAGTCTTGGAGTGTCCCTGCTTAATCCACAAGGGCGTTAGTCGCCTGCTATATGTTATCTTGCTCTTGTGACCATGAAGGCCACGGGTTTTGCGACTGAAGTTCGATTCATAAAAATCTATATTCCTAAAATCCTTACTATTTTATATTGCTCTTTGGAGGTGAAGAGATTCGCACTACCACACTTCAGTGGGATAAAAGGGATGGGTAATTTTGACACATACACCTTATACCTACCTATGAACCATACCACTAATCACATTTCATGGATATGTATTAGGAAATTCTTAGAAAGAGGACTTAACTGATTAAAAAGGTAGTGATTGACCGTCAAGGGAATCAACCCCTGAGGCGGAGCTCACTAGAGAAGCTGGAGCTATGGTAACGGCATCAATTGTAAAGAACCACCGTACCAACCGTTACCCATTGTATTGGTCATGTCTTTAGGTACATCTTGTTAGGCGAGCAAATCACTAGAAATTCGACCACTCCTTCTGAGCGTTGACCAAGCCCAGCAATGAAGCTGACTGATACGCGAGATGCGCCATGACTGACTGGCCTTCAATCTATCCTTATCAATTCGTGTCTAACCACAAGCAAGGGAGATCACACAACCACGGCAATGCTGCTGAGAGAGTAGACTTAGTTGCATTGAAGAACTATAGAGGGCGTTCTGCCTTAGTAATGGAAGGAGACCATGAGATGTCCTACCTAATACTACTTCTCGTCAAATTCATATCCCGTAGTGATCATCACTATCACCGACTCATTTGAATCGCGAAAATTCCATGAACCTAATGTATCCAAACACGGCTTTCAATCGTGGCCAATCGCTGACCTAGAGTTTCGTACATTTCCGCACATCCGTCATACTTAATTATAATTATCCTTCGATAGAACCAACTAAGCTTTGCCAATACGGAGATCTAGAGCGCTTCCACTCAAGATTTGCTTCGTGGCAATATCCTCTATTGTCCTCCCGCAATTTTTAACACCATTAAGCCTTGGTCGATGGCGAGCTCCTATTCGCGGTTGAGCTTAGTGAGTCTCGAGACTCGTATTAGGCCGGTGTGCCATCGCTTCAATGCGGGCGTCGATCACCCGCGGCGAGTTTCAGATGTGGCTGAACAGAGATACCATTCCGTAGACACTAGTTTCGTCCCCAATCTCACATTCGACATCATCAGATAGGACCCTTGAAAGCTCCGTAAGCCCCGGGGTTCACCGGCTCCGGCTGCGGCGGCGCAGCTTCGTAATCGTATCGGGGCGGCAAATCGTGGTTATGCAACTCTGACGCCCCAGGCGTTCCGTCCAACTCCCCTCTGAGAGCCTCGCCGTGGATCTCGGTCGGGCAATCTTGGTTATGTAGCTCGTGGTATACAGTCGGCGTTTCCATTTCCCTCACCCCCGGCCCCTGCCATATCACATTCGCATGCGCAGGTGAAGGGCTCTTTGGCGGTACGGGCGGTGCCACGATCTCCGGTCCCTTTTCCGAGGAGCCGGCGGCTGCGGCTGTCGTCTTCTTCGACTGGTAGTGGCGCCACAGGAAGAAAGCGGCTAAGCCGGCGAGTATCACTGCGCCGGCTGCGACTCCGATGCTGAGACCTACTATCGCGCCTACGGACAAGTGAGAGCTGCTTGAAGAGGCCGCCGATGCTGACGCTGATGACGCGGAAGTGGCGGATGCGCTTGATGATGCTGCTGTTATTGTAGCAGGGGTCCCTAATAGTAGTGAGATTAGCGATATTCCCGACATAGTGGCGTCATACAGTCATGGCCTTCGTGTCAATCTCACCAATGGCCAATTTTCTAATTTACCAGGCCTTATTGCATTTATAACAACGAATGCGGGTGAAACGCACGCAAGGGAGATTTTGAGCTAGAAAATATAAACATACCTGAGTGGTTGCAGTCATACTGTACGTAGCAGTCTCTGTTGTTATGGGTATACACGAGTATCGAGTCCGTCTGCCAACACGTGAAATTCCCATAACCGTTGTCTCCGGTTCCCGCATAATCTCCCGCCTGGCCTTTCGGATTAAGTACAGCGACAAACTTGGTACCCGTATCGCTGAAATACCCTGTTGTCGTCTTGTTGGCCCAGTCCCAGTACTGTCCGGTAGTCACGGTTGAGATGTCATCCGGTGTGTCGTCTGGGTTGCCAGTGTAATATGTCACTTCTGATGATTTATCACTCGAATTCGATGGGTTGGTGCAATCTGTCAATATTACATCTGCGATGCGTTTTATGTTAATGCTGGCTCAGTCTGTAACAGTCTTAAAGTTATATGAATGGAAAAACGAGATCGTGGCGAAGGCTTTTGAGACTAGAATAGAGGTGGAGAAGCTAGAATCTTGCCGTCGCTGTTAGAGATGAAAAATAATGAAATTCCTTACTTTCGGCTGAACCCCGCGCCCATATTTGATGAGGTATGCTCCGTGCTATGCTCTGCGAAGCACAGGCGACGACTAGTATCGTGGGGAAGAGCATGTTGAATATGGGGTTTCCACCCTGAGAGCCCTGAGTTGTGTCTCAAGCAATGGTCGAGGCTCGTATCACTGGGGGTGGTGGATACAGTTCACTGATGTTTTGCCCCTTGACTATGTCGACGTGATGGTGTCATGCAGTATTCCCAAGAATCCCAAATTTCACTTGACGATCCAAGCAATGGGAATGAGAAGCAGACGATCCAAGATAGCATCGAGTGGCCTGCGTAGATGTCGAAAGAGAGAAAGAAAAGCAAAACATCTGAGGGCGTCTTCCAGGGGTGGTGAAATTGAAGCTGAGATTCAAGCAGACCAGGACCCATGGGTTGCCGTGGTGGGGGCTGCCGATCTCTTATATTAGGTAAGATCGGTAGGCTATAGAATTTCTAGAAAACTTCCATTTAAATATGATTCGCCGGGGAGCTATATGCCTTGTCAGCGCTAGTTGTCGTTGAGTCCTGATATGGCGAAGCTGGACTTTCAATCGAGCATGGATGAACAACCGAATGCTACATAACCTTGGGATAGGCCTTGTCACTTCAAGGGTTCAATGGTGCCCTATTCTTTTGGGACGATCTTGGCAAGCGGCGGGCCTTCCGCTTCCTCGCGATTTATTTCCTCAGACTATGGCACATATCGCCAGTTGATTCCGATGCATCGAGCCTTGGTAGTAGTTCAAGTTTTAAATGAAGTTGTCAACATCCCTCAGCAGTCAAGAACATAAGGAAAGCGTCTTCTGTACATCTTATATCCCGCTTATACTACCCGTCGACAGACATAGGTATGACTAAGTAATCTGACTTCATTCTAGTTAGAGGGGGCCGTTTGTGCGTGACTTGACGCGATCCTAGCATCGGGCGGACCGAGAAGTGCAACCAGCTCTACCAGGGTTAAACATCGATTTATGTATGTACGTCGCTCCCCAATAGACCCTGATCAGCGTTTAAGTTGCATTTATGTATACTACATGATAGGACAACTCACCTCTAGAGACTGGGTAACTTTCCAGACCTAACCGTTCATATGCTAAATTGCCGAGGTGCTTGAGATATAGTCACAGTCATATGATTGGGTTGCGTCTAAATTATTTGTTGTTCGCATCTAGGTAGATGATGCGATCCAGGGGCAGCCCTATGCTACAAACGAAGTCCTACCAACTTTTCGAAGAGGATACGGAGGTAGGTAGGTAGGTACCTAGGTAGGTACCTAGACTTGCTGTTTAGTTCCAATACGAATCTGGTAGGTGCTATAAATTTCTAAAATCGATAGGTGCAAGTAAGAAAACGGGTTGTAAGAGTCTTGAAATAGAGTGCTCGCAAGTAAATCCTGACTATCCTTCCCGAGTCTTCCAACAAGCCTTTCAAAATCCCAGCAGTTAGGATCTATTCCTCTTTTCTTTTTTTAAAATCCCCTCTTTATCTCCACAGCCCGAACCAAAACGCATCCGCCCGCACATGCCTGCCTCTTTAGGGCATGGATGGTCGGTGCACCATATCTCGAAAAGTTTTAGCTTGACTCAGGTCGTCATAAGGTAAGGAAATGTCCATTAATATTGAATAAAGGGAATTCTTTAGGACCGTCACGATTCCAAAACAAAAGTAGACTTAAGGATATGTAATTTCCGAGTTGACATTTAACCTCAAGTCCATTATAGTGTAAGGCGGTTTATTGAATCTAAAAGGGGTAATGATTAGATGTTATATTCTAGACGCGTTTTTTAACTATTTGTAATCATATCCCCAAATTAGGCTAATGAATATTTCTTAGGTACCTGGAGATCGAGGGCCTAATTCAAGAGACCTTGTTGGCAATTGCGGTATACGTCTTCAACGACACTAGAGCATCTTGAAACTCTTGTTCAATCACCTTCGCGTGTTCGGGAGATCGTGGTTTTATTGAGCAAGGGAATGGCAGTGGGCTTGAATTGAACCCATCCGAGAAAGCGAATCTGAGTATCGTTAATATTTGGCATTACCAACTCGACAGGAAAATAGGTACTCACATGTCGACGTCGATATCCTTCCCATTCGCATCTTTGACAGGCCCTACCTCGAAAGCCCAAAGTATACGTGCGATGTTAAGTTCGACAGACGCGGTTCCGAGATGCATTCCAGGGCAAATCCTTCTTCCCCAGCCAAACGCGCTGTGACCAAATGTGCCAGGGTACTCACGGTTCCCTGTGAAGCGCTCTGGTTGGAATCTGTCTGGATCTGGGAAATCCGATTCGTTCAAGTGAACTAAGCGCGAGGTTATTATTGTTGGCGGGACAAACAGCAATAGAGAATTTCCCGCACTTACTACTCCACAGAGGTGCGATAATAGTGCTTCCTTTAGGAATGAACATCCCCTTATACACATCGTCGGCTGTACTTGCATGCGGCGTGCCGCCTAGCACAGCGACCGGTCTCCAACGAAGCGTCTCAGCAGCTACTGCTTTGACATAAGGTAATTGAGGCATGTCATCGAAAGTGGGAAGTCTCCCGCTTCCTATTACCCTATCAAGTTCCTTTTGCGCCTTGGGGACGAACTGCGGGCCAAATTTAACACATGCCAATAGGAAACTAGCAAGTGTACCTGCCGACTACACATTAACTTAATAGGATATCCCCTGATATTTCAAATGAATATAGGAACTCACTGTCTCTACTCCTGCGCCGAAAGGGGATCCAGCGGCATAAGCGACCTCGAGATCGGGCATTCCTAGACTCTCCTGTTCCTCTAACAGGTGCTTGGCAAAGCAGGTAGGCAAAGCTCCCTTGGCCATTCTCTCCTTTACCTCGTCCATGAGTTCAGTGTACAGTTGAATGTCTTTTTGCCGCTGTTTAAGCACCTGGGCTTTCCATGGTGCAAAAATGCTGGGTACATATTTCAGTGCCGGATAGCGCTCGACTGCGTACTTCCCAGGGATACTACAAAGTACTAAGTCAGCATAGCATGCAATCGTGGATAGATTCCTTACTTGACTTGAGTGAGGCGATCCATCGATTCGCCGTTCCGTTGTACCACAATATCGGTATCCACGTCTTCAACTCTCCGTCCGTATGTGACAGTGACGATAACCGAAGCCGCATAACGTTCAAGGTGCTTTCGGAATCTTTCGGGGGTCCTGAGTAAATCATTCAAGAGGACCTTAGATTCTAAACTCTGGATCGGCCTATAAGTTTCGCTTTGACGTTGCATAAACCCGCTATGCAGCAGTTTTCGCCAACGTCTCCAAAAAGCCCCATATGGCGACATGAGTCCTCGCATCCCCCCGGATAGGAGCTCACCCCCCATAATGAAACGCGGCCTGGATGAATACTTGGCACCTCGTTTCTCAAGCAGATCCCATGCCGCTTGGGCGGAGCCCAATATGACTGTTGGTGTCGGTCCCATCTGAAGGTACACCACGTCCCCATATTCCTTATTCAACTCTCGAAACCATAGCCACGGCTTTCGAAGACCAGACTTTATGACCTTAGGGCCTGGCGGAAGTTTTGAACGATGCGCATATAGTTTCCACTCTTGTCGTAACTATTCCAAGCGCGTTAGATAATACACTAGGTAGATTTTCTTTAATATACTTACCCTCGGAAATATTAAACTGAAGTATGAGAGTGCTACAGCAAAGCCTATGCTAGCAAGAAGTTCGGCAAACATCTTGTCGTCTAATCCAGCTAACAGGCCACAAATTCAGCAGAGTAGGTACGGAAATTCCGAAACAGAAAATGCAAATTAATCAGCTACGGGGACACCCCTCGCAGAAATAGGGTCATGTGGAACTGGTATTCCTCTTGTCTACTATCCTATTCAAACTGCCGATCTTGTCGGGGAAATCCATGTGGATATCTCCCCCAAAATCGATGCCGATGTGTTTTGCGGAGTAGTGCACGTATGGTGATGGGTACTACTAACTCACTAACGCGGTCTTTATTCGGTTAGTAATCTGAAGGATCTGATAGGAGCGTGTTATTAGACACCGGACACTTCTTGTGCTTAATCAGCAAAGATGCAAATGCTGTGGTGGTTTACTCATTCGGAATCAGAGGAATTGTAGACCGTTTTGTCAACTTTGAATCTTCTCTATCCCAAACACGTCTCGTCTCATCGAAGAGTTAGTCAAGAGTCGCTAAGGTTGGAGCATCGTCTTATAGAGGCTGAAAGCTGAACAACTCGAAGTAATCGATTATATTTATACCCCGCCTTTGGATCGCTTGGCGGGCCCATCTCCCCATGGGGCGAACCAGGTATTCGGATATTGATCCCAGACTGCTACGATTGCTAGGTACACGACATCTTATCAAGCCCAGATGGCGATACTTCGAACAACATAAATCTTCGAATCAACGGAATGGTTATGCCTGCGTATTGTCTGGCACTTTCTGCGTATATAAATCCTACAATTGCTAGCCGCGAATTATAATATTTTACCACGTGAGCCGTCTTTGGCTTCGTCTTTCCTCGGCACTTAGATTGCAGCTAGGGGACTGAAGTGTTTCGGTAATCACCGCACCGAGCTTAGCTTTGGCATCTTTCTTGCTGTGCCTTATTATCATATGCAAGCTAATTACCTACCTAGGTAGGTATACTAATTATCGAACTAAGGGTAATGACGCTTAATGACTTCAATCGGACGGTTCTTAAAAGATACTGCCTTCAGATAGTTATTGCAACTCCAGGATACTTTATTCTATTAAGGCAATGAAAATACAACATGCTTTCTCTTTTCAAAAAGTAATATTATAAATTTGCTAAAAAATGATGGTGAGGTTACTTACATATAAGTTACAAACCTACCTTCTACCCAATTAGTAGGTAGAAGTACTTAAGGGGTCATATTAAAGAAGAGCCTAGGTGACGCTTACCTTATAAGTATCTAAATCGATGCATGGGCCTGAGATTCTTCAAAAACCTTCCTCTCGTCTTTATTAGGCTTGGCAGCTTCCCGTAGGTATAATATTGAACCAGGCTTGATCACCCATGGCCATTCCGGATACTGAATCTTGGCTCTGGGCCAACCCCGAGGGTACGGTCCCCAAATCCACAACTGGGGGTTCTTACCTCCTTCAACACCTCTTTCACCTTCTGGCATCATTCCGATCTCTAGGCCGTTGTCTCTAGAAATTAAGTATATATGACCATGTAAATTACACGTATTCGCTGATGATCCTATTCTCAAGGTAACATGACTGTCGTCAGGTCCTACGACCCGTTTATCTCCTGTCCAACGGATAGTGCTAGTATCGTGGACAGTGGACCTATATATCTGTTAGCTTAGTTTCATAACGATTTGTCATATTGGGGATACTTACGCAATCCAAGCATAACTTAAGCCAAACTCCTTCGTCTGGTTCCTAATAACTGCTTCAACCTCTTGGAGCATTCTTACGTTCTTGGTATGAGAAACGGGGACAAGCCAAATGACCTATAAATGGTTAGTAATAAAGATCATAGTATGTGTTTGATGGAGGTTTAACAGACTTTTGGATCCTCTATCGTTCCAGCCCCCTCTTTTCTGTCCGAATCTAGAATTCTACGCATGAAAACGGGATCATGTGGTGCTCCTGGACCAAGTCTCATACCTTTCGTCCAGATGATACCCTCTTTGGGTTTATCGGATCTAAATCTAGTACGTCTGCTAAGTGTACGAGAGGGCGTCTTAGACATTTTGGTGATATGTAATGGTAAAACGTTAGAATAGGAGCACGAAAAGTTGCATCATGGATTCCCGGTAGGGAGGCCTCTCATACAAAATATAGACACGACATAGTTGTAAAGTGTATCAACATGGAAAGTGAAGAGACTCAATGAAGCATTTAGCGTACATATTCTTTGACGTTACTATTTGTTTCGAAACAACTACGTGCAATTATCTGGTGGACCTAGTATACTTCCTAGTCAGATACCTAACTAATTATTAACAGACGTATCTCAATATCATAGAACCATACACTGTCGTAGGTAACTCTATGGTAGCTAGCTAGGCACCTATCTGTATCCCCTTAACTTCCACAAGTCTCCAGCTAAGAATTAGGAAGTAGTATTCATACAAGAACTTAGTTCTGGCCCGCCGGGAGCACCACTCTTAAGCTGGAAGTTGCTGGTACAACTGGCACAAAATATTATCATGTGCGGTTCATGCTCTATCATCCCGGGTCTGGTCTACCATGTCAGATACGAAGTTTTGTGCGTTCTAATAATCCCTGGCTGAAGACCTATGCCAATTAGGTGGATAGTGATGTTGTGAAAACGGTTTTATATTGAACCTTTTTAGTTATTTAGCCTAGAGAACAGTTTTCCCCTGATACCTACCTACGTACCTGAAATACAAAAAAATACGCCACTTACCACCAATAAACCCGTACTAATCTACACTTGAGATCCAAAACAACCAATCTGTTATACGATGTATCTAGCTACGTACCTAGGTAATCCCAAATCTTCCAGGATGAGAAATGAGGCTCAGAGTAAAAGACCTCCCGGTATTATGGGTTTAGATGCAATGCCAGTTGCTTTAGTGGTTCGCTTAACTCTTCTGGTTTGAGTTCCCAATTATCAATAACCTCGACATCGCTTCGTTGATCCATGACCCAAGTGATCATAGCGAACACTAAGGCAATGGAAATTATTATAAGCCGTTTCGCACATATACCCTTACAAGGTACAGAATTGGAGTGAATGGTGCTTGGTGGTTCTGCTCTTACCCAAGAATGTGAAAGGACTGCGCCGATTTTCATACGCTCATCTGGGTCATATTTCACCATATTCCGTAAAAGATTAGCTAGTTCTATAACCTCATTTCGGGGATATCGATAGGTTATGTTCTGGGACTTTTCGTCGTCATATGCGAAGCGTTCTTCTCCTAAGATGGCTTCAAATATGTCTGCATAACCGCTCTCTTCGATGAACTCACTCCTCTTAGCAGATCGACGACCTATCAATATTTCTCCATATTCGGGTATTGGTTTTGATGGATTTTGCTCATCTTCATCGCGCCCCTTCCCATACTTCTCTAGGTACTTCTTTTCGTATACTCTCCGATAAGGAAGAGGTAAGGGTCCTAGAATGAATTCTATCTCTTTGACTGTATCTATCACCCCCCATCCACCTGGTGGAAATAAGTGGGTACGTGTCCGAACTTCAAAAAGCGTACATGCCAATGACCATATATCGCTAGGAAGTCCTAGGGTCTGAGATCCTCGAAATAAAACTTCAGGAGAGGCGAATTCATTCGGGATGCCGGTTGATTTGGGAGGACTTTTGACGAAAAATGACTCACCGAAGTCAATAACTGCAACTGTCATAGTGCTTTTAGCCTTAAACCAATCCATATTCATGACTGCAGGTAAAACGGCGTACTCAGGAGCCCTAGGTGCCGGAGATTGGCCTGACATCGTCTCAATGTCAATACAGTTTGGTTCTCCCATCAAGTTTATCATTTGGTCCTCATCGAGCTCATCAATGCCTTCGACCTTCATAAGAATATTGTTTGGTCTGTAGTCGCCGTGGCAAATTCCGTGCCTGTGGAGAAAATCTAGAGCCTCGATGATCTGGCGGCATACGATCTTTGCGTCTATACCGGTTTGTTCTTTGTGATTGATTTGTAACAATCGCCAGATCGAGACCGTCGAGCCGAGAACTGGCATTACAAGACAACGATGGCGACCGTTTGGTCCCTCGATATAGAACTCTTCTAGAGGGACCACAATATGATTCTCTTCTAGCTCTTCCAAAGTGAAATTCTCTCGGAGATACTTCAATACCTTCTCTTCGCCAGTCCCAAATGATCGACTTGCAGCTATTATCTTAACTGCTCTCCATTTGTTCAAATTGAGATCGCGGCATAACCAAACAGTTCCAAAACCTCCACTGCCAAGTTTATGGATAACGAGAAATCTATTGTCAAGAATATCATCAAGCTGCACAGGATGATAGCCGCCTTTGTTGTACATCTGGAAGTTCTCGATGCCCTGCTCTTTCCATATGTAGTTGCAATCTTCGTATTGAATCATTTCTTCCGTAGAATCTACGCCATGTGTGTCGATCGGATTTTCCTGGCGGGTAACGCTTTCCGCGGCGGGCGAGGAGTCCTTCTCCATTTTGACAAATATTCGCGGAGTTTGGTTGGTGGTTGGTTATGGATTGGAATATCCTAAAAGGTTATTAATACCGAAAATATGTCGAGCTTTCAGGAAGTGGAGTGAAGCCTGGAACATATATTTGGTTATAAGACCTCTTCAAGACCTGAGAGACGGAAATCGAATGAGGTGCAAATAACTGCTTAAGTGCATTTCTTCTTTGTCGACAACACAATAAATGAAAAGAAACATACACAAGATAAAAGGAAACATGATATTAGAATAAAGAAGCTGTTTGGAAATGTGTTCTCAGTACTTTACCATACTTCTCCATAGGCTAACACCAAAGTCCTGGTCAGTATCATGCTATTTCCAAGGTTACTAGATGGTAGAGATCGCAATAATACCATCCATCCACGAACTAACTCCCTTCTTCTACCTAGGTATGCAAAATAACTTATAAGTTGCTGTAAGGCATATTGAATGCACAGTTGGTTGACGGTGTGGTGCCATTGACACCTGATTTAACTTGACGGCTTGGACGCTTATCCCTTTAGTTGGCATAAGACTATAGCTCCACGACGATTAGTAATTGTACTTCCATCAACCCCTGAGCTCTACTGATACCCCCAAAATCCTACTTCTAGTTGGTTAGACGCCTCTGAAGATCGCTGTGAGAGCCTTAACGCTTACAGGCTCAAGAGGCCTGCGCTATCGCCGATGTACAGTTACCGGCTTTATGGAGACTGAAGTCTTATGCCAACTAAAGGGATATAGGTGTTAGATATGTAATCAAGACTTCCATATGTTCACCGGGCCATTGAATCCCCGTTAGCTGTGCTGTGCTGTGCCTTGCTGTGCCGGGGTTATGCAGAAGAGTTAGCCGGATATGTTATCGCCGATGCAAGGTTTATAAAATGAATTTGATGGTCCTTTCTCTTTACCCTAAGATAATATTTACTACTATCTCTCTGAAAATACTCTAGCTATTGCATCGTCGTAAAAATGGGACTATACACGAAGCTTCCAGATGAGATCCAGGAGGTGGACATTATTCTTGTAGGGGGTAAGAGATCCACTCTCTGTTACAAACGTCTGGAGCATAGAATTAATCGTTTTTTTGAAGGCGGATGCACTAGCTGCATAATCGCTAGCAGACTCTCGGATGCCGACCCAACCCTCTCCATCTTAGTCATCGAAAGCGGCCAGAACAACTACGGGTTGCCAGAGGTCGTCCATCCGGGCTTCTGGTTTGGCCATCTAATCCCGGGTAACAAGCATACCACATTTTTCCAGGGACCGAAGTCCAAGCATATAGCTGGTCGCCAGGCCTCTCTTCCAACTGGCCATGTTCTCGGCGGAGGGTCATCTATCAATATGGCATTATATAGCCGTGCGCAGCGATCCGACTACAACTCATGGGGTATCCCGGGATGGTCGGCCGATGATTTGCTGCCGTACATGAAAAAGGTACCTATTTCTACGACACATATCCGGGAAACTCTCTGAGCCAGCTGACTTGCTTTAAGTTCGAGACATACCGTGGTCCAGGCCCGAGAGATCGGCACGGATACGACGGCCCTATAGAGGTATCCGGTACCAGGTTTAGGAGCTCTAGACTCGAAAATGATTTCATCAATGCTCTTGGCGAGTTGGGGTGGCCTGAGATTGAGGATATAAACACTCTTGACCATGTCAACGGAGTAATGAGGGCCTTACGCTATGTTAACCCCGACGGTCGGCGACAAGACACAGCCCATAAGTATCTACATCCAAGACTCCAGGATGGTAGCCACCCGAACCTACACGTACTTGTCGAATCTCAGGTCGAGCGTGTCCTATTCGATGACCGGAAGGCGACTGGGGTAGCTTACAGGCCTAATCCCACTTTCCAGCCTCCTGAAGATCCATCACAAGATAACATGCGAGTACTCAAAGCGCGGAAGTTGGTTATTCTTTCTGCTGGTCCCTTCGGGACTCCTATGGTACTAGAGAGATCTGGAGTAGGAGACCCGCAGATTTTGGAGCGTGCTGGAGTACCAATCGTAGCCAGCGTTCCTGGAGTTGGCCATGACTATGAAGATCATTTTTCAATGATGTACGGATACGAGTCGACTCTCAGGCCCGAGGAAACCTTGGAGGGGATAATCTCCGGTCGCCTCAATGCTGAAGAACTGATCAGAGATGATGCGAAGGTTTTAGGCTGGAATTCAGTTGATTGTCAAGCTAAGCTTCGGCCAACAGATGCTGACGTCGCGAGTCTTGGCCCTGAATATCAAGAGACTTGGGATAGGGAATTCAGAAACTTCCCAGACAAACCACTGATGATGATGTCTCCGGTAGCAGGGTAAGAGGAAAGTTGCCTTCAAGACTTGAGTTGATCACCGAACTAATCACGATCAGGTTTCCTGTCGATCCAACGAGTGACCCACCCAAACAAATATGTACCCTTGTCACTTTCATTCTGTACCCCTTTTCACGTGGTCATCTCCATATCTCAGGTCCCAAAATTGACGATGCTCCGGACTTTGATCCCGGTGCCCTTTCAGACCCTCAGGCTTTCGATCTGAAGAGCCATATCTGGATGTACAAGAAGCATCGAGAAATCGCGCACCGCATGAGTATCACTGGCGACGAGTTGACTGGTATGCACCCTGTCTTCCCCGCAAACTCCAAAGCCAGTAAAAGCGCCACGGGGAAGTTCGAGTATACGGCAGAGGATGAGAAAATCATTGAAGACTGGATACGAGGGCATTTGGATTCTACCTGGCACCCAATTGGAACTTGTAAGATGGCGCCACGGGAGAAGCTTGGTGTTGTGGACCCGGCATTAAATGTTTACGGCGTTCAGGGGCTCAAGATCGCTGATATGAGTATCCCCACTGCTAACATTGGCGCAAACCTGGCCAACACGGCCATGACCATTGGTGAAAAGGCGGCGGATATCTTCATCAAGGAATTGGGTATTGGCAAGTAGAATGAGTATCTATCTACCCCTAGCTATCTAGCTAGTAGGCAGGCAGTGAGTATAGGTTACACCTATTCAAATATTAAGTACGGTGATTGAATTATTAAAAAGGCAAACTCCATCGGCATAAGATTAAAAGATAATTAAGTAAAGTATGAGACACCAGGTTTCCAACAACTGGAAATTCGGGCATCCTTAATGACGGATTGTATTATTCTACGCCAACGCTATATAGCATGTAAAAATCTTTTATAATAGTCTATACCGAATAAGATCTTTTCGAGAAGGAATCTCTTTGACTACGTAATATTGGAATATTAGCTGGCTGGAAGCCTAGGTACTACAAAGGGCTGATATCACGGCCTAGCTATCTACATTCTACGTAATATTTGAGACGAATATGTAAGGGGCCAAAGGCCCCAAAGGGCTTTAGGGAAAGGTCAGGCGTGTATAGTTATTCCATTACTACATGCACACGAGCCTACAGCGAGCTTTTAGCTTCCCTTACTCACTCTGTAACACAGTTTTCAAGGATGGATTACACCCCTAATACCTACACCCTGTGTCTCGGGGGTATATGTACCTACTACCTACCTAGGTATCTATGGATCTCTACCCGCTCCCAGTATCTTAAAGTTTCAATTCAAGTATAGCACTCACAATCTGCGCCTGTCTCAGCAGTTAAGATTTTTATATACCTACCTATCTTATCTCTAGGCCCCTAACTATATCCTTCTATATAGGATATTCTAATTGTCTAAGACATATTATGAGAGATACTATAGATTATGATTTAATTTGGGAGAAAATACGAGAATAGTTTCCTTTTCCATCCATTATACAACTCCCGAATGAAGCTACATATTGCTATAACAGCTGGCTTAACGGATAGTGTATAATCTCGTGCAAAGTTTTCATAATATAAACCCAATGAACATTTAGTTTCTAATTTCTTAATAGTATTGAGTGTACCTATTCACCTATAGAATAACATATTTGATTCCTGACCTATACCTCAAGGGTTACGGGTTGGTATGTGAAACTATATCGTCATAGAAATGTGTAAAGGAAGTAAGTCACTTAACAGGTTAGAAAACTTCTATACTTCGTCCTTATTTCCTCGTCAAATTCCCGCAACATCTTTCTGATTTAACGTAGTAATCTAGTATAAGCCATTGTTTCTCTCCTAACTGATCAACCAAATTCTATAGCATGACTTCTATAGCCTCAGCTTCTATAGAAGCCGAAATTCCGAACGTAACGATGATGATATATGAGTCTAACCAGGTTCAGGAATATTCAACTTGGCATATGTCGCCATGTGGTCAACTAGTGCCTATCAGGGTTGATTATGTGAAGGTTGCAAATACCAACTACCGATTACTAACTAACTTTATAGTCAAAGTCAACGTAGCCTATGACCTAGCTCTCATGACTGGTAGGACTTTCAATACTTTCAATATATTTCAATACAATAAGCAAAGGGGTGACATTTCTCAGCAAGGGCGCCGCCAATAGCCGTTTGCGGATTTTGCGAGACATGGTGAAGAGCCGAGGTACCCGCCGAAAAACTAGGGAATAGAAATTTGAGACGCCGACCTGAAGAAATTTGGGGTAGGAGAAAGGCGAAACTATAAGCAACTATTCGCATCTAAATGCCTCCAAGCAAGCTGACTAGCCTTGTCGGGACTTTGCGGGATACCTACCCCAACGCGGGGATGCCACGCGACTCTGCAGGCTTTCCTCATGACCTATGGCAGGACGGCATCAGGACCCCTAGAAGGATTACTTCGCCGCAAATACATGATGCATGTCATCTTCAAGCCCAACTTCGAAAAGGCAAGCTGTAGCCGAGTTTCGAAGAGCACGACAGACTGCAGCTTATACCGTAGACTCATATGCGGGGTTCTAGATCATGGGTTCTTATGAAGCCTGCCCTCGACAGTTTGCACTTTCTCGGGGACCAGCAAGGGGCCAACGAACGCAAAGGAGACCCGGCCTTGCCGGCATTAATGTTGTCGCGAGTGTAGCACAACGTAGATGCAGTGCGAGGCTTCCAAGGCTTATGGATGTCGGATGATATTTAAACTATCGCCTGCTAGGTGACGGGCCGTGTACCTTGCCGCTGCCATTGTCGTTTGTTTATTTTGCCCGATTTTCGTTATTTGCCCCGAACTCCGCGTATGTCGTAAGTGCCGCGACGAGACCCAGGTTGCCGGGTCGCGTGCGCAAAATTGGACATATGTGAGATTGAGAGGCCGATCTTCGTTCCTGTTCCCCTTGGACCCCTCCGCGACGTTCGCAGTGGGCCCCAAATGGACCCAAATCCGCAGTACCGCCTGCATCGGCACTTCGCCCCTGATGGGCTAAAATAAGAATTTCTGCGAATTTCAAGTGGTTAAATTATATCCCAGCGCTACAGCTGTTCCACAATTGCCCGTAAGCCACCCAGGCCGCCCGGGCTTTTCCCCTTTTTTACTCTTCTGCCCCCGCTACTATATGCTGTGTTACAAATACTCGATCCCACGTTCTGCTTTCCCGTCTAACGTCAGCAACGCGCCAGCGCCACAAACACTCCGTTCCGCCAGCCTACAGGGCTTAACGTATTTCGTAGGAATATCAACTAGATACCCGAGCATTCCAACGGCGTAGATCAGCGTAGATAATTAACTGATCTAACACCATTCGACGCGATCTGAGCTCGGAAGGCCACTTTTTTTACGTCCGATGTCTCGGATCCTTAAATATCCTAACTCCTTCATTGGCAGAAATTCACCTAGGTAACAATATAAAATCTAGCATAGAAGTTCCAGAACAGCACCTTGTCCGACCTAGGAAGTTGTTAATGAAAATCATCAGACCAAATGGAAAGAATGTTTGAGAGACATGTTCCAACCAGCATCAAGATTTGATCTAGGAGAAACCAGTTTAGCAAGTTTAGCAACACTGCTCGATGTGACGTGACCTGTAGCCCTGGGGGAGAAGTTGGTCACCGCTCATTACATACCTACATAGGTCCTAGTTGTTGGCCGGTCACCAGGTGGCAGCCTAACCCCAACCCATCCTGCCCCCCGTCGTCTCTTACATCCGCTGCGCTGAGGCACAACTAAGCTGCTTGGCATCCCTTGCTGCACGGGATAGCCAATGAGACATTTCGAGGGTATTCGTGGCATCGGATTATACGATACCTCAGAGCTGGCGTGACTCCCCACGAGGCTCTGCACGTCAGTCATGCTTTGGGTCGCGAAATTCGTCGATACCCCTTACCAGAGGTATGGGTACCGCACTGACATGTGCTGTCGTGGACCACGAGGCACAGCGTCTCTAACGGTGATGCGTAAGAGGCTACGTTGTAGTCTAATAGTTAGGTAACTAGTAGGTATAGTTATATAACGATCTACTAAGGGCTGTGTTCGCACAGAAGTGCTATATAAGACGCCCCCGAATTCCAGTGTTTCTCATGTTTTCCTCCTTACCCAAGAATTCTCCTTCGAAGAAAGCTAGAACGGGGCTTACTCCTTAAGTAAGGGGTATCTACCTACACAACTTCTACACAATGTCTCAACGAACATCTAACATGTCCTTCCTATACATGTTGCTTAGCTATCTGAGCCTCGTCTCTTTTGTCTCGACAAGTCCCATCCCCGTTCAAAGAGATGGCTTGAGCACTCGGGACACGACGACGACGTTCTCAGAAATCGGCGCCAGCTTCACCCTCGCCTCTACGGAGAGCACCGTCAACAGCGCGGGAACATACCCTCGCCTTGCCAGACTCTCCGATGGAGGGATTCTCTCGATAACAACCGTCTACAGCGGGAGCACCCGCACCCTGACCATCGCCCGGAGCGACGACAACGGCGCGACATTCAGCCAGATCGGCAGCGTAGCCCAAAGCACGGGCGACTTGGACAACGGCTTCCTACTGCAGCTCCCCTCAGGCACCGTGCTAGCCGCGTTCCGGAACCACGACCTGGACGCCAACGGCGTGGCAACATACTACCGGATCACGGTATGCAGCAGCACCGACGGCGGGGTAACCTGGACCTTCCTCTCGCAAGCAGCCGAGAACCCGGCGGACGGGTACAACGGGCTCTGGGAGCCGTTCATGCGAATCGCCAACGACGGCACGATCCAGCTAACCTACTCGGGGGAGCTAAGCGCGACGAACCAGGAGACCTTCCGCGTGACCTCGTCAGACGGCGGCGCGACGTGGACAACGCCCGTGAACCTGCAGCTGCACGGCTCGCAGCAGCTGCGGGACGGGATGCAAGGGATCGTGTCCACGACGGACGCGGCGACGGGCGAGGCGGCGCTGGTCATGGTGTTCGAGATCAACGACAACACGCACGTGTACCTGGGGACGGTGACCTCGTACGATGACGGCTTGACGTGGGGGTCGCGCGCGACGATCTTCCGGCCCGCGGACCACAACGCGGGGGCGCCGCAGATCGCGGCGGTAGGCGCGAACCTGGCCGTCGCGTTCATGACGGACGAGGACAGGGCCGTGAGCGACATCGCCTGGCCCGCCAACGCCGACGTCAAGATGATCTTCTCCGCGCAGCTGAGAAACGGCCAGCTGACGTGGACCACGCAGACCCTCGAGCTGTCCGTCGACAGCTCGTACTGGCCCGGCGCCTTCCAGCGCGACGACAATGACGTTATCGCCGTGTACGAGCGTGGGGGCGTGCCTTACGGGAGGGTCATCTCGGCCGCATAGCACAGCTTTTCTTTTTTTTTTTCTTAGTTCCTGAGAGAGAGAGGGAAGGAGGAGGCGGTGACGCGTTCGCAAAGCACAAAAAAAGAATTTGCGCGTGGCTACCTACCTAGGGATGCATGAATGCATGCGCTGTTAGGGCTGAGGAGTTGTCGGGGAGTTCATTGGTGGGGAATTGCGACTATGGACTTGTGATATCCCCTGGTATGGGTTACGCGCGTTAACCATATAACCATATATCAGATGATGTTAATGAGTTGCGGTTATTTTGTATATACTTCTGCTTCGACATGTTTTTTTTTACTAGGATAGGGGGTTGGGTTAGTCTGGCCTAACATGAACATATTTCCTCCCTTAACTGCTTGTGTTTGCCAGGACGAAAGTCGTATTAGTCCGGGGTAGAAGAACCGTTGAGTGAACCGTCATTTCGTGATTCAAACGAGTGTGGTTGTAAATTTCGAGGCCTGGTATCGGGATGAGTGCCGGTGCCCAACTTCACCGATCCTGGGCGTAAGTTCTTCGGCACTGCCCAGTTGACGTGTCTAGGCCCGCATTCTCATAGCGTGCATGGATCGAGGCAGTGTGTAGTTCGGCTGTCAGCCGAATCTTCTCAACCTCACCGCGAAATTCATCTTGTAAATGGTGATTATTTCGTTAAAAAGTACCACGGCGAGCTAGCTTGATGATTACGCGCATCGTGTTTGAATCACCCCTTACTTGCTTTATTAGCGACCATGACAATTAGCGCAAGGGGTAAATTGTGATGAATTCAATTATATTTCTAATCGAGAACTATTGGAGGTCATGATCAATCCTACTCGCCAAGGCTAAAGGAGCATTGTTGGACAAACGCCAATGCTCCCACCGCCCATCTTGATGGGATAATTCGCCCTGCTACTATGCTCGGGAGACGACGAATTGGTTATCTAGAAAGTCATAGCGGTCGTACAGCATCAGAGTATGACCTGGCAGATTAATTGGATATTAAAGCGGTGACATTCAGAGATCGAGTCACGGTGCATAACGTTCCCTCGACGAAAGGGACAGAAGAAGATGGTGACGTTGCTTCGATTCGTGGTTATCGCTGAGATGAGAGTTCGGACGAGGCATTCAAGTGTTACGCGTATCGAGCAAGTTGGGGACTTGATATCACAAGACTTAATTCCCTGGTGGATGTTTTACGGGAACACACGGGATCTGGTACTAGTTCGTTGGAACTCGGCGAACATCGTGAGGATTACGTGGAATACGACGTTAAGAGCTTCACATTACTATTATGTTTTAATAATAGCTGAGCACGTCATAACTCATCCGACTGCGTTGCATCATCTACTACTCCCGTCAGTATCTCATTAAAAACAGCTGCAAGTACGGGCAGCTGCTCCTAGTATTTACCCGTGAAATCTTGCACCCATTCCTGCACGAATGTCGCGATCTGCTTCTGAGCGTCCGCGACAGGCGCTGGCGGGAGGTCCGGTGTCGTCTCGTTGGGGAACAGACCGTTCTCGTCCCAATGGTGGACCGCTTTCTGATATGGGGTTAATACAGGGAACGGGACGGATGGAACGAACTTACAGCGATGAGAATATAGGGCTCTTCCGTGGTGCTGGTTCTTTCCGGCAGGCCAATCGCATGAACGCCGGCGGCGCGCCATGGGTCCCATTCGCCATCGATGAAGGCGAGTCTGGGGTAGCTGATGTTGAAGCCACCAAGCCTATTGATGTATTCCACATCCGCCGGTTGAGTCAAGTTGAAAGCATCTCGGCAGATAAGAGCCGAGTAGTCGACGTCGATCGTGCGCGAGATGAGAGGTAATTGGTCCTCCGGTACGCCGCTTCCAGTTTGGAGATATCCCCATCTACGTTGACGGTGAGCACTTGAATCATAAGCATCAGATAAATACCTAGGCACAAACTTACTGGGTGCAGACCTGGTATTGCCACAGTCGCCAAGTCTGGGTAATGTCATCGTTCGCATAGAACCCTGCGTCATGCGTAGAGAAACATGCGTCTTGCGATTCGGTACAGCCCGAGACTGAGGTCTGGTTGACATAGCCGATGTAATTCAAGAATCGGTTTGCAAGGGTATCTAGCTCATCTTCGTAGCCACCGACCTTAATCAGCTCTTCAACCGCAGCCCGTCGTTCCTCTGTGCCAGGGAATAGCACCGAGTCGGAAGAGACGTTACTACAATAAACGAAGAAGCTGTCGCTGCTTTGGGTTGGGTCCCAGTTAAGGCTCTGCAGACCGTAAATGCCACCATTTATCGCGCTGGCGAAGTCATTGTCGTACGTGACGTTAGGGAGGCCGAATGCTGCTTTAAGCTTCCCGACATAGTCTGTGCCCGCCTGGCCAATGAGGATGTTGTCGACGATGTGCGTGAGCTTCCGAGTAGTATCAACACAAGCCGGCGGTCCGTAAGTAGCGGCGGCCTCAAAGTATTGCCAGTAATCCCAGATCGCCTCCGGCACTCCCGACGACGAGATAGCGCCGAAGTACACGTCTGGATATAAGACTCGCAGAAACGCGACGAATGCGCCCGCATAACTGCCGCCATAGGCGATCCACGGCGTTGTCTCCGGGCTCAAGTCTACATCCTCCAAGCCCTCGAATTTTACATTCTTCGCGAAATACGCGGTATCAGCTAGAGCCTGGTCGGTGGTCAAGAAGCGCAGGTTCTCGGTGCTGAAATCCGGCACGGGGATGCTTTTCCCGTAGTATCTATGCTCGAGGATGACACCCAGCCCGTTCGTCGCTTTCGCAAGTTGGTAGACGATGCCCTTCTGTAGGAAAGGCAAGCGGTCGGAACCGCTCGTCTCTCCGCCTGCCAGTACGATTACGGGGCCTCCGGGCTTGTAATACTGTGCGTCGAACCAGTATCGTTGGTCAAATGTCCCATTGGAATGAGGTTCGTAAGAGGAATCGTTGTGGAAGTGGTCGATAGGCGTGGAGAGGTTGTATTCGGGGTAAAGAGCTTCAAGGTCGGCTTGTCTCGCATTGATACCGAGCGCGCCTCTGGTTGAAATCTGATGATTGATGTTGTTAGCCACCGGCTCTATGACATGATGAGGCAGGGGTCATACTTGTTTCTTGAGCTCGCTAATAGGCAATGGATGCTTCTGAATTGCCTGGGCCGCGGAGACGAGGGTTAGCAAACCCGTAACAATACTGTACCGAACCATGACGATTACAAAACAGCTGGTCGAGCCGAATGCGAATGCCTCTAGGTTAACTCGATTGACGAGGAAGGCAACATGATTAGATCTTGGGCGATGCACGTATATAAGACATGGCGGTCGAAGAGCACCTTGGCATTGTGCAATCGCTAGCTTCTATTGTTATTATTATTGTTTTAGGCAGGACCAAAGATGTAGCGTTGCAATATCTACTCCCGATATGCTACCCGAGAAGCCGAGATGAGTGACGATCCTTGGCGATATGCATTCAACCCACGAAGCTAAGCAGAATACGGAAGGTCTCTAACGCTTATCGTTCCGCCACACGGGTATATAATATCGATATAACGATATTTTCCTTGCATATGATGCCTATATACCGAAAAGCACGGGCGGCGTGCAAGTGGTTAATAGAATTTACGAAGGTTGAAGATCTATTCTCAGGGGCTAATCCAAGATCACAGTTTCCATAGAATTAATAGTGTAAGACTAAGGTACTACGCAGAATATCAGATTACATAACAATACTAAGCCTCATCATGGGCGGCATGGGTATTCATGGCATTGAAGCAAATTGGTAAGGCAGCTTCGTGGTTTTGAGAGACGTGGAGGATTGGGGGCGGCTTGAACGTCGATGTGATTGGATAAGTAGGCTGTGAATGCACAGCCATATCATTTAGATCTCACCTGGGGTTTTTGGGTTTTTCCCTTCTTCTTATTTCGTCGCTTTTCCAGTGTGCCTAGTTTTCACTTGGTCATCAACATCTAATATGAACCATCCTGAATCATGGATCCTGTCACGGCGTTTGCTACGGCAGGCACCGTGGCTACTTTCGTTCAGATGGGTTATCATATCGTTGTAAACACATATACAATTTACAACACTGCGTCAGGAATGGCCAGAGAAGATGAGCAACTTGGATTCTATATCGAGAAGTTAGGAAAGCTTTCTCAATCGATGATTTCAGCAAGCTCCGCCCCTGATCTTAACGATGCAGAGCAAGGGATGGAGAGCGTTGCGTCGAAATGTATCAGTCTTTCAAATCGACTGGTTGAGATTCTCAACCGGTCGACGACCAAAGATCCACATTCGCTTCGCCAAAGTGCCGTCGCAGCCGTCCAAAGCGTTCTGAACAAGAGCAAAAAGGAAGAGCTAAAGAAGGAGTTGGATGAATGTCAAAGGCTGTTCCACTTGCAATTATCTCACATGATAAGGCTAGTTTCGTCCAATAATTTAGGATGTCGACGATAATAACACTACAAGCCACAGCTCAAACACGATCCAGAGTCTAAAGGAGCTCGATGAACTATCCAAGTCCAGCCAATATATTGGGAGCGAAGTAGCAGCTCTTCGCCAACATATTCTTGAATTAGAGAACGGTGTCACCCTGACTGACATCGGAGAAGAAGCTGCGAACAAACTCGCCGGCCTCTTAAAACTATCTAGCGACTCTCTAGCATTGATCAAGAGCCATAGTATTCTAGAGGCTCTTTCCTTTCCGAAGATGCATCAAAGGTACGAGGCGGTCGGAAAGGCACACTCGGAAACCTTCGACTGGATCTTCCAGGATAATCCGGAGAGAAGCCCAAAAGCTCTACAAGGAAAGATACTCTTCACAAACTGGTTGAGTTCCGGGAAAGGGGTTTTCCACATTGCTGGTAAACCTGGGTCGGGAAAGTCGACTCTCATGAAATTTATATACAAACATAAGAAAACAAAGGATTTGTTAAATTCATGGGCAGCTGGCCGAAAACTCATTCAAGGCAAGCACTTCTTCTGGCGACCCGGAGAAGATAATTTAGAGCACTCGATCGTTGGGTTGTTGCAAACACTTCTTTGCGACGTTCTTGAAGAATGCCCCAAACTTGTTCCTCTCACCTTTCCCAAACAATGGGCTGCAATCAAGGATCTTCCGCATCCAATTCTAGCGAAGATTCGCTTTGATTGGGAGGATATTCATGAAGCTTTTGATCGACTGATAGACAACCGCGATCTTTTCGAAACCCGATGTTTCTTCTTCATGATTGACGGCCTCGATGAATACCAAGAAACGCGCGACGAAGGGTATAAGCAACTCATCAGGTTGATCTTGAATTGGACCGAAAAAGCGCCCGATCAAATCAAAGTGTGTGTCTCGAGCCGGGAACATACTGTGTTTTTGGACCATTTCTCCGAAACACAGGGCCTGAGATTGCAAAGCTTAACCTCGGAAGACATATACAAATACGTTCAAGAAAAGCTTGAGTCCAATCGAAACTTCCGCGAAATGAAAAATCCGCAAGGTGACGCAGATAGATTGATCACTAAAGTCACACGGAAGGCCGAGGGGGTTTTCCTCTGGGTTGCCTTGGTGGTGAAATTGTTGGATGACGCCTGCGATGACGAAGATAGCTTTGAGGAGCTTGAACAAAAAATTGACTTGCTCCCCCCCGAACTCAAAGGTTTATTTGATGAGTTGTTCAGCTCCATTCATGAATCGGATCGGGATAAGTCAGCTCAAACATTCGCTATTGCACTCAAACTTCTGAAGAATAAGCACGGCATGCGATTTTCTCTCCTACGATACTCCCTTCTAGATAACTACAACGTCGACCCTCTATTCGCCTCAAATCTCAACTCCTCAAACCAGACTTTCCTGGATTGGGATGATGTGGCTATTGAAAAACGACTAAAAAGGGCTCGTAAACAGTTATATAAACGATGTAAAGGACTCCTAGAAGTTGTGCAGTCCGATGTGGATCCCTTATCTAATGACAGAGAGAAATTTCCTCTTCACACCAAGACCGAAAAATTTTATGAGTGTTTCAAGTTCACACCCCTTTCACAACGCATTTCACTTATTCATCGGTCTGTCCAGGAGTACTTGGAAGAAAAACATATTTCAGATGACCGAGCCGCCAGGACCAAGAACTTCGATGCTGTCCACGCAATTTGCCAAACTTACGTGGCTGAGTTGACTGCTCTCAAACTGGAAAAACCTGACCTTGATGATAAGTCTTACTGCTGTGAACTACTAGATATCATCCGTATATTTTTAGAAGCGGGCCTAGATGCTGTGCGGAAAGGATGGATCGCTACCCTCCAAAATTTGGACAGAGCAAGACTTCGACATTCCAATCAATACGAGCTTGGTTTTATCCCTCTCTCACCACATAGTACGGAATTCGGGATATCCATTAATAATGTGTTCTCTGTTGCTCATATTGCAGCTTGTCATGGACTTGACACATTCTTCACAACGTGGGAGGACCCCTGCAATTCTATCTTGGACAAGGACATCAAGAATGGGAGCCTTGCCTTATCCATCGTCACCGGGCTAAGAGGGTATGCTTTCGATCCAAACCCTAAGAGATACATAACAATTTTCCGTTGGTTATTCGACCACGGATGCTCTCCAAACCAGGCTGTTCTCCAATGCTACGGCGGCAGTCTATGGTGGGTCCTTCTTAACGTGCTGTACATTGACAATGGACCCCTGATAATATTCAATGTACTCGAATTATTTCTGGAGTATGGTGCAAATCCTGATTTCTCATTCGCTATCGAAGAAGTCGTTCAGGAAGACAGAAAAGAATCAAGGGTAAAGATTACACCACCGGCGGCTGTAGGAACTTCGACTACAACTTCGTTCATCTTCCTCATTGATGAATATTTTGACTGGGACACGAAACTCTACCAAATAGTGTCTTCTAGAGGTGGAAAAGCTACGTTGCGGGAATATATCGAGGACATGAGACTGCCAAATGTGGAGGCTCTTCTTGTCCTCATCGATAGAAACATGAATGCTCAGCAGCTAGATCCACAGACCCTGGCCCATCCCCAAGACGTTCTACCCAAAATTCTCCCTCCCGAACAAGAAACAGACATAGAAGCGTTAGTGGAGGGGCCAGCCGATGAAGAAGACTCAAAATCCGGTGATAAGAAGATAGAGATCATCACAGCGAAACACGCAGGGACAGAGACGACCACATGTCTCAAGCGGTTGATAAACAGTCCTTTAGCCACGTTCATTCTTGGTAAGTAGATTTATGCGCAATATATTCCTTTGACGGCTAACCTCCCCTAGGCATATTCTTCTCCTACTGTTTCTTTAAATTGTATGGATAGAGGGCACCTTAAAGGTAGGAGCCCAGCAGTCAGATATCTAAGAATCCGGAAGGCTGAATGAATAAGGGTATACTTGCGGTCCTCAGGCTCTGACGGAAGACATGATTCCTTATGATGTGCATAGACTTGTGAATAGAAATTTTTGAGATTTGAGATTTAATGTAAGGTCTATTCAGTTGAGACCCAAAATGCATTACCCACGTAGGTACCTCTTTGGAGATGGTTACGATAGGCATACATCAAGGATCGTAAGGCCCCACTGCTCTTCTCCCAGTCAATAATTCAGCGTTACCGTCTTCCTTAACGAGGTAGATATCTTCGTGACGAACTCCGAATTTCCCTTCTAGATAGATACCAGGTTCATTTGTGAAAGTCATCCCCGGTTGAAGAGTAACTTTCGTATTCCACTTGTTCAGGTAGGGGGACTCGTGCGCTTTTATCCCGATCCCATGACCAAGGCGATGCGTGAAACCGTATCCGTACCCAGCGTCTTCTATGACCTTGCGAGCAGCGATGTCGACGTTCGCAGCGGTATTATTGGCCTTGAACTCACCAGCGGCTGCTGTTTGAGCTTCGAGAACGATATCCCACACTTTTAACTTTTCGGCATGTAATTCGGTGTTGCGATCAGATACCTCGACGTGCTTAGCACGGAGCCCTGTTGCCTCCAAGAAACTCGTCAAGAATGCAAATGGTGATCGTTGTTGGTCGACCACCGGATCAATGAAGAAACTGCGGCAGATATCGGAAGAGTATCCCAAGTAATGAGCCCTATAACAAGTTAGATGCGTAATCTAGACGTATGCATGTTTACTCACCCAACATCAATTACCACCATGGTCTCATGAGTCAACTTCTTTTGGCCAACCACGAAGCCACCATGAGGAAGAGCTCCATCCTCCTCAAAGAGAACAATATTAAAGAAAAGACCAAAGCCAACAGATAACAGCGAGGCATCGAGAATATCCCGTACCTCGTCTTCGGTCAAACCAGCGACAAGGCAAGGGCGCATAGCCCGCACGGCTACAACCGTCCCAGTGTTCACAGCACGGATGAGTTCCACCTCCGCCGGACTCTTAAGCTGTCTCACCAGCTCCACCTCCGGCGTCAACCCCAGAGTTTCAAAGCCCGTATCCGCCAAGCCGCGAGCGATAAAATCCCGCATCTCCTCGTCGATGACGAGTCTCGGTTTCCTCCCGTCCCGCGCCGCGGAGTCGGCGAAGAGGCGCGACTGGATCAGCGTCGCGTAGGGATCCCAGTGCTCCTCCCAGATCACGATGTCCAGCTCGGGCTCCCGGGAAGGGATGTTAAGCATGCGCACCCGGCCCTCCTCGAAGTGCGGAGCGAGGAAAGCCGTCTTAGCGGAGACGGCCCCGGACTCGGAGATCTCGGGCAGGATCAGCATCAAGAACGGCCTTTCCTCCGGCTCCCATGGTTCCCAGTCAACCTGTGACGTGTTCCCGTAGTATCTAGTAGTTGAAATTATGCGTTAGGATGGACATGATGCTGAATACGTAGTTGTTAAAAAAGGTAGCGCTTACTGAAATGTGTAACCTGGCTCGACGACAAAGGCGTCGGCTTTGGACGCGACTAAAGCCCGGGCAAGACGGTCTCGTCTCTCCAAGAACTCATCCGAACTAATAGGCGATGCGTTGTCGAGAAATGAGGTATCGTCATGGAGATTTTTGATGGCGCATTTCTGCACCTGGGCAAAATCCGGCGTAGACTCGGCATTTTGACGCATCCATGTTCGCAATATCCATGCGCCATTGAAGCAGAAGAGAACGAGGATAATAAATTGGCGTCTCCAGAAAGACCCAGAGCTTTGCCGTGGGCTCAATGGAGCTTGTTGCTGTGAGTGCTTTTCCATGCTCATATCCAGATTGAGGTGTTCATCACGGTATGTGAAAGTGAGCGGGATGAATCCTGTGCCGAGCTCAAGTTTTGGCGATACAATTCGGAGTTCAGGGGTCGTTTGATAGGGGTTAGCCGCTACTTAATCCACCTAAACTACGACTACACCTCTAACTAAACTCGATATGCTTTAACCTTCGCGGAATCAACCGATATCCCCTTCTCTGATATAGTTAGGTATTTATTAGCAGAAACATTTACCTAACGAAGAAATTGGCCTACCGTTCCATAGCCCTAGGAATTAAATGCCAATCGTTTGTTTTCAGTGGCCGAAAAGTTAAAGCGCTTCAAAATGTTAAACAAATGCCATGTGTTGTAGGGGTAATAGTCATATCGACGAAGCACTGGTGCGGTGAGAACATTTATCAAGCGATGGAGAATAAGAATGAGAATGCGCATATTTTATCGATATAAAAGAGTAAGATGCACCGGTGTTGAAATGTTTGTCATTTGATCGAGAGATTCATCATCAATTGAAATCTTCGCATACATATATATATGTAGGTAGATGCGCCGGCGACGGGCAAGCAAATGAATAAGTATTTCCACTCTATATACTCCCTTGCTCCACTACTCCTGCCGAAGCCATCATACGTGCTCCGTTCAGTCCATTGCCCCATCCCCTACCCTCTATGTATAATCACGTCCTATCCTGACGCAAGAACACCTCTACAACGCCCCTCATCTTATCCTCGGTCGCCTTCTTCTCCTTCGGATTCGTTGACCTCGGGGCCCTACAGATCGCCAAACCAAAAACCTCTGCGGTCTTCCTCTCCCACGCTAGCCTTCGTAGTATTGCGGCCTGATCGGCCGCCACCGCTCCTCCGGCACTTCGGCGAAAACTCAAGCTGCGTCTGGCTAAAGTACCGGGAGAGCTAGTCCTGCGGCTGTTCAAGGCTTCCAACGCTTCCTTACTGAGGGAGATGAGCTCGTTCGCAACACGGGTTAGCATGGACATGAGGAACACGAAGGAGATGTGATTGTATGGCGCTGTTGCTAAAATATCGAGGATGACAGATCGGGCTTCCTCGGCTTCGACAGGAGTCTTGCTGCTTCCTACATTGGGCAGAGTTTGCTCGATTTTAGCCCATAACGGTGTAGTGATGATCCCATCTGGCATGCTGCGTAGGAATAACAGGAGCACCTCGCTAACGATTTCAAGACGTTTTATCACCGGAACATCAATGTTGACAGATTCCAGAACGGGCTTATCAACTTCCAGGGCCTCGATCATCGATGCTCGTAGATTATCGTGATCTTCATCGTTAATGGTTTGCCATGAATCCTTGTCAAAAGGCCAACCCGGCTTGTCGCGCGGTATTTTTACTTCGTCCAACATGTTGGCGTCGGCAATAGCCCGCTCAGCGAGGATTGCTATTGCCTCGGTGAGCTGGAATAGCTCGTTTGGACTTGATTTATGTACTTCTAGGGTATAGGGTATAGATCCCCCTTTCTGTCGCTTTTCTATTAGGCCCCGAATGCCACCGCCACGAGGGACTCGGATGAGCTCTTCTAGTGAACGCCCGAAGCAGGAAGGTATCCAAGTAGCTTTAATCGGGATGAAATGGTCTCTCCCATCGGTGACGCGTAGTATTAAGACATCTTCTAATTGCGCTGTTGCCGCATTCAGTGCCTGAACATGGGCTAGGTCCTGGACATGAGCTTCTATGAAGGCGTTTACGGTCTCTCCTGGCTCTAGCGTTATTTCATCCCCTAACGGATCCCGTGTCTCTTCATCATCGTCTACTTGGAAGCGGACGAATTTGAACTGTAACCAATGAGGTTGTTTCACCGTATCGTTTTGCGGGGCTGGGTTTTCAATGAAACGGAACGTGGCCGGAACGCGCCCGGTGTTGGCAATAGTCAAATATCGATTCTCTCTACGCAGGAATCCAAGCTCTCCGAAATCGACGCCCTCACTCCCATCAGCGAAATGCTTATTTTCCTTGTTGATCGAATCCTTCGCATCGACGATGACAGTAAGACCTGGCCGTCCTTCATTTTCGGCTCGGTCAAGTTCCCTCGCCACTTCAGCGTGAACTTTAGCTTTCAGTTCGGGAACGACAGCGTCGTAATCTAACGTAAACATAGCGACTATCGGTTTATGATCTGATGACATGACTCGCTGGTGGCTCATATAAGTATCCAAATGGATTTTGTCGACGAAGCCTTCCTTTGTGATAACTTGCTCTAGAGTTTCGCCTTCGTCATATTCATCGTAGTCATAAGTAGTATCGCCGAGGTTATCAGCACTCGAGTCAGCAGCGGGATCGTAGTCAAACAGGACATTCTCATCCTCCGCAGCCTTGTCAATGCCCATCTTTTTCATATCTTCGTCCCTCTTCTTGGCCTCGACCTCATCGTTACACTTCTTTTCATATAGATTGATGTCCGTACGAGTTCGATATAAAATGCGATCGCACCAGCTTGGGGCTCGTTGCTTTTCAGAGGAGTCGAAGAGGCCCACCGTACCAACGTCATACTTGTATGTTGGTAGAAATGTTATAGGACCTTCGTGCCAACCCTCGTGGAACGCCTTGCGTTCTTTGATCATACGTAGGAGCTGATCATGCGGAATCAGGGAGTTAAGAGTTGCTTGCAGGGATGCTGGATCGTCATTTGGATCGGGCAGAAATTCGTCGGGATCTGGAAGTTCGCTATCTTCATCACTAGAAGCCTTGTCGAAAGATGCTTCACGTGATATCATGCCGGGAGTGTTCGTACCGTCGTCATCATCGTCGTTGTTGCGTAGTACGATAACACCATCATCGCTGAATATTTCCCCAGTACTTTTCTTACTAAGATCGTACTCCCCGCGGGTATGTAGCGTTAGCAAACGTCGAATATCTTCCCCAGGTAGACCATCAAGGCGAAAGTTCAGATCCCCAAGCCAGAAGGCGAAATCTTCATCCCCAATCTTTTCCCCTTCGTCTTCGACTACGCCACCTAAATTGATTGGGCTGAATTTAATTTGGGAGACGATTCTATTGTAATCCCAACATCGTCGATCGAGGCTAGCCTGATCATGGCCGGATGCAAGGTGGCAATTGGTGAAAACAAGTCTGGTGGTTTCGCCTAGGAGAATTCGAGAAGTAATTCCGCCCTTGTTGCCCCAATAGCCTAGTAGACCATATATACCAGTACCGACACTAACAGTTGACTCGTTTGATATAGTTTCAGCTACTTCGGGCGAGGCATAGATAAGCAGAAGAAGACCGACGAGCTGCTCACTGGCTACAAGATGGTAGCCCTTGGGAAGAGCGGCTTCGAGGGCATCTTGCCATTTTGCGATGGCATTTGGATCGGAATAAAAGGTCTGGCTGACGATATTTAAATCAACAACTTCTTGAAGCCCAAGGACATAGAGTCCTATCTTGTCGCCGCTTAATAATCGCACATCGGGTTCCTCTTCTCCTTCACCTGGAGAGACGCCCGAGCTGTTTGGCCCTCCTGCTGCTCCTGAGTCTGTTTTGGAAGTTGCGCTCGGTTTGGATGTAGCATTGTGATCTTTATTTATTTCAATAGTCTCGATACTCTCGGATACGCTCAGGCGCGCTAGCTTGGCATCCAATTGCGGTTCGATTCCTTTCCCGTCAACAAACCAACTCGCCAGATCTTTGTCAGTGCCTGGACAACCAGCGACATTCCAAGTCCCGACCTTGATTCGTATGCGATGGGGCCGAACGTATTCGGATTTCCTAGCAAGTACAGCGCGGGAAAGTGAGTGGGGGTTCGACTCTGGTTCTTCGACTTGTTCGGGTTCCGAAGTGACGGAAGGGTCACGGTTCGCGGTCGACATGATTGCCAATGGAAGTATGTTTGAGGTCCACAAGCAATGACAAAGACAGCAAGGTCAATGGGGATTGAGAATGGGTTTAAACAGGAATTGCGGTCGAATTGAAGCCTATGTCAGCTCGTGATCGCGTGCGCTGAATTGGGAGTCGAGCATTGTGACTAGTGACGTTATAGAGGGGCAGTGCTTAGCTCGAACTGCTGAAAACATGGAAACATGTGAGAGCAAGACGAATAAGACGAATGGAAGAAATAAAACGCCTGTTGCAATATACAAACCCACACAGAAAAAAAAGAAGCCAGGGCTTTCAAGAATTACACGTATATTTAAACGACAGTTGTCTAAGTTGGGGAAAATGATGAAGCAAGTTAGGTTTATTGGGTCATTGGATCATTGGGTCACTGGTATGCAATCGATTAGATCCACCTAAACTTGGAACTCGCAGCCGGAGACGTACGGTGGGGACAGGGCTGGCTAAATGGGCAGGGATCTTGCCCCAGACGGAACCAAAAGCCCGACAAGACAGCGGGCAAAATCACACTAAACCGCAAGACGGCCAACCAAATTGGAGCAGCTTTCCCTTTAACTTTACAACCTTTGACTGGCTACAGCAACCTCATCGGGGGGTGCTAGGTAATCACTTTCAAGGGTCAAATGCATCTCTCCAGGCTGGGCCAAAACCTTCAAAGTCGTGCAGGATCTTGATGGTCCGCCGACAGCGAAGTGCCCTACAAATGTCGAGAGGCAGGCTGTTCGATATTGCGCGGATCGAGGAAACCATGGCAGCTAAAATTGCGAAAGGGCAATCCAACTTTAAGACCAAGCTGGCTTTGCCCTGTAGAGAGCCCACTCATGAAATGCTGGGTAAATGTCCTGCTCATCTCTAAGTTGACAGGGTTGCTTTTTCCACATTTTGTTCGAGAACCCTCAGCTAGCCTTCAGCTACAGAGATGTGAGGGAATCGAACTATCCAATGGAGTATCGGAGAAAGTATCACAAATATTTACAAACTTACAAACGGGATCACAGAAATCCACAGTGTTCTGGATCTAGGTACCTCGAAGGAATCCAATAGACATAAAGAAGAATCTAACTATCAACAGCCCTTGCGTTGTATTACGAGGGTGCAGCTCCAACTGCAGAACAATGGAATTGACATCCCGGGCCTGTGGTGTAGAATAGCCAGGATTGAGTCTCGCCCTACGTATATTTAGAGAATTCATTGTTCTCATCTTCCCACGGATGGAATCCGACTTTCTCTTGGGCAGCATGGCAACCCGAAGTAATCAGCATAGACCGCCTTCTTATCGAATCCCATTCAGACATTTGTGATCGCGTCGTTAGTCGCTACAAACACTTATCTATGCAGCAAGTTGTACTATAGGCGATTCATGCAGAATTCCCATCTTCTTCAGCTAGCCCACGTCGAAAAGGCATCCCAGTTCTGACTTTCGACATGATCGGAGCGGTCACTATGGATGAAGACATGGGTGCCCAGTACCTGTATTCATCTCGCCAGGGCGAACTCATCCGCATGTTCAAGGAATTACTCAAGAATGCGGAACTGTCAAAGATACCTTTTGAAGCGTAAATTTAACAAATACGAAGCATATGCGGATGATAAACTTCAGTTGCCTTGGTGGTTGATGCCTCGGATCCACCCAAGACGTCGTCTGGGAGGCCGAATTCCACAGCGACTGAGTGGTATTGTCTCTAGAAATGTCGAAGCGATGAAAGCTAGAGCAGACAGAGATGAGCCCTATAGAAAGTCTCCGAGCGTATTAGCTCTCAGTCTACAAGATATCGAATTGCTTATGCTTGATATCATAAAAGAGATATACGATCAGCTCAAAACGTTTCTTTTCGCTGGCCACGATACCACAAGTATTACCATCATATGGAACATTTACGAGCTTATCCGACGCTGCACGCCTTGAAAGCTGTTCGTGGTAAGCTAGATAGTCTCTTTGGGCAGGGAGCCACACGAGATCCGGCCATCGTCCGCGAGAAACTGTTATCCTCAGGTGGCGGCGAGATTATTTGTTGTATGCCTTACATCTCTGGAGTTATAAGAGAAACATTGAGATTGCATCTCCCTGCTAGCTCTATCCGCATATCCAAACCTGGCACAGGTTTCGTAGTTCCAGATTATAGGGTGAATACAACCTCGACGGGAACTGGATATATCTTAACCATAGCTTTATTCATCATGACCCTGCTATATTTGGAGATACAGCTGAAAACTTCGTTCCTGAGCGCTGGTTGGAGTTGCTGGAGATCATTCGAAAGGGGATCAAGGAATTGCATTAGGCAGGAGCTAGCAAATATCGAAGCATGCATTATCCTTGGTATGCTTGCCTACCGATACGAGTTCATAAAGGTCTTCCTTGGAGAGGTAGACCTAGACAATGATAGTCTGCCGACGGTGAACACCAACGGTCAAATCAAGGTCAAGTCGGAGTTATACTCTGTAAATGTGAAAGCCCCACATCAAGAAACGGACTTCGCTCCTAACTTTTGTTGGACAACACAGATCATGGGCAAGCCTGTCGACGGAATAGTAATGAAGTGGTGAAGGTGAAACTAGCGCCAGAAGTCGTACAATTTTAATTAACAATAAATAACAACTGCCCGCTTCATCTCATAGTCGTTAGGCCATTGCAATACGAAAGGAAAGTACCTTGGTGGGTTTCCCGGGTCTTATAAACCGTATATATACGGTATATGTACAGTTTTAAATATAAGCCGTTTAATAAAGTTTATAAAAACATGTAAATTAATTTTTTTTATAAGTTTAAGTTAATTAAATGGCTTAAAAAAATTTAAACGTTCCGTTTTAAATTAATTTAAAAATAAAATATTTAAATTATTTTAAATTATTTAAATTATTTTAAATAATATATATTTAATTTAATTTTAAATTAAATATTTTAAAAATTAAACGTTTTAATTTTTAAGCCGTTATATATTTAAATATTCTAATTATTTATTACTTAAAAAAAAAATATTTTAAATATTATTTTTATATTAATTATATAAAAATTATATTTAAGTTTTTAAAATTATTATTTAATATTATATAATTTAATTATATAATTTTTATAAATATTTTTATTTGAATTATAAGTTTTATAAGTTTTAATTAAATAAATTATTAAATATAATTATTTTATTATTTAATTATAATTATAAAATTTATATTTACATTACGCGTAAATATATAAACTTTTATTTTATTATATAAAACGTTATCTCAGCTAGCTCAGACTAGAGTTTGAGGAATTAGCCACACCTAGCCACGCTGCGCGTGGCCCGCATGGCCCGTGCCAATGTATCTGTGGGG